CGAACGCATGGCGAACGGGGATTATTGTAGCGGCCGGCTCCTCATTGAGGTTGGCGACTAAGACCAAACTTTCTTCGTCCACGGTCCAGATCCCCATATCCACACGATTGATCACTTGATTGGTAAAAACGGCGCGAGGATTAAAGATAAACGTCGAAACTCGGCGAGATGACAAGACAGTGGCGAGTGCAGCCGCGGAATGCTTGACATCTGCAGGGGTGGGGTCGATCCAGGGCATGATCCCTGCTCCGGCGATTCACCAAGGAAAGTCAATCTGAAGAGAAGCATATGCATACCTCGTGCTCCGTGATTGATCGACACGATGGCCTGCACCAGAAACTCGCGGCCTGTGGGCGGTCTTGTCCAGAATCTAAGTACATAGTAATTGAGTTGCGCCAAGCGATACCCTATATACAGCACGCGACGTACTCAGATGCGCCGAAAGCCTGGGGCACGGCCCACAAGGTCTTCTGACGATTCAAACCCAGGGCCTGCAGTCGAAACCCCAAGTCATCCAGTCTGCGAGCGACATCATCGAGTCGTCCCTCGCAATTGTCGCAGCCACAACAGCCGAAATCGGATGTGCACGTGGTGTTGTATTTGGCGGAGAAGGAGGTGTTCACGGCGACGGGATATGTGTCTGGCATGATCACATCGGCTCCCAGAACGTACTCAGAAAAAGCGTAGTCGGCGCAGTTCAATGCCAAGGAAACAGGATGGTATGGATCAAGCGTTTTAATAGCGGCGTAGGCATCGATGGGCTCGGAGGGAGGAGTGCTGGTGCCGTCCGGCTCATCGGCCGTGTACCAGAGGAGCAGGTTGGGCCGATGTTTGATGGCATTGACTTGGGCGGTCGGATCGCGATAGGTGCTGCGAGCGGTCAGTTGGTACTGTGTGAATTCTGGCCGAGTCAATCAAACGCACTGCCTCATGTCGTACACCAGATAAAGACCCAGAGCCTCCATCCTATCTAGGACACGCTCCAGAGCAGCCAAGTCCCCGAAGGTTGGCACCGGATGGACTATGTTGAACCTGACCGTCGATCAGCTTAAACATCATCTCTCGTGGCGCCAGCTTACACACCCCTGTTGCTTGATTTCATCGAGCAGACTCAAGTTGGAGTCCAGGTAGTTGTCGAACGAGGTGTAGAAGCCAATAGGGAAGATGGTTTCGTAGAGCGCCCCTTTACGAACCAAGAGTGCTCCCGTGCGAGAATCTCTCTTCGTGACAGAACCAGAACCGGGGCTCGGCAGGTAAGCCAGCTGAGCAGAGGCGTGGAAATCGGTCTGCGATGCTGTCGCCACACAATCAATCGAGAAGGGCTGCATACGCGGACTAGTACCGAGGTTGACGAAAGGGAAAAGAATCTCCACAGATGAGTTCAAGGCCAGGGAGGAGCTGGCAAGGATGGTGTCCTCGAACGATATCGAAACGTTTAGTAGCTCCACCTCTGAGTCGTCGATGGGTTTTGCCCCCACCCATCGCGAGTGAACCAACGTGGCCTCGACTAGAATACCCGCAACGGCGTCCTCTCCATCGACATATGGAGTTAAAACAGGAGCGCAGCTAAACACAAGCAGTGGATGTTGTGAAGTTTCGGGAATAGGAAATCGTTGACCAGGCGGTTCGACAGGCTGGCCAGGCAGATAGTTCTTGTTGCACCTGAGCAATTCATTCTCAGAAAGAGTTCAAAAGATGCCTAGTTGATTCCGACCAGGTTTGTGCTACAGCCAAGGACCAGAAAAGCGGAAAACAGGTTCGCGTCAACATGACTGACGGGCACTGCCACCGCTAGCTCTTGCAAGTTCCATCTCCACTTACGACCCCCATAGTCAATGTTGCGCGTTTCACTGTGGCACGTCGATGAATGCTGCTCCCATTTCGCCCATTCTCCGAGAGACCTGATCGCAGAATGCTTCGAATGTCTATCACATACACAGTCTGTCTGCATACTTGGAAACTGTAACCTCATTACATCTCTTCCGAACGGTATCCGTTATCTGTTCCCTTCTCCCCCACTCTCTTCGCCCTCTTCCTGGACGGCCGCGCATCAATTGCTTTCTTTGTCTTGTTGCGCTTGATCCCCCGTTTGTGGCCGTTGGCTGGAAGCTGCTCGAAATACAAGCTCGGGGCCATATCGTCGAGCGATGCTTCATCACCGACTTTCGCCTCTTGCACCCTCTTCCTTTTCCTTGTTGCTCCTACAATCAAGTCGTCCTCGTCTTCGGTATCAGTTTCGCCTTCGAGCATCGCAAACAACTCGGCTTTGATGATATCCAACACGGCCGCATACGTCAGAACTGTGCTCTTTCCGGCGGGAGAAAGGACCGCTTCCTTCCACAAATTCCTCAAACGGTCGAGACACGGCTTCGCTTTGCGAAGCTCTGGGCGGACGCAGTCCAGATAGAGACTCTTCCACTCCCGGTCGTTCATCAACGACTTTTGCTTCTGGCGACCAATGGCGCTCCAATCCGGTCTCGGGTCCCCTGGCCGCTCTATCCACTTGGCTAATCCCGTCTTTTTGAATCTGCCGCGGCAAAGGAAGCATTTCTGGCAAGCGAAGACCTCGCAATCGAAGATGGCGGACCATATGTTGCTCAGGATCCATGACTCGACTTCGTGGCAGACTTGGCGCTCGAACACACAATCGGATTGCGTCGCGATGAGAAGATCGGGGGACAGAAACGCGGCGGTGCCGACGGGCTTTTGGCCTTTCCGCAGTCGTTCTTTGAATCCCAGCCTGCGGGCGAGCCCGAAATTGATCAAGATTCCTTGGGGGAGTCCTTCCAGGCCCAGATCACCCGATCCTTGAATGTGCCTGAGATTGATGTCTCTGTGGAGGTAGCCCAACTTCTCGGTTAGGTCTCTGTTGGCTGCACAGCGTCGTCAGCTCTGGGTCGACTGGTCCAACATCGCGTGCACACACACACCTGTGATTCCGTCACGGAACACCGATAGGAAATGCTGCGCCGATCCCATACCTCCGGCTTGCAGGCTCCTCATGTCACATCTGAGCACGAATCGGCGGTGGAACAACGGCTCCCATGCTTCGTCTGCACCTGCTTCGTATCCCAAGGACTCTTCCAGGAAATCACGGACGTCTGCCGTAGAATCGCTTTCGCCGTGGATCTTGACCGTCTCGTGTGCAATCAACCGTGGTATGCCCTTGATGCGAAGTCTCTTTGCTTCCCGGAGGATATATGCTTCGTCGTCGTGCTCGTCGTTGACGACCCAAGAATCGCGCATGAGCAACGGCACGGGCCTGGCCGCGCCGCTGAGGCTGACTTTCTGGTAGGTTGTCTTGGAACCGCCGACAACGACCTCCGCCATGAGCGGCATGTCGACATCGAATGCCCTTCCTCCGACTTTCATCGTGCTAGACGGGTAGTTGTGCGGCCCCGCAAGCCAACTCCGCTCCACCGACGTGTCGATCCCAGTGTCCGCCAATTCGAGTGAGAAATGCAGTCCAACGAAGAGACGAACGAAGAGGTCCGGTTGCTCGTGGATGTTGAACGGGGTGGAGATGATGATGCCTCGTGCGTCAAGGATATAGACCTTCAGAAATCCGTTCTCCATGAACTGAACGGCCGTCAGGTAACGCCGCCACGGCTGCACATGCATGAGCCACTCGGCCGTCGCCACCATCTGCTCTGTGATGCGGTCTTGGTTTGCCCAGACGCTGCCCTTACTGAGGATGCCGTACGATGTGGCCGTGTAGCGGTGCTGTCCTTCCTCCTTTTGGCGGGAGTTCAGCGGGGGCGTGCTGAAAAACTCGACCGGTCCGTTCGGGTTGTAAATGACCCGCTCCCTCGAAATCTTCCCCCAGACACGGCACCAGTAATCCGGGCACGGGTCTTCCGCTGTCGCTGGGGCCTTGCGGCCTGTCGAGCACATGTATCGCTCGACGTTGTCTGTGACCTGGTTGACCACCCGGGCTATCTGCTCGCCGATCGTCACATCCTTGACGGGCTCGGCTTCGTCGTCGTGGTCGTCGCCGTCGTCATCGGACTCGGAGTCTGAATGTTTGTTGCTCGGGGGATCCTTGGCAGCGAAAGCGGGGTAGTCTCGCCATTGTCGGGCCGTCTCGCTGTAGATGCCCTGCAGTATCAATCTCTCCAGGATCTTCACTGGACGGATCGGATGGCTTTGGAAACATCGCTTCACCAGGGGCTCCGCAGGGACGTTGTCGATCAGGTGCGCTTGGAGCTGGTCAGCCGTGCGGCGCGACATTCTGTTCACTGCCAGTATGTGTGGCCTTCCCAATGGAATGGAGGAGAGCGTACATTCTATGTAGTCGGAGAGAGAGCAGCAGAACAACTAGGACCGCACGTGAGTGCCTTTGTCTTGAGAATGGGTTCAGCACGTGAACGTGCTCGCATTGCATTGTCTTGAGACATTGTTCACCGAATGGGGACAATCTTCCTTTCCGCTTTGGCCCAGCTCAGAATGAATACTATAATTATGTCGTGCGACCGACCTACTGAGCTACGAACTGGCACCCCTGAACCGCAAATGTACCGTTTTGGGGTTGATATTCTTGATCGATAGGTGGCTGTACGTACGCGTTTGATCCGTTGATCTCCCACTCACGAGTTGCACAAGAAATACTTTTTTTGGAGATTGCGCAGACTGGGAAATGACTACATTTCTAATCGGAAGCTGATACTAACTATATGTTGACGCGGACGCTCTTGCCTGCAGACCAATGCGTCCGGAGGGGCACATTGACAGGAAGGTCCAAGTGAGACGCGTATCGTCACATCACGTGATATTGAGAACCTGAGTGATATCCATGACATGTATTCTCCGACATGCAGCAGACAGATCGTCATCCTTCGTTGCAATAATCCGTCGGATTAGGTGCTTCCCGTAGCTTAAAACATAATACGACTTTGCACGGGAACGAAGAGACTTATCGTTCACCGGATCGGCCGACCATGCTGTTGATCCGATCTTTATCGCGCTCTTACGCTCTTGTTCATCGCAATTTCCCACGAAGCTTGTCACCCCGGACGTCATGGCCATGGATGGATTGACGATGCAGCAACCCCGCCTCACCATGCTGACAATCGCAGGCTCCGACTCCGGCGGCGGAGCGGGCATACAGGTCCCCCCTCCCTTGACCAAATGCTGCCGTTGATTGAGTTTCGAGCTCAGGCCGATCTCCGAACCTTCGCGGCTCTAGGCCACTTTGGAACCAGTGCAGTGACGGCTCTCACTGCTCAGAACACCCTTGGTGTGCAGGGTATCCACGGTGTGCCCGCACAGTTTGTGGCACAACAGGTGCGGTTTTCCACTTTGCCTAGCGAACGTTTTGGACTGAGCAAGGGCGAGTGCAGCTCCAGTCTGTCCTAGACGACATCGATGTGCACGCCATCAAGACAGGCATGCTTTTCAATGCAGAGATAATCGACGCGGTCGCGCACACATTGGGCGCGCACTCGGCTCAGCGCGCGTTGCCCCCACTCGTCTGTGATCCCGTTTGCGTGTCGACCTCAGGCCACAGTCTGCTCGAGCCCCAAGCCGTCGACGTGCTCGTCTCCAAACTGTTCCCTATGACAGTAGTGCTCACGCCTAACAAGTCGGAGGCGGAGGTCATCTTATCCCGCTCGATCTCGTCGCTTGCAGATATCGTAGCGGCTGCCACGGACCTCCTGAAGCTCGGGCCACAAGCGGTGCTACTCAAGGGCGGCCACTTTGCCACGACTACTGCTGACATCGAGTCGCTCGCTCGCGCACATCCCGAGATCTCGATAGGCTCCCGGTCTGAAAACATGCGCATCCTCGCGCGGCCAAGCGGAGACAGTCCGCTTGTTGTTGACGTGCTGTGCGAGAAGGACGGTCGGACTACGGTATTTGCACGTCCCCGAATAGACTCTTCCTCGACGCATGGAACGGGATGCACACTCAGTGCAGCGCTCGCGTGTTTTCTGGGATCTGGTGCCACAGGTGTGCATCGGTCGCTCAGCGTCCAGATCTATCTGATTTATTCACCTAGTTCATGAAGCCGTGTCTCGTGCGACTGCGTTCACTCATCTAGGCATTGCCACTGCCTCTGCCATTGGCACTGGATACGGCCCGCTCAACCACCTGCATTCGATACAACGTTTGATCATCCCACCGTATGTCATCGCCTCAATCCTCATCTCGGGCTCACTCTGGCTTAGCCGCTCAGCTGCAGATCCGTTTCCATTGACAAGGATGTTCATCTCTGCAAATCCGAGACACTGGAGCGATTATGTCGAGCACTCGTTTGTGCAACAGCTCGGCGCGGGCAGTCTTCCTCGCGCGGCTTTCCTCCACTTCATCAAGTACGCGACGGAATGGTTATTTGGTTCCCCGCTGACATGACATGCCCAGACAAGACTATCATTATCTTAAATACTACGCCCGCGCATCCAGGTGAGAAGCCCTGCTCTGTGCGATTTTCTTGATGCGAGTGCATTGCTGCAGTCTGCTTGCCGCTAAGTCCGACTCGTTTCCGGCTATCGACTCTGCGATGCAAACTACGCTGAATGTGCTGCGGGAGATCGACACGCACAAGGCATTCTGCGCTGGTTTCGGGGTCTCCCTAGAAGAGCTCGATGCGACGGAGGAATCCATAGAAACGACTGCTTACGGATGCTATCTGATGGACATCGGGTTGAAAGGTGGCTTACGATGTTCATGCGGTCTTGTGTTCACTCAGTTTGTTTGGTCCAGGGGACACTATGAAACTACTGATCGTGCTGCTGGCATGTCTGCTGGGGTACGGTGAAGTTGGTCTGCGGCTCAAAACTGCAGAATTAGAAGGAAACCCGTATCGTCGATGGATCGAGGATTACTCTGGCCCGCATTATCAGGGAGCTGTCCGCGCTGGACTAGGTCAGTGACGGGCGCTCGAGGATTCTGAAGCTGACACCTGGACAGAACTGATTGAAGAACGCGCTCAAGCCGATCCCCCGTCATCTGCCCGGCTGAAGGAATGGCTGATGGTCTGGGACCAGTGCACTCGCCTCGAGACGGCGTTTTGGGCGATGGGGTTGAACGCTGCCCAGGCGGATCAGTGAGACATCGTCGAATTTTTCATGCTAGAGGCCCCTGTTACCTGTCTTGCGCTTGACCACACCCAAATATGACTCTGTTGACCAACTCGAACGCTGCTCGTGCGGCTTCGGATGCTGCAACCAGAAAGTCGATCCCGTCGGAGAACGCGCCGACCAGTCCATCTCCGAGAGCAGCAGGATTCCGAGAGCTCTCGAGATGCGAGAATCTTCCGGATCCATTAGGTGCCTCGACTGATCCTTCAACTCGTTTGCGCTGACTGGGGCTGATCAGCTTCAATCCCACAGCGGCGTCCAACCGCGATCAGCCGAGATGCCGAACGGAACTCCCCAACATTCTCTGCTCGACGGCGCATAGAATCGCAAAGTCGATGGAGGAGCTGTAGTTCCCAGCCAGCCGCCAGGAGCAACTTGAAGAACAGCATCCTAACACTGTCGGACGACAGTCACAGTCCCATCATCTCCACGCTCGCTCGGCCGAGCGTCGACACGGATTCAAGACGCGTTTCGTTGACGGCGCGCTGCAGACGAGTTCCCTCTATTTCACGGTACCCTCCCGTCGACGTTGAGACTCGCCCCGCGAGCTATTCTCTCAAATTCGGACTGCCCTGTACACTCGAGCCTGAAATGGTCACCATCACCACAACCAAGGACAAGCGGCTGAAGATCGTGGCAGATGATTGGACTCGGGAGGCTGATTGTGAGCATTTGAGAAGGCTCAGCGAAATCAGAACACTGACACACCGCCGTGTAGGCCATTTCGAGTGGGAGATTGAGTTTCCGGCCAAGGACGGTGATTTGCGCAGAATCAGAGCTGTCTTTGATCAATCGGGAACGCTTATAGTAAATTTTCTGCGTGTGTAGATAATTTTTGGTGGCCGCCACCCATGACATCTCTTGCATATAGCAGCGCGAGTGACCCTGAGCATCGGGGAAAGTGCGCATCAGTCAGTGATCTGCCAGTGAGCCGTGAGGTCGGTCACATGCTCCCTCTCCTCTCGTGTCGCGTCGCTATATCTCTCGGCTACTGGGTTTGCGGACAAACGTCAGTCAGCAGACGATGAACGTCCTTGTATACTCCGGCTCGGAGGTAGTCCAGGCGTCTCTCGACCACACCCTGTCCAGCCTCCGCTCTCTCCTCCTCCCGCACTACTCCGTCCAGCCGATCACACCCCAATCGCTTCTGTCTCAGCCCTGGCAGCCCAACTGCGCGCTGCTCGTGTTCCCCGGATGCCGCGACATCGTCCTCACCAAGTCTGCCTCGAAGATCAACGAGTTCGTGAACAAGGGCGGCGCGTTTCTGGGCCTCGGGACCGGGGCGCATTACTCCCTCAAGGGGCTGAATCCCGAGCTGTCGGGTGCGGCGCCGTCGAGCGCGACCGCCGATATGATGCTACGTTTCTCCGACATGGCCTCCGGGGCGCACATCTACCCGAGCTTCCAGCCCAGCGGATCGGACACCTCCGCGCGCGCTGTAGCGATCGAAACCTACGAAGGGGAGCGGATTGATCTGATGTATCAGGGCGGCTCGGGCGAGCTCTTGGGCGCAGAGGGTGAGAAGAAGCCGAAAGTGCGGGTTCTGGCGCGATATCTGGAATCGGATGTGCCGGGCGCTGCCGCAGCGGCTTCTTACGGTGTGGGGGCTGGGAAAGTCGTTCTGTGGGCAGCGTCGCCGGAATTTCCTCTGACAGAGGAGCCAGCGTCGTCCGTTGCGCTGGCGTTGTCGCCGTCCCCTGCCACGCTCGACCTCGCCGAGGAACGGCGGCAGCTGGTCATGCGACGTTCTCTGGTTCTGTTGGGTTTGAACCTTCCCGAAACAGGAGAAACCGCCAATCGCCCTATCGCACAATACCTGGTTTCGCATTTCCTGAAACCAGCTATCGTATCCGCTGTCACGAGGGCTTTGGGCGGAGTTGATCTTTTCGAAGACGAGAGCGATCATTTCCAATTGCACTCCTTCGAGACTGCGCAAAATGCGCGCGCGATTGCGGTCGCTCAGTCGAATCCTTCGACCTGGCAGCCGAAACACATCATAGTCTGTGATGGCCAACTGCCAGGCCCCGAGCAGACTCCCTTGTTTGACCTGACACTGTTCTTCAGCTCTCTCTCGGCTGCGAGGAAGAAGGAAGAACTGCAAGACGACCGTGAGCCTTGGTGCTTTGGGGACGCGTTGCTCTATGGGGAAGTCGTCACCAGCACACAGACGATGCTTGATAAGTAAGTCCGTTGGCGGTGGTGGCCTTGCTCCGCGGCAGTGACTCATTGACGAGTCATCCAGGAATCCGCGACTCATGCACTCGCTCCCGGCACCTCTCTTATCGCTCGCATCCCACCAGCTTGCCGGCCGTGGCCGGGGTGCCAACGTGTGGCTCTCTCCGTCGGGATGTCTCCAATTCTCGCTTCTCTTGCGCCTGTCCATGTCCGGGTTCCCCGCACACAAGATTGTCTTCGTGCAATATCTGTTTGCGCTTGCCGTAGTGGAAGCTTGTCGGGACGAGTCTGTGCTCGGTGAGGCCGGTGCGTCTGTCCGCCTCAAGTGGCCGAATGACATCTACCTCGATCTGGATGGGGTGCGGAGGAAGATAGGTGGTATCCTGGTTAACACTAGCTTTAATGGAGGGAATGCGGATCTTGTCATTGGTGTGTGGTAACTGCTCCATTCCATGTTCGCCGTTGACCAGGCGTGCGCGCAGGATGTGGACTCAACGTCCTCAATCCCCCGCCCATCTCGTCTTTATCGGAGATCTGCCCGGACGGGTCATTGAGCATGGAGCGCACCGCCGCCGCGATCTTGGTGAAGTTCGAGCGGATGTGGCACACATATGTCGCTGGGAAGGGCTCATTCGAGCCATTCTTGGATCTGTACCTGCGCCGGTGGATGCATTCGTGCGTGGACCGACTCCCTCGATGCCCTTGACCTGACTTTGCGCAGGGACCAGCTGGTGACGCTGACGACGACCGAGCCGCACCAGCTTGTGCGCATCGTGGGCATCACCCCTGACCATGGTCTGCTGCGGACGCTGCCAGAACGAAGTGGCTGGTCAACGAACCCTGCGTTCGTCGACCTCCAGCCCGACGGCAACAGTTTCGATCTCATGGCGGGCATGATCAAGTCGAAGAAGTGAATTCGTGTAGGACGGAGAGTTGATAGATAGATGCATGAACCAAAGCTGTAAAACCACTTTCATTGGATAGTTTGCAAGATTGATAGATGTGGTGGGAGAGGCATGACCCATTACCATCAATACGGAGCCGTGGCGTGTAGTTTCGCGTCCTTCGAGTTTCAGTACACCATTAGTTGTCAGGAGTAGCTACAGTGTGGGGGTAAGATCCAGACATGGACACTGCTCCCGCCAGCCTCGAGAGCGTCACGAGCTCTCTCTTTCTCACGTGCCGTGACAGGACGCGTCATTGCACTCTTCAAAATCCAAGACTCGAACAAACATCATTATTCCGAGTGCTTCTCAACCATGTTGGTGGCATTGGCGATGAAGTAAAATGCTGGTTATGGATGGGCAACTCCAGTCGCTCCAGCCGGAATCGAGGCTTAAAGGAGGCATATGACGTCATTCAATCTCTCTACCTACCCGCCACCATGCCAAAGGTCAGTATTCCTCATTGCCCACGGTAAGACAGCCGTCGCTCACAAGCCGCAGATCACCACTCTCCTCTTCGACTGCGACAACACCCTCGTCCTCTCCGAGGTCCTCGCCTTCGCGGCCTGCGCCGAACTCGCCAACGAGATCCTCGCCGCGCACGGCATCTCCGACCGGTACACCGGCCACGCGCTCTTCACCGAGTTCGTGGGACAGAACTTCCGGGGGATGATGGCCTCGCTGCAGCAGAAATACGCGTTCGAGATCCCGCCGGACGAGTTCGCGGCGTACGTCGCGCGCGAGGAGGACCAGGTCGTGCGCAAGATCAACGCGGCCCTCGAGCCGTGCGTCGGCGCGGATGTGCAGATCGAGCGCCTCGCGCAGAGCGGGCGGTACGAGATGGCGGTGGTGAGCTCGAGCGCGGGGCGCCGCGTTGCGGCGAGCGTAGAGAAAGTGGGGTTCAGCCAGTACTTCCCGCTGGAGAAGATATTCAGCGCGGCGACGAGCTTGGAGAAACCGACGAGCAAACCGGATCCTGCGATCTACTTGCATGCTTGCAAGGTGCTGGGTAAAGAGCCGGCAGAGTGCGTCGCTGTGGAGGACAGCAAGAACGGGACTCTGAGTGCCGTCCGTGCTGGCATCCGGACGATCGGGTATGTCGGCAGCTCAGAGCCAGAGGTGCAGGAAGAGATGAAGAGCGTGCTGAAATCAGCCGGGGCCGATCCCGTCATGGTGGACTGGTCGGATTTCCCGACCTTACTGGCTGAAATAGAAGCGTCGTAGAATTTTAGACACCAAATCAAGCTAATGTACAGTGAATGTGATCTCAAGCGCGTTTGAAGGCGTCGAACTCATTCTCATTTGCAGTCATTTCGTCATTTACAGTCATTAAACGTCAAGGAAAGCAGCCCCGGTTCCCCAGACCGCCATCACAAGCGCAATCATCATTATCAGTCCATCGAACAGCCCGCAACGACGTTCGATCGACACTTTCGCGGCAATCGGCCCCAGTATGCAGAGCAGAAAGGCGGAAAACGATCCCAAAAAGGCCACTGTCGAGCCGATTCAGTACTCTGTTGGACTGGTGATAGCAAAGTACTCACTGGCAGCGCTGAATTCCGGAACGTAGATCGACACGACCACAGATGCCAAGGTCACCACGACCCGCTGCAGGACCCACAAGGTGTTTTTCAGGGATACCCGCGTCCCTTGGGGCGGCGCTGCGAGTTTCGCCGCGAGATCTTCCGGCGCTGTCAGCGGACGGTCGAGTCCGAGCAGAATACCGATCGCCGTGTTCAAGGGCTGGGTGTTGAGGGCGAATTTCGACAGCGGGCTGACAACGAGCATCCACAGAGCAGCCTGGTTCAGGACCACGTTGTACCCCGGGGTGGCGAGGAGGTCCATGCTGATCTGTTTGATGCATGATGAGCGAGGAAGGCACAGATAAGACGCGGCGGAGAACCGACCTCTTCGCTGACCGAGTTGCCGAACATCCGGTAACCAGCCCATGCGATCAGTGTGTAGATAGACGTCGCAACAAGCTGGAGCCACAGGTGAGGACAAGCGCGCCAACACGCCGGGATGGTCCACATACGAAAGCCCAGTTGATCATCTTGTCGAACTCGCTCGGGTCCATCATGTCTCGAGCAAGGGAGGGAATGACGGCATGGCCGGAGAACTAGAGAAGGCCCGTCAGATGATAACTCTGGATAGTCCGACAACCGACCGACCCCGGCCATGAACAACCCAAACGCAACTCCCAAACGACTGTAGTTGTCGATGCCGAATGATGTGTCAGCGGGCTCCCAGAGACTGCCCGGTGCCTCCGCCTTGGTAACGCCGTCGAGAAAAACCACAATGACCAGCAGAACACTGGACAGAATCCCGAAAATAGAAGTATAAGATAATAAAGATAGCGGCAAGAACACGGTTGGGATGAGACTCGAATAGAGATGTCAGTGGGAGGGAGAAACAGGATGCAGGAAAACGACGTACAGGAAAACCCCCCATAGCTTATAAGTGTTGGAGGAATACCGGGGTATCAACGAATTCAACGAGTCGGCGTACAGTGTTACCAGAATGACACTAACAGGCGCGCGTGAGATGGATCCGGAAGTGCAAGGGGCGAACAGCACACCTAACAGCGAACAGCTCCAGACAAAAGAGGATACTAATGAAAACGGTGGACTTTGGCCCAAAGGCCTTGCGACCGATGTCGGCGTACGACCGGAGTCGCGGATCGGAGAGAATAATTCTCGCGAGAATCTTTGCCCTGTCCGACCATCAGGATATCGCAGGTTATAGGCCTGGGGAAGAGACCCACGTATAGCAGCTGATGAAGCCGTAGAACACAACGAGCACGGTGCCCATCCCCCATCCGGCGTACGCAAAAGCTAAAGGCTCCGAGAGCATGCCAATGCCGAGAAGGATCGCGATAGAATTGAACAGCTGCGGAGCACATTAGCTCCGCGGCAGGCACAGAAGGAGCTTAGGAACGCACAGTCTGCCCGAAAGTGCTCTGTCCGGCGTATACTTGAACCTTGTTCCCGGCTCCCGACGCAGCTGACGACCGGCGGCGTAGCGCGGCGGGGTGGCCGGGAACGTCTTCGCGCCCCATCCCCGGCACGGTGAGAAGCCCGCTGTTGACCGCATCAGACTTGCGGCGGGGTTGCGGTAGGACGGCCGTGAACGATATTTTCTTCTGCAACAGGGGACTGCGTTCGTTGGTCCTCGGCGTCGGGGAAGCCAGGCGGCGTGTGAATGTGAGGTTGGGCCGCGAGAGGATGGGGGTTCCCACCGGCTCCGGCGGCGGCTGCTCCTCCCAGTCGAACAGGGCGTCGTCGTCCGGGCCTGCTGGGCGAGGTGTGGCCTCGCCGTCTCCCTCGTCTCCCTCTAGGAACGCGTCGTCGTCTTCAACGTCGGCGAAGCCCAGGGCGCTTTCCTCGTCAGTAGCGAATGGGTCGGAGTCGGAGGAGACCGAGGCAGTCGAACCGGCGACGAGATACTGAGCACGCCGGTCTATCTGTGCGTTAGAACGATGCGTGTACATTTGGGAAATGCCACGTACACGACGCGATAGCATCGCGGACGCTCTGGCCACTCGTCGCAGACCCAAACTGGAAGCTGGAGGGAAGACTCGTCATGGTAGCGACCAGAGGGATTTGGGCTAGCGAGGGTGACACTCCACCAAATCACCGGAAGATAGGCAGATAAGGAATCTGTCAGGCGTCCGAGGTGCTTCCAACTGCAAGGGCCCACCACCCGTTTGAAGATGGCAGTTTTCTCTTCGCCGGGTGACCGATTTGTGGGCTCATGCGCGCCATTAGCATTTCGTCGGATCTCGGAAGGTGAGGGCAGAGGGCAAGATCCGTTAGTGCGGACACTTCGCAATATGCGCGCTGCCATTTCGGGAACGCAGACGCGACACGTCCCCAAGCGCCTAGACCAGTCATGGAGATAGCTGGGATGTATTTACTACGAAGAGTACGGGATACAAGCAACCCCCCATGGATTCGCCCTCTAGCGTATATGTACGCCTGCAGTGCGCAGATCATGGCAGACCGTGCACAGCTTTGATGCTTGGGTCTCAACTCAACTGCTTTTGCCCGACCTTCTGTGGATTCCTCAGTCAGCTAGACGTCGTATTGGGTGGTTTCTGGTTCCTAGAGCTATAGGTACGAACCCATTGCACTTCGGCCAAATCCCCATCCCTCTGACGACTGATTCTCGTTCGACAGACTATCGTTCGAGCCACTGCTTCCGAGTCCATTCCTATAGACATTGCTACTGTTTCGACAGTTGCTGCTGGATACGGACTTCTCAAGTATTTCCATTGGATGCAGCATTCGAACGTCGAATGTTCCCGCTCTGACATGGCTTCGCTTCGGTCCACACCTTGTGCACAAGTGTGACTGCGGCGCTCACCTACAAAACCACCTCCCCTGCCAGACGAGAGCACTTATCGCTGGATTCCAAGATTCACATTGGGCGACTATGCTGACCACCCGTTCCAGAGCTTCGCCCCGGGAATCTTCCTCGCACGCGACCCGTCTTTTCTACATCTCATCAAGCGGGGGACGGATCACCCACATGGCACGAATACACGATACTGCCATAATCTGATTAATTTTGCTCTCGCAGGCCCAGGTGAGCCCTCCTGGTTGCGGCGTCCTTGTCGCGGCTGCAGTTGGCTGCTTGCTGCCAAGTCTGACTGGCTCCCTTTCATCGTGGGACTCAGGTAACGCTGGTTACTCTGGATGGTTCGACAGGCCCAAGACAATCTGTGCTAGTCTCGGATTTTATCGCGCAGTGATAGCTGCGTGGCTTGATCTAGAGGTCACTGTATTTTCACGTGACGTGACAAAGCGCGCCTCCAAACCGATTTCCGAGACTGGATCCCAAGTCTTGAACTACTTGACTTGCACTTCGACTAATTGGCATCTTCAGCCATCGAAGCTACGAAAAATTATGGATTCCATGTCGCTCCCGTTTCATCGTATCTAAAGTCTAGACAGTCACACCTTATCATTGGATCGCGCCAGGCCTCCAATTCATGTCTACACAATGGGGTCTGAAAGTCCGACTAGAAGCTCCAGTGCCAGCATTCGATAGCCATTCATACGCTCAGCTCACATCTCTCACAGAATACACTCCAGTCCACAACCCTTCGGAAGAAACCCCCCATACCCAGTTTGATGCCATTGGAACAAGAATTGCCGGTCAGAACAGGGAAGCTTCAGTAAACTGCTCAGATATTTGGCGATGGTATAAAGTGCATAAGGAAGAAGAACCAATTGCCCATCCCACTTCGCGACAGTCGAAAATCAGTCGGTTTTCGATGCGATCATATGGAGAACCTCCTGCCTGGTTGACACTTTCCTCTTTTGGACACCCGCGTTTCGACGCTGCGAGCGGCTGAGCGGGAGACTTGGACTGGACAGGAATAAGCAGAGGAACGTCTGGCGAAAATCGAGCGACAGGATAAGAAGCACGATAACCACCTATTACCCGTCGGTGTCAAGCGCCTCACGCATGCAGAATAAGGATAATTACGTCACTCGGATCATACGACTGTCCCGGACCGCGCGGGTACCACCCCAATCTCAACCAGTTACCACTACCATGAGGCTCCTGTTACCCCTGCTCTCCCTGAGCACCGCGCTTGCATTCCCGACTGGAGATCAGGTCGTCTTGAACTTGGGAACGGCGTCTGCATCCTCAGGGGAAGCCTACCATGCGGCGAACCTGTGGCTCGACGATACCAAGAAGGCCATCCTCGAAGGCAAGAAGAACATGGAGAAGTGGTTTCACGCTGGGAAAGAGTTCATCAAGCAGAACGGAATGTTGTGTGCGTAGCTGGTCCTCCTCCGTTGCGGGCCTCCGATGATCTAACGCGCGTGCAGATGAACTCGTCTCACACCCGTCGCTGGCCGAGCACCAGCTCCGAGTGACGGAACCGGATCTATGTGATTCTTCCGTGAAGCAGTACTCTGGGTATGTCCGTTCTCTTGATATTTTGCTTGTTAGGAGACTCACCATTGGGTTTAGATACCTAGACATCGCAGAGGACAAACACTTGTTCTTCTGGTCTGTGTGGTCGTGAACGTATTTCGGTCCGCATTCTCAGATTATACAGGTTCTTCGAGTCGCGTAACTCTCCCTCGACGGATCCGCTCGTTTTGTGGCTCAACGGAGGCCCGGGTAGGCTGGTCTCCCCTAAGATCCTGCTCACGTAAAGCTGACCGCAATTCCAGGCTGCAGCTCCTCCACCGGAATGCTTTTCGAGCTGGGTCCCTGCTCGATCGCTAGTAGCTCAAACACGACGTTCAACAAGCACAGTTGGACGGAGAGCGCCAATGTGATCGTGAGTATATTCACGACTGGGATCCCCCGGTGTCAGTATCTCAACCGATCCACGCTAGTTCCTTGACCAACCTGTCAATGTCGGGTTCTCGTACGCTGATGACTCAACGTCGGTCAACACCAGTCCGGTCGCCGGCCAGGATGTCTACGCCTTCCTCGAACTCTTCGTCACTCGCTACCCCAAGTACTCCAAGCTTCCGTTGCACATCAGCGGTGAAAGCTACGCAGGCACCTATGTATGCCAGTTCCGCTCTGAAAGGCCTTCCCGGAGAACTTATCGGAACTTCAGCTGCCGCATATCGCCAGTGCCATCTGGGAAGGAAACAAGCACGTCGCTCCTGGTTTGCTGAAGCTCAACTTTGAGTCGATTCTGATCGGCAACGGATTGACGAACCCGTGAGCCCTGTTGCCTTGGAGCCGACGCAGCGATTGACCGATGATCGCAGCTCTGTGCAATTCGGAACTGTGGCCGACTATGCTTGCAATGGGCCCTACCCCGTCTTTGACGAACCTGAAGGCGCCCAGTGCACTGCGCTGCGCACCAAGATCCCAACCTGTCAGCGACTGCTTGCGAATTGCGAACGATTCAACAGCAGATTCGTCTGCGCTCCGGCGTTGTTGTACTGCAACTCCCAGATCATGGGTCCCCCGATGCGTACGCACGACCTGCGACTGCACCGTGCTTATTCTCACCGGGCATCGCTCTAGAAACGGGTGTGAACCAATACGACGTGCGCCGCCAGTGCAATCCGGAAAAGAACGGGAAGCTCTGCTACGAAGAAATGGTCTGGGTCGAGTCGTGGATGAACCAGCCGAAGGTCAAGGCGAACCTCGGTGTCGACCCGGCGCTCGAGTTCCAGAGCTGCAACATGGATGTTCTGCAGTCTTTCACGTTCCAGGGCGACGGCGCGCACAACAGCGCCCCGTTGTTGACTGAGCTCATCAACGGTGGTGTGCGGCTGTTGATCTATGCTGGCAACGCAGGTGCGCGCTTTCGACCCCCCATTTCAGTCTCAGCCACAAACACGAGCGCTCCAGATCTGGCGTGCAACTTCATCGGCAATGAGCGCTGGCTCGAGGTGCTCGACTCGGATTTCCTGAAGGAATTCGGTGCGGCTAAGCCCGTTCCGTGGGTCACCGCCGATTCGAGCAAGCTTGCTGGGTCTGTTCGCAGTGCCGGAGGGAAGGGCTCCACCGCTGGCAATGTGACTTTTGTTACAGTTTTCGAGGCCGGGTCCGTCGCCCTCTTTCATCTCCTTTTCTGATCGCATGGCTGACTCTGTCCACAGTCACATGGTTCCTTTCGACCAACCGGAAGCTGCCTTGGTGAGTGCCACGCATGTGCGAGGTACCTGTCGCTCATCAATACACAGGATATGTTCACTCGCTGGATCACTAACGTCCCTCTTTCTTGAGTTATACATAAGGACTTATTTATCACTTCTCGCATTGTCATCTCAACACTGTGCAGTGTACTATACTACTCTCAATGAACGTTCCGAATATATGTGAAGCATCAGCGAGAAGGCATCCAAATCCTAGTGTTCATCGAACCAGGTCGTTTCGGACATTGTTTGACTGCTCTTACCAGTGACGTACTTGATTCCTTGGAATCACACCGAACATGCGACTCCATGCACTTGAGTTACCTCTAAGAACCTTTCTCAAGGCCTGCCATGTCCTCAAACCATCGCACTACCGCAGCAACCTTTCGCACTGAAGCATCGCTGGCACCCAATCGCAGGTCCGGCCGGAGACGTTGATCGTTCGGGGTATATGGCATGGTCCTATAGCATATCTGCATCTTCGGCTTCTGCCACGGAGATGCGGTGAGGGTGACGGTCGTCCCCGGCTCGAACGCGGCCAGCACATCTGAGGACATTGGTCAGGATCAGCGAGTAACACACAAACGAAAGGCTGCCATGTAGTACCAGTAAGCAGTAGTATGTCGCCGCGTTTGCAGCCGATTTCATCTCCCATCCCACCCCAGTCGTGCGCGACATCCCTCCAAGCAGTCAGCTTGCACATGTTTCCGTCTTCATCCCCCAGAATCATCTTGAGAACGGAACACTCTTGGCCTGCGTCCTTGCCTTTCTTCAGATATATCGTGTCGGGTCCGTCGACTTCAAGCGCGGCAAGGAGCAGCGTGACCTTCTTCGTACCCTTGACCGTGCTCCTTGTAAGCGCAGCTAGCGACGAGAGCGTGTGCATAGAAAAGTGGAAATTAGGAAACCGGGCGATCGAGGAGGCGTCGGAGTAGTTGAATGTCTGGCTCTCTTGCGTCTCTAGCTGAGTATCATACCGTGTGCTGTCGCCGCCCTGCGGCCGCGCCATGGATTTGGAAAGTTCCAGAAAGGACGGGATCGACTGTGCGTCGTGAGATTCCTGGGTGCCACCGTCTCCCTCGGCGGTGGGGGGCCAAGTGAAGAACGTCTTCTGTTCCTCTGATTCTTTCCTCTCAATCGGGTTCGGCAAGCTAAGCGGTAGCTGTTTTCACCTTCGTTCATTGTTCCCTCATCCTCGTCGTTTCGGAAGATCACGTTTTGATATATGAGCGATATTCGCCGACTCGCGGCTTCGAGAGTAGCTGGAGGAAAGGGAACAAAGTCGAGGTCTCTTTCGAGTGCTCCAGATTTTACCGTGCGCCAATGGTATTCGTTGACATCGCGGTCCAGCTCTGACGATTTGGGAGCACCCAAGAACACGAGCGTCGTCATGAAAGGAATATGAGCTCGTGACCGCGTTCCTCCCTGTCACAAGATCCACCTCGTCCGTACTCCCACCCTCTCAACCGATTGCAGCGTTACTTCGCTTCCGAGTAGCCTCGTGCCGAGCCGAAAGCCCATCCGCATGCCAACCTCATAATGAACTCCACCAATGACCCACCGCCGCCTGCCGTGGACAAGGGGAAGCGCCGGGCTGAAGAGCCCACCGAGCGCACCCCACTCTTAGGCTCAAACTCCTCGACACCTGCCGACGAAGAACCACCCCCCGCGGCCGTGCGGAGACGGCTCATCTCCAAGCTCACCCGCGTCTTCCTTCTCTCCCTCCTCGCGTGCATCGTGCTCTGCGCAGGCTGCGTCCTCCTCGCCTGGTCCTATGCCTCCCGTGCCTCGCATGTGTCCGGCGACGACATCCTCGAGGAAGGCATGACGCTCCTGGGCCCAGACCGGGTGGACGTGCTCAATGTCAGCCTGAGCGGAGGGCTCTGGGTGCGGGTCGAGGGCCGCATGGGGTTCGACGCGGGGTCCGTCATTGGCGTGAATCCGTCGCCGGACGACGACAACATCTTGCGCGCGTGGTGGAAGGCGATTGGGAGGTGGGGCGTCGGCCGCCTCGATCGTGTGTCGGTGAACATGAGCACCATCTCGATCGTCTCGCAGAGGGACCCGTCCCTCGTGCTAGCCACCATCGACTCACCCCCCGTCGTCGTTCCTTTGACGACGGACCCGCCGCCCGACATGACTTGGCTGACGAGAGTCGCTCTTCCGCTGTTTATACGTCCCTCGCGCAATGCTTCAGCCTTGGTTGACTTCTTGCGGCAATCTTGGAAGGACGGCACGGTGGCTGTTCGGGCTGATGTCGGGGCTGTAGATGTACATGGAGGAGCTTTGCAAGAATCGTCGTGGAGAAGCATCCTTCAGAAGCAACTCTCCAATCTGGAAACTTCCCTGACAATACCCAGTACGTCTCCGCCTGCAACTTTCTTTTTCCGCTGTGATTGACCAGGGCATAGTTCCGGCTCTTCCAGGGCTTCCACATCCGGGCAACCCGTTGTCACTTTCCGAGCTGATCACGCTGCAATCTTTCAGCGTCTCTTCGTCGCTGCAAACGCTTGATTTGACTGCATGCGCCACAGTGATCGACCCAGCGCCGATGTCTTTCAATATGACATCTCCATCGCTGCCGTTTACCATCTCCCTTCCCGCTGCAGAGCCTGTTCCCATCGCCTCAGTCCAGACCGAACCTTTCAGTCTCACTCATCCGAACATCACATTAAGCATATCAGGCACAGTACTGCCCATCTCCGCCGAATCTACGCCCCTCCTGTCTTCATTTCTGACCCGCTACCTCTCCGGTCTCCCGAACCCGATTGTCGCATCCACCGGTCTGATCCCCGGGCTGACTTTCGACCTCGACTTCCCAGCACCGAATCCGCGACCCCAAATACTGCGTGATGTGACAATCCACGATATGTCTATCAAGCCAGGCAGTCCCGCGTTCACTGCGAGTGGGACCGTTTACGCGAAGATCGTGCTACCCAAGGGCATGGACGTCGGCTTGCACGTGAGCAAGGTCCTGCCGGATGTGTACGTGTTCGATGGCGAGGTCCCCGACGATGTCAATTTGACGTTGCCCGATCCGTTGCCGGAGCACGCCTTTGGCCGTATACGACCGGAAGATTGGCTTCCAGCTCAGAGCGGGCCCGTTCCTCCAGCTGACGGCGAAGGGGCTGCTTTCGCTGTCACAGCGAAGATCGTCGACGTTCCGTTGGAGGTGCTTCCCGGACGCCAGAAGGAGTTCAGCAATTTTGTTTCCAAGGTCTGTGGGCGCATGTTCTTGTCGATGTTGATTCTCTGACTGACGTCTCCTGTAAGGTGATTTTTGGATCGGGAGGTGCTGTCGCTGGTCTGCTTGGCTCTGCCGCTGTTGGAGTCGAAGTTTCGGGACTGCCGTTTCCCGGGGATCGAGGCATGGAACTGGACGGTCTTCCGTTCCGTGGCAGTGTTCCAGTTGGCAAGAAGAGTTTTCTTCTGCCAGAGAGCGCCATATCTGATTGATTGATATGTATCTGTACCAATTTCACGTCTTTGCTTCTGTTGTCGGACTTGACTTGGCTTTCGGATAACACAGGCATGGAGGAGGAAGATATCACCGAAAAAGCACCTCCTTGTTGGACCATGTTGCTTGTTCTGGCTCATCAGAACCGTCACAAATCTGCATCAGACTTTCTATTGTACACATGCTCAACCCTCGGCCGGGCGCGGCGGATTGACCAGGATGGTCCCCACGCCTTCGACAGGGAGGTTAGTGCAGTCTTTATGGATCCCGAAATTGATTCGATTGTTGAGTGTTCTGGTGGCCCGGCCGAATCGTTTCGTAGCCAGAACAACTCGAATCTGTTCAACATGCAAGATACGGAGGGATTATATCAATGGCTGATCCAACTCCAATCCGAATGCACTTTTGTAACTGTAAATTGTTGTATGTGATTGTGTTTGACCCGGACCTTTGTAAGATCCAAGCCAAAGATCTACATGCACTCACTCTTTGCATGCCAACATCCGACTGCAGGCACTCATGTACATCACTGATCCGTGCTGCAGCGAGTACTGTGAGTAAATTCACAGTATCACGCTCAATCCAGTCGAAAATCCTGGGGCAGCGAAAGCAGGCTGTGGCCGTTGTCGCGAAAGCTTCCATTAGTGTATCAGCGAAAGTCCCTGTGGTAATGTACTGTAACGACCTGCCAACATATAGACTACCATTTAAAAAGATGTTTTCGAGCATAGTGCAGGACGCGAATAATGTCCTGCGAGATGCACAGGGGAATGACGATGGCCATGACAGGAAGAGCCACGATCCAGAAGCTGTTTGATGATATCTGAGCGAATCTGGTCTGCACAGGAAACGGATGAACGCACAAGAGATCCGAGTGTCCAGTCAGACTCCACATAACCTTGAAATTCATACCAAAGTACCCCGTGAGCAAAGTGAGCGGGAGGAAGATGATGGTCGCCAGCGTCAGTCGGCGCATGACTTCGTTCATTTCGTATGACGCCATCTGTTCCGCGTGAGTTCAACATGTCCAGCCAGAGAATGCAGTCGCCACTGACATTGAAGGTATATCCAATCAGATTCTCCCCGATGCCCGCGAACATCTCCAGACTGGTGAGGATGTACTCCATGTGGTCATGCACATCCGCGAGATAGATCTTGCTCTTGTGGCTCATGAATCCCTTCACCTTTTCTCCACCAGGAGTAATTTCCGTGACCAATGCGGCCGCCCGCTCGTCGTCGTATCGCCGAAGCCCATAGATCACAGTCTTGATCGGCTCCAGTGTTCGTTTATGCAGAATCAAGTCTCCGGAGAGGATGTGCAGGTTGCGCACCGTCGACATCTTGGGCTTGAGCAGGATCTCACGCTCAAACTTGCGGATTTTGACATGGTAGGCGTCAATGACCTCGAGACCCTTATCGACAATCAAGTCCACCAGACTCTGCACCAGCAACGACGAATCGGCCGACGAACGAAGCCCCGTATCGCGCTGCCGCAGCCGGCGCGTGATCGGGAGTGTCAGATCGACGGAAGGTGCGGAGTGCATCGAGATAACCGTGCCGTCGCGGAATAGGAACACGAACATAGGCGAAACTTTGACGTTGACGCGCTCGGTGCCGCCTTTGAGCGCCCGCAGTGCCGCTTCTTCTGATGTGCGCTGCTCTGCGTTGTCGTGGCGGATAGCGGATAGGTTCGACAGACGCGATTTAGGGCTGGTCAAGTGCGTGTCTTTTCGGGACGTCGGTAGCAACGGGTTGCGCTTGCGCGATCGACGCCGCATGGAGGGGTTGCGTAGCGTGGGAGCGTCGGGTCCGAAGTCGCCTTTGCCCAGCTCTTTCATCTCCAGTTCGTCGTCAGCGTCCGTGAATGGGATCGGAGAATCGGAGCGCGGTAAGTCCGTCAGCGTCGAGCCCTGCGCAGCAGAGGCCGACGACGACGGCGAAGAGTCGTCCACCAGTTCATGACAGAGGATCCGCAAAAATAAGTGTTTGACCTGTCGTCACATCGGTTGGGAATCCAGGTGTCGAATAACGGACACATACATAGTAATCCGCCTTGGACCGTGTCTGGCTCCTCGTCACGAAAACGTCCTCCAGCGCCAGTGGATGCAGTTCTACAACGACTATGAGTGCCCGAAATTCGTCGCTCCCGTCGCACCCCACTCACCATACCGCTCCGCGAGCGCCTTGACGACGTCCCAGCTAATCCCCCCAATATTGATCCACCGCACTTTAACCCACGACTCCCGCGCACACGCCCCGTCGTCCGCCATATACCGCACAAACTCGCGATTCGTCATCCGGCCAAACGAGGTGCGCGCGACCGAGTAGTCGACCACCTCGATAACGCAGTCCTCCTGGATGTGCCCGTACTGGGCCTGCGCCGAGGCGCGGCGCGGGTCGATACCGGGCTCCGCGCCGACCGAGCGGTGCTGGTGCTGGTTCTGGTGGTGGAACTGCGACACGGGCGAGCCGGGGCTGAGCACGGACGTCGAGCGATGCATGGCGATCACTTTGCGTGCGATGCCGCGGAAGCGGTCGAGAGGCGCCGGAGGCGGGGCAGAGGAGCTGAAGCCCGTGCCGTGTTTTCCGAGGCGGGACGACGACGAGGAGATGTCGTATTTCGGTGACGCGGGCTGTCCTTCGATCTCGAGGTCGGGGGTCAGTGAGCGACCGTCATCGCTGAAGCTGTTTTCCCGCGGCATCTTGGCCTACAGAGCCGTGTGGTGCGTAGTACGGTACACGGTGGGGGTATATGTAAGCGAGAGGGGTGGAAAGAGTGGCCGGGCGACAGGCAGAACAGCGTGGAGAAGGAGTGTGGGATGCATTGCGAGGGGGAAACGTTGTGATGGATATCACCGCATCAATTATCGACTGATCGGACAGCGAGCGCCCTTTAGCGGTGCCAGCGCCCCGGCTAGCGCATTGTGAGGCGTGTGTAGTCTACAGCGAATTACAAGCCCCAAACCAACGCTTTATACGATCGGTAGTTGCACATATGAAGCTCGGTCTGGTTGCGATAAGCTCAAGCATGAATTTCTTTGACAGTGTAGACTTGGGAGATCTCGAGAATCCCAGGAGATACATCACTTGCAGTAAAACCTTCAGGCGAAGCAAGCCTTTATAGTAGCCTTTTCATTTGTAGCAGTGGCTATCAAGTTGCATGCTGGGTAATGCTCTAATTCTGGAAACGGTCACGTGGCACTTGCCACTCTTGAAATGATAAATCTGTGAGTTACATTGGTGGTCATAGTGCTACTTGGTTGATATATCCAGGTACAGTGCGCCACTGTCTCGCCTCGACCTCAAAGCTCATGTGCGGACAGCGGTGGAAATGATTGAGGGCAAGCTGCTGATCGTTTGGACCACAACGCTGCGCCTTTTGTTTCTTGCTGAGACAGGGTCACCATGAGATTGAATGCGAGAACGTCCCACATCAAGAAGTACGTTTCTCTGACATTCTATCCGTTTCCGCCACCCTGAAGTGTCGCGTTGCCAACCCGGCAACACGTCCCCATGTCAAGTGTGCAGGTGTGTCCCACTGTTCTCGGCGCGCGGTATCTGGGACGAAGCTTGCTGACAGACACTCTCTCATCTGCTGTTATGTATCCATGATCCGGGGCTCTTGCTGCCAGAAACTTCAAGCATTGAAAGTGGAACCAAGAGAGACTCCAGACTCGAGATCTCATGTCGGACGTTGGGGGCGCAATAGTCGTGCGCACAGCCACTGATGGAATCAAAGCATGCACTTCGCGACCTCGTGACTTTCTCGTGACCGGTGTATTGTCGCATCCGCGCTTGTCTGGCTTCCCATGAGAACTGGGGGCGGACAGGTTGCTTCACGTGAACCGTTGGGCGCTGACCCCGAGCTGTGTCTGAGTTTGGCCGATCACGTCCTTGCTCGTGTGCTGAGACTCGACCAAAACTGATCCGCCGAAGCGTCGCTACATTCTCTGCGCTCCTTTACCTTCGACTATAAATACGGGACATCAGTGTGCAAAGAGAGCAGGTCTTCCGGTAGCACGGCTACAGACCCCGTATTTTTTCCCTTCTTTGATTAATCGTTCCTCATCCGATCGGCTGTGTCTTGGTTCGACTGTGACACCTGCACGCCGGTTACGCCTCGGTCCGACTCTGCAAAGCAAACGGGTGGAACTTGCTCCCAGTACCTGCCCCAACTGCGGATCTCGGACGACTCCTTACTCTCAAGACGCGATTGAAACCGTTCCGGACGTGTGTTTCCGCTTCCTTCACCGCCCAAGTACCATCAGCGACTAACCCTAACTCCCCAGGTTACGAAGCTTTTTCCCGTTTTGGCCGACTGGACACGCCTTCTTCGACCGCGGATTCAAATCGACTTGGGTTCTGGGGGATGCGCACACGCGCTCACACAATCTGCGTTGGCCCTGTGTTCCGGGAATGGCGCGCCCCGGCTCACTGGGCTCTCGTGGGGCGGGTGTTCGCCGTTGCGCAACATAAACGGGTCTAGCGAGCCCTGACTGGCTGGGGAGATGAGCACCCCGGCGGTCCGTGTCTACATGCATCTGCACGCGCTCAATGTGGGTTCAGGGGCAGTCGGTGGCGCGGGCTTTGTCACCCCGCGTCAGCGGCTGTCTGCTCCGGCTACAAACAATGCGAATCGAGCGTGCACGCATTACTTGGGTTCTGGGGGAGCTGTCGGGGCGGGCCTGCCACCCTGCACCGACAACTAATCGATTTGCGAGGGTGCACGCATTTCAACCTTTCTTTTCCCGGAGGAGAGCACATTCCCTTGTCGTGGGCTCCGGGCTTAGTGCATCTGCAACGCAGATGCCAACTAAACATGTGCTGAATTTGGTGTTGTGTGGGCTTAGCTTTGGACTCGAACTAGAGACCGACAGCCCAGCCTTGGGATGTTGGGCTCGAGGGCGTTTCCACCTCTGCAGTCGTGTGGGCGACAATTAAAGATCCCGCCGTGGACGCCTGTCACTCATATTATGGATGAGGCTCAAAACTTCAGCTTTGGCTCAGCACTACATAGACCAACCATGCAACAAGTCTACTTATTGGAATGTACAACAGATCATACTACTACACAGCTCAGGTTCTCAAGATACAATCCCTCACACACATCGCCACGCCGGACCTTCCCAAACACTCTTCATCGGATATCTGCAGTGCAACCGCGTCCTCTGGTAGTCCTCGCTGGTGCCAATGATCGTCTCCGGAGGCATGCCGCCCTCCACCCAGTCCACCATCGCCAGGATGATATGGTGCGAGCTCTTGTTGCGTTCTGATCCCGGCGCGGAGCCTCCAATCTGCCCAAAGTGCGACGTGCTGACGGGCGGGCCACCGGTGCAATGATCCATCCCCGGGATCAGGAACAGCCGATAGAACGAGTCCATCCCGTTGGAGGTCAGCCCGAGCGTCTTTGCAATGTGATTGTACATCCGCTTCGAGTTGCCAGACGGGATTTGCTAGACAAACGTCATCAACTGGCATGATGGCGAGCAGACTGAAAGCTTACTGCATCCATTCGGCCGTGGTATGTGATAAGCTTCCCTCCCCGATCTCGGAACGCCGAGAGATCCCCGTCGTAGGCAGCGACCCCTCCTGGGTTCACGAATTCCATCTGCCGCAGCTGCTCAGGTCCATACTCCGTAAAGTCGAATTCCGTCTCATTGAGCACCGTAAACTTGAGCCAGTCGCCGGGGTACAGCGGGAAGTCCGTCTGCGAATCGAGCAAGGGGATTCCCTGAGACATGGTCTCTGCCCCCGGGTCAAACCGCGGAAAAGTGTAGACACCGTCGACGTAGACAGGCGAGTAGATCTTCTTGAGCGCGTCGATCTGGGCTCGAGACAGACACCTGGAGGTCGTGCGTCTGGAACACGAGAGTGCACTTGGATCAAAGACACAGTCGTCGGGCTCTGTGATCACCCCGTCCCGCACACCGTCTAGATGGTCACACTGCCGCATTACCTCCTCCGAGATAATCACCCACTCCTCCGCAGAGATGGCCGCGGGGGAGTCGGCGTCGGGAATCCCAACCGCCCGCGCCATCATTCCCGTCCAGTACAGCAGCCGGTTGAAATCCGTCGCGGGCGCACCCGCCAGGATCCCATCAAAGTCCGCGGGGTATTTGATCGCGCTCTGCAGGCCCTGCCGCCCGCCCATCGAGCACCCGACCCAGTACGACTTGGTGTGCGGCCGCCCGTAGTACGCGCGCACGATCTGTTTCCCGACCACCGTCTGCACGTGCACCGCGCGGTGCCCGAAGTCGATCGTCGTCTCGGGCTGGTTCCAAAACGGGGCGGCGAAGTTCCCGTCGTGGCCCGCGTTGGAGCCCACGGTCGCGAAATGCATGGACGATCCGTACGTGAGGTCGATGAACGGGATACCTGCGGGGTTATTACTAGTATTAGACGCGCCAAGGATGCGCACAAGAAGCAGCTCACATCCTCCCAGGCCACCATTTCCGACACCCAGCACTCGCCCGTACCACGTCTCAGGCAACCATGCCTCGCCCTTGACTTCCGACCCCTCGCGGCTCGTCGAGATCGCGAATTGCACGCGGCAGAGCGGGGTCTCCGCCCACGAGCCCAGCTCGCCGCACGCGCCGACCGTGCTGACAGTGTCCCCCGGCTGGAGGAAGTCAGATCCGAGGATGGTGGTGTTCTCGATGCGCAGCGTATTCTTCAGCGCTCTGCATCTTGCTTCGGGGTCTGGGATGGCGTTGGGCAGCAGCTCGTCGGTAGGCGTGCTGTCGAGATAGAGACTGCGCGCCGTTCCAATGCCGGTGAGAAGTTGGAGAGCACCCAGGAACATGGTAAGGACATAGGGCTCGAGAGTCGATGGTCAGAGGGGCGATCGGAATGATCGGAACGACTCTCCGAGTCTGAACTGGCGAGTATATGACATGATTTCCTTCAGTGGCGCGTGTCTGCCCTGAAACTCGTCTGTTTGGCTTGATTCGGCCGAGTTGGATGAGCGTTCGCTGAAGGGTAAGGACAAAGCATATTTGATTGCGCATCACAAAACTTGCCTTGTGCTGACTGGTTTTAGTGGAGATCTGATTCGCCGTATCAGATATATAGCTCTCAGCACTCGCCGAAAATTCCCACCATATTAACATTACGTATGTGCGAGCGCACCAAGACGATGCTACCGCGAAATCCTATATGTATACTTACAACCATAAAATACGAACGCGAAAAGTCCACTGGTATTTCCTTCCATTCTCCTCACATTGTACCCCATTGGCCTTGCTGCTGGGGATAGCCCATCGGAGATGTAGCACCCATCCATTGCTGCTGCTGCTGCTGTGGTTGGAAAGGCTGCTGCATCCCACCAGCGTTGAACGGCTGCGGGGACGATCCCATGGGCATGAACTGACCAGGCTGGAATGGAGCAGCAGCAGCCGGTTGTTGCTGCATGAACGACGTGGGCTGCATCTGCAGGTGCGGGCTCGGCGATCCGAACTGATTCGGCGCCAGCATCTGCGGGCCGCCGAAGCCCGGCGTTGGAGTAAGCGACGGCGCCGGGGCAGGTGACTGGTACCCCATCGGGGCAGCCGGGTTCTGAGCCTGCTGCGGAATGGGCGACGGGGTGGTGCCCATACCAAACATCGGCTGCTGGGACGGGAATGCCTGGGGCTGCGGATTGAACAGTGGAGTGGACGCCTGCATTTGAGGTGCGAGCGTCGGCTGACCCGCGAAGGAGGGTGTGAATTGGGACATGGACGGTGCGAACTGCTGGACGGGCGCAAATGGCTGAGCAGATGGCGCAAACTGCGGAGCTGCCGCTGTGTATTGGGGCGTGAACGGGTTCATAGGCATGCTTAAACCTGTGGTGTTCATAGTCATCTGTGGTTGATATCCTGTCGAAGGCGGGGCCTGGAGCGATGGCTGGTACTGAAGCGGCAGAGACGATCCTGAACTCGACCCTTGCAGCGATATCAAGTCATTCCATACGCCTCCCGCAGGCGGTTGCTGCTGCATAGGCGCAGCCTGCATCATTTGTGGCACGGATTGCTGCATGGGAGCAGACGACAGAGGCTGGGAGAACGAACGCGCTGGTGGCAACATCGGGGCAGTCGTCGTCGGCGCAGCCGTGTTGGCACGAGCGGGGGGTGCCGGTGCGCTGGATGTGGATGCGTTGTTGGCGGCGGCGGGCTTCGCTGAACGAGGAGCGACAGAGGAAGCAGAGCGCGAGGGACCTAGTTTCGACGCCACAAAAGCAGACCGGTCCACGTAACTCTTGTATTCGTATTTAGCTGAAATGGTGTCAACGGCGGACGGTGGTAAGACGAAGCACACCACTCACATCGGATATATTGCTCCATTTCACTGTCGCGTTCCCCATCCATGAGATTCGGCGGCGGTGGATGTCGAGTCTCGTTGGGATTATACTGCTGATTCGACTTGATGTTGCCGTTCTGCCTCATCACCTGGGCACGATGAGCAAGCGTTCGTGTACGGATGACTTCAGCTGACCTCCAACTGCTCTTTCGTCCACGAATCCATCGTGACGCTCTTTCTACGAACCCAGGGTCAGAGGATTGCATGAAGGAACTCACGTATGCACGCACACTTTGGTGACATGAGTCCCGATCTTTCGATGCACACTCGCACAATTCACACTGGTACCAAATGAGCTTGGAACCAAATTCATGCTCGTTCGTACCATATGAATATCCCGAGGTTGTGAGATGCCCATCGCGGATTCTTCACCTTGCAGTCGGCGCAGACATCTGCGAGCGCGTTATGTCAGCCGGTTACGTCGACACGCGAATTTGAACTAGCCATTGCCCGGTTGCGCTGCTAGTTCGAGTAGAATTTTCTGGTTCCGTTCGGCGGTAATCTTATTGAGAGCCATGCTTGGCCCGCGGGCATAGAGGGTGTGAGAGCGAAGTTCTGTGGGGGTGACATCGGCTCGCGAGCCGACCAAGGCCGACACGCCGACGCGTCAAATATTTGATTTGACCGGGATGCCGCGATACCAAGTCTACCAGGCGCATTTTTGTACATCACAGCCTCTACTTGCAGTGTCCTGCATAGATGGTAATACAAATCGATATATAACGATTCAACACCTCTGGTGCTTTTCTGCGAACTCGACATAGGTATACCATGCGCCGCCAGCCAGGGTCAACGCGATGCCGAACGCATTCAGCCATGTAATCGTAAGATTGAAGAGCAGAACGGCAAAGACGATGGTCAGCACTTGCTTGACGTTCGCTGCAATACTTGCTCAGTGAATCGAATGTGTCATCATAGAGCCCCACATACCAGCGACAGTCATTCCAACGGCACCGACACGTCGATTGGCACTGAAGCTGACCACGTTGAGACCAAAAGCTAAGCACCCGTTCAGGAGCAGCGCGATCAGCTTCAGCGGCGAAAGAGAGTAGTTCACTACTTGAGAGAGCTCGCCGGTGACTTGCGCGAGACAAAGACACTGGACGCAGGCGATGGGAGATAACAGGTAGATCAGATCTAGTGGGCTGGTGAAAGTCGGTCGGGGGAGCGATGTCTGGGAGGCTGGCGTTTGTAGGACGTTGGTATAGATTGTCTTCAGGGCAGCCAATACAGCTCCGAACATTGTGAGGACGAAGCCGGCGTAAGTGAAGTAGTAGTCTCCGAATGTTCTGACACCAGGTAAGGTAACTCCACGAATGAGGAGGAAAAGACTCACGCAAGGCCGACGCCAGCGACTACAGGTAATAGAGACAGCTTCTTCCACCGGCTACTAGACCTCCCCAACAACACTGCAGAGAAGACCAGAGTAAAGATCGGAGTTGCTGCACGCACAACTTGGTGGAACTAGCAATGAAATCAGTTGCCTCTCCTACCAACTTTACAACGGGCGATGGCTCACAGGTACTGTAACTAGCTGGAGCGAGACATTACTGATAGCGATGTTGACGGCATAGAGTGCGCTGAAAGCTACAAGCACGATCGTCGCCGACGGATCCAGTCGGGAAGGCACAAAGTAGCCGTTCTTGGACAGTATGTAGCCCCCGATGGTTCCGAAGAAAGAGTGCAGAGCAGAAAGTGTGTATGGGAAAGGAAAGTGGACCAAAACACCCTTGTTATATAGTGTTAGTCCCAGATTGAAGCAGAAGTACATGGCAAGCCAGAAAGTAGGCGAGTCGTGGAAAGTGAGTGTGCGAATCAGCTTAGGCTCGCAGTTGGTAGACGCGAAAGGAGGGAGCCATAGTTCTGTCGGCGAAGGCGATATGGAACCGCTCCGGTTGGTTGCGATGGGATAAGGCTCGTGGTGAAATGCCCGCTGATATAGAAGTGCGCCCCCCGATAAACGTAAAGCTCTGCTGCGTTTTGTGGTCGTGGGCAAAGCGATGGGGTGTTCATTCTCTTTCTTGTATAAGTCCGTTTGCAGACTTATGCGATGAGCGCTGGGAAGAGTGGGAAATGGCGTGGACCCGATCTTGAGTGGTTGCATCGCTGCGTTGGCGCTATTGGAAGATAGAGCACGATCATTTATGTGGGAGCATGTGAGCGGGTCCGGTGGGAGCAAAGGCCGTATTCTTGGAAGATGCCGTGAAGCGCTAGAAGACATGATAGTTCAAGAATGTGCGGTAATTTGAGCAAGTCGTCGGCGTCGTGGCCCGATTTGGTCGCTAAGCGTGTTGCGTTGTCAGGGACTTGAAATTCGAGTTCAGAGCAACGAGAGTGGGGCGCGAGTGGGGTAAATTGCAGAAAGAACACGCGCGATCGACCGGGAGTTTCCGCGGCATCTGATCCAGCTTCAAGCCTAATAAAGGTACACAAGCAATATTGTCTTGTCTCAGGCATCCATCAGCCTGCTTTAGCGCGCCGGGCATCGTGCAGGAGGCAAATGTCTACGCGTCATCCGAGCCCTAGCTCTGTTCTCATACCGACGAATATCCGCAAGCGGGAAATTTCTGATGACGAGGACGGCCCAGACCAAAAGAAAATCAAGCTCAAATCCGAAAACACGCCCCAGCCCAAGGACAAAAAGAAGAGGAAGAAGAAGAAGAAGAAGACGCCAGTTGTTGGGCGCGGTGTGGGCGCGCTAACTGTTTCCGTCAGCGCGAGTGCCAACGAATCCGCTTCTGCCGTAAGCATCGTCCTATGGCCCCATTTGCCTCTCCATACCTCAACAGAGCCCTACTCGCGAGAAGAGGAGGACAGCAACGGCACCTCCGGGCCCACTCGTCAGTCCTCCAGAGACAGCCTTGGACCCCGAACCAGAAGCGGCACCGGACCCTTTCATTGAGACTGTAGCTAGTCCTCGCATCTTGGCTGCCACACTTGCCTCGGCAAAGCAGGATCTACATGCGCAATCCACAGTGCGTCGTAGCATCCTCTTTTCTGCTGGTCCGTCTGCTCATTTCTCCGCAGGCTTTGAAGAATCACGAAGATACACTGGGACAGCTGAACCAGTCCCTGACTTGCCAGATCTGCCTCGACCTTCTCCACAAGCCGTACGCACTAGCCCCATGCGGTCATGTTTCGTGCTACAACTGTCTGGTGGGATGGTTCACGAGCGAGCCCGACGATCACCACGACCGCTTTCTCGGTCCCCGGAAGAAGACATGCCCCATCTGTCGTGCCACAATCAAAGAGCGTCCTGTCGAGGTGTGGATAATCAAGAACATGGTTTCCACCCTCGTCAAATCGGGGCTTATCCCCGGCTTATCAGAGGTCCCGCCTCCCCCGCCGGCGCTCCCTGATGGCCCTGTTGCCGCGAACGAGCCGCCCGACTTGTGGCACAACATCTTTCGGCATGCACACCAGCATCCCATGTTCCATCCCCTAATGCCCAACGGCGAGCCACCCTCTGTGGAAGACATGGGCATGCTGGACATGGAGGATGGCGGGGTCTACCGATGCTTGGACTGCATGCACGAGATCTGGGACGGTGTTTGTACGTCCTGTCATCGTGTTTATCCTGGCCATCAACTTCCAGAGGACGACGATGACGACGACGAGGGCTTGTTCGATGGCAGTGATGGTGAAGATCCATGGCCCTTCCACATGATGCCTATCCACCCGGGCATCGACTACGACGGACCCATACAACTGCACCATCTCTGGGCCGACGGAGACGACGAGGACGACTTTGACAGCGATAGTGAGGCTGATTTGCACGCGTTCATCGATGATGAAGATGAGGACGAGGACGAATCGGACTCTAGCTCCGACCGCCCCGGAGGACCTCAGCGAGCGGCTGCGATCGTTGATATCTCCGATTCTGAATCGGACCTCGGGTATCAAGTACGGCACCCCCGACGCTTCATCAATTACATCCAGGATTCCGACGACGACGTCAGGCTACGGCCTTGGGAGCTTGACGCGTCATCCGGGGATGAGTCTAATCCTCCAGTGCAGTCATCTCGCAGCCGCTTTGTCGAATTGAACTCGGATGATGAAGAGGACAGCGGGGAAGAAAGTGACGGTAGTGCACTCCAATTGGTGTAAGGAATTGCTTTGCTCCATGCGCTGTCACCTTCTAATCCCCTTCTTTGCAGGATTTCGACACGAGGGAGACAGTCAGTTCCATCATCGCGTGAAACCATTCATCAGCTTATTCGTCTACAGTAATATGGTTGTCGTTGAAGACTCTGACGACTCTGACTCGGCATCGACCATTGCGCCAACGCGGTGAGTAGAATCGACATTGCGGCCTGACCAGAATACTAAAGATCTTCGCAGACGACGACGACCGGTGAACATCGAGAGCGACTCGGAAGAGTGAGTCTTTGGCAGATTGTGTCATTTCATGAACTGAACGCTTCGTAGATACACGTCAGCAGAGGATTCTCGCGTACATATCCACCTCGAGATTGAAGGCACAGACGATGATCGTGAAGACGATTATTACAGTGACGAGTCATACTAGTGGAAGGAGTGGCCCCAATCGTTGTAAATATATCAGCCGCATATTGTACATCTCATTCAGTATTCTAGATTCCTCTCCTCTTCTCGATGCACGTGCCTGCTGGCAAGAAAACGTGTTTGCAAGTGACGAGAGCAGATACATAAGAGTTGAGTTATTTACTACATATGAGCAGTTCCGTGTTCATGGAACATCGTGATTAATATGATACAACACCGGTCGCAACCGCGATGTTCCAGCCAATCATGACCAGCACAGAGAGAAATACGAAGCCGCACCAGTAGCAAAATGCGCGTCGGCATCGTTCAATCCAAGGATCAATAATGCGTAACGGTGACTCCCTGGCACGTTTCACTTCCTCGAAGCGGGAAAAGGTGGCATAGTCGATCCACGCATTCAGTCGACGAACAACGACAGCGAAGACGGATTGAGGGCTGGGAGCCCGCCCGCTCTCATCTAGGCGCGGAGCTGGCCTCGAGACAAAGGGGTAGTAATACGAGATACCGGTCAGCGACGCCGAGGTGTTGTTCGCCGCGACCCACCGCGGCAGCAACAGCGGTTTCTCCGGCTTCCGCTGCAACCTATTCCTCCTGCACAAGTTCGCGCGCCAGACGCCGCACGTGAGGTCGCCCCACCACCGCGTTTCGGTGACATAGTGCTCCCAGAGCGTGCGCTGCGGCGGGACCTCCGTGAAAAACAGGACGTAGTAGCCCCCGATCCACCAGCAGGGCGGGCAGAGGAACCCAAGACAGAAGAGAAACGCGGCAGGCGTGACGTGGTCGAACCAGTGCCGCGGTTTCCGGCGCAGACTGCTGTTGCCCGTGTTGGAGCCCATCGTCCCGCCGCGCTGCAGCTGCGCCTCGCCCATCGGCGAGCCCACTCGCGACGCCCGCAGAGTGCTGCTCGTGGCGACCGAGTATCGCACGACGGCCCGCTCGGGGGACTTGGGTGACGCCGCCTCGCGTGAGGCAGCCGTCACGAAGCTCTCCGCGTGCAGCGACCCCGTGCTACTGTTTGCGGCCGCGCTGTAGATCGTCTGGACCACTCTCGGAGGACGTCGAGGGGGCCCATCTCCCTCCTGGAAAGGATGGGGACCCGGAAAGTACGGAGCGAAATTCAGCGGAGGGAGTGCAGGCGGATCGCTGATCGAGCGGTGAATGAATGCCGCCCGGGCCACCGGTGTGGGTCCTAACGAGGGTCAGATGGTCAGAGTGGGAGAGTAGCGGAACTCGAACGGACGAGGCAAATCCAGGGGTGAGATATCTCCCACGGGGCTGGTAGCCCGCAGGGACATCGGGGAAGCGTAGCTGTGCTCTTGGATCGGAGAGAGTGGTCGGCGTGCAGTATCGATATGGAGTGGAGAGTGCGAATATGACCGCGCGGCTGGTGGGGCCGAGAAATGAGCTGTGATGCGTTCCCCAACACTGCTACCGATCACAGGCGAAGCCGCCATCGGCGGGCTCGAAGGCGTTGGAAGAGAATACGAGCGGATGAGGGGATACGTAGACGGCCGGACCTCAGCTGTTCTTGTCGCAGGGCCCGTCACAGTCCCGGACCGATTGTGAAGGGAGCTGCTGGTCAGAGACCGCCTTGTGTACTCCACTGGAGCCAGGCACTCGAAGCGGCGTGGGATCGAGAGCAACACGGGGACACCGATGCTGGCTTTCTCTACTTTGCGGCGCCGCCGTTCGATCGTCGGCAGCGGGAGCGCAGTGAGCAGGTCGGGGGAGTCATCTGAACGGCGAGATCGCCACAGGGAGGAGAACGGAGGCATAGTGGGAAAGTGGGAACGAGCAGTCCAGGCGGATGTTATATAGCAAGGCCTTGGTTGCCCACTCCGTGGACGCAGTCACAGCACGCCCGTGTCGTACACATTTGATACAGCCATGATGCGACGACTAGAAAGCTCCAATGAATCGTACGTTCCGTCTGTGTTCAGCAGGAATCCGACCGTTTACTCGCAAAAGATCGACGAGAACACCCTCCTTAGACAACGCCCCGAGCCCGACCTCTTTCATCGGCCTATTCCATCCCCATGACCTAGGCATTGCCAGTAGCCGGTCAAGATTCGGACTGTTTCAGGTGTATAGACTTCTTGGAAGCATGCTGGAAAAACGAGGCAGCTTCAAGGCTGTGAGGAGACGAGGGATCATTGATCTGGAGACTGATCTTTTTTTTTTTTTTGGTGGGACGTTGAGAATACTGAGCGTCCAACATAGTCGTACGCTCAGCATCCGTCGGTTTTGAGGCCGAGGATTAAGAACCTAGCCAGACTGAGGAATAACCACGCGAGGAAATGCGCTTAGTAACCGCCTGTTACCCGCACGATACACCCGGTTTCCCGCGGTGCCATGTGTGGGGATTCGATTTTCGGCTCCGGATGTCGACATTCATCGACTCCATCATCGCGGTCATCCGATACCCACTAAAACCCCGCCTCCCATGGTCCAGTTATCTGGGAGATGCTCCTCGTTTTCAAGGGTCTTTGCCCACGTCTTCCTGACCAGGGAAGATCGGATTGATTTCTTTCCGTATTTTGCTGTGTTTGTCATCATGCAGTCTATCAGCAGTCTCGTCCTTATCGCTTTCTTCCATCTGTTCTCTACTTCTTGAACAGAGGCATTGCCCTTCTCTTGTATAACGCGTTCGCATCTTATCCTCCATATCATATGGGCTGATTCCGATACTATTATGCGGAAGAGTCTCGACATTCCTGCGTTTGCCTGTTGGATGGCTCCGCATGCCATCACCATTCCTAAGCTTGGGTGCAGGTCTGTGTCCGTCTTTCTTCTCCATATCTCGTTCGCTAGTTTCCAGATCTGGGCCTGTCCCGTTGCTTCACACTTCATCAGTATGTGGTCCATTGTTTCTATGACTTCTTCACCGCAGTGTTTGCAGTGAGCCTTTTCTTCGTGTCCCGGGATTCTCGACCAGTGTGTTCCGACTTTATATCCATCGTGTATCAGCATCCATGTGAAGTATCGGATACTTCGCGAGAAGTCTTTGTGTTGGATGGCTGCCCATATTTGGGCTTCAGTCGCCGCTCCTTTTGGGTCGTTTCCCTCTTCCTCTGTTGCTTGCTGTGCTATTTCTATGTTCCTTCTTGTTGCTCTTCGGTCTAGTGCGTCCTGATATTTGTCGTTCTTCATCTTAAGTTTCCTGATGATTTTGTATGCCACCGATTGTGTCATGGCACGCAGTTTCGCTCCTGGGAGGATGAGCGATCTGTCGACTTGGGTATCTATGATGTCGGGTTGGCTCTTCTGTCTGCCCTCGTTTGCTAGCTTATCTGCTTCCTCATTTCCGTGTATTCCCGCATGGCCCTTGACCCATGTTAATCTTGTACGTGCTCTTCGATTTCGTATCTTCGTGATGGTCAGTTTTGCTAGGTCTCCGTTCGCCGCCAGGAAGAAGCCTTGGTCTTCCCATTTTTGGAGACTTTTGGTGAGTCCATTTACGCAGTACATTGAGTCCGTTTTGATGTGTATTGGTGCTCCTGGTGGGCAGATCTCTATTGTCTCTTTAATCGCTAGCATTTCCGCTATTTGGTTGGATGGGCCGAGTTCGTTCGGGACTTTTATTGCTTTGTTTTCTCGGTCGTCGTCTTCGAAGTAGATCCCTGCTCCTGCTTCGGTTCCTTCCCTGCCGTTCTTTGTCGCTGACCCGTCTGTGTAGGCTTCGAGTTCTATTGTTTCTTTGTCGGGGTTCTCTGCGTGTTCGCGGCTCGGTGCTGTTCGGCTGTGGTTGGTTTCCTCTTCCGTGAAGATTCTAAATACGTCTGCGATGTTGCCCGTTGTTGTGACTCTTTGGTCTATGTCAATCGTTCGTTCCCCTGCTGCTTCTGTTTCTTTCGGTGTCATCTTGTGTTCGTAATCTTCTGGTTGCCTTTTCCTGGGGTCCCATTTCTCGTCGAGTGAGTCTAGCATGTCTCGTGCCTTTTGGTAGCATGCGTGTGGATGCCTGCAGTGCGTTATTGTTTTGGTTATTGTGCATGCGTTGCAGCGGCATGTTCTGGATGCTTTGTGTCGGGTGGTTCCTATTTTTTGGGACAGTAGGACTGCGTCGTTCACTGTTATCATTTTATGGTTCTCCTTGAGGCATCTTATGGTTTCTTTTTTGAATATCCACATCCTCCATTGGGCGTTGGACTTGGTGTGATTCCAGATTACCATCTCGCTTTGGATTTTCCGCGATACTGCTATTGCTTCGATCGCTACCCCGTGTTTCTTTCCGGCTTTGGTCATACGTGCTAGGTCCGTTCCTATCTCTTTTGTGGTTACTTTGTGTTTCCAGTCCTGAAGGTATGAATTTAGGCGGACACTGAGTTCGACATTGTTCCCTTCAGAGGACATTTTGTTGGCAAATATCTCGTCTGCTACAAAACACCACAGTGGTCTGTCGGGTCCGAAGTCTAGGTATGTTTTTAACCACATGATAGCTATTGCTTCGTTTCTCGCTACTATATCGAGCAGGTCTCTTCCTCCCATCTCTGTTGGGGCATACACCGTTTCTTGGTTGATTGTAACTCTCTCTTTTTCCGCCCATATGAACTTTCTAATCCTTCTTTCTAGCCGGTTTTCAATTTCTTTCGGCATTCCCTGTACTGTTGCTAGGTATTGTGACATTCCTCCTACAACCATAAGGATGATGAGCCTGCGGCCTGCCATGGAGGGTTTTCCTTGTTCCCATCTGTCCAGGGCTTCGTCGATTTTCTCGAGGGTGCGTGTCCATGTGTCTACTTGCTGTACGTGGTTCCCAATCCATGCTCCGAGGCACCTTACTGGCTCGCCCTCTTTTGCAACTGGAGACTGATCTTGACAGGTTGTCTGAGACTGTTCTTTCAATCGCTCGATTTCTTGTTTGCTGACGTGTCTCCTCTCTCGCTGGTTTTTGCGTGTAGCTAGGTTTGGGGGGCGGGGCAGGACGGAACCGAGCGTCGAGTCTGTCTGATCGATGCTGGACCGGGATTTACCGGTCAGCGCGCTGTGGCCTTGGACTTTCGGCCTACGAGCTGGACTATGCGATGACGCGTTGTATCCGGCCGACCCGGGGAAGACTTTTGCGGCTGATCCCCTCATGGAGCTTGTCGCGACCCAGCCGCAAACCAGGCTGCCCCCCTACGGAGCGACATGCAGCAGATGAGAAATTACATAGCTAGTGGGTATTTGTCTTTGAGTTCCTCTGCGTGTAGTGGAGCTAATATCTCTAGCCTTCTCCAGTACTCTTTGAACGCGTCTGATTTCCATCGTCCCATCGCTTGTACCACTGCTGGGTCGACTCCTGTTATAAGGAGGTGTGTCGTACCTCCGATTCTGAAGCTATGGCCCGTTATCCGGTCGATTTTGTGTCTCGACCATATCTCGTTGCACCGTTTCATGAAATCGACTCTTCGAAGGCATTGTATGAAGCCGTTATATGTCCGGAAAGTGAAGAGTGGTGCGTCTGGGGGTAGGTTGTTCGTGTATAGGTGGTTCTCGATCGCTGCTATGGGGTCCGTGCGCGAGTTTTGTCGACATATCATGATCGTTTCGCCTTTCTTGCCTTGCGTTTTTGTTCGGGGAAGGAATAGCGCCCTCGATCCTGCTTGTGTGGTTGGCTGCCCGAGGTGTTTGAGTTGTGGAATCGTGTTCTCGGTGAAGTATGATTGCGTCTCGGAGAATATCTCGCCGAGTCTGATTTGACCCCAAAAGGCTGTGGTCGCTGCTGCTAGTATTGCTGCGTCTTTCGGGTCATTTGGGTTCAGGTCTGTTGCTAGTAGTGTGAGCATATGTTTTGTAACGGGAGGGCGTTGAGATTTTCGCGACGTATCGGGGGTGAGATTCTCGACTCCTTTCAGTATGTAGTCCAGACGAGTGTTTCCTCTCCATGGTGCGTCGTTGACAATATGCCACGCTTTGAGTGCTGCTATTGATCCTCTCGCTGTGCCTCCTGCTACCTCTCCCGCTCTGGTTGCTGCGAAGGCTTGGAGGACGTGTTCGGTAGCTGGTAATCTGTCTTCGATTGGTATGTCTCGCTCGTTGCACCATTGCCAGAAAGTGTTCGTTATAGGGCCGTACTTCCCTAGAGTCGAGTCTGCCCAGGCATGACTTAGCGCCCATGCGATCTTCTGTGTTTCGTTCTTTGGGATAGGTCGCCTGCCGTGATCTGCCGCTACGTAGTTCGATGTTCGTATATCGAAGAGGTACGCTCGTCCTCTCGAGACTTGGCTTGTCTTCTTCGTGCGTGGCATGGTAAGAGGAGGTTATTCGCTTATGTCATCTATTTCCGCTGCTTAAGTTATTTTGTTGTCTTCGCTACATGTTAACTAGTTGTATACTATCTGCTAGGTGCAGAGGTAGTTCAGGAATGTGGGATGTAAAGAATGATTCTTTGCTGCTGAGTACTCCTCTCGATGGGTCGTCTGCTGGATTGTCCTTCGATGCAATCCATTCTATTGTGAAATTTAGCTCGAATTTCTCGAAAAGTTCTAGGATGTGCTGTAGGATATTGTTCTCTTCGGTGTTGTAAGATTTGCCTGCTGCTAAGGCGCCTACCACTCCTTGGTTGTCAGATCTCAGCTTGTAGTGTTTTCTTCGAGCGCCTTGTGATGTGATTGTTCTTGCTGCTAACTCGACTGCGACCATTTCTCCCCATCCAATGTTCCTTCCTGCTCGCTTCCATCCCTCCTTGTACTTCCACGCTAGCCATCTCCCTCCTGTCACCAAGCCTATACCCCATGAGGTTGACGCGTCGACAAAGATTTCATCGTGTTCGAGTGGAAGTTCGGGTTTGATGGTTCTCGAAAGTACTGGTTTTCCGATTTGTTTTCGCCACCAATGTATATCGTTTGCTGTTGCTTCGGGGAGGTTGTGCCTGATGGACGGTGATGCTAGTTGGTTAAAAGCTGCTACGAAGCGGTAGATGGAGACGAGTCGCGATCGGCCTTTTGTTACCACAAGTGCACAATGGTTAAGGACTCCCACTATATTTTCTGCTTCCTTCCTCGTCGCTTTGAAGCCTACGATCCATGGTTCCAGTTTCTTCAGATACTTTTGTTTTTTCTTCTCCGGAATCGTCACTTCTTTTGTTTTGAGGTTCCAGTCAAAGCCATTGTACGTGAAAGTGTGCGCAAATGGTGTATGTTTTTTGGGTTCCCAGGGCCATCCCAAGTCGTCCGCCAGCTCGGTGAAAAGTTTCTCATCGTAACTGTACATTGCTGTGCCGTTCTCGTTGATAGATTTTGGGTAGCGAAAGAATACGAAGTCGTCGACCCACTTTAGGATGTCTTCGACTTCCATGTATTTGAGCAGTTCCACTAGCAGGTCGGCTAGTCGGCCGAAGACTCCTGGTGAGCTCGTTGCCCCGAACGAGAATACTTGATCTAGATGTACTCGGTTGTTCCAGTGGATTGCTAGTTTGAGTCGGTCTTCTGGCCTGGGCGATTGTTAGTTAGTGTGTTCGCGGGCTGTTTGTACTAACCGTGTTGGGATAATCCTAAATGCGCTTTTCACGTCAAAAACGGACGCTTGTGCTCCCGACGGTGCTTTTGCTACGATGTGGCTGCAGTCGTTGAATGATCCCCAGCTGCATGGGAAGTCGAGTTTGTTAATAGTAGCGTTTATAGATGTGAACGAAGAGTTGCGTGGGTATGAGTGATGATTGAACATCCTCCATTTGCCGTTTGGTGGATCACGTTGGATGCAGCCTACTGGGGAGCATCGTATGAAGCCCACCATCTTTTCTAGTTCGTGGAGCTCGTAGCCTTTTGAGATGTGTCCATTGTTGATTTCGTTCTCGAGGTATGTGTTAATGATTTCTGGGCTGTTGCTCATCAGGGTCGTTTATTCATTGTAATTAATGTACACACTGTTCGATCGCTGATGCTAGGTTGTTGGGAATGAAAGAACGTTCGAGTGGAGTGTCGTTTGTAATGCCGTGTGTGAAGCCATGTCGAATGCTGTCTGGGATGTCTGCGTACCGATCTGCCAGACCCGCTTTACTAATCCAATGTTCCCATCGGTCAGCTCGTAGCGGTGTGATTATCGGAAAGAGTTCAGGCCTTGGTGCACTTCTGAGCTGAGTGGCCCGTTGCGCCGTTGTCCTTGAATCCGTCGCCGCAGAGAGTGCAGCAGTGAATGAATCTTGTGCAGTTTCTTGAACAGCCTTCTGGATCGTTGAAAGCCCAGCAGGGATAGACGTTCTTTCCGCTCGGGCATTCCTCTGGTGCTTTATGCCGGATGGAGCCTTGCGAGACGTATGTTTCGAGCCACGGTCCGTCATTGGTACATACGTCTCCGTGGTGTTGTCCTCTTGCGCCGCACCTTGAGCATCGCTCTTGCGGTCCGACCATCGTACGTTTTTGCCGGGTTCTTCGCTCTGTCTGGTTCTCGCTTCCTTGTCGGTTGGTTGCTTGTGTTGCGGTGGTTGATGTGTCTGTAATCCGAAACAGTTGGTCTTGATTGTTGCGAAAGGAATGACCGTAGTTGCTGCGAAAGGGGTTGTCGTGATTGTTGCGAAAGGATTGAGCTTGTTGACGTTGTAGGTTGTGTACTAGATTTGTGAGGTCGGCGACCGTTTTTGCGTCATCTGATCTCTCTGCTGCTCTGTACCGTTCGTCGCACCAGATCCCAGTCTCCATGTCTCTCGTGATGCGGAACTCTTGCTCTCCTCGGTTGAAGGTATTGATGATCCGATTGACGGTGGCTTGGTCTTGGTTACGGATTTGGCGAATGGCCTCGCATACGGCTTCCAGCATGTTGACAATGCTTGGTGCTTCGACGACTGGCTCGTAGTAGCCCCACGTTGCGTTCTTGAGTTCTTGCAGGTTGTTTTGGATTCTGTATAGCGTGAATCCTGCTGCCGTTTCTGTTGGTGGTTCGCGTGCCGTCTCGTCGCCAAATTCGAATGTGATGCTCGTTTTTGGCTTTCGTCCTCGTAGATGGGCTTGGTCAGTGTACAGTATGCCGTCGATGCGAATTTGGGATGACCAGCCTTGTTTGAGGCTGTTTATTACGCTGCTATCCACATCTCTGCACTTTTTCCGCTCGTTTAGGCGCCAAGGGGGTTGGATATCTTGTTGTCTGCCAGCTCGGCGTTGTGTAGGGCGGTATATCGGTATCTCCATTTCTTCCCCGCCTGCATTGATGCAGATCCTCCCTTCCGCCTCCCGGAACGCCTCTCCTTGACCGTACTGTGGCTGGTATACCGGTTGCGGTTGGATCCATTGGGCTGGCTGGGCCATCGCAACCGGTTGCTGGTAGTACTGGTTGCCGCCGGGCTGGCGCGGGCTTGCCTGCGGGAGGGCTGCTTGCTGGATTGGGTTCATTTGCGCTCGGACTGGTTGGTGGGGAGTCGTTCTTTGCGCTGGTGTTCCTACTCCCGGCGGTCGTTGGATCGTGTGGTAGATGGGATGGGGGGGAGGACCCATTTGTCCTCGTGTGAGGTTCGTGAAGCCTGCCGGTGTCAGCCTTTGGTTATACGCTTGGAATGCCCTCTCGGCTGGGGTGGCTGGGATGTTTGCTGCTACCGCGTGAGCGTAGGTTCTGCCGATTGGTCTCAGCGATGCTGGGGTGATGGGAATCGGTGACGGTAAAAGTTGCATTTGAACTGTGTGTTCGTCAGTAGGTGGTCTGGGTTGGTCTGTTTCGAGAATCCAATCATGTGCGATTGGTGTTTAGGGGCTGTCGACCATGTGCGATCGCTCAGCCCTGGTGTGTGTGTGTGTGTGTGTGCGTCTGAGCGTATGCTTGTGCGCATGCTTCCGACTTTGTGTAGATGTTAAATTTGCTTACCGTATTCGCCTTTGTCTCCCGTTGCTCCTCTGGATGTGCTTCTCGCGGTGTCTACCCAGTGATCTACCTCCATTGGTTGGGGTACCAATGGTGAGCGAGCCGATGAGGGGGCTTTTGAGCTGTGACTTGCTCGTGTCGTTTGGGATACAATCGATAGGTCCGTAAGGGCTGGTTGGTTGGATGCTTGTGGTGGTTGCGTCAGCGAGCTGCTGTCCGTTGGGGCAACACCTGTGAATGAGACCCGTCTGGCCACGCTCTGACCGCGCGTGTTTGAAGGTCCGGCTGAGGCGTTCCTGTGGCCCTTAGTGACTTTCGGCGTGTTCGCTTTGGGCTGTTTGGCTTTCCGTTGTGCTGAGCCTGGCGTGCGCGTCTTGCGTTTGCGGCTGTACATAGGTGGTATTTCTTGTGGTGGACCCGGCGTGGTTGGGACGACTGGGTCGTTCGATGATGGTCTTGTATGCGTATATGCGTCTTCGTTCGTGCCGTTGACTTGGGCCGTTTGGCTCGCTGCCGTATCCGGTTGTTGTTCGTAGCCAGCGAGTGTGTCTTCGGTCATTTCGCGCGTCCTGAATTGAAACGGTTGGCCTCTGGATTGGGCGAGTGCCGCCATGTATGCGCCTTCGTGCGTGTCCTTTGGGACCGCCATGCCCAGGCGAGGAAAAAGATTATATGCGCTCGCTGGTGAGCCGTTTGGGATCTGCTCCATGAGTTGGGTTTCGTTCATGATGTAGGGCGAGGATTCTGGGAAGTACGTGGCGCGCTCTTTGCCTTTGTCCTCCGTCAGGATGCGGCTGTCCGAGATGTCTGAGAGAGGGGATGTCGGTTGGCCGCTGAGCGCGCTAGCCGGTGTCTGGAGTATGCTCGGGCTTTGGTTCGTCAGCGCCGGCTGTGCTGCTGTGGCCTGGCGCGTCGCTGCCTGCTTCTCCGTTCTCTCTTTCTCTATTCTCTCTTTCTCCTTCTCCTTTGCGGCCTTCTGCATCGCCGCTGCTTCCTTCTTTGCTCTTTTCTCCGCTTCTCGCAGTGCTTCTTGGATTTCTCTCTCTGCTTTCTCTCTCTCCGAGCGGTCTTTCTTCTCGGCTATGGCCGCTTGGCGTGATGAGGTGCGTTTCATTTTCTGTGTGGGTGGGCTCGGAGATGTCGGACTGACTCGAGTGCAGACAGGCAGATGTATGCGATTGCTAAAGCAGCGCAGCTTGCCTGTGTTGCCCTCGGTCCGTCCGAATCGTCACGTGATCACAAACAAGAAACCCCGTTTTCGGTGCTCGTTTCTCCGCCCGAAACTCCATGTACAATGGTAAAATACATACATTAATACATCCATCCATCCATCCATACGACTATGATACATACCTATGATAAGACTACCTACGATGGGAGAGACACATAATCTATACATCAGATCTCTCAGGTTCCACAGAATCCTTGCGCACAAGGAGAGACAGCCATGGCCGCCGACGCTTGTTAGGCGCCTCCAGCTCCACAGTGTGGCTCTGAATACTTGGAGGAGACTCAGCTAAAACTACTGTAGAGGGTGGAAGCGAGCCTAGCTCTACAGCAGATTCCTCGTCAGCCTGGGACCACGAAGGCCATATAATCGTCGGGATGGAAATCTTCGGGATGGAGAGCGTGAGTATAGAGCCCCGGCGAGAATCGGCAAGATGTAATATCCCGAAGCTGACGACGAGCAGCGCGAACGCAGCGACGAATGCGCGAGTGAGGCTATTCGTGTACCGGAAACACATGGAGAGGAACGCAGCCAGAAATGCGAGCATTCTATCAAGTGTTTATCATTCGAATACAGAGACTTGCACGCGACTTACGACCAGATGAGCAAAGCGTAAGGCAGAGAGTAGACGACGGCCAGAGTCTCCATGCCGAGTCTGCGGCGGTTGTACTTGAAAAAGAAACTGTCCTGGTGGTCATTGAGCGTCGGAAGACCAAATGGTCAAGGCGACTGACAGATTTAATACTCCCGACACCGCTGCGATTGCGATTCTGTTTCACCAACAGCAGTCCGAAGATGATTGCACCGACGCTGGTGAATATGGAGCAGTAGCTGGCTAACTGGGTCGGTGTTCTGCTGCTGACAGTGGATCCCCCATTGTCCACACTCTGGATGGCGAGGAATGCGACATTTGCATTCAGGATCACCGTAGCCTAGATCTAGTGTCAGTATCGGGAGCATCCAGAAGCGTAGTCGGCCTACATTCAGAGTAAAGTCCTGCCAGTCTTTCAACAATCGCGAGATGAACTGGGTCCAGCCATGCTCTCTGATCACCCCGTCGGTATATAGGACCTCCAGACCGTCGAGATGGAAATACGGCGCGAAGAACAGCAGCGGAGAGAGGATTGAGATGAACCAGGACCGCTTTCTTTGCTGGTCATACACAGCTTGATCCGAGCACAGTCGAGCCGCAGGTTCTCCGTGAAGGTTTAAAACGCGATGGTGTACTGTGGGCGAGTGTCAAAAGATGCGCCGAGATTCTGGTCTTGGCACTGACCAGACATGTACATGAGCCGTGCTGAATGGGGTTCAGGGAAGGATGAGTTGAATTGCTGGAGCGAGACGCGGTGCAACTGCCACGGACCGATTGTAGCGTTGATGCCAGGTGTTCGAGTGATCGCAGTAGTCCCAGGTCTGAAATTTTCTGCAACAGAGAATCAGAGAGCTTGCCAGGACCAGGTATGAAGACTCACGAGTCATGCTATCGACCATGCTCTGGAAATGGGATATCTCATCGATTGACCAGCTCACGGTAGAATTGGACGAGGTGAGAAGATCTTCTAGCAGTGAGGTGACGAGACAGAGCGAAACGATCGAGACGCTTACCACCACGAGAATAGACCAGAGTATCCCTCAGCTCGTCAACGATCTCAGTTGTCGTCTTCATTGCATGTGGATACAGTTCGCAATGACGCCTGCATTGAGTCAGCTTCAGGTCTCGCGATCGGCCACCTCCGTTTTACCAATATTGCGCCTCCAGTTCCAGTCCTGTGAAACACCTGGTGAATAGACGTTCATTTCAGTTTGAGACCACGCACGGAGGATCGAGGAAGACGACATTCCGTCCACCTTCGTTCCAATGTCAAATATTTCGGTGCTGTCCACCTCCTCCAGCCAAAACACAGAACGTTCCTCGTGGTTGACCAGGTAATACTGGCAGCCCTTAGAGTCGTCTGAGAAAAAGTAGTCGTCCAGCACAAGCTCCATGCCGTCAATCAGTTCGACGTCAAGAATTCTCATCGCGTCAACGATCTTGTCGAGATATCGTTGGATATCCTCGAGCTTGGATTGTTCGAAGACATTCAGGTCAGTGTAGACATGCTGATGTCTTTTTAGCACGTAAGATGCAGATGACGACCGTGTTCCTGCTGACCTTTTCTGCATGATGGAAGTACGGGGCACCTTCGGGATGGACAAATCTTGTCCAGCCTTCCGGGAGTACATCACTTGAAAAAAAACTTGAAAGACTGGAACTGAGTGAAGACGGAGAGCACCAACACAGGAGGGGACATCGTGAGCGGGGGAATGATGAATTGGGACTCTGTGCGTGGGCTGCGGAAGATCGGTGAGATCCAAGAGAGCATCGATCTAAAAACTCACATTTTGAGCCCGCGCTTATAACGCTTCACGGATTCTGGTGTCATCGGGAGGATTCGATGCTGGAAGAGATTTAGAAGATCAGGCGGCCCATCGCTCTCCGACCGATCGTCACTCTGGGTAGCATGTAAATGATCGTCAACATCGGTCACGCTGCCGTTTGTAGAACATGGGAAGCCGCCCGCAGCATCCAAATACAAGGACGGCGCTTGGTTGCTGGGAATCTGTGGACATGACAGACGATTCATCTCGCAGGACCTCTGCATTGTGTCTCTCGGAACATCCACTGAGGAATAGGATGTCGCATGAGATGGACGACTGTAGACAGTGGATACCGAGCTTGGACTTGGGGACGGAGCAGGGCTACTTGGGTATGCAGTATGATCCAGTGGGGATGAAGTGTGCAGGGGCTCCTCGATATTGATCGTCGGCGGCAGGTCCTGGAAGCGATGGGAAGCGATGTCTGCCGGTGCCCTATACGGGCTCAGAGGCACGTATGGGGAAATTCTGCTGGCATTGCAGACAATGTCTGCGGTGTTCGTGAACGAGTGCGGCAGGGATGTAGCGCATGGTCGTGGCGCCTCGTTGTCGGAATCTGGTCTGTTTCCCGCATTTCTGCGTGAGAAAGGGCGCGAGAGGGAAGAGAACACAGATAGAAGACCTCGCAGGCGTTTGAACCGCCTGAGCACAGTCAATAGCCTTGTCAGGGCCTCCATCGTAATCCCAGAGAGTCTGAGAGAGTCACAGACACACCAGAGCTGGGCCGTGACCGCACACTTGTGGGCCACAGCTTTGGGGCTGGGTGCCCATGTTTTCGGAATGTGAAAGCTCTACCGCCTGAGTTTGGGCGTCAATCACTGGAGAATCCGGGTCGCTCCCACTCAAGACAGCCACAGCAAGTCTGTCGAATGCTCTTAAGCTGTAGGGCTGATGACCGCGATCTCCACAGCATTGTGCCTTCGGAGGAGTACGATCCGTGATCCTCGCAATGAACAATTGCGGAAAGAAAACTGTATCGACGAACCACTGTTAGTAAGTTTTAGTTGAGACCAGCACGTGTAGCTAGTCGGCCGAGATCTCTGTAGAGATCTAAAGTACAGAAGTAGCCTGTCACGAAAGTCACGAGTCACTGTCGTCAGCTGTCGTCCACACTCGACCGATTCTCAGTGCCTGTGCAATGCCATGAAGCTATCCGTTGCTGATTGAGGATCTCTCACTATGACCCTCCACAAGTCGTACACTAGAGGTGGTCGGGTCCTACTTCTCCACGTTTTAGGACTTGTCCCTCAAAGAGCCCGAGACGGCTTATGACCCACCAGGAGACTCACGCTGCTCTTCTGAGCTTCTGTTCCATCACAGAAAGGGAGATGAGATAGTCCGTTACGGGCAAGAAGGGCCCAATGCTAGTCGTACAAGTACACATAAAGTTTAAGTTTGCTCTCTATCGTCGCATCTACAGCCATGTCGTACAATGACATTGTAGCGATTCCTCGATACATCCTTCCGAATCCTACTCTGGAGCAACGTGAGTTTGCCTTCAAACAATTCTCTCTTGCTCTGATACATTCTGCAGTGGATTACGCCGAGCTTCCCGTCATCGATTTTGCTAGGCTTTCCGACAATGCCAATCAACTTGCAGCAGAAGCTACGGAAGGCATGAGGAAGCACGGCTTTCTTGTCGTGATCAACCATGGCTTGACTGTAGCGCAGGTGTTTGACCTCAGCTGAGTCTCCGCCGCCTGATAACTGATTGGACAGATCGCTCGTGCATTCGATATCGCCGACCTGCCATTCAGCAGCGTTGGGCACGAAGAAAAAATGTTATATGCGGCTAAACTGAGGGAGACCGGCTCACACCAAGGCTATAAACCTCGAAACTACTGGGTACTCTGCTTAACAGTGCATACGGTTCATCACTGATCTCTTTTGAAGCACATAGACAACGGTGTCTATGATCAGCTTGAAGCGTACACTAGTCAGCATTTAAGCACCCGGCTTGGCTACTCTTGAATGCTGATCTTCTCTACAGTCCACCGTGATGTTAATCAGCGTGAACATCCGCAGGCACTGGGACCTGTTCTTGCGGAAATCCAAGCTCTGGCCCGGTTCGCACATCTGCACATCGTGCATTCCATCCTCCGGTGTGTATTGGTTTGTCACGTCTCAATCCGGCTTTCGCTGACCAAGATCTCTCAAGGTTGCTGGCGATCGGATTAGAGTTGCCTGAAAACACGTTTGTGGATCTTCATCGTTATGATGCTACTGGGGAGAGCACTCGTCAGTTTTATAGCTCATGCCCGGGATCACTGTGCTTACTATGCGAGGATCCAGTCAGGTTCATCAAATAGTGGGTCGTATGGTGTTGCACTGTCCTCCCGAAGCTCACGACCAAATGTACCCAGCCATCCTCGGACGGCGGAAGACGAAGCTAAGACGAAGAATGTTTGGCTGAAGGGACATACAGATATTGGAAGCATCACCGTGCTCTTCAGTCAGCCAGTTTCGGGGCTGCAGATTCTCGGAAAGGATGGCAAATGGCGATGGGTCAAACATATCGAGAATGGACTGGTGCGTTTCAGTCTGCTTATCCAGACTCCTTAAGGATGCTAGTCTTCGAGATCATCAACGCTGGGGACGCCCTCGAGCGCCTATCCGGCGGGTATTACAAGCCCACCATCCACCGGTACGATACTGCTCCCTGAACTCTCACTGTGCTGAACGCTGTACAGCGTCGTACAACCCCCGGCCGATCAGCGCCATTGCCCACGGCTTGGATTATTCTACTTCGCGACAGCCGACGATGACGTGAAATTGGTCTCGTGTGTGGCTCAGAGCCCGATTTTGCGACTCGAACCCACTACATCGACTCCATCAGATGATGAGCTTGCCCCTACCATGGAAACATGGCGCAAAACGCGAGTGTCCTCCTATGGCTCCAAGGGCGCGGCACTAACCCCGGCGTCGGGTGGTATGATCGAGGAAGAGACCATCGCCGGAATCGTAATCAAGCACTACAACTGAGTGCGACCCATGAGGTCAAGTCAAAGTACTGATAGCTGTGATATTTAGTCCGTTTCGCAGATGCTGTCGAGAGACCATTGCTTTGAGATTGCAGCACGTCCCATCTCGGCTTTTCCACGAACCCTAACACTCCGTTTCAGCTGCTACACCGTTTTGAATGCCTCGTCGTGAGCACCCCACAATCCGGGACTCACCAATTGCGTCGTGAACCGTCTCGAGAGTTGTGTCGCATCCCTCAGCCTCCGTCATGATATGTTGACACGGTGATACAAACTATCGGAAGCCGATTCCAGACAGATGCAAGCATAAGTAAGAAAGGAACGAAAGACATTCCAGCAAACAGTACGAAGACAAAATGTCCAATAAGAGTGGACATGGACCAGCCCTGAGAGCGCGGAATTATGAGAGCACCAAGGCACCGCCACATCAACGGCCCTTTCCCATTTGGCAAGTCATCTTCGCTGACACTGAAGCGCCGAGGCGCTGATATTTGGATTGACAGGCTGACAGGATGACGGCTGCGCGCTGACACCAGCTTGCTTTTGAACGCCAAATGGCAATGCCTCCTTTCATCCACTGCAGCTCTTCCTTTCCCCAGTGACAATGGCCGACTCGTCTGGCGACCAGGTCGCCTCCTCCTCCTCAGTGCTCAAGCTCGGGCAGCTAATCCCCCGCCACGCTCTTTTCCAAGTTCGCATCATCATCCACCAGTTGGCCAGTGTTCCTCTGGTCAGCGGGGAATTTGGGGTTCGTTGGAGATTCAAGAACATCCGAAAATTGAAGGGCCATGAAACTGCAGGGCTGGAGCAGGAAGTCCATGGTGACGAGGAGAGTTTCGGGAGTGGAGACTCAGCGGGTCCTTCCACGGAGGACGCCAAATTTACTTCAGAATCTTACGAAACTCAAACTAGCACACGAGGACAGACGCCCTGGCTGGCGCTGCGCGACCACTCTGTGACCTGGGAGCAATCGCTGTCGACTGTCGTGCAGATGTCGATCGACCGGGAAACACACGAGCTGCTCCCTCATCCGTTCAAGCTTTCTGTATTACAACGTGTCATCGTCGGCGACCTGGACGCGCCTAAGAATCCGTGCCTCGGCGTCCTCGAGCTCAATCTTGCAGAGTACTCTGACAGTAATCTTGCATCACCGGGAGAGATGAAGGGGACAGTGACGCGCCGGTATCTTCTCCGAGAGAGCAAAACCAACGCGACGCTTAGATTATCTGTTCATGTCGAGCCTGTAGGCTCTCCACCATTCTTCACCGCGCCGCCTCTACCACGAGGCGAGATCCTTGCCGGCTTATCATCTCTACTATCCACCCAGGATGATGTTTTCAGGACACGTCCAAGAGCTTTGAATCTGTACGCTCCGATCCATCACACCTCGCAAACAATTAGGCCGACGTTCGACATTCGCGCCCTTCCGGACGCCAGAAGTCCACTCTCGACAGCGGCTCTCATCGAAGCCCTTTTCAATCCGGTGCCAGTGCGAGATGAGCATCTGGTCACTCCTTTCACGCGATTGGTACCTGAGGGCACCACTCCGTCTTACTCGACGACACTCTCGTTTCTCAGTATCGACCCTACTCAACGGAGTTCAATCTCTCCGAGCCATAGTACACCAACTCCTGTGGCGGATGAAGGTTCGAACAAATGGTGGAAACGTTCTCGCAGTCGCGCACGAAGCAAAAGCCGAACTCGGACGGTCCAAGCGCAGGCTTGATTTCCTTCTATTTCCATTTCTCCTTGCTATCCTGTTCATTCGGACAATTTTTATTCACTCGCATATGTATACTACGGATAGACATACATTCACCCCATCTACGACGTAGACTATTAGATATTCTACTGTTTTCCTAGTTCTGACTGCCCCTCGCCCATTGAGAAGATCATCTATGTCGTCCCTTGCTTGTCGTCGTTCGTGGGCCATCGAGGAAGCCTCCCAATTCCAGTGCATTGCGGGCGGCTTGATTGATGTGCTTGAAACGATCTGGCCCCAGATGGATGCCGCCGAAGTAGCGGGTCACAACGACCAGGACATTATCGACTTCCAGAATGTGTAGAAGATGTGCCAGTCGCCCGCCTGCAGCTGTTTCTCCATCATCATCGTTGTCTGTAATGAGTTGCTGAATGGTTTCATGGTCGGTTCGATTGACGCATCGTACCTTGGTGCAGCAGGTTTCCGACCTGGCATCGCCACGCGTTGATGACAGGATGTGCAGCTCGTGCAATTCTTCGATCTGACGAGAGGTGGGCCAAGATGGGCGGAACCTTGTACCGCCACTGATGAGCATAATTTCCGGACGATAAATAATAACCATAACAGCACACCTGAGATGGGTCCGAGATGGCGAAAGAACGTCCAACGAACGAGCTTTTCCTATCCACGATTGGCTCTGCGACATACATCTGCATGCCTTGCGGGAGAGGCTGGACGGGTGGAGGGAGAGATGAGTCGTTGACATGCGGGTCTTCCTGCACGATGTTCGGCCGTTCAGGGTGAGCTTCCGATCGCGACAGTTCTCCGGCTGCTTCGGCGCTGAGGTGTTCGCCGTACCAGGCTTCGCAGCGGTCCAACACATTCTGAAGACCATCAAAAACACAGACCGTTCCCGGTGACCATTCTACCCCACGCGCCGAAGAGATGAAAGTACGTAGAATCTCTCCGAAAAGAGTAGCGTCCGCCCCGAAAGCTCCCACGTAACGTGATAGAAGTTGTAACTGTGGCGGGCTTTCCGCGGGGTAGGTCGCTGGAAGCTGATGCTGTTCGTCAAAGGTTTGTTGGATTCCTTCACAGTTGAACGCACCGAAACCAGGATACGGATGGAGATCTCGTCATGCGGCGACGGCAGACTGAACTTGATTACCCATCAGCCTTGGACACAAGGGATTCCATTCACCTCAGTGCGACCTCGTATCGGGTCATACTAGAGTCGGGTTTGGTGGAAGTTGTTGGCTTCCAAAGCTGGACCGCATCGTCTCCGTATATAGACTGGAGTACTGAGTTGCTCCATGGTTGTAGATAGCCTGGTCATAATGAACGTCGCCTACCTTCAATCTCAGAAGCCACAGATTCCCCATCGGCTCGCAGCGAGAGCTCCTCTATAAGTTGTTGCACATTCTCATATTCTCCGAATCCCATCTAGGACGATCACAAAGACAACACTGCAGCGCGTGGGAAACGCAGAGTATGAGACGTTGTCTGTCTTGGGACAATGCTGGAAGGATGAGAAGAACGATTAATGATCTGACCCTGTCAAAACTTATGGTCCAAGGCCAAAGCATGGTCTGGCACTCATTGCAACACTATGCCGAGCTTGTCACCAGCTGAGGAGTCCACGGAATTGCACGAATATGAATTTGCCGCACGACGCACTACCAACTACGAGAATTCCCGTCAACTTAACGGCTACGAGTGGAGGGCTGAAACCCGACGTAGGTCAAGTGCAAGAATCGATTTGCGCCAGTGAATCGGCAACTGTAGCGCTCACTTCTCGCACATTGCACGATGGTTCCTCATGTTACTCCGGACCGGGAGTCACTGAGCCAGAATCCAGTAACAGTCTCAATTTAGAAGCGATCTTCGAGTTCTCGGGCGCTGGCAAAGCCATGACAAAGCCATGTTCCTGACATTCGCGCTCGCATGGAGCTCTCGATCCCATGGGCGCTTAACAATTAGAAAGGGAGAGAGAATGGATTGGAATGAACCAAAAGTCCAAATGTGGGCCCGTAAGCCTCTCCAATCTCTGAACAGCACGAATCCGTTCACGACGTGTCGTAAGGAGTCCGGAAGGGACGTTATAGGGTCGTGCTGGTGGTTGTTGGAATCAAGAAAGTGCGTCTCGTATTTGTACCACGCGACCGATACGACACTTGTCCCGCACTACGACGCGCCTCGATCTTGGCTCCGGTGCCCGGCATCCAGGGCCATAGATGTCGGGCAAAGTGCCTCCGCGTGGTCCCAGGGCTCTGTTAGGGCACAACAATCAGCACAATAGCGACCAGCCATTACCCGCTTCTTCGACAAAACGCATCGGCGCTGCTCCTCCGACCGGGCCACGCAGTCTTCTGAATGGCTTCAACGCCGCGAGCAGCGCAAACGGGCTCGGAAAACGGGTCCACGTAAATGGTGTCAACGGACTGGTGAGTTTCCTTGTCTCGTTTTTCATTGTATTTGGACCTGCGAGTGGCATCCAATTACGAGAGTATTGTGCTTTTGTGAGCGGGTCTGGGCGTCTCTTGAAGCTTGGGCATGTGACGCACAAAGCCGTCGGCCAAGCTGCATGCACCGACTTTGCAGCAGGCTTTTCAGGTCGCCTACAAGATACTATGCACCAGACCATCGAGGATACGCGATTTCTTCGGTCTATTCCTATCAATCGTCCTTTTTATTGATCTTTGGCCACAGAATGGGGTGAACGGCCACATCTATCCGAACGCGCCTCCGGCCGTGCCTCCACCTCCCACAAGTGAGCCTCCACCACCCCCTCCGTCCGCCGCTGCGTTCCCAGGAATTGCCGGTCCCTCCACGCGTCCTGCCATCGCCTTTTCCATAGTCCCAAAGGCTCCGGGGAAACCCCCCACTGGTCCGGCGGTTCCTCCACGCGTTGTGACGTCCAAATCCCATCCACAACATCCCCACAACTCACCTCCTCCGCCTTCATATGACCCGCCCCCTCCACCACCAGATGAAGCTCCGCCGCCACCACCAAACGATATATCTCCGTCCCCACCTCCGCCAGCTGGTCCACCACCACCGCCTCCACCGCCCTTGGATGCGCCTCCAGTGCCGCCGCCCCCGAATCATGTCCCTCCACCATTACCTCCTCCATCCAGCCTTCCCCCTCCTCCGCCCTCAGAACCGCCCCCACCGCCGCCTCCACCCATTCCAGCCTATACGCCCTATACTATCCAAGTGAAGAAAGCTGAGGTCAGAGCTCCCATCGTCTCCGCATTCAGCACGGCTCCATTACATCCATCACTCCCTCCACGACCATCCTTGTCCTCAACTCACCTGTATGCACCGTCAACACCGCCGCCACCACCGCCGCCACCAGCTTCCCCGCCACCGCCGACTGAACTTCCTTCCTCGCCCAAGCCTCCTCCTTTACCATCAACACCTTCTCTACATGCCTCTTCGTCCGTGTTGCCGCCCCCGAATTCCTCGGCAACTTCTCGACCAGCGCCTCCACCGCTGCCGTCTTGGCCGCCCCCGAGGACAGCGTATCCTGAGGTCCGCTCCTTCCGCGTTCTTTTCGACCCTGGTCTCGAAGGGCTGAAGCAAGGTGGGCATGACGGAACCTACTGGCGTCGCATGATTGAGCATGTGAGGGAAAGGTGCACCCCAGAGCATGCAGCCGAGAGGATCCGCGGCAAGGGCAAGGCGAGGGAGATGTTGTTTCGGTTTGAGGGCGAGGTCGTGGGTCCGATCCGTGAGGAAGGTGTAATGGATGGTGAAGATGTGATGTTCGAGGACGAAGTCGTCGTTTCCGATCCCCGACAAGCGGGACAGTCCCGACCTCGGCCTCCTGCAAGAACAGACTTTGCGCTCGTCTCGTATGAGGTTCGTCCTTGAATCACCTATTCGACAGAGTTTACTGACCTGTTCCTGAAAGCATGATGCCAACAGTGTCTCCCCCCCTCCAACGACTGTGCTCATGACGGGCCTTCCTCCGCTCGCTTCCAACAAAGTTTTGCAAGGACATCTTGCGACTTATGGAAAGGTCGCACACTTCCACCGCCAAATGGATTCGGCAACAGGGGCGACCCTCGGCGTAGTTTCCGTGCGTTTCACAACACCCGAGGAAGCTCGTAAGTGTATCGAGCGTGAGGATGGAGGGCGGGGCGCGATTGCGGGCTATTTGGGTGTCATGCAGGAGGAACGGAGAGCAGTGATGGATCCCGAAGGCCTTATACTGAAAGCCCTGCTGAAAGAGATGGACGGGCGACGGAGACGAGAGCGAGAAGAAAAGAGGAAACGTGAGAAGAAGGAGAAACCCAAAGATCTCCCGGTACCATTGACTACCAAACCACCACCCCTGCCGCCTAAACCTGTCCATCCTTCACTTCCGGTCAATCCGTTGCTTGCAGCCCGCGTTCAGGCTGGGTCTAGTCCACGATCCGCCACGACCCCTATAGCTCAGGAGATGCGCAGGCGCGAAGGAGACTCGTACCGTGGATACGACCGGGGTCGGCCACTGCAGAATCGCCCGCGATACTTACCACCGCGACCAATGAATAGCTACCGTCCGGCCCTGTCGCGTTCTCCGTCCCCAAACGCTGAATATCTTGACGCTGTGGCCCGGGATCGGTCGAAAGGCAAGTCTCGCGCAACTGATCGTGATCGGGAACATGCGGAGGTGCTCATTGAACTGGCGCGCAACGGCCGGGAGTATCTCAAGATCAAAGCCGACAGCGCGCCAAATGCGATTCGAGACGACGATATCCTGTCCTTCTGCCGGGCGTTCACGGGTTCGATGGACAAGGTGCGTGGATTAACTTTCATTGACTGCACAATCTGCTCACTGGCACAGATGCTCCGAGACCATTTGGGCATCTACGTGACGTTCAAAGACGCCGGCACAGCTCGAAGGGCGGAGCGTGTCCTCGGCGGACACAATATTGGCTTCCATTCCGTGACCTTGTCTGTGCACGCTGCGCCAACAGCCGGCGAGGCCAGCCGAGAGCCTCTGACCACCGCTGAGCTCCTCGATCGGGCACAAGAGCTACTGATGAAAGAGCTCCGAGTGATGCTGGAGCGAGATATCACCGAGCGTCTGGTGGCGGCAGATCTGCGCAGGATTGCTCTCGAACCTCGTGACAAGCCCGTTCCTGTTGCTACCAACACAGAGTGGACTGCGCCGAATCGCGGCCTGAAAAGTCTTTCATTTCGGAAACAGCGCAAGGAAGCGAATGCTGTGCCAGAGGAGGAGGATGAGGATGAGGTCGTCTTCGCCGAGCGCCCCAAGAAGAGGCGAAAGAAAGAGGTCAAGATTCGCAAGCCGCTTGTCATCGAGGTCGAATCGGAAGATGAGGATGATCGTGAGGATGATCCTATGTCGTTGGTCCGGAAAAGAGACGAGCTTGAGGATGATCGAGACGATCAAGACGAGGAGCCAGCACGGAAAAAGGTCAAGCAGATCGACAAGAAACCGATCGTGGAGATCCAAGTGATATCCCCGCCTTCATCTCGTTCCCCTTCGCCTCTTCCGGATGTTTACGAGCAGGGCATCTGCGACGACGACGAAGACCTGTACTACGCCAAGCTGGTGCTGGCTGGGAATGACGTTGAACCGACGTTGGACCTCGCGCCGCCTGAAAGCGCTGCACCGTTATTTCGGAAGCATGTCACGGGATCTGCTCGTACTGAAGGGTATTACAAGATCACGCATGCCGAGAAGATTGCGTATGTCACGCAGTACCAGGCACGGGCAACGAATGTGGAAGTCGGGTCGCCTGCCGAGGAGCCGCCTGCCGCGCCACAGCATATCGAATCTTCGCGGTCCAATCGTGCGAATGCGCGCCGGCGGGCGCAGGGCCTTGAGGAGATCAACCAGGTCCAGCGGGCCGTGGCGCTGTCCAAGGGCGAGGCGGCGAACGAGCTCTCGTTCAAGTTCAACCAGCTACAGACGCGCAAGAAACATCTGCGGTTCGCGCGTTCGCCCATCCACGACTGGGGCCTGTATGCGATGGAGAAGATCTCGAAGGGCGAGATGGTGATCGAGTATGTGGGCGAGGTCATCCGTGCGCAGGTGGCGGAGAAGCGCGAGAAAACATATGAGCGCCAGGGAATCGGGAGCAGCTACCTGTTTCGCATCGACGAGGACCTGGTCGTCGATGCCACGAAGAAGGGCAATCTCGGCCGTCTTATCAACCACTCGTGTGATCCGAACTGCACCGCCAAAATCATCACCATTAGCGGCGAGAAGAAGATCGTCATCTATGCGAAGCTGGACATCGAGCTCGGGGACGAGATCACTTACGGTGCGTATTGTCACTGTTGGTGTGCCGTGGATACTCACCCTCCGCGTCTAGACTACCATTTCCCCTTCGAGCAGGACAAAATCCCGTGTCTGTGTGGTTCGGTCAAATGTCGTGGCTTTCTCAACTAGAGCCATCTATTTTTATTGCTGTCTCCACCACCTCAAGGTCGCTTTCGTTGTATATCTAGCAATTGCATTTATTAGCTGCTGTCGTCCTGTCTTCAGCGATGTACCACTTCAGAGGTCGGACTTGTGACAGTAGATGCTTGGGGCGATTTCAGCGAGCGGCTCGTAGCAGTGCATGTCGTCGACTTGCAATCAGTTCCCCCACGAGACAGCGATCTTAGGGTTGGGAGAGGAGTAGACAAGTTGATCTGCAGCAAAAGTAAAATCCGCCATGATGGTAAACTCGGACACGTTTCCATGGTCAGGGCACTTTGACAGGCTGCCACTTTTCTACATCCGACCAGCGTTGGAGTCCAGGGGTTCGATGAGACTGTCACAGGCATCGTGCAATCAGTGGCTGTGCGAGACAGTTTAGCTGACACTTCGAGTCTGCAACTTCGAGTTGCCCCTACATCACTGGGGAGAGTGTGAGTGCCCGCCCCGTCCACCGCATCGTGAATTAGTCTCCCCCGCTGCATCGGGAGCATTAAAGCCACACCACCTCGGTCATCGTACTCACCAGTCTGCCGACACTCGGTGACGGCAGCCATCCTAGTCCCGCATTGTCTCCCCATCCCCCGGCAACTCTCGTCTTGTTCCGCAGTCTGGCGGGTATCATTCAACTCTTTTGTGCTGAAGATTCCATGGCGGATTCAATCAAGATGTGTGGCAACACCTCGAATCTTGGGGACACGCTTGCCCTTACACATTCCCTCTCCCCTTCGATCTTCGAAATACTTCACCCATGTCCGAGACAGCGTCCCTCACTGCCATCCCAGTCTCTAAGTCCTATGTATATGCGAGTGGGACAGGCGTGTGGCATCAACTGCTCGAGTCATTTGGACGACTAATGAAAGCACTTGATCGGGCGAGAGCGCGTTTGACCCCTGAAGCGGCGGCAACTTTCATAAGTAGGTGGTGGGCGAGTCTAATTAGCACCTGGCTTCAAAATCACTTCCCTTCTTTCTGTCTCGCTCGCCCGCTCGCCCTTTCGAGATGCATGTCGCGTCTATCCTCGCGCTTTCGTTCTCGCTCCTCCCGCGACAGGCGTCCGGCGCCTCCATCCATGCAACGCCGCGCCTTCATCCTCGCATCTCCTCCGAAGACGTGCAAAATCGCGGGTTTCTCGACGGTCTCTTCCACTCGTTCGCATCGGTAGAATCGGCAGCGGAGAAAGCGGTGGGGGATGCCGGAGCCGCCTTTGCGCCAATCCTCGACGTCACGGGCGGGGGGACGACCACGATGCCCATTGTGAACAGGGTCGTCGCCCCGGATGGATTCGCTCGCCCGTGAGTGCATCCTGTGCCTGCCTCGTTTCCACGCCGTTAGCCTCACGGCTCACAGCTCCGTCCTTGCCGGGAGCTCGTTCCCTGGGCCATTGATCACTGCGCGCAAAGTACGATCATGTTTACGCTTGGGGGTGGATCATTCATTATCCTTCACAGGGGCAAAGTTTCAGGATCAATGTGGCCAACCAGCTGAACGATACATCGATGGAAACAGTCACGACTATCGTAAGTGCTGCCTTTTCCCCCTGCGTGCACCAACTGATGATGGAGATAGCACTGGCACGGATTCTTCCAGAGTCGGACACCTTGGGAGGATGGTGTCGCGTTCGTCAGCCGTGAGAGCAGGATCTGCTGCATCCAAGCGTGGCGGAACTGATGGGCTGTCTGACAGAATGTCCGATCGTGCCTCGAGCTTCGTTTGTGTACGACTTTTCGACCGCGAAGCAGGCGGGTGAGTCCCATCAAGGGCTTTGTGGATGTTCTCGACCTGACGTCCGCCAGGGACATTCTGGTATCACAGCCATTATTGTCTGTGGTGATTTCCCCCTTTTCAGAGCCAACCGCTCACTGTTGGCTAGCGACACAATACTGCGATGGACTTCGAGGAGCTATGGTCGGTAAGTTCGAGGTGATGAAATGCTACATGCCGACTGCTGATATCTCGCCCAGTGTACGATCCTCGTGATCCTCACAAATCTCTATACGGTATGTGACGGTTATGCGTACTCTCAGTTATTAATCCTATCAGATGTTGACGATGGTGAACCCCCTGCTGCATCGTCTTTTTCTCGCTAACATTGGCCAGCCACCACTGTCATCACGCTTGCGGATTGGTGTGAGTGTCAATTTGCTCTCCTTTGCTCAGGAGACCTGAGTCTTTTTCACAGACCACTACCTCTCTACCAATGCTCCTTTCATCCCAAATCCGAGCTCTACTCTTATCAGTGCGCTGGATTTGCTTCCCACGATCCGCACCTTGATGTGTCTGTTTAGATGGTTTAGGACGCTATCCGGGAGGAGTAAGCCTTTGCTTAAAGGATCTCAAGATTTCTGCTGACCGTCTCAGCCTGCATCTCCTCTATCCGTCATTAATGTCAAGCAAGGAAAGCGCTACCGATTCCGAGTTGTCGCCATGTCTTGCGGTCAGACCGTTCAATCTTCCTGTTGAATACTTGCCTGAACTAGGCGTAGATTCCTCTTTCGACTTTTCAATCGATGGCCATACCATGACCATCATCGAAGTCGACAGTATCAATCACAAACCGCTCATCGTCGACCAGATCACTATTTATGCTGGACAGCGATACTCCGTCATCATTACCGCTAACCAACCGGTGGGCAACTACTGGGTGCGGGCCAATCCCGACGTTGGAAACACCGGCCACGACGGCGGCATCAACTCTGCGATCTTTCGCTATGCAGGTGCTCAAAACACGACCCCTACCACGACTGCGGCTGTGAGAAACCCGATGGCGGAGACTTCGCTGCATCCGCTCGTCGCTTCGCCGGCGCCTGGCAAGCCGTACCCCGGCGGCGCAGATATTATTTTCAACTTGGATATTACGTTTAACGGGCATTTTGCGGTGAATGGGAAAGTGCGTGGTCGGCGATAAGTGGGCGTGCTGCATTGCTGACGCGATCTAGTCGTTTTCCTCGCCTGGCGTCCCTGTGCTCCTACAGATCCTGAGTGGGCTTGCTCCTGCGCAAAATCTCTTGCCGACGGGCAGTGTCATCTCTCTCCCGCCCAACAAAGTTGTCGAGATCAGTGTTCCCGGTGGAACTGTCGGTGCTCCCGTATGTGATATAGCTCATCTGAAGGCGATTCGTGGTCAGTGATGCTGATCAAACATCTACAGCATCCATTCCATCTTCACGGCCACGCATTCTGGGTCGTTCGAAGTGCGGGTAGCGACCACTACAACTTTGTTGACCCGGTTATCCGTGATGTCGTAAGCACAGGTGCTTCGAAGTCCGATAACACTACATTCCGGTGCGCCATCTCATCTGCTAATCTCAATGCAAAGTGCCGTCCTGACAGCTCTTTTCCCGCATATCTGCAGGTTCGTGACTGACAATGCGGGACCATGTGAGATCCATGTATCCTCACGTTTGATTCGACTATCTGACGCGGCCGTTGCAGGGATCTTGCATTGCCACATCGACTGGCATCTGGACATCGGGCTTGCTGTGGTCTTCGCGGAAGACATACCGTCGGTAGGAAAAGAACGACCGCCGATTTCCTGGCAGTCTCTGTGTCCTGCCTACAATAAGTTCATCAAATCTTGAACGTCATACGGCACGAGGAGGCCCTTCCTTGGATGGGCTGGAATATGGACTTTCTATTCATTTCAAGTAACGCATTCGCTTCACGGGCTTCTATCTAAATGGATATTGCTGCGCATTTACTTTGAATGGACCTCTGCCGTCCCCGCATGCACGCGACACGCATCATGTGAGCTACGCAACGCAGGGCACGCGCTAGTGCTGTGCTATATATGAACGCGCAGAACATCACGCGAAGCACATCACACGATACTAGATTTCAGATTTCAAAACGGATTTTTCATTTTGTTTCGAGCGCTATTGATTTTATCTGACCCTACGACACGTCCGGCCCCAGGATGGAAGGGAGCCGAGGGATATCGGCACCTGTTACGGACACAGGTGCGGCGCGGTGGGCGTGCAACAGAACGACGTCGGCAAAGTGGTGATTTGGTTGCTTGACAGAGACGTCTTCGACGAGGCACTGGCCATCACGGCGAGTCGATTACTCTGGAGGAGTCACAGTCAGTGGGTCTGAGTGATCAGAGTTGAGCGTGTGACGCACTGGAGCGGGCTCGCATCTTTCTGCGCTTGCGGCGGAGTCTGCGGGATCTCTTCTTCTTCCACTTTTCTCTCATCCTGGCCGCCGGGGAAGATCAGCAACCGGGTCAAACGCGATGCGATGGAGACGCACACACACCTTTGTTCGTTAGAGGGAAGAGATGAGGGTGGGGACTTGTTTGGTCCCGTGCGCGCCTGATATAGTATTTGCTCAGCCGTTCCCACGCCAACACCTGCCCAGCACCAAAACGCCGTCACGAGGATGTCAGGCAAGCGCAAACGGGTCCCGCGCGCGCTGCACGCGGAGCTGTCTGAGTACTCCTCTCTCATCCGCACCCTGCACACCCATGACACGCTTGATCTTGCGAAACACATCACGCTCCCGGCGCCGCAGCCGACCTCGCGTCGACGATCACCCCGAACACTGACCTCGTCGCCCCCTCTATCGTTGGACGCTGGTGTTGTCGTTGGCGCCGACAATGATCGTGATGATGACAGCGACTATCGGGACGAGGAGGAAGAGGAGGAGGAACGTAGGCTTCGCGTTCACCAGAAGAACCGGCGGACACCCTCTGAAGGGTCTGTCGGCCCCCCTCGCTCCGATCCTGTCGCTTCGGATGATGGAGACTTCCAGGAGGGGTCTTCGAAAGACGCACTCTCATCCAAAGCTGATACTTGGACCCGATGGCCGCTGTTAATGTCCAGTGTGCACATCCCCGAATGGTCGTTTGAGGAGGAGATCGCCGCCATTGCACGCCGTGTCCTCGAGAACGGCAAATCAGATGCGCCACCCGATGGAGTCGGTGCTGAAGACGATGAAGAGCAGGTAGACGAAGACACCGACGAAGATGGGGAGATTCCGTCGTATATCGCCCATTCCGCATCCACGTTCCTGTCGTCGATCCTCGCGCTCCTTGCGCATCACTCGCCGTCGAGAGGTGAGACGCTGCAGAATCGGCTCCAGCCACTCAGATGGCAGAATGTTCTGGACATTGTGGCCTCCTGTAGAGACGTCGATCCGGAGTGCGTGTGCTTTGGACTGCCTCGACTGACGACTGACCATTCGCTTGTAGGGTGATTGACAACGTCAAGGCACGGATGGAGGTTGTCTATGGACCTCACGACAGTCCAGGTACCTCGAATTCGCAATATCTTGAGCCTCTCTCACTATTCCTTTCCCATGTAGCTCTCGCAAGACTAGAAACCCGTGCCAAGTACAAAGCCAGGCTGCGTAGGACTATGGAGCAAGCTGAACACGACCTTCTCGCTCACGATGTGGATGAACCCGACCCGCAAACCTCCTTGGTATCCCATGATCCCACTTGATTAGCGGAAATCGATACTTATGCGTCTGAGCGGACAGCTGAATAGTCACGGCCAATCCGAGCACGGTTTTTGGAAAACATAATCATAAGAGGCAGAAAGCAGCTTAGAAACGTGACCGGTTGTCTGAGATATCGGCACAAACGAATACAGTCGTGGAATCCTTCAGTCAGAGGTGACAACACCAAAATCGATGAGGAAGCACATGCAGGTCCTCTCGAATGTGGTCAGGCTACAGTCGCACCGGTCCGCTAGAGGACGCCTTGACTGAATACGTCATCCAGTTGTCCGGTACCTTAGAGCATAGCGATCACTTGGAGCCTGGCACGAATTAGACCACATCTTCTGTGAAGGCACGCGAGACTACCAACATTCCATTGTGGTCTGGGTGATATCCGCTGGAGCCACGCGAGACTGAAAATATATCTCACCGCCAGACATATTGCGGGATGCTGGGATCGTTTGGAGTACCTTCAATCGAGGCGACGCAGAGCGTAGAAGGGGCTGAAGAAACCCGGTATCAGCCAAGATCTTCATTCTCGAGGTTCGGCCACGATCCTTCGAGTTCCAACTTGACCAAAGAGCCCGGCTTCCAGGTTGAAGGAGAATCAAGTTCCGGAAAAAGAGCACCAAGGATTTCGAGAGCATGGAGTGTTTGCTGGCAAGACTGGAGGAAGCATCGGAGATTGTGCGCTTCGAGCCGCCGAGGAGGTGCACTATACCGGCTCACATGAGTCGTTTGGGACGGTCCATAGACCAGACTGCGAAGATATATTGTGGGAGGTGTCTCAAATGTGTACTGAGACTGCGATCCCCAACGGGACTCCAGCTTGAGATGGACGATACGCGGTCGCCTCGGATGCAGAGAGTCGTCATCGCATGCATATGCGGCAGGCCCATATTGAGCGTGGATTCCATCGACGCACGCGCCTTCGATCCAGTTGTGATCGTGAACGCTATAACCAGCTCCGAGTCTGAAGGGGGAGGTGCAGATCAATGTGGGTGCTTTGACCCATAGAAAGGACCCGGACATATACGATTCGACCGTGGATAGAAGAGACGGATGTAGTGTATCCATTGCTAGTGAGAGGTACATGTGTGTGGGTCTGATACAGTCATTCCGTGGAAAGCCCGCACAGGTCTACACCGACGAGAAGGACACACAACCTGCCAGAGAAGCAGTGCAGATAGTTCGCAATCGCCAGCGTACAGATGTAACCTGTTAAATATGATTCTTACATTGTCTGCCATATCGTGTCGAGGAACTTCCTCGATGAGTGACTGCGACCGATGCTGAACACAATAAACAGCGAAGTGACCTGGAACTGATGCATTGATGGCGCATCATTTTCATCACGCCTTTACTTGGTTGCGTCGTCACTAGAAAGCGTCGGCTCCGCCGACAGAATGCCTTGCTACACTTTACAGAGACAGTCAATTTAACTTTAATTCGGCTATAATACGCAATCATCTTGTTAAGCACATTGTAACTAAGCCCCAGCAGCTCTCGTCTTTTTCTTTTTCGGGCTCTCATCCATGTCAGGAACCGCCGGTCGACGCTTCTTTGGGCTAGGCGGCGGAGCGACCTGGGAATTGATGACGCGTATCTTGACAATGTCCGCAACGAATGTGTCTTGTTGCTGGCTCATGAACGAATAGTGGGTCATATTGAAAGTGACCGTGATCGAAGCACCCGGGAGTTTCTTCATGTAATCCTCCGGTGCGATAATTCTCCCATCAAAATCGTACGCACACAAACGGTCCACCACGTATTTGCCTTCCATGCTCTGTATCCCTTCGCGGGCCAGCTCACTCTTACGAGAGAATGGCGGATGCGCCGGAGACATGAAACGGACGACGAGATTATTGTCGGGGACTTACAACCCTGAATGTCAGCCTTACGCCCAATCAACCTGCGCTCTTACCTACACTCGATCGACCAGTGTTCTTAACGAGCGACTGTCTTGTACAAGTAGCATGGAATCGATGGCGCTAGAAAGTACAAGGCTCAGCGCAAACGTGAATATTGAATGATCGACTCGGCCGTACGTGAAATACATGAGATACATCACATTTTGATGATCAAGCGGATCACACCACGGATCAGGTTCATCTGATTTGTGTGTTAATTTAGCGTCTGGAGAGTGCCTTGACAAGCAAGGCAACCGTCGTGCACGATGCCAGCACCGAATCCGAGCCGCAAGTCCGTCGTGAAACCGACGCACGGTCCCAGGCCCAAAACCAAACCACCCTCCTCTGTCGATGATCAGCTGAAGCGCCTCTTCAAAACGCTCGTCGCGCAGATCGACGGGGGACACCACACAAACGCTATCAAGACTTGCGACAAGAGTCCGTTGTGTCCTCACCATGTCGACCCCCCATTAATTTGTGTTATCAGTTCTCAAGTTGTCTCCCGGCGATGCAGACGCGCTCCAGACGAAACTCTTCTTGCTCTTGACCACTGATCAGGCGGGTGCTGCGCTGACGCTCATCGAATCTTTGCAAGGCGAGAACGGGAATGACTCGCGGTACAACTTGGAGCGCGCGTATGCTCTGTACTGCTCCCACAAGAGGGATGATGCTCGGGAGACGCTGGCAAAGGGCACAGGTGATGTCGATGCGAGGGGGGCACAGCACCTAGAGGCCCAACTCGTCAGTTATCATCCTAACAGCGTCGATGATCTGCGTGGCTCATACTCTTGTAGAGTTATCGGGATGGCGCCTATCAACAAGCGTTGGATGTCTATAACGGATTGCTTGACTCTGCTCCTGTGCGTCCTCACCCTGATATGCTGTATCCGATCTCCCACTTTCCTTACACTTCTCTTCAGACAGCTGAGGAGCAGTCCGACATCATGACCAATATCGAGGCTGTCGAAGCTCATCTCACATTCATCAACACCACCTTCCTCCAGACCATCCACTCACTCCCCGCCTCCATCCAACACGGGCTGGAAGACGCCCCGCCACCACTTGCCGCTCCTGTGCACTCAATTGTCCCAGCTGTTGCCCCGGCCAATCTACCTGCGCCGCCCAAAGCCAAGAAAGTGCGGCTGCCGAAGGGCGTTGTGCCTGGCGTCACGCCTCCACCAGACCCGGAGCGGTGGCTGAAGAAGAGTGAGCGCACGAGCTTCGCGCAGCGCAGGAGGAAAGGCGGTGGAGGTGCCACGCAAGGAAGCGCCGCGGATGTTCCAGTCGTCGCCGAGAGCAAAGCTGGCGGAGCGGCCAAGAACAAGGGAAAGAAACGCAAGTAGTGGGTACGAGCTGTGTACAAGCATTTTATCACCGACCAGACGCGCTGCGGGAGACGCGTAAAGTATGCATGCTGAACCGCCCTCACGTTTCTTGCAAGTCGGATCAGTACCGTAAGATATATCATATATCGGTGGACTGCAGGACAAGTACGTCCGATCGAACAAGAGAGTATAGACCAATGCGCCCTTCCGGTGATTTCCGTTGACAGTGCCACGGTCAGCCTGTTTTAAAGCTCAAGGGCTGAAGAGCTGGCTCAAGTTAATCGGAGCGAAGTCCCGTGAGGACTTGAGTACTTGCACGTGACTGAGATCATTTGAGATGTACCGGGTACAAATATATTCTCCGGGTTCTTGAATTGCCGAATGACTGAGCAATATCGCTTAAACGCTTGACTCGTGATGACGTACATGGATCCCGGCCCTCGGAGGCCGCAATTACGATTTAAAGTCTGCACAGTTGGGGAGATCGTCATCCACACTTTTTCTCAGACACCACACTATGGCACCCATAACCAACGCACGCGTTCTCTTCAATGAGATCCCCGCCGGTGAGTCTTCTCCTAATTCCGCATCTGCATCAGTGTTGACCTTGAGATTTCGCCACGCAGATTATCCTATCCCGGGAAAGACGACGGTCTACGATACTTCGGAGACGATCGACTTGGAAACTGTGCCGCTCAACGGCGGGATTCTTGTCAAGACTCTCGTTCTGTCGGCGGATCCTTACATGAGGGGGCGTATGCGGGATGCAGCGGTCAAATCTTATGTCGTGAGTCTGATCGATCCGGCCTGGAGTCCTAAAGACACGTCTAAACGCATTTAGCCTGCCTTTCCTCTCGGCCAACCGTTAGTCTCCCTCTCTTTAAGGATGATCCACATCTCATCTGTTGATCAGTCTGACTGGTGGCGGAGTCGGTGTCGTGCTACGCTCTGAAGTCCCCAAGTATCCGCCCGGCTCGTACATCCTGGGCTTCTTTGGTAAGCTTGCACCCACGTCTTTTTCGTCTTATGCTCACGCGCAGCCCTTTTACACAAGCCCACAAGCAATACGTCGTCTTCGAAAATGTGAACGAGCAAAGCCTCTCGCCCGTGACGCTCATCAAACGGGATCCAAGATTGCCTCTCTCGACGTACTTGGGGGCTGCTGGCATGCCTGGTGAGCACTCTTCCAATCGCCGCAGAAGGCCGTCTGATTTCGGATCAGCCGAGACCGCCTACTATGCATGGAAAGAGTACGCACACGCTAAGAAGGGTGAAACCGTGTTTGTGACCACCGGCGCCGGCCCGGTTGGCTCGTACGTTGCCGTTTTATCTGCCTCGCTCACATTCTCAATATCTTGACGCAGCATGGTCATCCAGATCGCGAAGCGGGACGGACTCAAGGTCATCGCCTCTGCCGGCTCGGAGGACAAGGTCGCCTTCATGAAATCGATCGGTGCCGACGTCGCTTTCAACTACAAGACTGCAGATACCAGACAAATTTTGGAAAAGGAGGGGCCTATCGACATGTGAGGTTCGGTGCGCACCGGCGACATTCGATCTGATCTTCTCCAGCTTCTGGGACAACGTTGGCGGCGACATCCTGGATGCTGCCATGGAGAACGCCAACTCCTTTGCGAGAATCATTGTGCGTCTCGCTTATCAGGTTCAGCGTTCATCATCTAATGCCAGCCACTTTCCAGGAATGCGGCCAGATCTCCGGCACGTCTCTCAGCGGCCGAACGATTTCATCTCCGAATGTCTGACATTATTTTTTTTTAGGATACAACGGCAAATTCGCACCGATGAGCGTCCGTTCCTTTGGTCTTTGCTATGTCGTCAAGTTACTGACAGCTGCCTGGACAGAACCCTGGCCTGATCTTCCAGAAGTGTCTTGCAATCAACGGTTTCCTTGTGAGCAACCTTCGCTCGAAGTGGCAGGCTGCATTCGAGGAGGATGTGATCCCGAAGGTGGCCAGCGGTGAGTACAAATATAAGGAAGACGCCTCGGTTGGGTTGGAAAAGGTCGGGGATGTCATTCTCAGTGTCCAGAAGGGCACGAACACAGGAAAGGCAATCATCATCGTTGCTGAAGAGTAGACATGTAGAGAAAAAAGCGTGTAGATCAATATTGATATTTGTACATTTAGTAATAGGTAACCACGATTTTGAAAAGTCCGTATCCCCTCTTACTATAAGCTCAGTTGGAAGAGCATCAGACTGAAAATTCCGGATGATAGATGATGTCATCTCACAAAGCGACCACGTGATCGCGTACAAACACTCTACAATTTACTCTTTACATGTTCAGTCTTTACATTCTCGTCGTCCTTTGCTGCTTCCACCGCCCAGGATAACATTCCTTTCACTAGCCTGTCCACCTCTGATCGTGTATTCCCAGCATGCAGACACACGCGAACTCGATCCGCGCCTTTGGGCACGGTGGGCCATGTGATCGGCCGTGCGTTCAACCCCAGGGAGGCCAGATGATTGGACAGTGGCCGCGGCCGGCATGTCATCACTGGTATGATCGGCGAGGGCGGTACGGTGGGATCTGAGAGATGGGCTGGTAGCGAAAGAAGGTGCGGGGGGATGTCAGGTAGACGCTGCCGTAACGATTCAACGAAATACGCCGAGAGACTGAGAGCGTGATCTGCCAGCTGAGGGTGGCGTCAATCGGCGATAGGATCGGGTTACGGTTACAAGGGGAACACACTTTATGGGCTGTCCCGTCGTCTAGCAGGTCGAAAGAGGTGTCGGCGGCGATGATGTTCGACGAACTCAGTGACGTCGTGTATATCAGCGACCGGGCATAGTTGAGCAGGTAGTCTCGTATCAGTGGGGAAGTTATGATGACAGCTGTGTATGCAAATGAGGCCAGGGAGAGAGGCGAAAGCAGAAGAACACAGCGCACCACCTGTAGCCGCAAGCGCCTTCCCAAACGTATACAATCGCGCTAGAACCTTATCCTCTAATCCAAGCTCAATGACCCGCCCACGACCTTGAGGTCCGTACAATCCGGTCGAATGCGCTTCGTCCACGATCAGATACGCATTCCCGTGCGGGAAGAGCTCTTCGAGAAGCCCGACGATCTCCGTCAGCGGCGAAAATGTGCCGTCCATGCTGTACAAGCTCTCCACGGCAACGAAGACACTCGCTTGTCCATCTCTGACATCTGGTCGCTCCTCCAAACACTCAACCAGGACCCCCCTCAGCGTGGACACCGAGTCGTGCGCGAAAGCGTGGCGGGCCGCGCATCTCGACGCGCGCATGCCGTCGTGCACCGACGCATGAATGTATTCGTCGTACACGACGACATCGCCCGGCTGCGGCAGGCACGAAAACAACCCCACGTTCGCATCGAAGCCGGAGTTGAACAGGAGTGCCGCCGGTGAGCGGAAGAAACGCGCCAGACGCGATTCGAGCGCAGCGTGCGCGGTGCCGTTGACCAGCAGCCGCGAGCCTCCGGAGCCAAGGATCTCCGGGGCTTGCTGTAGTCTCTCCAAAAACCGGCTGCGGAGCACAGGGGAGGTCGATAGAGAGAGGTAGTCGTTGGAGTTGAAGTCTACTGGCCCGACGGCCAAACTCCCCGGCTGTGGTAGTCGCCGTCTGATCAGCCGTTTCTCGCGCGATTCGAGCGCCCTCGAAAGCTGGCCTTCGAGCCTCGTTGGGGCTGCGCCTTTGGCCATTGATGTAGCTTTGCGCAAGGTCAGGGATTACATCTAGGAACTCGACGGGCCGACGCACTGCGATAAGATCTCCAGGCTCCAAGTCTTTTTCTCACTGGATGGTGGATCACGGCGTTAGAAGCAAAAAAAATGTGAGGCGAAGTTGGGCGCTACGCGCAGTTACACTGAACGGGCGCACGGAGCATGCTACGCTTCAGCACGCAGATGTCAAGTTTTTGCAGGATCGGCGAATCTGACTCGGATTTAGGTGCGGCTGGGGTTTGAAAAAGGACGAGGGGGAGAATATACCGGTCCTTTCAGCGGCTAATTGTTGTGGGGTTTTCCAACAGAATGTGAAAGAACGTTAGAGAGCAAGACATCGTTTTGCATGTGCTCAGAAGCAGCGATCGATTTTCGGACATAAATCCCGACAATTACCCGATGCCAAGTATTCACGTGACTTCATGCTCCCCTTCGCTCAGTTCAACTTGTGGCAAGTGGAGATATGCATTTGGTGTTTTGTCAAAGGACAGACTTCGTGAATTGGAGTCATTTCTCTTACTTAGAAGGATCTTCATGACACAGTCTGCGTCAGATCATGGCAACTTCCCCGACTCGACTCTGCTCGACTCGATCAAAGCTGGGATCATCTCGAAAACGTGCAAGTTGAGACGAGCCTATCACAATGAATAAGCCTGTGACTCGGTCGACGTGTCTATCATGCTGCAAAATGGTGAGTTTGATCTCTCTTGATGCCACGGATGAAGGTCGAAGACCGTCGAAGTGACTGCTTGACGGATCGGGTGGTCCAACACGTCGTTCCCATTGACTAGATGAATTGACTGTCTTTAGAATGACTACAGAATACATCATGTGCTAATGATGACGGTGACTAAACGGCCTAAACAGCTTCCACTGGCTATCATTGATCTCCTGCCGCAGGTTTGACCCGAAGATCTCAGCTGTTGAAAATGGAAAAGTTGATCAAGTAGAACTCTTTCTCAGATGAACGAGCGTTTCGCTTCCCGCCTGTAGCCAATTTCACTAGCGCTTCCTTACTTCGGGTGGAATACAATCACCTTGTTGGACAATCCTATGTACCGAATGTAGGTGGCATCCTGTGGGATGAAACGAATCAGGTAAGATGTGGGTCCATCTGAGATCAGTCCCTAAAAGACCACCTGCGATCCCTAGCCATGCTAGAGGTGACCGGAGCCAAGGCTGTAGGACAGTGTGTTTGAGCTCATACATCGATTGTGGCCATGACTCATATCAGATGTGGACCTCAACAGCACCCTGGGTTCCGGCAAGCCTCCTTGAATCCCAGAAAGGCAGTTGTGCATCGGGCTGACGACAATGCGGAGATTGAAATCTAATCCGAGAAGGCTATCGAGATCGGCAATAGATTACATACAAGGCTGTGCATTCACAAGGACGGAGGGAGGGAATCACATCAACGTGGAGGTGGAATCACCATTTCTTGACTCAACAGCGTATTGTGCGAAGATTGCAAAGGAGTACAAAGTCCGGGAGTGGGTGCGCCTGTCACAGATATAGAATCGGGCAGAGGCGATTTGTGGTCTAGTATTGTGATACAGAGAAGTCCAGTCCACGAATTCAGATCGTACAGAGATAGTATTCATAGAGGTGAGTAGGGTGATATATGTACAACACGATCGAAGGGAATCCCGAAAACAGAGAAGACGTATACAAAGCGGGGGTAGAAAACAAGATGTGGCATGCAGTGACTCTCGGCGGCTGTCAGATCCATTTGGCATCCGCATGTATAACAGAGATACAGCTCAGATCTCCTGTTCGGGACGCTAGTGGGGAGTGGCGCCGGCACTGGAACCTGCCTTCCCAGCAGACTGAGTGCTGGGATGCAAACTTCTTGCTCGTGGATCCTCAGTGCGAGCGGCTGACGTCGGGAGCGCTACTGATGTTACACCGGGGGACATGGCGTCTGTTTCTAGCTTCACAGCCGGTGTTTCTTGTTTGACACTCGAGTGCGCCGATCGCGGCCAGATGATAGTGAGCAGGCCCTCGTGGAGAGCCGCGTAGAGACATGAAGCCTTGTGAGGAAGTTATTTAGCCGTCTTTGCGAGCAGATGACAACGGAACGCACATCGACGCCTTTCGGAAGGCTGACTGCGCGTCCGAATCTCCCATATCGGAGTTCCTGTGCTGGGAAGATGCACGCGTCGGTGTCAACATCCATGTTCGGGCTGTTCTCGGTGCCGTCGCCTGGTGCACTGCGCGGAGTGCGGCGCTGCCGGAAGAGAGGCCGCCGCCGGCCCCGCAGGACGAGATTTCCGTGCTCTACCCGGATGCAAAGGTCGGACGTTTTGACACCGGGAAGTTCAAACGTCAACACGACATGAGTTGACCTCGGGTCGTCGAAGATTTCCATTCTTGAGACCGTTATTGAGAGGCCAGGAGTCAAGATGCGACGACTTGCCTGGGCCGGAAGGAGGATCCAGGAGATATATTGATGACACGAAGTCTCCCTTCGCGTATGGCTTTAATCACACCTGTGACTTCGGCGGATGAAGATGCAGATTCAGACATTTCTCGCGAGCACCACGAAAGAGAGATAGAGAGAAGCGGAAAGACGCTCAATGGCCCGGGCTTCAGTCTGCTTTTATACTCTCGGTTCCGAGCCGCTGATCCCGAGTCATCATAGAATACCCCAAACGAGTCACAGCCCGAACCTGCCCCATTCCGCTACATGCACAACAGCGACGCGCGTACAACCCAGCTCAGGGCGTTTCAGGAGCCGCCGAATCGCGCTGACGAATCGCCGGCACAGTTCGGGCGCCCGTCCCTTTGCTGAGGCGATGCAACCCTGGCTGACTCGGCCGCAGTAGAAACCGCATGAGATCGCCGGCATGCGGAGAACGTGTGATTTTGGGCGGGTCTTATTCCAGGGGTGTGTGAGAGGAAGTACCCCAGTCCAATTGGGTCCTGCCATCTGGGCGCCTGAACTCTGGATTGCACGAAGCGTGTTCCACAGCCTCGCCCTCCTGTAGTCCACGTTTGTTGTTCCTCCATTCCTGTCCATTCCGAAGGTTGAGTTTTAAGCGCTGAGGAGATGTATAGACTCAAGACGCCCAGACACTAGAGAATCGACAGCCAGACTCCCAGATCTTGACTTGCAGTGGCAGGCGGCGCGAATCTTTGGCTGGAGCAGGGCTGAACGTCACGGTAAGTCTCATACTGTCATATTTGTGTCATGAGAAAGCAGGCGGTGTGTTCCTTGACTTGGCCTGTGACGGTCGTTGAAAATTCTGGAGAAAGTTAGAAAGGTCTAGCAGGGTCTAGCGCCGCCGGCTTTCGGCCGACTGATGCCGTGAGGCCGAATCACCCGAGGCAATGCCTTGCTTGTCAAGGTTTGATCCAATCCTCAGTATCATTCCGCATGTCATTGTGCAGTCTCTTGTTCGAACCTCGCCCATTCTCCTGAATCTGTAGACAAGTGACCCAGTCAGTCCTCAGTCACACCAGACAGTGGTAAGACTCAGTATATACCTGTAGACGGGTGACCCAGTCAGTCTACAGGACATGTAAGTATCTAGACATAAATGAAATGTAAGGACCACGTACCCTCAGTCACACCAGACAGTGGTAAGACTGAGGGCCATGAAACGATCGGAAAACTTCCTATGTCTGCTCAATCAGACAAACACATCATTATGCTGAGCGCCACTTGCTGACATGATCAGCATTCATCATCAACAGAATCATCTGTTGTATATGCATGTAAACATATCCACAAGCCCCTTCACCTGTATGAAACGTCCTGCTATCTACGTTCTTAAATGAACATGCTTGAGCACTCTCAATTACATTTTGCCTACTTACGTTACAATTGTTGAATACACACTTCCTCCCAATCTGCAGCTCCAATACTTTACACACTCAGCACAGTCTGCACCTGCGTTGATGTCTGTCACACATTCTCGATGCTAAGCTCATCCCTGGATGACAGTGTTATCAGTCAGCTCCCATGTCTCTGTTCACCTTCAGGGTCACATACAATGTGTGGGAAAAATGCAAGAGCAAGCAAGGCTTCTACCAGTGGAGGCAGCGCTCTAGTCTGAAACCTATATATATCAGTTTCTTTGATTTTACTGTCTGCTTATAAACATCACACCAAGTTGCACCATGATGTCGCGTTCCCAAAGTGATTGTGCAGTGAGTGGACAGACCGTCTCCTTAATTGAACTCCTAATTCTACCTGAGTTAAATGACTGTCCCCACATAATGCATTGCATTACAGATAGCTCTGTCTCATCCTCCCTTGCAGCACTCTCATCTTCCCTCGCACATTGTGAGACAGATTCTCATATCTCATCCTCCCTCACAGCACTCAATTTGGAATGAATTCAGAGACTTCAATGTGAGCCAGCACCTCTATCATCAGCACCATATATATGGTTTCTCCAGTTGGTTGCTCCATTTTGCATCCACTTCTTGTGCCATCCCATTGTTGCAGACAATACCGCGCAGTGGAGATACGACCAGTAGCGATCACCTATAGAGACAGAGTCTCAGCGAGTGTAGAAGACACAGAGCTGACATTAGCAGTACCTATAGAGACAGAGTCTAGGTACAAGTCATGAGTATGAGTCGTAAGAGATCATAAGAGAGTATGCATACCTCAGCGAGTGTAGAAGACACAGAGCTGAGGATATGGAGCGTATAGTACTAGGTTTATATACCAGTCTGGAGCAGATATCATGATGTCATAGTGGAGTAGTGATATCATAGATGAGTAATGGATGACGCAATAATGAGGTCAGGTATGAGGTCATTGTGGAGCAAGCCAAAGTAATCTAAAGATACTACATATGATGTCATGTCTACATGCTGTGATAGTCGCTAATACAAACAAGCTTCAACACCCATGCCCCCAGAACCATGCCATGGCCTTGAGACAAATTTTGATGTGCTCCTTGCTGTCAGTGACATGCTTCTGCCAAATGACTGTCTCTCTCTCTTGATAGCATTGTGTTGCCTTTGTTGCATGCTGGCGCCTATCATCTTTTGTGCCATCAGATATTGTCTGCAATCAACTATTGATCCTAGAGCATTGTTGCTGGAAACTCTGTGGCCACTCATCCAGTGTGTTCATAATCCTCATGTACTATATATTTCTCTGCATTGATGTCTGCCATGCACTCTAGAGAGCTGATCATTGTGTTTGCAAGCATGACAGGGTTGCAAGAGCATGCTTTGATTGAATCCATGCTTGCTACTGCACTGCTGTGTTTGGGGGCTATGACGGCTCTCTGCATCAGAGGCAATAACAATAGTCTTTGGCCAGAACTGCTGAACATTTTAGTGCAAACACCACATATCATCCATCTTAACTTGGAATCCTGTTGGTGGTCGCAATCTCCATACAAGTTTGAGACACTGCCTACAACACATCTTCACAGTCTTGTATATGACCCATCACAAACAACTCATGTCAGCAATGAAAGAGAGCCTCCCCGGCAGCTTGAAGTGCATAATCTCTGATGTGTGCTCTGGTCTTGCCAACAAATGTTCTGTGCTCTCAAGATGCCTGGCTGTCTTTTGCCCAAACTCAATTCTCCTGGAAGTCTGTGACTGCAATGGTTGTCAGTCCTGGAGCTCAAGGGATCCTGGCCAATTGACTCCTCAGTGATGCTGCATGTTCTGGCTTGCATGCCTGCTCTTGAGGTGTTGCACTTCAATCTAGGATAGCACATGGATATTGCTCCTTCATGTCTGGCCAATGTTGGTGTGCGGCAAGGATTGCTTGAATCCTTTCTCCCTCAATTGCAATCTTTTCTCATCTCACTGCCTGCAAGAGGAGAGCAGATTGTTTCTGCTTTACCTCCAGGTCTGAAGGTGCTCTCCATCCTGGTGCTTCCAGAAGAGGATCACCAAGAATTCTTGATCCAGACTCCCAAAACAGCACATGTCTTGGGTATGTTATCCCTGTGTCACTTTCCATTGCTCAAAGTGCTCAAAGTTACTCACACAATCTTTCCTTCACACATTTACCATCTGGACACCTTTCCTGAAGGCCCACCATGTGGAGATGACATTGAAGCCAAGCAGACTCTGTTCAGGCTTCTCCCAACAAAATTCCCCCTACTTCGACATCTGGTTATATGGCGGATCTGGGATAGGCATCATTGGGACCAGAAGGATTGGGATCCTATGGTAAGTTTCAACCCTTGCAAAGTAGTCAACTGACAACTCCTTCTCATAGCCTCTTCTGCAGTTTGTTCTGCCCCAATTGAAGGAATTGCAAACATTTGCATTCAATCCAAGCATTCCTTGCTATGTTAATCAAACAGACTATCAATTGATGATGCATGGAGCCTGTGGCCAGCACCCTGACAACAAAGGCATGTTGAGGGCTTTGCATACTCTCACCAAGGAGGTTGTTTGTTTTGTTCTTTGGTTGAAGGAGATCTCCATGTTCTGCATTTACACCAAAGTCCCCAACAATTGGATGACATATTCTGTCAAAAGGTCTCCTGGTGGGCAGGTATAGCTCTGGCTAGACCATGTGCAAGCCGATCTCCAGCCATTGCCTTGTCAATTTTGATCCTGATTAGCTACTATTCTCCACCTACACTAAGTGATCAAAAGTAATGACCGATTGATTTTTTGATCCAAAAGTGATTGTGCTGTCGCAATACAAGGATTTTAGGGGAGGGTGTAAGTGAAGGAATTGTTGCTAGAGATATAGAGATTTGACTTGACAAGTTGTGTGTTTTTCTGACAGGATGGGCCCAAGTAATACGTTAAGGCATGTAAATATCAGGTTTACATAGGGGATCATATCATAGACAAACAAACCCTGCACGTCATTTCTTGACGACTACCAACCCTACTGTCTCCACATGGTATTAGTACACGCTACCCGCTCTCTGCTATCTTTATGGGCCATTACTTGACCCCAACAAAGTGTGATTGGATTGTGCAGTGGCGTAAAGAAGGGAAGACACACAACTGGATCCGTGAGCACCTCACCAGCCGCCACAACATCTCGGATTCGCAAATTTATCAGATAGAGCGGGACTATACAGAGAAGGAGAACTACTATGACAAGGGACATTGCTCCGGGTGTCCTGCTAAGCTCCGGCCTCGTGATGTGCGAAATGCTGTCTGTCACCTCAGTAATCAGAGCATCAACAATGCAACTCAGCTGCAGCGGGAATTCTTCCCTGAAGTCAGTGTACAAACTGTCAAACGAGGGCTTCATGCAATTGGACTCCAGGCCCACATTTGTTGTGTGGTCCCCTTCATCCCCAAGCACAATCTACGGGTGAGAATGCAATGGGCAGAATCCTTCTTGAATTGGACGGTCAAGGATTGGCGGCGTGTGTACTTCTCAGATGAGTCTATTTTTTGCGTTTTTGGGTCGGATGGGGCGGAGTGGTGCTGGAGACAACTGAACAAATGTCTCAATCCACGATTCACAAAGAAGAAGGTCAAAGGTGGCAGGGAGAAGGTCACAGTCTGGGGTATGATCACACTGGAGGGACTTGGACGCCTTGTGCACATTGAAGGAAACATGGACAAGTTCCTATACCGTGACATTCTACAGGACAATTTCCTCAGAAGCCTAGACGACCTCAATCTGGACCTTTGTGGCTGCTATTTTCAGCAAGACAATGATCCAAAGCACACAGCACGCATTGTTAGCGAGTGGTTTCATGAAAACAGCATTGATGTGCTGCCCTGGCCGGCCACAAGCCCGGATATGAATATCATAGAGCATGTTTGGGATCATCTTGACCATATGGTGCGTGCTCGGCGCCCGCTCCCCTTAGGGGAGAAAGATTTGTGGCAGGCTTTGCAGAAGGAGTGGGTCCGGATGGAGAAGGTTTTATTGCAATGTTGTACGAGTCCATGCCCAGGCGGGTGCGCACACTTTATGAGGCAAAAGGGGGAACACCCGCTACTAATTAGATTTGCTGCACTTTCTTTGTATCCTTCTCAAAAACATGTTCTCGTCTGATCATTGTTTTCTGACAAAGCCCAAAAAGGCAATTTTTGGAATAAAATGTGTCTACCACTGTCAAGAGATGTCATAGAGCTTAGATATTTCACAAGCAAGTTGTCGACTAATCTATGAACATTTGCACTCTATATTCCCCAAGGCCCAAGTGTACAATTCTAGCGTTACATCAAAAAATTTGATCGGTCATTACTTTTGATCACTTAGTGTATCTCAAATGTAGACTATTCGTCTCTATTGCTTTGAAAATGAGGCTCATGGCCCATGCCTGTGGAGAGAAACAAAAAAATGAAATGCAAGGAAAGGAGAAAAATTGAAGGAAAAGGGAGAGTATAGTATGATTTAGATTTGAAAATGGGACTGTTGGAACAAAACCTATTGTGGGTTGTACAGGCTGTATTGCAAGACAGAATAAACTAGTTTCTGTCTTATATTCTCAACAGAAGGATCTGAGGAGTACAGTGCACCAGTTTGCAGGACTTGTGGTTGTCTTAAATTGACATTGGTCTGCTGCCTGACACTGTTCCGTAGAGCAGCTAAATAGTTCAGTTACCAAAAGCCATCCTGTGCTATGTATGGCCAGTACTTGAGTCCCAGAATTCAACATGTTGCTCAAATGTTGACTCACTGTATGAACCTGGAGAATTGGGACCTTAGGATGAGTCCATTCATGGTCAATGACACAATTCAAAATAATATAATTCTGCGTGTGTACAGTTTCAAACGATCTGCACCGAAAGTCCCAAGTTATCTGAGTTGTGCAAAATCTACAACTGCTCGGACTCGAACGTCCGAGCTGCTTGCGTGACTGCCGAGATGCCGAACACACAGCCACATAGCTAGCGCCCCACAGGCATGACGCACGAGCCTAGATTGCTGCCGCCAGGTCAAGCTAATAAAAGCAACGGCTCTCAAACGACATGATGAAAATGTGATCATTCGCAGAATCAGAAAGAATGTGAGATAATATTTGCGTAAATTAGATAGATGAAGGGAAAGCATACAACAACAGATGAGATGGACACATGCAGAGTTACAAGCATAGAAAGGAAAGCAGATCGTGATCGTAACAACTTCATTCATTCGTGGATCGTCATTTTCATTCAACCTCTCCTCGAGCTGGTCGAACTCCTCGGCCCGAACAAACCCATCGGAACGTTGTGTTCGGGAACAAGCAGCGACGCCTCGTGCGACGGCGGCGTAGGACGCAGACCTGGGTCCGCTAAACACACACACACATTCAGTCAGCAAGCGGCACACGACAAAGATAACAACAGGAAAGCGACGCACGTTGCCAGGTCGCCCAGCTCTGCACCTGCCGGCGTGGATCAATGGGTGGCGGGGGCCCCGTCATCGGCGGAGGCGGACCAGGCTGGTGGTGGAGGTGCGGCGGCATGGGCATCGACATGGGCATCGGCGGCTGCTGTTGGGCGGCAGCGGCAGCTGCGGCAGCCTTCCTCTGCTTCCGGCTCGCTCCACCCTGCGGTACGGTTCTCCATCCGGGCCGAGCAGCGGGGATGTCCATGGGCGGGGGTGGCGGCGCCTCTTCGGGCGGTGGCGGTGCCCCACCACCCTGCGTAGGTGGTTTCCAGTCCGGTTCGAACTCGCCTCCAGGCCCGTACTTGGACTTCATGCAGAGCAGGTAGCCCATTTCGCTTGAGCGGGGGTTAGCATCGCCAGTGAGAAGGACGGAAGGATGGAAGATGTGACGCACTGCTGCAACGCGCGACGCTCCTCTCTGAGCTTTCCTACTTCCCCAAGCAACATCCGGACTTCCGAGGCGAGCGCCTTGCTGAACTCGTCCAGGTAGCCTTGCACGTTGAAATCGACCTGCTCGCGAGCAGTCGCGCGCACCGCCTCGAGCGTCTCTTCGTGCTGCCGGGTGCAATCTGTCCGCCAGCTCTCCGACAGTGAAGTGAGCAGTGCACGCTGTTCGGCATTGGCCGCGCGTAGGTCTTCGATGATCTTCTCCAACACTTTGAGATCCCAGTCAGTAAGAAATTCAGACAATGCCACAAGCCACCACTTACCAGGCTGAGTGGTATCTTTCTCCCGTGCTTCCTCCATATCCTCGTGGATCTTCTGCACCATATCCCGCAGCTCGATTATCTGGAGATCCTTGGCCTCGCGGCGCGCCGTTTTGTCGACCTGGTTCTGCTCATACATCGACTTTTTCTCCTCAAACTGGCTTTGCACCAGATTGGTCAGATCGCCCAACTGGGCCCTGACTGCCTCGTTATCGCTCAACGCCGCGCGCTCGCGTTCCTGCGCCTCGGCATCCGCGGTCTCCCGCTGCGTGCGGCCGATCTCGATCTCCTCCTTCAGAGCCCTCAACTCAGCCTCGAGGTCCGCCACGCGCGCCTCCTTGTGCGCCAGCAGCGCCGCCTGCGCCTCGTTGCGCTCCTTCTCCAGCTCCTCGCGCATCCGCGCCATCTCAGCCCGCTCAGCCGCCATCTGCTCCCGCTCCAGGTCGATCGTGTCCCGGATCGTCGTCGCCAGGATTGACACCGCCTCGCCTGTCGCTTCGTGGATCGACTGCGAGTCGCGCATCGACGGTGCGTCGTGCACCGACTGCGTGTCTGGGACCGCCATGCCGTCCCCAGGAACATCGTACATCGAGCCCGGACGCGTCCCCGGGCGTACCGACGGGGGTGGGCGTGTCGACGCAGCCGAGGGCGCGCGCCCGACACCGAAACCGGCGCCACCAGGCACAGCGCCGCCGTAAGGCACATTCCCTGCCTCGGCGACCAGCTGCCCCAGGCGCTCTCTTGCCTCTTCATCCCTCCGACGCTGACTTTCCGCGAACTTGGCCTCCCGGTCCTCCTCGTGCTGCCGGAAGTCGAACTCGCGCTGGTCCTCGAGGTTCTCCGCATGCTCTGCGGCAGTGGCCAGACGCGTTTCCATCTCCCGCAGGCGGTCAAGGCGCTCCTCCTCTGCGGCGGCAGCCTCCATCTCGCGCCCGTCGGGGAACGACGAGCTCGAGAACGGGCGAGGGGTCTGTCCGGGATCGGGAATCGGCAGCGGCCGACCTGGGGGCGAGGTCGGGAGCACCAGCGGCGGGAGGACTGCGGGTTGTTCAGCCGGGCCGTTGTAGGTCGATTCGTCCTCGTCTCTGGACTCTTCATCGAAGGATGACGGTGGATTTTCTGGCAGCGGGCCCACAGGCTCAACCACACCCACTTGACCCGGCTCGTCGCGAGACCTGATAATGGGGACAATCGGTCGCGGTCGAGTCGATGGCGCGCGCGAGGGAACACGAGATGGCGCCCGGGATGGAACAAAGCCTGGATCTCTCTCGTCCTCCAGCTCCGGCTCTTCCTCTTCCTCGGCGACCTCCTCCACTGGCTCCACATATGAGGACTCCCGTCGCCTAGGGGTCTCGCGGCCAAAGTCGTACTGATGGGCCGACGCGCCGTCAAAGTCGGTCATCCCAATAGAGTAACCGGTCGGGGGACGCATCAAATTGCGTTGATGGTCGTACACGCGGCCGCGGTGATTTTTGGGATAGATGACCTGGCCATCGTCCCCGTACTCCATCGGGATCGGGGTCCCATGTGAGTCGTAGTAGCGCACAGCTGGGCGGTGGGGATCCTCGTAGGGCACGGGTGTTGGCTGGCCCAGGCGTGGGTCTTGTGCAATCGACGGAGTCGGAATGGGGTACGAATGGACAGGTTGGCCGGAGGGCGAAACGAGGACTGGGAGTGGAGCGGGACTCCCGTCACGCACGAAAGCTGTGTGGGTGGATTTAGTCTTACTAGAAGTAAATTAGCACAAAACCCACCAGGAATACCAGAACCAGGATATCCTGAATGCGGTGAGCCGGGTCTCAGGGCACCGCCACCATGGGTCGTCGGAACGGGGACGACCACAGTAGATCGATCATCATCTGGATAGCGAGATCGTACGCTCCCGTACCGAGGGTCGCGCACGGGATCAGCCAATTCAGAACGGGGACGTCCCTCTGATGTCCTGCGCGATATCCGTGCTGAATCACGGGGGCTGTGCTCGTGCGGGATGTAGCTCTCCGGATCAGACTCCGAGTCGGACGACGGCGGGCTCCGGCCGCCCCCTCGACTGCGCAGCGTACCCACGCGTCCGGCATGCCGCTTCTCATCACGCCGGCGCTCACGGCGCTCGCGACGGCGCTCGGAATCTTCCTCGGCATAGCCCACGTCGGTCGGCGAGCGCGATCGCGATCGAGGACGGTCGTGTTCGTGCTCGCGCTCACGGGATCGGTGTCTTGTGGGGGAATGATCGCGGCCATGTTCATGCTCCCGCGATATGAGTCGTACAGGGGAGTGGGCGCGCTCATGTTCGCGCTCGCGAGAGCGGTCTCGCGTAGGGGAGTGATCACGCCCGTGGTCGTAGTCACGCTCGCGTGACCGGTGCCGCACATGTGATCCGTGTCGGGACGGCGAGTAGCGCCGCGAGCCCGCACCCGGCGAGTACGGCCGGTCATACTCGTGCTGCCGGCGCGGCGACGGCGTGCGCGAACGCGGATGCGTGTGCGTATGTGTGCGATGGCTCCGGGGGCTCAGAGGGCGGTCGTGCGTCGTCACCACCACCGGCGGCATGTGCGGGGTGCGCGGAGACGACCGCGAGCGGTGCCGGGACGACGGCGAATGCGAGCGGCTCCGTGAGCGCGAGACGATAATCGGCTGTTGGCCGGGAAGATGCATGCCGCTGTGCGGATAACCAGGCATTCCAGTGAGGGGAACACCGCCTGGAACCGTGCCGGGGTACATCACACCTGTTCCAGCCGGTCCTGGTGCCGGCACCACGATGGTCGTCGGCGCATGCTCGCCCGAATGCGCCGGTTGAGCCACGACGACCTGCGGCGGGGGAGTCGAATGGCCGTGGCTCGATGACGACCCGGGCATGAAGATCGGCGCTTGGCTCTGAGGCGGGAACATCTGCGGCGCCTGTTGCAGCTGCGGCTGGTGCTGTTGCTGCAGGATGTTGCGCAGCTCGCGAATCTCATCACGGACCGAATTGGCAAAGTCTCTAAATCCATCGGACTGCGAGCGTCGGGGCGAATGTGAGCGCGTTCGTGTCCGTGTCGGCGATCGTGATCGTGACCGTGACCGCGAATGTGACCGTGACCGGTCCATGAGGATGGGAGGCTCTGGATACATCGCCTGACTCGGGAACATCGGAGGCGCCTGAGATTGACCAGGCACATTGATGATCACCGGCGCAGGCGTCCCAGTCTGCGTCCCGTGGTCGGGGCTGCCCGTCCGCGAGCGCTCGATGATCACCGTGGGCTGGGGCTGCAGCTGTGGCTGTGGCTGTGGCGGAAGCTGGGACCCAACCGCCGAATGCAGCGGTGTACGATGGCTTCGGTGGGTATCACGCGACCGTGAACGCGACCGCGACCGCGAGCCATCATCCCGCTCACGTCGCTCACGCCGGCGACGATCTTCCCGGCGACGGCGCTCATCCTGGCGCCGCCGATAGCTGTCCGCTGAGTCCTCCGAATACGACCGCGACTGCGACCGGGATCGTGACCGCGTGTGCCTCCGCCCCCGTCCGTCGCGGTAGCTGGCCCCCCGACTCGGACCGCCGTGGCTCCGCGCGTCATCGCGGTACCGCAGCGAAGGCGAACGCGAGTGGGAGCGGCCGCGCCCGGACGGATTCACGACGATGAGCGGCGGCGAAGGAGCGTGTGACGGGGCCTGAGTGGGTGCCTGTGTCGTCCAGTGGTTAGCTCAAGATAAACACAACACATAAACGATCACAGACCTGGAGAACAACGCCAGGAACACTGCTTCCAGGCAAGGGAACCTGCGTCGGTGGCACTGCTCCCTGTGGCCCAGCATTGATGATGATCGTCTGCGGGGCTGCCGAGGCTGGCTGCTGATGCACAACACTGCCCTCCTGGAGCCCACTCGGCCCCACGGGGGGAGGCACCATCAACACTGTGTCTGGACTGCCGCTGCTACTGCCGCTGCCTTCCGATGCCTCCCCGTGCCGTCTCCGCCGCCGCGGCCGGCCGTCCCCATCGCTGCTGCTCGACGTCTCGCTCACGCTCTCCTCGTAGTGCGGCACAAGGGTCGGATCGATCCCATACAGACCCGCCCGCTCATCTCGCTCCTCCCCATCCATCAGCGACGGAGGCACAAACGGCGTCACAGGCCCAGGCGCCGGGGCTTCGTACGGTCGATACTCCTGCGGCGGCATGCTGAATCCCTGTCCGGGCATCGGCATCGGCATCGGCGGCGCAATCCCACCGCCGGGATTGATCACGATCGTCGGCTGCGGTGCGAAAGGCCCCATATTGGGCGGGATGAAGGGGACTGTGGCCACCGGAGCAGGGTTGATTGGCGTCCCACCGAATCCCTCTGGTGGGACGACGGGCGGGCCGGGTTGAGGAACGAATCCAGGGGGAACTTGGTATGCCCCCGGCGGGATGAACCCAGGTCCTTGCGGTTGCCCTGGATAAAACTGGGGCTGTTGGCCCAAAACCACCTGCGGTTGAGGCATCTGCGGCGGGATAAACGGCCGCCGCCGTTCGCTCATTGACTCGTCCGAATCGTCCGACACCTCGGAGGACTCTGTGTCTGTAAATATATTCGAGTCCTGCACAGTGAAGAAGACGCGAGACACGCACCTGCACCTCCGGGCGCTGGGGGGATGACCGGCCCTTGGCCCATACTCGGCGGAACCATCCCACCAGGTCCCATCCGACCACCCAAGTCCTGCGGTCCCATCGGCTGCTGCTGCTGAGGTGGCACAACGAATTGGGGCCGAGCCCTGACCTCCGCTCTCAGCTCATCAACGCGTGCGATCACACCACGCAGCTCCGCATGCCGGTCATTCACATCCCGTGCAAGCCATTCGTTCAGGCCCCGCATGTACCGCATCAGCTCTCGCTGCTGGTCCACCGTCGCCAGTTGCGCCAGGCGATTTTCCTATGTTGCAGGTAAGTTCAGCGTTCGAACACCACATCAGCACAAGAAATAAGCACCCGCAGGATGGCCATTAGGTCGTTGAAATACGTCGCCATATCGACTGGATTTCCATCCTCGTCAACAACACCAGGAAGCCCATAAATCGCATCAAGGAACCCGGGCTGCTGTGGTCTTTGGGGCTGTTGCTGCTGCGGTGGTGGCGGCGGTCGCTGAGGCGGCGGCGGAGGGGGTTGGATATCCACTGGCCGGTAATGCCCCGGTTCCTGCAGACGAAATTAGGCAGTTCTCGTAGGAAAGAAAACATTCAACCCACATGATACCAACGATCCTGATCACCACCCAGATCACCAGGCGCAGTCGGCGGCCGATGAATATCCTATCATCGTCAACAAACAACCAACGAGCTGAATCAGCCACCCACAATAGCTGGCCCTGGCACAGGTCCGAAATCTGCCGAATAATTAAGAAACGAAAAAAACCTCGAAAGTCAAAGAACACACCATGCATTCGACTCTGACCCTGACCCCGGCCTTGTCCCGGTCCTGGCGGTCCGAATCCTAGTCCAGGCCCCATCGGCCCCCCCGGCCCCAAATCACCGCCATCCTGGTCAAAGTCACTCTCCTGTTCGCTGCTGCTGCTGCTGCCTCCCTCATCTCCCAGAGCAGGTCCAGCGGCTGGTGTTTGCGGTTGAACAGGAGGCGGCAGTGGAGCCGTTGGTGCAGCCGGGGCGGAGGCATCCATACGAGGCGGGATCATATCCTATGCATCATCGTCAACGCCTGTCAATACAAAAAGGCAATAAATAAAAATGAAAGACACACCCGCAGATCCATCAATGGGACACTTTCCGCCCGCCGCCTCGGCGGCAGCTCCGGAATATCGGCTACGATATCGCTCCTCGGTCGAGCACCCCGACGCACCTCCCCGCGGGTATACACGAACGGGACCAGCGGCGGGGGGCGTTCCGCTCCAATTGATGCAGCTGGGAGCCCGGCCGCGCCTACAGGAACACTACTCGAGAGCAAGTCATCAAGTTGCTGCGCAAACGTGCGCCCATTGGCATCGCGCGAAGGCGGCAGCGGAACGGGAGTGTGCAGCAGCGACCACGGCAGCGATGGCAGTGACATCAGCGAGCGGCGGATATCTTCGAGCCACGAACGGTCCGATCCGGCCGTCGACGAAGAATCCGACGATGAGGGGTCAGAGGGCTCTAATGCTGGCGGGCCTGCTGGCATAGTGGAAGGAACCGGGGCAGGAGCTGGCACTGGAACTGGGAAGGTGATTTCCACTGGTTGCTGCGGCGTAGGCATTGGTCTGTCAACCAGCGCCTGCAACAGGTCCTCCATGCGGGCCAGCCGATCGGGCGTATCGGATTCTTCATGGTCTGAGGCTACTGCTTCCCGCGGGGTCTCCCTAAGAAGACATGAAGAGAGGTAAATAAACACAAATACAAACGTACCGCCGCCCGCTCAATCTCTCTCGCACCCAATCCAGCATGTGATTGGTCGAGACCTGGCCCTCTCGCAACGCACCGATTTGTTCAGCCAGATTTCGGAGTCCTTCGCCGCCATCGCCTACATCCAAACCCCGCTGCGTTCCTAGATCACGTAACTGCGAAATAATGTCATCCAGGGTGCGCTGCACGGGCGACAACGACAGGTCAACTGGCAGCCCGGGCCGGACAGTATGTGTCGAGGAAACGGTCGAGACTACCGACGAGGATGGCGCCATGGACGATGACGATGAAGACGATGGAGACGACCGGGGCGGGGGCAGCACCCGCTCCACGACATCATCCTCTTCCTCCTCCTCATCCGCTTCCAGCTGTCTCTCCAGCCCATACGGCGAGTCCGCTGCAGAATATTCGCTGCCTTCGTCCGAATAATGCGAGCTCAAGAACGACATGCTGCTCGCATTGCTTGAAGATCTCGCCAGACTAGAGCCAGTGCTCGGGGCGTATCGCGGCGCCATCGGTGGCGGCTGCAGGTAGGTGATCACCGGAGCAGCTTTTGCTGTGGCTGTCGGCGTCGGCGTCGGCGTGGCTTCCCGATCTTCCTGCGGGTATTCCTCTTGGAGAGGCTCTTCCACCTCCTCCTCTTCTTCCTCGGACTCAACGTCCAGCCTTGGATGTCCCAACGCATCGAGCCTGCCAGCCAGATACCCACCCAGCCCACGAACTTCGTCTCTGAGGGCCTTCACCTCATCGGCGATTTCCGCATTCTCCTCGCCGCGTTCGGCTGCGATGCGCCGCATCTCGTCGGCCAGGTCGTCGAGGCTGAGTCCGGGTGGAGCCACAATCGCCACGCCCGACGATGGGATGGTCGATAGCTGTGAGCCATACGACGGAATGTCGCCCCTGGGAGTGGTGATGCTGATGCTGCCGGAGATCGTAGTCGGTGTCCGGGGGAAAGGCGTCGACGAACTCGACGAGGACGAGCTGGATGGTGGAACAACCTGAGGCGAAGGCTATAGTAGTTTTCAGCAAAAATAGAAATATAGACTTCAGAACGAACACGTACCACCGTCTCCACATCGCTCTCACTCTCACTTTCAGTGAGCCGGCTGCTGGTTCCCATACTCATCTGCACCTGCCCACCGCCAGACGATGTCGACGTGAATGAGCTCGGGGTTGAAACGCTCGAGAACTCGCTCTCGCTTGTCGCACTAGGCGTCGGTGGCATCGGGACCAACATCACCCCGCTACCGACATCACCCATCGGCCGGAGCGTGGACACGATACTGCGTGGGATCGTGTCCATGCTCTCGCTGCCGGCGTCGTCGACCAGATCGAGACTTGGCCGCAGGAAACTTGTCTCCCCGCTCACCTCGGCCTCGGCCGGATCCGCGAGCCCGAGCCCCGAGGCAGACGACACGGACGGCGCCAAGAAGCTGGAGTCATAACTCCCTGCGCTCGAAGACGCTGCGCCCCAGGACCGCACACGCGACAGGGCGCGAGAGAGTGGAGACAAGTGGTGGCTTGACTCGCTTCGAGCAATCGGGGAAGTGGAGATCGGAAGCTCGGGCACGGGAACTGGAATTGGAGTCGAGAGGGAAACTGAAGGTGAAGCTGGGGCTGGAGGCACTGAAGCCGGAGCTGGGACCAGTATCGGGATCGGGATCGGGATCGGAATGGGGAGCTGCACAGGACTAGGCGCAGGCGAAGAGGCCACGACAGAGGGCGTCAACATACTGCTCGCGCTCAGGCTGTCGCTTTCAACACTGCTCTCAACACCCGAAGGCCAGCCTCCACTCATCGTCGTTGCCGCATCGAACTCATTCGCACTGGGCGCAGACACACCCTCGCTCGACACGCTGCTTAGTTCCAGAGACAGCGGCGTCGCAACGCTGGTGATTCCGTCGTCAGAGTCTGACGACACCACTGAGCTCGGCGGCAGAGATGGCCGCGCCGACAATACCGTGCTCGGCGACGCCGTCCGATTCGGCGACACAGCCGAGATATCAGACGAAGCGAGAGACGACGGCGGAAGGGGCGGATACGTCTCTTCGGCCTCCGAAACGACACTCTCTGGCAGGGGTGGATACTGTTCTTCTTCGTCTTCCGAGACCACACTTTCCGGTAGCGCTGGGTAGGAGCGCTCGCTCGCGACGCTTTCAGGCAGCGCAGGATAGACTGTCTCCGCATCTGATTCGACTTCCGATTCGGGCAGCGGCGGGTAGACCGACTCCTTGTCGCTTACCACTGATTCTGGCAACGGCGGATAGACCGAATACTCCGACTCCAGATCGCTCTCGGGCAACGGCGGGTAGTCATACCCGTACTGTTCTTCCACCTCGCTGCGAATCGTCGGGACCAGACTAGGGACACGGCTGAGACTGGTTTTGCCATCGCCTAGCTCCACGTCGAGATGCAGGTCGTCCCCAGCCCGACTCATGTCATCGTCCGGGAGCGGTATGACCCGGACAGGCTTGGGCGTCCCTTCCTCGACATCCTCGTCCGGAATACTCCCGATCTCGCTTGCCTCGGGCACAGTCGCGTACACTGATACCGATTCCGGCTCAGAGTCAAGAGACTTGTAGTCGCTCCCAGCAGACGACGGGGCCTTGGTAGCAGTGCCGTATTCCGAGCCCGATTCCGAGCCAGAGGCGGTCACATACGTTTCAGACCCGGATGAGGCAGACAAGTATTCGTCCCCAGAGGCAGGCTGTTCCGACCCAGAAGACGAACTTGAAGAATACGACGCAGAGGAATAAGTCGGCGGCGTCCCCGTGATAGTCATGTCCGTCAGATCAGACGAATCGCAGATATCGTATCCAGTCTGGTTCGAACTCTGGCGGGTTGGAAGCGATCCAGATCCAGACCCGGATCCGGATCCCGAGCCCAAATCAGAAGCTACATCGGAGCCAGAATCGCGGTGAGACGAAGGCGTGTAGCCGCTGGACCCACCGCCCTCTGAGCTTGAGTACGAGTACGATGAGCGCGTGTTGGTGTACGAATCCCGGGACGCAGACGGCGAGATGAGTGAGTCTCGAGAGAATGATTGGGATGAGTAAGACTCGCGGGTGTAGCTGTTCGAGTTGGTGTTGGTGTAAGATCCTGAACCAGATCCCGACCCCGATCCAGATGACGGCACGGGCGAGGAAGTCCCGGAGAGCAGCTCGCGAGTACCAAACGGCCTACGCCGCGTCTCGCGCGTCCTGAATAGACTCGACGCCGTCGGAGTAGGCGAGCTGGATCCGGAGCTGGGTGTGTACGACCCCGACCCTGTATAGCTCCCAGATCGGGTGTAAGACGTTCCAGTCTGCGTGTACGAGCCGGTTCCAGTTGCTGTCCCAGAATACCCGGTCGTAGTCCCGGAATACCCGCTGGCAGTTCCAGAATACCCCGTCCCGATCGAATACCCAAACGTCGCAGTACCGATCGAGCCACTCCCGGTCCCACTGAACGTCCCGGTTCGAGTAGGGCTCCACGACGAGCCAGTCCGGAGCCCAAGGCCGACAGAGCTACCGAAGCGCCCAAGGCCGATCTGAGCGTTGGCGTGGGTGTTCGTGTGCGTCAGCGCATTCGTATATGACGACGCCGACCGGGAGCTAGCAGACGAGCTTGCGCTTTGGTACGCGTCTTCCTCCGAAGAGTTGGATTGGAAACTCTCCTCGATCTCGCCCATGCTTCCTCTTCGCGCACCGCTCCGCCGGCCGCTGATGACACGTCGATCTCCAGGATACAAGTACGAGCTCCCGCTGATCACACTGTCGTCGACTGTGCCTGTATGCTGCGGTCGGGACGAAATGGCTTGGGGCCGTCAGCATGTAGCATGTAAAACAAAACTGGCGGAAATACACACCAGAACTGAACGTCGCAGTGCCCAGCTCCCCTTCCTGTTCTGTCAAGCTGCGCACATAGCTCGTGTAGTCCTCGTAGAGATCCCCTGTCCGGTTAGTGTTGACGCCCGTCGAGGGGCTCGCAAACGTCCGCGTCCAGGCTTCGCTCGGTGTAAACGTCCGCGTCCAGCTCGCGGTCGCAGTGCCCGTCCCAGATTCAGTCTCCGACGGCACATCAGGTACCTCGGATAACGGCGGGACGAAGACCGTGTTGCGGCTGCCGCTCGATGTCGACGACGCCGATGACGCGGAGGAGATCGACAAAATCGTGCGGATGCTCTCGGACCGGGCTAGCGAGTGTTGCGAAGTCGATTGCGCGTCGTCGTTGTCATCGCTTAGGCCAACTGGCGGGCGGTGAATCGCTTCCCTGCATTTGTAATGAGATTCTGGATAACAGGCGGGTGAGGGAAACCATACCAGATTCTGTTCACCCATCTTTGTCTTTCTACCAGACTCTCTGCCGCCAGCCTCTCGGTTCCATCATCGTAGGTCATCTGGAATGGCACTAGGAGATCAACTAGCGTGTCCACACCGGGTTCGCCCGTTTCTGCGAGGAAAAAAATCAGAGACGGAAGGAAGAAAGAGAAGAGGCGGAGCGCCTACCGCTCTGCAGTCGCGCAGCGACACTGCCCACGTCGTCTCTTGCGCTAGGATTCCCCAAGCTTGTCGAACTGTTCACCGTTTTGCAGTTAATGAGGTCCAATCCCACAATACCGCGTCCTCCGCCCGGTGCGATCCAAGAGAGAAGTAGCAGATGCGGGTACAGTAACGCGCGACATCGCTGCCAGCGGTACGGCGGTTCTGTATGAACATTGAGGAACCAAAGTGAGCCAATGTGCAGGGGCTGTGCAATAAGTTCAATCATTGATGTCATCGGGAGTCGATGTCATTGAAACTCACAGGCTCGTTGGTCTGGGTGTACGACCCTAATTCGCTCGGGGTCATTCCCAGCCCATTCCCACTGCGCACGCTGTTGGCACTACGGAGGGACGCGGTATCTTCCGGCCGTGCCCTTCTGCGCATCTCAAATAGATCCAGCTCGGCCTCGACAGGCAAGGGCGGCAGCTCGCGCTCCCGTTCCCGTCTTTCTGAGGGAGCCGCTGACGAGGCAGAGGAGGCGGATGGTGAGGAAGACGTCTTGCGCACTGCCGGGCTTTTTGTTGGCGACCCGCGTTCTTTCCACGCAGCCACAATGTTGCGCACGGATGCGAGCGGCGAACGGGGACTGGTGCCTTGCGTCGGGCGCCGCAAAGGCGGTGTCGTGGACCCAGACGTCGTTGTGTAGGTTGCAGTGGGTGTGTAAGTCCGCGTCCCGCTCTGAGTGTACGACGTGACGGTGTGCGAAGGCGTGAACGACGTATTGGACGGCGTATAGCTCCTCGTCGGTGAATATGATCGCGTCGTAGGGCTCATCGGACCGGCCGACAAAATCGTCCCCATCGACGGACGACTGTTCGTCACCGTAGTGGTGTTCGTGTTCGTGTTAGTGACTGAATCATTTTTATCAGATTGGACACTTGAGCATAAAATCTGCTCACCAGAGGAATTCGAACCCAACCTCGAGCTCTTCGTTGGCGACGCTGGTCGCGACCCATACGTGCTGTAAAACCCACCTGCGTGGGTGGTCGTCTCCGTGCCAGGCCCCGCAGAAGTCGTGAACGGAGACACACTCCTCATTGGCTGATTCTCATACACGGCTATCAGCTCGTTAGCTCTGCCTCGTGGTGGTAGTTCCGCCCCCGGATCCGACGACGCCCGCGAATGGCGCGCGGGAAGAGGAAGACCGTATGAGTTGGGTCGGGATCCTGTGGCTTCTTCACTGCGCTCCGTGATCCTGCTGAGGCGTGCGGGGTGCGCATACGGAGGTGAGGCGATTGTGTCCGAGTATGAGTCTGAGGTGTATGTTGTGTATGAAGGAGTGGTGTACGAGTGCGAGCTAGAGCCCATCCCAAGCCCCAGCCCAAGATTGAATGATGGCAAGTTTGCAAACGACGGGGAACCCGTATACCCCGTCCCAGTACCCGTGTACGATCCTGTCCCCGTGTACGACCCCGACGGGGAGGTTGCTGCGCGTCGGTGCTGAACCCACGGTGCCGTGTTCTCGTCGTACTCCTCATCAGAATGCTGCAGCGTCGCCTCGACTTCCTCGAGCGAGTCGCTGTCGGTATACTCTTCCTCCCGGTCCCCGTGCGTGTAGTTGTCGGTAGTGGTGTAGTTGTTGTCGGTTTGCGTGGTATAGGTATACGTTTGCGTGTGCGTGTCGGTATCGGTGTAATCGTCCCGCGTGTCGGTGGTGTAGCCGTTCGTCGACCCACCCCGCGTTGGTGATACATCTGCGCAGCGCGTTAACCTCGATCCTGGATGCGCGCTCGCATCAGCAAAAGGATGCCACCCACCTGTGAACGTAGCAGTCCCATAGCCGTACCCATACCCGGTCGACGGGTCGTCGCTGCTGCTCATCGTGAGCCGCGCGCCCGGTGGTATCGAAGAGCGATGAGAAAGACTGGGCTTGTTTGTTTGGTGTGACGCCACGCGGTCACGTACCCACGCCCCACAGGGTGTCTCAACACGTCACGTGGGGCGCGTTTCGTCGTTGATCGGATCAAGATCAGGAGCAACTGCCTTTGAAATTCCGATGCTTGCTACCGTGCCAACTCCGCCGATCTCTTGGAAGAGACTCAAAGCATTCGAAACCTGGGTCAAAACAGTGAATTCCTTCCATATCTTCACATCTCAAAAGTGATCCAGTCACTGCATGGATGGACCTGAGCGTAGTCACCTGCACATGAAAAGTATCCATGTTGCTTGACAGCTTGCCTCAACGGCATCTAATCTGCAGCTTCCCACAGGCAGACGCTTGCTCTTGTGGCTTCCCTCGATCTTTTGTCACTGGCATGTATCTTACCACTGGTTTAACGCAACATTGCCTGGCCGGGCCTTTGACCTCACGTCTCTCAAATCAAATTGTCCCGGCTGAACAAGCAAAGACACACGCCAGAATCCACTTGTGCAATTCATTATGTGCACTTTCAGCTTCTTGTATTCAAAAGACGGACACTGAATGCTTGAATGAATTGCTGATTGAGCATCATCTCAGCGAACTGACTTGAGACCCAATGGCCTGATGATGTACACAATACAATATTAATGTATGTCCTGCCTGACCTATCTTTTTCATTCCTTGTGGAAATTCAGGAGTCGATGCTGATCAATGATCCCACTCCCTTGAAGATGTGCAAGGCATTTCTTCATTCCGGAATCAATGCTATGCTAATGAGCCTCTAGTATCTTCGTTCTCTCATGCAAGCTGGTTTGTACATTCTTGCTGAAACAAGAGGTTCCAATTCGCAACCTCAATATCATCATTGATATTTACGACTAAAATAAATCAAACTCGCAGCTGAAGCAAGCGTTATTGGTGTAGAGGTAACATGGTCCTTTCCCAAGGGGCAGCCTCGGGTTCGATTCCCGGATGACGCAGCTTCATCTCTTCATGACCCAAGCTTCATGTTGTTTTTTCTCTCGAAGAATCTGTAGATGTAATCTCTTCCGCCATCCGTTTCATCCCTCCGTACTTATACCTCTGACTTTCTGCATCCAACTCAAAAGCTTCGATCACATGTGGTTGTTGACGTAAGCTGCAGCCGCTCAATCAGACCTGACTTCTGTTGTCCATCCTTGTTCGCAATAACATAATCGACACAGACGTGAAAAAGAGCTGGTCCTGCTGAGCCAGATAGACGCACGGGTTGAGGATCTCTGCCTGCCCAATCTACTGCGTGTCCGCCGCCAACGCGGCGCTCGCACCTCCTACACTACCCCAAGATCAATTAAGCCCTGGATCTCGAACAAGTCTATTCCACGATTCGCATCCTTTTGTCATCCCCCCACACGCGGAACACTCTCCGGCTTCCACGACGAATGATGGGCGCTTCTCTGCGCTTCTTCGAAACCATACATGGCTCATCCGGGAGCTGATAACGGCCATGTGGAAGCACTATCGCGAATCTGATGCAACCAGGTCTACGCACAAGCTTCGGAATTCCTGCTATATATACTCGATGCAAGGAGAGCGTAGTCCTCGCTGCTGCTTTTCCGGACCATGTTCGGGCTCACCGTGTCGCTGACCGCTGCGCTCCTCGCCGCCCCCGTGTTGTCGAGCCACCCGGACCCATGCGCTGCGATCGCCGGGCAGGCCTTCGTCCTCCCCGCTGCTGCCCTGGCATGCCTCAAGTCCTTCCCGTTCAACGAGACGCTGCGGCAGAACGTGCTCACGCATAACATTGCGCGGGTGTTCGACTTTTTCACCTTCGAGGACTACTACCTCAACTCGCCGCCTCCGTTCCAAGAGTCGACGACCAACATCCGCGCGGACCTGGCCAGGATCAACACCACCAAGTACGCAGTGAGTGCTCCCCTTCCCGAACCACAACAGCGTCGCTGCTGCTGCTGAGGCTGCTGCTCACCACCGCGCACAGACCGACTACGACTTCAATCTCGACCTGTACAACTTCATCACGCAGCTGAACGACGGCCACACGCGCTGGTTCCCGTCCTGCTACACGAACTGGCAGAACATCCTGCCCGCACCGGTCGTCTCGCTCGCGGTGAACGGCGTGCAGGGCGTGTACATCGCGCCGGACCTGGTCGACTTCATCGGCCTTCTCGGGACGGAGTTCGCCGGGTTGATCTCCCACGTCGACTGGCAGCAGCTCGCCGGGGCGAGGGTGCTTGCCATCGAGGGCCAGGAGCCGTACGCGTACATCGACCACATCGCGTCGACGGTCTCGGGAAACTACCTCGACCACGGCGTCCGCGTCAACTCGGTCCTCTCGTCCTATCGTCTCACGGGCGCCGCCTATTCTCAGCGACTGGGTACGTCTTGTTTCTATCTCCGTGTCGGTCGTGTGACGCGGATGTTTTCCAGGTGATCTCGCCGGCCCGACGGGTGTCGCGCAGACTTCGCTCCAGTTCAAAGTCGTCCTCGCGAACTCGACCACGGTGAAGACAGTGTCTTTGCCCTACATTGCCAGCTTCGCAGGCGTCGCCTTCACGGACAAAGCTTCGTAGTGAGTGTTATCTATCTATCTGCAGTCCCCGATCAGCTGACGCTCCGCCACTCTCTCAGCTGGACTAACAACTGCGCTGCGAACGCAAACACAAATGGGGTGGACTTCAAGTCCTCAGGATCGGCGCCGGCAGCGGCAACTCTCCGGGCCGACAAGCTATCGCCAACGTTACCACGCCGCAAACTGGCCATGGGCAACATCATCGACAAGTCGAGCAACAACGCCGTGGGCCTCCCCCCGCAGTTCCAGCCCGGGCTCCCCACCGTGGGCGGTGACCAGGGCGTCATGAAGTCGTATATCCTGCCTGGAAACAAAACGGGTGTTGTGCGTGGATGGATTCCATGCGTTATCTTATCTGACCGCGTTCAGATGTTCATCGGGTCCTTCGAGGGCGACTTTAATGGTTTCCAGAACGACACTCAGTCGGCGATCGCCGCATTCGTCGCCGCGGGCGTGCGCAACCTGATCATCGACCTGCACGACAACGGCGGTGAGTGAGCACGCGCTTTCGGCTACTCTGAGCCGTTTCTCACATACCACGCATTCCAGGCGGCTTCGTCTGCCTTGGCCAGTTCCTGCACCAGTACCTCGCGGGCTCCGAGCTCGGGTATCCCGGGTTCCAGAGCTCGCTGCGGGCGAACCCGCTTGCGCGCAAGATCGTCGCGTCGGACATCGCGCTGGGGTTGAACGAGAGCTTCAGCTTCTACACCGCGGACAACTGGGGCTTTTTCAACGACACGCAGATGCCCGCGACACACGACTACATGAGCCCCGATGTGCCCATCACCATCAGCGGCAAGCAGGACTTCACCTCGCAGCGCTTCCACGTCCGTCTCTCTCTCTGACCGTGTGTGCCGTGACTGATTGGGTGCGGCACAGGATACGTGCGACCTGACCTATACGGTGCCCATCCCGAAGTCACCACTCATCCCGGTCAGGTGTGTGCCTCGCCGTGCTGGTCCTTATCTCCCCATCGTCTGAACGTCTCCCTAGCAACATCGCCATCGGTGCGGGACCCCTCTCTCTATCTAGCCCTGTTCTCGCGTCCAAAGGCTGAATGGACGACACAGTGGGCAACGGGAACTGCGCCTCAACCTGTGCGATGTTTACGACTCTGATGCTCGAGCGGCATAACACCAAGATGGCCGTGTTCGGTGGCAAGCCCGGCGAAGCGGTCGAGTACAAAGGTACCGTTCGTTCGCTGCTTCCTCCTGCTTCTCCTCCCCTGACGTGAATCTACGCCAGGGATGGCGGGAAACCAAGTGCTCGAATGGTGCGTGGTTGTACGCTGTGCGATCGCTACCTGATCACGCTGCTTGGCAGGTTCGACATCGACAGCGAGATCAAGACCGCGAATCTCAAGGATGTGAGCAGCGCTCTCTTCCACCTCCTGCCTCGGAACACTGCTGAGTATTTTACAGGATCCGCTCGCACCTGCCGACCTGTACGCTTGATTGATCTGCACAAGTTGACAGGGAGAATCTGACCCTGTATAGCTTGATCGACGGAAACTTCCGACACAACTGGCGCACTGGTACATAGGCCTGCGCTTCCATCCCCCTGTTGCTGAGCGCGTGTTTTTATTTCTAGCGTGGAGTTTCTTCAACGAGCAGCTGCCCATCGGTGAGTCGTACGAAGTGAATGTGTCGCATAGAGACTAACGATCAATCAAGCGTTCAAGTCTGAGCCGGCCAAGTGTAAGTTCTCAGGCTCTGGTCTAGTCGAAATGGCACTGAGCACTTGTACTTTCTATGCAGTCCGATTCCCGTACACTCTCGACACGTACAACAACCCGCTCAACCTGTGGCTATTCACGTGAGTTGCGCGTGCCACCAATGTGATATCTCGGCTCAAGATTCTCTTTTTCTAGCGAAAAAACTCTCCTCTAGGACTAGGTCTAATTCTTACTCGGATGGGATTCAATACGGAGTCAGACACATGTACAGGTTCCAATACGACATTATTCAGATGGTGTTGGCATTGCATAGAGAGTACAGTTAGTTGAACAGTCCATCAGGTACGTTAACCCTACGCGATGAAGGAGCGTGGTAGTGTGTCCTGTTTGCCCTTCTTGCCGTGGAACATCCGCTTGAATAGCGACTGCTTGGGCTGGTGCGCAAGTACTTGGCCCGCTGTCGAGTGCGATTCGGGAACCGGCTGGATCGATATATGGGACTAACAGAACGGTCAGCGGGGATGACGAATTGGACAAGACGGCCTACCGAAGTCACGTAATGATATTCGCCGTGGAGCCCGAACTGAGGCGGGATCGGATGCCGCTCCCGATGCGCCCGTTTTGACGTGGACTTGGACTTGGATTTCCGCGGTTCCGCAGCGGCATAGAGCGTCGCGGACGACTTGGCCGCGCGCGCGTTGGCGTAGAAGCTGGCTGGTACGGTGGGGACGGGCGGGGCAGCCTGTTGAGCCGCTGCGTGGTACTGCGCGCTCAGCGCCACGGACGACTTGGACCTGGATTTCTGTGACGCTCGCGGCTGGTGGCCGGGGTCCCGCTGGTAGGCGGGGTGGGCTGCTGCGCACGGGGCTGCTGCGTAGATACCGATGTTGGCCGGCTGAATAGTGCCGACGGTGGAGTATGCACGGGTGCGCTGTGAGCCTTGCGCAGTCGCGGCGAGATCGTAAGCGCTCTGGTTTGATGGGGCTCTGGACCGGTCAGACCCCGCTCCGTATAGTGGTAGCGGCGGCGGTGTAGAAAAGCCGGGTCCAGTAGGAGCAGCGGCGCGAGTAGTCGTCTGCTGGTAGGTCCGCCGCTGGACGTACGTCCCATTGCTGGTCTGCGTGTGGATCGTGAGATGTGAACCGTGCGGTCCGGACTGCCGAGAGTAGCTGTAGATCTCATTACCCGCGGCTGCAGCCGCAGCAGCCGCAGAAGACGACTGTACTCCAGAGAGCTTCTCGATCGCACTCTGCTTCTTGCACGCCCACGCCTCCTGCGTTCCGGTGCTCATGGGCACACTGGCCGCAGAAAATACTTGGGCTCCCCGTTGGGGCGCAGGTATAGCCGGAGCATACGGATCCGCCTGGTTCGTGCTTGAAGTATCTTGTGTCCATCGCTGGATCCGGTTCTGTGTGGCCTGATACCGCTCCATCGCCTCTGGGGAGAAATCGTACTCAGTCATTTCGGAGTTGAGCTGACGAGAACGGCCGACAAGGATGAGCAAGGAGAGCAGAGACGGTCGATCCAGACCAGACTATTTAAGCGTCCCGACGCATTGTCTGCCCCCATCCATTTCGAGAAAACAGGTTTGAGCCAGAAAGCGCATCAGATTTTGCGTGGTCAAAGTGTAGAACAATGGATGGCTTCAAAGATCAAGCATCGATCGACGGTGGTATCCCACAGATCTGGCGGTTCTCCCAAGGACCCTCGAGCACCACGTTTGGCGAGAGCAGACCGTGTTGTCATCCGACCAAGTTCGAGGGGCCGGATCGAAGTTATGACGAGATTCACCCACTTACTCGCCCCAATCAACTCGACACCTCTATGAAGGCCCCAGAAAGGTCTTCTGCGAAGTCTCCAGCGCAAGGGCGGTGGTCATGGTGGCGCAGGCGACCACTTAATGGTCAGTGAGCACTTTGGCGTGACATACAGCAAACGTCAAAGCCCGACCTTATCATGAAAATTCGCGGGAGCCTTCCGATGCCCGAGAAATGCCGCCGTGCGTCGCGAGGTGTTTTCGGCAGTGACAAGACGCTGCTACCTTGGTCGTGCTCGGATCGGAGACCGGTCATCGATCAGCGCCGATGAGATCGGACTTACACAGCATCACCGCCACTACCGTGACAATCCGACGTGCTCAATCGAGCAGCCAAACAGCCAGGATGAGGTTATTCGCACAGACTCCCACTTTCCCCGCGAACGATGCATCCGTCTCCCTACGAGCGGCCCCTCGCTCGCTCTGCACCTCCACCAGTGCCCTCGATCGAAGAGACACTCGTCCCGTCTCAGGCCCAGCGACACCTACTTAATAGAGCCTCCAAACGCGTCCGGGGCGAGATCGCCTGTGCGGAGTGCCGCCGCCTGAAGATACGCTGCGACAAAACGGTGCCGTGCTCTACCTGCGTGAAACGGTGCGTTATAACGACGCGCTTTTTCGCTATCACGCTCATGGCAACACCCGCGACTGCGCAGCGGCTGCGCGGCATTGTGTCCGAATGGCATGTCGCATTTTCGTCCGGCTTGGTCTCTGAGCTCAATGTTTTTTCTTGGCTATCCCTGCAGGTACGATACCGCCCGGAGACAGCAGTCGCTTTGTGCTGGCCGCGACGGAGCACCTCGAGCTGAAACTAGCGCAAATGGAGGCCCGGAAGCACTCCCTCGAGGACGCGCTTGCCATCCTCAGCGACAAGCCGCATCCACTCCTTAACATGCCTGAAACCAAAGATGACGAAGACGCCGAATTTCTGGACGATGCTGCGCTCAAACTCAAGGCAGTAGATGATGCTTCAGAATCCGCGGTGGAAGCGATCGGAGCCTTGCACATCGACGGGAAGGGTGTATCTCGCTTCTTTGGCCCTTCTGGTGGTTCTGAGGTACGTCCCAGGTTCCACGGCGTCCTTCCTGAGGCTGACGGGATCCTTAGAGCCTCCTTCTCGTTCGTATCCTTCGTGAAATAAGCTGTGACTATCGTATTCACCGATCTCTAGCAAGCCGAAAGTGTCGAGAAACAGCGGACACCCCACCTGCTGAGAGAACTCGACACGTCCTACCTCCCACCCGAGATCCTGCACTGTTCGTCTGCGTTCCCGTTCATGCCGCCCGGGTTTTCACGCGAGCCCATACAAGAGATGATAGAATCATTCCTTCCGCCAATGGGCCGCGCAGTCGCTCTCTGCGAGACGTTTCTCGAGCATCTCTCTTGGATGTTCCACATCGTGTCTCGGCGACAACTTTTCGAGGAGCTGATACCTGCGATCTATAAAAGGTCCTACACCGTGTACGGTCTTCACGACCTCGCTGTGCTTCTTATCACTCTGGGAATCGGGGCCCTGGTGGACCTTGAGCAGCAGCCGTACAATCTGGAAGCGCAGCACTACTATCGGCTGGCACGCGCCGCGTTGATGCTCCAGTCGGTCATGTCCGAAGCTTCCATAGTTACCATCAAAGTGAGCGTATTTTGCCTTTCCTCAGAAGCATGCTAAAATTGTGTGCAGACATTGCATCTCATGAGCATCTACAACGGGTTAAGTGGGAAAGAATCCAACATGGAGGCGTCGTATGGATTTCTTGACATGGCTTGTCAAGTCGCGCTAATGGTCAGCTGTCCTCCCCGCCTTGCGATCTCTTCTTCACTGACTGAACCGCCCGTAGACGGGAATGCGTATGTTTCGAAACCGAGAAAATGTCCTGGACTGAGCCGGTAAAATAGACATTGACCCTTCGATGTGGGGATTTCGCGGCCAGCAGGCGTACGATCGACGGATCTACTTCTGGAATCTCTGCGTCGCCATGCTCTGGCAGGTGAGTCATACATGTTATCAGGTAATGAGGCACGTTCTGAACCAGGCAGAGTCTTGTAACTGGCCGGCCGCCATCCATTTTGTCACAGTACATCGACTGTCGAATCCCCACAGAGGAGGAAGAGGATATGTACGGGGGCGGGGGTCCCCCTACTGGGCGTAGGTCCAGTGCCCCGATTATAGGAGATCGATTCTGATTCGCAACACAGTTGGTGCATGGGGACATCGCGTCTCGCATCACTGTTTGTTGCCCGTCGTCCGCATTACCCTAGCCGTCAAAACGCCCGCCTACGAGCAGGTGCTCGCTCTCGATGAGAAGCTGCGCAATCTGGTGCAGCCTCTCCCAAATAGTGACGACGAGGGAACCGCTATCTCCATGAAGAAGTAAGTGGCCACGGGCTGACCAGAGTTGATATTTTGATTGCGTCTCCAGCTTCATTCGCTCTCATTATCGTGACCTGAGTAACATCCCTTCTTTTTCTAGAGTCGCATTTCGCTAATCGTGATGCAGTGTCACTGTTCTTGCATCGGGCGTTCTTCGCACAGGCTATGATGGATCGTGATATCTCGCCATGCAAGAGCCCTTTCCTGCATTCGGTTCTCGCAGCATATCACGCCGCATGTACAGTCCTCGAAGACACCGTGGAGCAATTCTCCAAGAAGCCCTTGCTCGTCGCACGGGTCTGGCGGATCTGGTCTCTGGCTTTCTCGGCGTCTGTCGTGATCGGCACGATGGCGATACGGGGAACCAATCTCAATCTCAATCCTCCGCCGTTACCTCAGTTCCAGATTGCATGTTCGGTCTTTCGGAGTGCTGCGGAGACCAGTAACCGTGCCGCTCGCGCATTGGTCCGTGTGTTGCGTGCATCGGTCTCACGGGTTGCTGACCTCTGCCTTGTAGCCTATTCTCCAATCTATGCTGAACAAAGCTCATCATGCCCACCAGCTTTATCTGGGCGAGACTCGCGTTCCTCTAAGAGGTTCAGACGAGGAGATTTCAGTCTTCAGCGGTCGCGTGTCCCAGCCCAAGAAAGTGCTCGACCCCAGTCCCGACCCGAAGAGTGATGCATCCTGCTACAACCCTCCCTCAAGTCACCATAGAATTGATCGTGAAGTGCCCTATCGTGATTGTGTCGATCACGAATTGGGAGAGCTGGGGGCCATGGGCGATCGCTGGGAGTCGTTTATGCACCACTCTGATGTATTTGGGACGTGAAAGACGGCCTGGAATACAGAGTGTACATTTGTTCACGTACTGCTGCTCATCCCGCTCATCACCTCGTACATACCCTCGACCCGTCTCTTGCTGAGCACTTCACTCCAGAATCGCATGATCGGTTCCCACTCGTTTCTCGAGGCGGGCATACCACCCTGAGCATTCATTTTGTGTTCGACGACACGGTCAAAGGCCTTCCTGAAGGGAGCTAGCTCGGTAGCAGGCATCGCAGCGGGGCGGTAGGCTACGAGAACGGGCGTCAGGCTCCGCGCCGTCAGTGTAGGGAACGAGAGCAGTGGCCCGGAGACGGTTGTGATAGATCCCAGCGTTTCTCGGTGTCTCCGTACTCCGTACTCAGCAGCGACGCTACCGCCTTGTGCAAAGCCGAAAAGATGGATGCGGTTGGTGGGCCAAGTGCAGTCGTCCGTGAGGTGCTGGAATATACTGTCTAAGAGATCGAGGGCGGGAGTTGGGTTGGGGCGGGGGAGAAGGTCGCCGAGGGGATCAAAGGAGGTGTACCATTCGAACGCGTCTTCATAGAGAAAGGGAACTCTACAGTTTGCTGTTAGTGACATCGGGCAAGCGTTAATGACTGACCTTACTGGTCTGGAGCGCGAATGGCTAGCACTGCTGTCTGCGGCAGTTTGAATTGCTTGCCCAACTTCGAGAACGGGATGTGGGTGTCTCCTACTCCAAATGATTAGGAGAACAGTCGGAGAATTGACCACTCACCCAATCCGTGGAAGAGGATCAGTAGGTTCTCGTCAGTTCCATCGTCACTCGGAGCGTAGAAGAAAGGAACGCGTATTTTGGAAGATTCAGGTTGAGGCTTCACTCTCGGTGTAGTGTTGTTACTGGAATCCTCTCGCAGATGAATGTTTTGTAGATCTGACATTTCCAGTTGGTCGTCGAGATATCAGCGCGATGAGAGCTTTGTCAGCAATCTCTTCCCTCCTACTTACGCCATGTGTCGACAGCAATTCTCCGCAATGAGCCTAGTAATCCGAAGCTTACACGAATGAGACATTTATAGAATGCCGTCGTGGCGCTAAACGCTCCGGGTGGGTGGGAAAATCGAATCCATCAACGCAGACTGAACGCCAGCTTGTTGCGTCACTTGGACCCGACCAACCGCAATGGACAGATCACAGCTTCTCTACGACGGTCTGTCGCGTATTTCTCTGATTTAAAGTCATTCCAACGCGTGCTAGGTGCCAGGCGGTGGTTCACATTGTGCAATTTCTGCGCAGCACCCATCAGCTTCTTCATCGACGCGCCGTTTGGAAGGTTCACGCCTGCACAGAAAAGTATATTTCTGGTTGACGGTGCGCACTGTTCCCAAGCGCGGCGTATACAGGAAGTATGCTTATGCACGCTATTCAGGAATCAAAGCGTGGATATGCATGGAGCTTGTCTCACCGATCTTCTTCACATACGTGTTCGGGATTGCTCCACTCGGCGGAGGGGGCTGGCGTGATTTTCGTTTCTGGTCTCCTCAAGGCGTACTTGTTGGCGCGTACTACGTGCACTATCTGAATCGTTCGCTGCTGTCTCCGCTTCGAACACCATCTCGGTCCAAGTCGCACATCATTACCCCACTCTGCGCCATCGCTTTCAACATCGTCAATGGTTCTCTCCTGGGGGCGTATCTTTCATCGCCCAAGTCTGGTCTGCCGTCCGACTTCTCCGCGACCTCTTTCTGGGTCGGTATGGGATTGTGTATCGCGGGCTTCGTTGGAAATGTAGTTCACGATGAAATACTGCTACAAATCCGGCGCAACGCGAAGAGCAAGGGCAAAGCCAAGGAATTGCCCGGGGAAGAAGGAAAAGAGCACTACTCCATTCCCCACGGCCTACTCTACCGCTACATCTCCTACCCCAACTACTTTTGCGAGTGGGTTGAGTGGTTCGGGTTTGCCTTGGCTGCCGACCCCCGGCTCCCGCATGCCCTCTTGGGGGGCACAGTCTCTCTTGGCAACCTCATGGCTGGGCCTGCCTCGTCGTTCTTCCCTCTTTTGACTCCTCCATGGATGTTCTTCATCATCGAGGTTGCAGTCATGTTCCCCCGTGCATATCGTGGACACCGTTGGTATCATGATCGCTTTGGAAAATCTTATCCGAAAGAAAGGAAGATTGCTTTCCCTTTTCTACTTTGACTGGCGAGTGGCTGTTTTCGATGTGCGCACAACGCAGTAACTGATCTGTTACTATCGCAGCGCGTCCAGGCTTCTTCAGAGGGAGCTTCAAGAAACGACATAGCATTTTCAGGAAAGCATGAATGATACGACGCAGGACAACAAGCTTTGATGAGGCAAAAGAGAGACAGAAACCGCTACTACTACCTTCAAACATCATTCTCTTGTAGAAATCAATTCCAGAGAAGAGCCGTACCTGTGCATTATGCTGGCGCGGGAGAAGTTGGCCCGGTCGCGTCCGCCCGTTCCACGGGAGATCCAGGTCGTTCTGTCGATTGGCGGGGCAAAGCCATAGGCGAGGCTGCCGCCGGCTGAGATGTTTCGGGCTTGTCAGTCCGCAGTCTCGCCATGTCTTTATCCCAGCGGTCCATGGAGTCGTCGTTGAAGGATCTGCCACAGCAGCTACCACAACATCCGCGACCGCCGCGGCCGCCGAGTCCCGCGCCATTGCACCATGTTGCGCTGTAGCATTCAAATAAGTAAACATGCGCGCGAGCACTACGAGGCGATAGACGGACAGGCCTCCGTATCCACACAGACCTGTCAATCCGTATTATCAGAGAAGTCGTAGTGATCACCTAAAATTCGGACTCACAGCAGAGTCCACAGCACGCTCCCGCGACGTCGTCGGCGCCAGACATCCAGATATGTGGCAGGCGTTAACAAGGTGAATAGGGAGTCAGAAGAGAGAGGTTTTGAGATAGGAATATGCGTGGGAGGTCTCGTGCTCTTGACGTTCTGGCGAGAGGAGAAGTTCTGAGCAGCCTGTGCTAAAGATGGGAAAGAGAGGTGTAGCACTGCCACTCTTAACGGCTATCGACAGTGGGAACGGGATTGCCAGCAACCAGTCACGACGGCCAATGTGCCGTTCACAGAAGGCCGTGAATCCGCTACAGCCTCTCCGAAGATGGAACTACTCACCAGGGGATCTGGAGATCTGCGCAAGATCTATCACGGCCAACCAATCGTGATTGGAAAGTAATCTAATCTGATGTTTCAGATGAGATGATGTGAACGCCGCTATGGACAACTAACCCTTCGTCGAATGAATATCCACCGGTCTGTAGAAATTCATCATTTAAGGCGCGTAATGAGATGTGAGATGACGCCAGAAATATCTCTCTAGCCTTGCGAAGAACTAGAGACCAAGTTGTGATGAACTATTTGACGCGACGCACGTGATGGGAAGCTGACTTTGTTGACCAAACACAGACAGCTTGTTGTCTAACGCGTCTTGTTCCCCACCGCCATCTCTTTTCACCAATCTCTGCTCCTGGGCGCTATCATTTGAATGCCTCGTAAAGCAGCGGCACCTGCAGATGGCGAAACGGCCGCTGAGCCTCGTCGCTCTTCTCGTATCAAGGAACTTCCCAAGGCTGAGGTTGAAGAGAAAAAGGTCACTAAACCCCGTGCAAAGAAGGACAGCGAGGAAGACAAACCCAAACGGGGGAGGAAGCGCAAGGAAGCTCCTTCCGCTGAAGATGGTGAGAATGGTGCACCTGCGGACGATGGAGAACCTCCCGCAAAGAAGGTATGAAGAGGATACAGCTCTGATTTATTTCGCAAGCTGATTTCTGTCAGGCTAAGCCAGCATCTAAGGCTCCTACTTCTAAGCCTGCCTCCAAAGCCTCTGTGAAACCCGCGTCCAAGGTCGCCAAACCCTCCAGCAAGGCGTCCGCGAAGCCGGTCAGCAGAGCCTCTGTCAAACCAGCCAGCAAAGCTTCTGTCAAGCCGGCGAGCAAGGCCTCTGTGAAGCCCGCCAGTAAGGCCTCTGTGAAGCCCGCGAGCACGGCTTCCGTCAAGCCGGCCTCTCGGGCTGGTTCCAAGAAACCTGTATCCAAGGTATGGTCCTATGTTGTTCAACAGTAACTGGTCCTGATTGGCCCTTGAGGCTGACGCCGAAGCCCCCTCCGCTGCTGCCCCTGCTGTCGAGGAAACCATTGCAGAAGAGCCAGAAGCCGAGGCCGAAGCTGCGGCTGAGACTGAAGCTGCTGTCGAGGTATGTCTCACTTCCCCCTCATGCTTCGCTTGTCATTCTGTCCCTAACAGGATTCTTCCCAGGCTTGATCAATCATGCAATCACCAACTGCTTTGCTCTGCTGTCGTTTTTATCTTATCTATGTGCAATCTACATGACCAGCATCCTCTGCGCTGGCTGCTTGTACGTTGTATGTGTGTATATCTCTCCTCTTCTTCATTTACCTACGCGGAGCGGTCTGGTGCCCATTTCCACTGGCGATCTGTTGTATGTATCTTTCCCGACTTGTTATCTCCCTCTCGACTGTAATGTTCGGGAGTAGTACATGTACTACTTGACGCACATTGTCTCTTGAATATGATTGTGTTACGGTACCAAGGGGCTCACTGACAGGGGATCGACCATGGCTAAGGATCGCTCGTATAGACGACGACAGCTGATTGACGGGTGAGTGTCTGAATGGGCGGCGGAATGAATGGGTATGTCAGGGACAGGTGGTGGCGTCTATGCGATATTCTCATAAAGGACGGGGGGCGGGCCTGGAAGTTTCAAGAATCAACTTGCCCCCACGTTCCTTGCTTTTGGTCCAAAAAAGAACATGTCTTTCCAGCAGCAGCAACCCGGATCCACCCCGCATATGTGTAAGTCTTCCACATGTGTCTCTGTTTGGGAGACCTGACTTGGTGTGCAGCCGAACGACCCACCGAGGCAAAGCAAGACTCGTTCGCGAAGGACATGGGAAAGAAATACGCCGGCGGTGCTGCGAAGGAAGCTGGCAAGCAGACGGAGGACTACGTGATGAAGAACCACGATGAGCTCGGTCAGGACGCGTCGGGCGAGTACGACCAGGCCAAAGCCAGGGCGCAGGAGCAACTCGATGAGGCCAAGCAGGTACTTGAAGTGGTTTTCGACGCTCTTTTGCCCTCGTTTAACCATCTGGCAGACATGGGCGAAAATATTCCCCTGTTGTGCATCGTAGAGACTCGTTTTTCTAGAGGCTTGCTTTCTTGTCGTCGGTCGCTTACTAGCACATGCGCTGTTTTCCCGACTGCCCATGACATGTCACACTCATTCGCATGTATGTGAGGGTGTGCCACCATCGCATCAATCAAGAAGGTTAGAATTCAGGTCGAATGAAAGACGACTATCTCCTCGTGATGAGACTCGTAACAAATTGCCAAATGAGGACGGCAGGCGTAGATGTGCTTGGGGTTGTTTTGGGGATGATGATGCCTTGTCATCGTCGTGATTCCCGCTTTCTTGCAAGATGCACGCCGCACGAAAATTCATCTCTGCTACCAGTAGACTTCCGCAAAGTAGCCCGCGCGCACTGTTGTCTCCTCTTCCACACAACCCGCTGCTCCGTTTGCGAGTCTCTAGACGATGCTATTCGGAAACCATAAATGATCCCACACGCACGGACCTGCACTATCACCTCCAACACCCCCCGACCCCGCTCTCGAACTCCGCACCCGCATTTGCGCTGACCTTCCTCCCCTCTGCGCCTCCCTCTGCGACTTCCAGTACGGTCGTCGGCTGGTTACCTGCGACGTCGGAGGTGGAAGCTGAGGCTGGGCTGAATGACTTCAAGGAGAATCGTACGTGTTTAGTCGGTTTCCCCGCGCGATGATATCGTCCTCATGTTCATATTCCTCCGTGTGACGAACACTGAAGCCGGGTTCCGCACCCTACTCCATGAGGTTATTTCGGAAGCACTCAAGCAGGGTGTCGATGACGTTCAAACCAACGCGGCGCTCCAAATGGGCAGCGGCTGGATGCATATACACGGTCCGTTTCTCGTCCCAGGCGGTGTCGCGCTCTACTAATGCAGCCGTCACGGTCAGACGAACGGAACGTGCCTGCGCTAGGTCGGATCGGCGACCCGGACGACATCATCGCGTCAGTTCTCGTGGATGAGGGCAAGATACAGCCAGAAACGTACCAAGGTTGGGGTCAACTCTGACTGTGTACATCGCATTCTGATTTTGACCGGCGCCGCAGCAATGCCTGCGTACCGATTATGCACAGCAGACGGCCCGACGCAGCTGACTCCGGGTCTAGCCCGGAGACTGGTAGAAGCTCTAGAGACACGCGCTAGTCAAGAAAAGACAAGCTGAGGACTGCCGCGATGGGCTGTGTGATGGAGTCCACGAGGGGCAATTACAGGTAAAGCTACAATGCTTCCAGACGGTGGTATCAATATTTAGTAGTACATAGTATAAAAATAAGCGAATCATAGCGAACGAAGATCGTTCAGTATCTTAGAGTAGTTCTCCTCGATCCAACGTTCACCCCCTTTCTCGCGGACCCACTTACGAGAGAAGCGTTTGACGGGGACAGTGCGGTGGACGGCGCCGTGTGTCAGCACAAGCGAGAAGCGACTGGAGACCTCGCTGCCGTGCACGTCGTCGTCGTCGTTGTCGTCGCTCGAGTCTCCACTGTCCTCGCACGAATCGATGTCCAACAGGCGCTTGACCGCCACGACGGTCTGCGCGTACACATCCGTCGTACAGGGCGTGACCACGCCCTTCGCATCCGGAGGAAATAACTCCAGCTGGATAGACTCGCCCAGATGCCGGCGCAGCTTCGACACGCGTTTCCGGTGCGCGGTCGTGGGCGTAGGGGGCTCCATGATGATCGAGCAGGTCGAAACAGGGGATGCTGGAACCACGGGGAGGGGTTTCGAGCTCTGATGAATCTCGTGCATCGCCGGCTGCAGTGCGTCTGGCGATGTATCGAGCCGGAGAGAAAGCGAAGCGAAGCGCGGCGGAAGGGATACTCCGCGCGCAGGAACTAGAAGCGTGCTCGTGCTCGCGCCCAAATTCGCGTCCGGGTCCGGGCGTGGGGTTGTGATGGGGGTGGGGGGAGGGATCGGCGTTGCAGGAATGACAGAGAACATGACAGCTGCGGGCGGACAGGGTGGCGTTGGGCGTAGCTCGGGCACGCTGGGCAGTGGGCGCAGTGAGTTGTGGGACATCTGCCGCCGCGGACCAGCTGGGGCCGATTTGGGGGCGGGTGACACGGGAATCTGGGGCAGCGGCCGCACGCGGGGGCGCGCCGATGCAGCATCCACATCTACACGCAGAGGGGGTTTGTGCGCATGCCAGGGTGCTGAGGTATAGCGCGTTCGAGACACCGAGAGAGGCTCGGCCGCGGCAGGAAAGGTCAGGCGACGCGGCACGTTCAGTGCGCGGACAGGTGGTAGGTTGACCTGGAGTGGCGGCTGGGATAGGTCGAAGGCAAGGGACATGGGTGTCGCGCGTGGTGGAAACGAGGCCAAAGGCACCAGCCATTTATGTGTCTAGGTCTCGGCAATTCCATATTCGGCAGAGGGGCGGCAAAAAGCGACGCCTACGAAATTATATCCATACTTAGACCCATTTGGTGAAAATGGAGTGTCTGGTGTTCATCCCATGGATGAAATCTTGAGAACAGGGTCATCGGGGCCGTGTATAGGCAGAGATTGCAACGAAATGAGCTCCACAAGATCGGTTGAACTGAAGCGCGGAGTGAAGATCTACAGGGAGCCCTCCTGCGTGGCTATACAGGCCCGTCCAGCCTCCAATGGCAGTCTCCAGGGATGTGTCCAGGAACGGTGACTGACATGACAACGTTTCCCACGGTCGTTTGGTGGATCCTGATGCAGTGATGGAATCTTATCCGAGGTTTCGTCGGGACTGAAGACGTCCTCCAACCTTCCAACATTGTGCCTTGCATGCTAGACTGAGATATTTTGCCCAAGTTCCCCTCCTCTATAAAATCAAGTTGAACTAATCAATATTACTCATCACACTCACGGGCCACTGGCATGCTCTCGGTAGGCAACGAATATGCGACCACTGACGGCTCCGACGCGATGAGAATTCTCGCGATCGCTTTCTCAAACAGACCTCGCTTGGACTAGCTGCAGGGGATTTGTTCTCCAACATCTCGGCAGTTGTCAGGGATGCTGAGATGAACAGGCATTCCATGAGAACCCCACGGCAAAATTCAGCAGCAGTCCCTTGGATAAAGATACCGCAGATAATATTATATCCCTAACACATTACGGAACTTGGGGCCGTGGCCTGATGCAGGTTGCTTTCAAAAAACCTTGAACACTCTGACACCACCACATCCTGTCCGAGGAATTATAACTGACAGCATCGGCTTGGTATCTCGGACTCTGTCTCCCAGGGTTGTCTTCTAGTGTCTAGTCTCGAGGAGAAGCTTCGATAGCAAGGATCAGCATCAATCGAATGTCTGAACAAGCTATCACAGAGTTGAGATGGCATTGAGAGATATGTATACATACCTTGGTTGGCTCCGAGTATATATTTCATTTCGAACCATACGCAATTGTCCGGTGTTCTGGTTTGTATCGGAGCCCTAACGTTGTCGCAGACGGCAGTACGTCCGTTCGGCTGAAATGGCCTTTTCATTATTTGCTGATGCCTCAGGATGCCATACGAGTGAACACGAGCTTTGCGAATGGAGTGTATTTCCGCTGATTCGCCGAATTTCGCCAGCGAGACTGCCAATTCTTCGCTGATATAGCGGACTTGGGGTTCTCCATAGGCATTTGCCGGTCGGGTGTCGCCTCATTAAACGACTCGGAGGAAGCGATTAGGGCTCCAACCCGGGCATACCAGGAGTACGAATCGTATTGGAGTCAAGCTTCCAAGTCTGTCTTGAGCTCAGTCACAATGAATCTAAGTTACCAATTGAATCAGATAGCTGCCCCTCAACGAGCGATTGATTCCAAGCCAGGCGACGAGGCCGGCGTTACCACGTATGGGAGATCTGACTCCACTGAATACATCAGTAATTCTTCTGCTGGTCCTGCGCTATGATAATCTCTATCACTTCTCGGGGCTGAGAACCGACTTGTGTGTCCTGAAGGCGAGGACCGGCCGGGAGCCACGAACGATCGTCTATCGATCTCGAAAGTCCGTTGCAGAGCGGACTGAGCTCAGCGACGAGATCGGGCGGACGGCTCAGACCAGAGAAGTTCTGTATTCTGTCAAGCCATTCAAGCTTACAAGCACGAGGCAGCGTTACGAACCTCTGAGAGACCTGGAGGTGCTCGGACGGTTGGGGGGAGAACGCAAACGCCGGACTTGCTCATATTCCACATCGCTCGAGTACAGCATAATGCACACCGACAAGAGTTACAGAGTGCTCTTCCACGACGAGGCACTAGCGAAACAAAACGACAAGGAGGTCCGACTTGCAGGCATCCAAGACAGAGTGGAATTGACACAGATGAAAACAATACACAAAGCTAAGCTCGATAACAGAGACACGTAGCAGCACAACTAGGATACCTCCCCCCCTCCAAATCAAGTATGTAGATAGAAGATCCTTCTGAATCCCTCACACTGAACCCACAGCCTGGTTCACACTCGCGATCCGCTCGGCCACGCGCTGCCGGTGCAGCCGATTCTTCAGATGCACCTCAAAGTTCGACAGCGTCTCCCCGGGACCAGGAGTATACAACTGAATCCCGCTTAGTCAGCCGCAGATCAAGACGGGTCAACTGGGAACGCAACGCACCTTGCCCGGGCAATCCATGCACTTGATCCTCCACTCCGGGTCGCTCGAGGTGTTGACTTTGCGCAGCGTTACGTCGAAGCGGTCGTTCTCCCACTTGGCCTGCAGTTGCGCGATGGCTTTTGTCAACCATGTTGGTGGCTGCCAGATTGAATTAGAACTTGACAAGGCTGCTTGTGGCTGGAATATGAACTGACCCAAATCGTCGCGACAGATGAATCCGGGACAACTTCGACCTGCTCCACAACCGGCGGCACAGGTTCCACAACGACCATCGGCTCAGGAACGTCCGCGACCGCAGTTTCGACCGAAGCAGGCACCGACTTCTCCGGTGTCGACTCTTCCGGCAGCGGCGACGAATGCGTCAGCGGGGAACTGGTGATTACCAGTCGATTGTTTCCGCCGTTGACCTGCGGAAGGTCGTCGACACTCGACGTGTCCGAGACCGGGGATAAATCCCTCAGCAAGGGATTCATCTGTTGCTGCTGTTTTTGCTGCTGCTGCTGGCGACCACGGCGACTCGCGTTGGCACTCTTGACAGCCTCGGCGTCGTGCTTAATCTTGCTGTGGTGCTCCACATCGGGATTGTACGGTACCTCGCGCATCCGACGGTGCCGATGCCAGTACTTCCCGCAGGTCCCACACAAAGTCTTGTCGCCCTGTGGCCCTTTTCTGCGACCCACCGCGATACTTTCTGGACAGCCACAGTTCAGGCAGTGCCACACACCATTCGAGATCAGCTGCCGTGACATTGGCACAGCCATGGGCGGCGGATCATCTGGTAACGGTGGAGGAAGCAGCGATGGATCGACTGCAGTCGACTCGATCGGCGCCCGTACTTTTGCACGTGCCCGTAGGATGATTTCTGACTTGTAAGCGGGTGCCTTGAACAAGCCCTTGACGGTCTTTTCTTTGATGATCAAAGGTGGCGGTGCAGGCAACGCGGGGAGAGGTGTGAACACATGTTCCCCGTTCTCATTCTCTGACGCAACCATGTTCGCGATTGTGCGCGATGCAGCAGCAGCCGCAGCTCGTCGAGAAACAGGGGCTGCAGCAGCCGCGACTGCAGCCAGCGTCGCAGCGTCGAGTTCAGGGAAACCGAGTGCAGGAGTTCGGCATGTTCGCAGCGGATCCAGATTGGCGCCGCGCTTCCGGCCTTTTTTACGGCGACGATTGATGTTGGAAGAATCGCGGTCCTTCTCGTGATGTCGTTCCAGCTCCCCATCCGACAGATAGTTGAGCTGAGGTGTGAACGACGCCACCTGATCGACTGGGCGTGCCGCAGTGGATAATCGGGACAGGAAAGCACTGCGCAGCTCGTCGTCCTTGTCGTCCTGTTCGAGGAACAGCGACTTTTGGTACATCTGGACCTGCTCCCGAATGGAATGCGCGATGGCAGTGCTGAATTCTCCGTTCAACCCCAGATCCCGAGTGTAGATCGCCGCAAACTGTTCTGGGGATGCATCCGCATTGGTGAGGTCCCACTCAAACTGGTCGTCAAGCTTGATCGTCCCCACAAGGATATCGAGCTGTTTCATACTGAATACTTCAAACGGGCCACGGGTGACACTCCACTCACTTTAATGACAATCCGCATATCCTCTGCCGCCGACTTGTAGTTGGGCGCAAACTCTTCCAGAGACATCGGACGGTCGTCGTCCAGGTCACTCTCGATTCTCCGACTCCTGAGCCGCTTTCTCCAGGCACTCCACCACGCACTGCTCTCACCTTGGAGGGACCCCGCGTTGAGCGTGTCTTCCTCATCTCCTCTGACATCCCAGCTGTCACCGTCGAACTTGCTTGAGTGCGCTCGGTAGTCGCTGAGCTGGTCCTGTATCGACTTGACGATCGTCGCATGATAACTGCCTGTCAGATTGTAGTCTTCTACCAGAGTTTGGGCGAACAGCTCGGGGCTGATCACCGGGTCTAGAAGCAATTGGAGCAGGGGGATTAACACGCCGTCTAGAACAACCCACCATTCAGATTCCACACAAATGTGTCCCGCATCCGGTGATGCTCGACGTCGAATTCCAGTCGGATGGGGACCAGGAGCTCCGGTCGGTCCGCATCTTCCGGGTCAAGCCTTCTGGGACTGGGTAGTCGAGTGAGCATTGCGTCCATCATGCAAGCCATCTCTACTTACAGTCGAATCCCCTCGCGGCGAGCACCTTTTCTCCGAGCGCCCTCACGACCGTCCTTTTTCCGCAGCGGATAGCGCACATCAAAGGGCTCCCTGGCTCGCATGAACCGGCTCGTGTTACTCGCCAGCGACCCCTTCGTCCACCAAGGCAAGTTTTTCTGGTTTCCAAAGATCTCCTGCATCTCAGTGGTCGCGCGCGTTTTCATCGTTTTCAGCAACGAGGCGTATGCCTGATCGGTGCTTTTCCAGCTTTTGACGTCTTGCACTTCAGATTGGCTCAGCGGAGGGATGGTCGTCAGCGAAGTCGACAATGGGACGACGGTGACTTTGGTGGTCGCAGGATTGAGATCCACAGACGCAGGTAACGGCCCCACGAGTGGCGGTACGCGCTGAGGAAGAGCTTTTTCTGCGCGGGAGGAAGGACCTGCTTTGACAGGCGACGCTGAGCGATGACGATGTGGGCTTGCTCGTCGCGGAGCATCTGGCTGAGAGCTGGTTGCCGACGGAGGACGCAGTGGGGTATTCATCGGTAGTCCATTGGCTGTTTCTGTAAAAGAGGTGGACCTGGTGGGCATACCCATAGGATGTATCGCAGTCGAAGCCTCGTTTGTCAGCTTTCGTTTGAGCGTGCTGAACGGCGATCCGGGCGCAGGAATGTCTTGCGGGGTTCCACCACCCGGTCCGAAGCCGGAACCACCGAATGGTGGAGGATGAGGGTGTTTCGCGCCTTGGAACCCGTTCTGATGTGAGAAGTCTGCTGAACCAGCACCCATGCCCATGCCCATCGAGCTAGCAGATCGCGGAGACATCCCTTGAGCTGTGCCGGGTCGGGCTGGAGACATCATGCCCATGTTTCCGCCACCCATATTACCCATGCCCATCCCTCCTCCCGTGTTCATGCCCAGACCGCCCATGTTGCCATTTCCCATATTCATACCCATAGCACCATTTCCCATACCCATACTTCCCATGCCGATGGGATGAGCCCCGACGCCCATCCCACCACCCGCTAGGCCCATGCCCATGGGATTGTTGGAGTTCATGCCCATTCCTGGGTTTCCCATGTTCATGCCCATGCCCATGTTCATACCTCCCATGCCCATGCCGCCTCCGCCCATGCCACCTCCCATTCCCATATTCCCTCCACCCATACCAGCCCCCATGCTCACCCCTCCGCCCATAGAGGAGGGGCTAGGCATCCCTGACATGCCCATCCCGTCATAGAACCCATTCGCCATGTCGGGCGACGCGAACTGTTGTTGCTGTTGCTGCTGACGCATCATTATCGCGTTCGCGTTCTTGATCGTCATCTGGCGCTCCTGCGGGTTCATCTGCGCGAGCTGGTCGCGCGAGACACCTATGTTCGCGAGAATCTGCAGCGTCTGAGGCGGTATCGGATTCTGGTTCGGTGTGGGGCCAGTCATCTGGGGCGGCGCGTGAGCGAGGCTGGGATTTAGGCCGGAGTTTCCCATGAGATTGAACGACGCAGGGTTCATCCCTCCACCCCCGCCACCTCCGCCATTCATGGGGGATGGGAGGGCGGCAGGGCTGATTCCCCCGCCGACGCCACCGCCGTTCATGGCCATATTCATCATCGAGTGCTGAGACGGGCCCATCATCCCAGCAGCGTTGCCCATGCCCATACCCATGCCCATCCCTCCACCGCCCATGCCCATCCCCATGCCTCCGTTCATGAGCTGGGCAGGGCTGATCGAGGCTCCTCCTCCGAACTGTTGCTGCTGCTGTTGATGCTGCTGCTGCTGCCGACCGTACGACGCGAGCATAGCGGGATTGATGCCACCGCCGCTGCCGCCGGCAAAAGGGCCGCCTCCGCCCCCGGTCATGTTCATCGTATCGGAATACGTTGTGTAGTAGAGTTCGTGTGCAGGTTCCTGGACGGCGGCGTCAGACACGCGCCTCGCAGCCGGTATATGGACATGGGAAACGCGCGGATGGATGATGGGTGAAGATAAAGCAAAGCTTACGTCGTGCCCGGTCCAAGCTGGCCTTTTTTGATGTGCAGGGCTGAAAGGAGAGCCCACACAGCTAGACTCTCGGTAGCTTCCGACTGGACCGTAGAATCAACAACCGTCTGGCGGAGAGAGTGGTGCGTCACGAGTGTCACGTCACGTACTGGGCCTTGTCACTGGCCACCAGCAGGCCACCGAGTGCACATGCCGGGACGACGGCGGCGGCGACGTCGATTCGGGCAGCGGACGCGTCGGGTACCCCGCATTTTGGAAATGGCAATCGCGAATCGCGATGACGGAGACGGAGGCAGATCAGAGATTCAGATCGCCCCTTCCGCCGGCCAAGCATGTATATTTATCCCGTCAGTGTCATCCCATCGCTTTTACGTCCACACTTCGTCTGCCCAGCGCTCGTGCAAACTCTCGTCGGTGTCCATTGCGGTTTTTTGTGCCGCGTTTCGAGGCAATCTCAACAGCCTTTTGATGGGTGATCTGCGCGTGGTCGCATTCCGATACTGTGCTGGCGTTTCGTCGCCGACTGTTTCAGCAACCCGAGCCTTATCTGCTGCTGCGCGGAGCCGTGTTCGACGTGTCACCATTTCCACGAGAATCCGCCACTCGCTGTGTGCTGATGTCAATTTATCCACCTTGCATGCGGCCCTGATTATCGTTCCTGATCCTGGCCGTCCTGCGAACAAGATCGTCTTTTTGGATGCTCTATAATCTGAGCACAGACCTGCCACATAGGGCATATCTGCGTTTCTGAAGAAGTCGTCGCTGCTCTGCTCTGGACACGACGGCCTCCGAAATCGAAGAAGAAGCTGCTGCTGAAATTCGAAACGCCCAGCCTCGGAGTGTTGTGCGTCGTGTGACCGAGAATTCGAAATGCCGAGGAGCGGAATAGGCCGTCTCGAGGCTTCATATACATCCCCTCACTGCTTTTGCGGACCGATCTCCGCCCGAAACACGGTCATGAGAAGACCAAATACATGTCATTCAGGCACGGTTACGGTTGCGGTGAACTGCAACTGGGTCCGACTGATCAGGCGCCAAACATCCTTTGGTGTCCAGTTCGAACGCTAACAGAGATAGTGCGCTCCTTCCTAATCTGGATGCAAATCCTAGCTTTGACCGTGACCACTGCCTAAAGCGGAGATCCTCCAAGTAGCGACTATCTACCACACGATATGTCGTCTAGTGCGTCCATGTCAATATCCGAGGTGGTGCTAAAACGCATGTGGCTACTTCGATGACACTAGAACTACAACTTCAAGGGGTGATAGTCATATAGTCACTGTAACCAGGCCCTGGAGAACATTTTATGATGTGGGAACATTGACTCAATTCCTAAAAACTCATATGATGACTGAGCGCAGCTGCCTGATCCAGAGAGAGATAAATGCCATTACTGAGATCTGAGACCTATGTATATCGATAGATAATCAATCTACAACAAAGCAGCGCCAACAGCGGCTCCGAGAACACCTGTGACGATGCCCAGCCAGAGTCTCGGCTGGGAGGCCACGAAGGAGGGCACGGCTGCGCTGGATCCCTTCACAGGGGCCGCGGAGGCACTCTTGCTGGCAGTCGCAGACGCGGCAGAGACGGCTTTGCTGGTGGTCAACGTCGGTGCCTTGCTTGCAGACGCAGATGCAGATGCAACAAAGACGGGTGCGGCCGTGGCAGAGCCCGACGGAGCGGCGGCGGTTGGGACTCCACCGCCGATGGGAGCTGTCGATTGCCCAGCGATCTGGGACAGGACGGCTGCGTTGAACGTTCCAGACATGCCCGAGAGACTGTAGAAGTGATCAGGCTGAGATACATGTGACAGGGGGACATGCACTAGTTACTACGCACCTGAATTGATGGGAGAAGGCGAGCGCAGGGATAGATGCGTCCTTGGCATCCTTCAGGTTGAGGGAGTCAAAACGGATGAAGCTGAGACCGGATATCAGTTTCTGCAAGCAGCCAGGTAAGTGAGGACTGACTATTGGTTTCCGTCAGGGCCAATGGTGGCATCAGGGATGAAGGACAGAGACATGGATTTCGTGTCAACGCTGGCAGAGATGACTTGGAGAGCGGTCTAACGTCGGATTAGGACATGGTAACGGGGGTAGGACGACAGGACAGACTTGGGAGGCAGAGTTTCCGGTGGAGATGGAGGCTTTGGCCAGACCGAACTCGGCAACGGTGGGCGAGACGCCGTCGTCGGTCCAGGTGATCGTTGCGTTCTGGCCAGCGGTGAAGCCAATGGCGGCGGTCGGAGCAGTGAACTATACACAGACAGAAAAAATCAGCTCCACAGCAAAAAGTCAGGTCAAGCAGAAAATCTGACGAAGATCACTGCGCAAGCAGAGTGCGCGAGGGCGAGAGCGACAAAAGCAGCGCGGAACATGGTGGTTTGTGGGGTGCGGAAATGAGTGTGGGGGTGCAAAGAATGTGTTGGGCCTGCGAGAGGATTAGGTTAGGGGGGAGGAGCGAGATAGTCGCTGGTAGTCGCTTTTGAAGAGACTTTGAGGGGCGGAGTTTCAATTCGCCTTGACATGGCGATCAGAGAGACCATCAAAAGTATTTTGAGAACGTGTACCATGTCGCGGCTGTCGGGACTCGGCTCTTGTCATCTCTCGCTTCTCAATACCTAGTTCAAGATTTATTGACCTCGTGCTGCGCGCCATGTGCCGTCTAGCTTCGAAAAATCGACCCTGCGTCCGTGAAGATCGAGAGATTCTTGGCTAACTTGTACACCGAACAGACAGACGTTCAGGGTCCACGTTTGTCACAGAATTCACTCCGTCTATGCACAAAGCCGCCCTGAAGTACCCTCAGCTCCAGCCCCCCAAGCCTGTCGATCAAGTTTCTTCATCAAGCAAAAAGGGCGCACACAATCTGACTGCGGAACAATCCTATGTCGAGACTCGACGGCTGAGAGAGAGAGGAGACCACCAGTTGCATAGCGCCGTAACGAGCTTCCTCGTCAGTGCTGTTCGGCAGCGCAATCCCTCCGCCATAAATGATTGTGCACAGCATGATTGTGAGACACGGCCATTTCACGAGTCGCAAGCACGCCATCACCCCCAGTCTCGTCTGCCTGATACAACCATCTTCAGGGCCGAATCGCTCGTCTGCGCTCTCTGCCTACCGCTCACGCAACCCTATGCAAACTCACCGGGTGGAATAACAATCATCGTCGCTCGCTTCGATCCTTCATGTGCGACGGGACTCGCCACAGTCCTCAAGTTTGGCCATACCTCGTTTTTAAAGCTAAGTCAACTCCGTGCTCAGGGCTCTCGCCGGTTCTTTTTCTCTACTTTATGGGGGACTGCCTGAGTGAAATGGCTGGAGCCGCCGCTTGTTCGGATGCTTGGATCTCTGACGTTACTCGTCATGCCCGTCAAGTCCGAACATACAGACGGTATCTCTGGCTCGCTAAATCGCAGTGAGCTCTTTATGATCGTTGCTTGTTCTCGCGCATACACTCGGAGGGGATAGGTGGGACCTTGAGATGGCCGTCACATGCTTTCAGCCCTAATGACGAACTGTGATTCAGCGTGGCTCATTTCTGTATGTATCTCGACTCGGCCGACCATCTTTCCCTTCCTCTCCTACAATGAACACACCCTTCTCAGCGAGTGGAAGCCGCAACATGTCGCTCAGTTGTGCGGTAGCACCCACCCCAAGTCCGGCAACCTCCAAACGGGCTCGTCACCAGCCTCCAGCGGATCTATCGGAAATCCTCTAGCGGCCGCTACCAGATCGTGTTCCGCTGGGCGGATGACACGTGGAGGATCAAATGTCCAAACTGTCCGGGGGGGGACTATGTGATGCTGTTTGTGTCGCATTGGGCAAGATTGCGGTCGATCGGTGCTCGAGACGTATGAGGCTAGGCCGAGCCAGACGGCGGCTGGCTTCATGTTGCGTGCGAGGGACAGGGCGCATTGGCGGCATGTGAAGCAGAGTGTAGACAAATTTGGGCTGATGTCGTCAGCTCAGCAGCCCGCCTATCACTTTTTTTTTCGGGTACAGAAGCTTTGTCCTGCATCGCCGGACAGTAGTTGGCGCGGTTGAAAGCTGTGGTATCGTAAGACTTGTTGTAATCGTAGCCTCAATTCGACATAAACTAGTAAGCAACAAGATCAAGGACGGGGAGATCGAGTTTATTTCAAGGTCCTTCACCATCGTTTCCAGTCTCAATTTCTCGCGAAATGCCCAAATCCAGAGATGTTATGGGTGACTTGCCGCGCAGAATACTCAGCCCGGTCAGACTCCGACCACAGACCTCGTGACCGTGATAATTTGACGTGGCCTGAGATCATCATGTCGGCAATCCACCGGCGAATAGCTTCCCCAGGTTTCCTCAGTCGTGCAGGAGCTCGGAATGCGATTCTAAGGTCTACTTTCTCTGCTCTTATCAAGCCTTCGATGTTAAGTGCTCTCCGCCGAACTTCTCTGAACCCCCTTACCCTCCCTCGCACACGACCAAACTCCCTCCTACTCTATCGCGCACTCTCGCAGCCCCCGATGTCTGACCCCGCCTCTTCATCATCAGCCGATGGGCAGCCGGCCTTCTCTATCTCCCCGATTCCTCCGAATCCGCTCGGGGACGGAAAGTATATTCGCACTGCGGCTGCGCTCGTCATCGGGTACGCACCACTGGCATCTGCTCGTCGCAACGCCGGACAACTTGGAGCTACAGAGACGAGATCCTGAACGGGAAAACCCACGACAGCAACTCGAACTACTTCGCCCGGTATTGCTTCCAGCATGGGGTCGAGTTGTGCGTTCGTTTGTGCGGGGTGCATTCATTCACTCATCCCTAGTCCCTCAGAAAACGCATCGAAGTCATCGCGGATGATGAGGCACAAATGTACGATGCGCAAGGCAATGCGTATCATTTCTCATAGAGGCGCTTTTCAGCGTCGAAGCGAGTCGACGAATGGTCAATAATTACGACTTCGTGATAACAACTGGAGGAATCGGTCTGTCCAGATCCTCTCACCAACTTGCTCCGCAACAGCTCACCCTCCAGCTTCTCAGGCTCTACGCATGACGACATCACGTATGCCTCTCTCGCGAAGGCATTCGGGCAAGAGCTCGTGCATCATCCTGAGACACTGGCGCGGATGGCGGCACTATCCCACCAACGCAGAAGGTTCGCAGAGCAAACACCGGAGCAAAAGACCGCAATGGAACGCATGGCGCTGTTCCCCGACCGTGCGGAAGTCCTCTTTGTTGCGGGCGATATCTGGGTGGTGTGTCATAAGCCGAGCTGTATCTCCTCCGCGCCGCAGGTAACCATCCCTGCAGCCCGTGGTCCGTCTCGAAGGAAAGCTGTGCAGTTTCCCCGGCATCCCCACCCTCTTCCAGAAGCTCCTGAACGGCTTAACACCGCTACTGCCGCTCCCGCCTGCGTCCGAGCGCCCGAACCGGGTGCAGATATTCACTGAGTGAGTGGAGACTACTACTCAGCATGTGGATGGATTCCTGTGCTGATCAAGGGTATCGCTCCTGACGCGCCTCCCAGACGACCGGAAACGATGATCGCGCCGTTCCTCACCGCACTCCAATCGCGCGTCAACGCCGACAGGATCCAAGTCGGGTCGTACCCTGTGCTTGGGCAAGGTGTGTTCGTCAGCCTCATCGGACGGGATGCCGCGCGGCTTGCGGCGGTGGCGAGGGAGCTCGAGGAGGGCGTCGATGGGCATGTCGTCTCGGAGGACGAGATTGCGTCGCGGAAGGAGGGCAGCTGGAAAAAGGACGCGAGACCCGTCACTCCGGTCGTAGACAAGGCGAAGATCTAATCTTCTCAGTTTCCGGAAACCGGTTTTTCTTGTACGAGATATTGTGTATTTTACACCGGTCTGAAAACGGGCTGATGCACAGCCATGCGCTATGAATCTGATTTGAAACTCGGATTTGGGGATCCACGGTCTCCCCTGAGTTGGCGTATGAAAGAGCGGTCTGGTGCATTTCATGGACGTCACGACTAACGACGATGTTGCTAACATATTAACCAAAGCCTTACAATCACCCGTCTTCTTCAGGTTCAGAGAGAAGATGGGGATGACCCCCACTTGCGATTGAGGAGTGTTGCGAGTGACGACGCTGGGTCACTTGTAACTGGGCTTGACAATTGCTGTCAAATAGACTCACTGGATTGGCAGGGCCATATGGTCGCGGCGAATCGTCCCACAGGGTTTCTCCTCAATACGCTCACCCACCGTGACCCACGTACTGAGGTAAGCCTTCTCACCGCATTAGAGAGGAGAACGTCATGGCTGAATACTCAGACTAGATACGCGTTCTGTCTAGGTCCAGCTTTCCCTGAGTATGCTCACCCATGTACTGAGACACATGTTTTGTCTAGCTTCTAACCATTCATACTCGGCGTCGTCCTCGTTGTCAAGGACCTTGGGAATGGCAAGGGCCGCGGCGGGAGAACTACCTACTGGTTTATTGTCATCTGAATCGTCTTCGTCACGATCCGAGGCGCGTCTCTGTTTGCCCTTCTGAGCAGCTTGTTGCTTGCGTGTCCCAAAGTAGCCATCAGGATCGTTCATTGAGGTCCATTTGTCGGACCTCGAGATTGGCCATTATTCTGCATGGGAGCGTCCATGTAGCAGCCTTGTGAGATCACCATTATCTTCCCTTGAGAATTCAGCTCGGTCGCCAACATGCCTATCAGATTGTTCAAGCAAGTTGCATCTTACCAAGTGCTTTTATGATAACCATGGTTTGTCTTTGCCTCTCCGCTCTGATCTCCAATCGTTCCCCCCCTTGGATACCTCCGATGAAATGCTTGCCATGCATAAACCATGTAATCAGCCGCTATCTCCCTCCCGATACCTTGCGTCGCCTGCATCTCAGCCATATCCCTTCTGAATTTTCTCCCATTTTCTCCTATGAAACGCCTGGTATGGACAGATGACAATAATATCTGGATAGATTCGGACACATCCCTCATACATCCTCGCATCAGAAAACCAGACGGAAGTAGCATCTTATCCTCAACTCTCAGATTAGTGTATTCCTGCCCGCCACTTATTCTCCATCCTCCTCAAATCACCCTTGTCGAAACGCACAACGTGGGCGTGATCGAACCGGGGGTTGTTTGCGTTCGTGATCTCTTCGACATGTCGCCGACGGATCCCCGACCAGTGATCATCCGCGTCGCGAGCAGAGCGCAGGTATGTGTCCTCCCGGGTTTCTTCAGTACTCTTGTCTTCTCGCGAGAAAGCCTGACGGGGAGTAATCATCGATCTGGAATCACATTTGGACGTGTGCAAAACGCATTTCTCATCCATCTTATTGGAAGATCCAGCGCCAGGAACAGCAGTGGACGGTTTGCCGGTTGTCTGAGTGTGTTCGGACGCGTCCTGGACTGAGACACCATCAGCGGCGAGTGGGGGCCCGTTGGTATGATGGTCCGCATGCTGTGCCTGGGGTTCTCTAAGCGAATCTGGGATTTCGAGGGTGCTTCGAGGTTGGATGATATCGCGTGGCAAAGCTTTGTCAAATCTTGTTTCCGGAGAATCGGCGGTAAAGTGCATCGGGACAGGCGATTCCCAAGTTGTATCTTCGACTCTTGCATTCAAATCAAGAGACTCCGGGAAAGCGGAAGCGGCGGTAATCGATTGAAGAGAGTTCATGCAGCTAGCGAGGACGACGACGACTAGAGGATGGGAATGCATGGTTACTCGAGTGCAATTTGTTGCTCTGAGCGGAGTGCCAGTGTATATGTATAATAATTGATACAGTGGACGAGTCTTGAAGTTTGAAGCTTGATTGAGTTGACAAATGAACGTATTCTTGAGGTGAGAGCGCTGGGTGCAATGGGCGAGAGAGACGAGATCAGATTGTTGTGTGATGCTTGATGATTTCTCTCACTTCGCTTAGACCGCGTCCATCGATGACTGGATCTCGGAAGTGTGGCGTGGACAAACCTTCTTCCCGATTAGGAAGGCCCGGCCTGTCGGCCAACAGCCATGTGATTGATGGATATGATGGATCTAGATAAGACTTTGTAAACATTTTAGGGTATCTAATCGTACGCATAAGACTGTTTTCGCTTCTGCTTAGCTTCGGGAGACACCGGATAGATTGTCCGCTCCATTTCCGACGCTTTCCGCTTGGATCCGCGTTTGAGAGGGGCGCTCGACGAGGGCGGGGGCGGGGTGGCGGGCCGAACAAAGACCTGTGCGTCGGTCTCCGCCACTCTCGGCAGCGACTCGATTCTGGACAGCTCGTCGGCGAGCGCGAGAAGTTCGGCTCTTCCACGACGGATCATGTCAGTTTGCGCTTCGCTGACACCCGTGGTAATACCGCCCAATGCCTTCCTCCACTGAGATAACTCGCCGCCGACCAATGCATCGAATTGAAACAACGACTTCGCCGTTGCCTGTGCGCTCAAAGCCGTGGTATTCTGCGTCGCTTGAATCATCTGCCTCTCGTCGATCGGATCTTCGCTCAAGTCAAGCTCGGAGTCTGAGGATGCGTCCGTAGCAACACTGGACGCATCATCATCTTCATCGGCATGATCATCGACGGCGTTGGTCGCTCCATCCGCCTCATCCTCCGCTCTGCCCTCCTGCTCCAACCTTTCGACAACCTCGGCCGCTCGCGTACTTGGTAACCGAAGCCGTATGGTAAGTATCTGACTCTTTTGAAGAGCGAGGGCATCCTCCACGGACTTAGGGATCGGGATTCCGGGGAGAGGTTGTCCGTCCGCTAAACAGATCTCCTTGGCCCTCAAGAGCGCGGCACGAATGTGTTTACAGGCACCTCCTTCCTGAACGAAGTCCATGCAAGTGCAAGTTACGACACCGTTAAAGCCCGCTCGGATATTGTAGGTGATGGGGTTTGCTTCGGAGGAGAGAGCCTGAGAGGAATAGCAGGTGAAGAGTAACCCCATGTTGCCCGGCATCATCTCGGGGACGCTGATTTGGCGGGCCTCGAGCAGCCTACTTGCTCGGGAGTCGCGGCCAGAGTCGGGATTGAGGTACGCCACTTTCGGTCTTTCCGAGACGACCTCAACCGAGCTCATTTGCTTCTTATTCAAGAGATCGGCGCCGCCGGGGAGCAGAGCAATCATGGCGGATAGGCGACTGCTCTGCTCCAGGTACAATCGACGTTCTTCGAAGATGGATGGCAAGATGAAGCAAACGAGGGCGTTCAGAAGGACATCTATGCGCAAACGACGTCCTCCGTTCTGCCAGTGCTTGAGGTGAGTCTTCTTCAAGACGCCGTTGAACGATTCCAAGTGATTGGTGGTAGGAATGACGCCTTCAATGCCGCATCCAAGCATTCCTGCCACAAGCAACCGATTGTGATTCGACCAACTCTTCCACAACGCTTCAGTCATCCAGTACCCATTCAGATAATCGAGGTGTGTAATTGCTTTCTGAATGGCACGCGCGCTGGATGGGTCCGCCGTCGCTTCAAGCATCAGTCGTCCCCGCTCATCCTCGATTAGCTGACGGGCGTCTTCGATCTTCTCCGTTTTCGGCAGCGCAGTCTCGAGAACTCTCATTCTCGACTTCAGATCCATCAGCACCGCAGTCTTCCCTTTCAGCACCTTGTTTCGATGATTTCGCCAAGACTGCCGGAGATGGAATCGGCAGATAAGAAGGATGATTCCGAGGAAAACAAGAGCTAGAGCAGCGCGCTCTTTAAGGTCTGTGTCTGTAATCGCGGATACCGGGTTGAATGATGTAGCACCTGACGGCTTGTTCTTGTTGCGGTTGAGAGAGTCCTGCCATTTGGTGAGGAGTTTGGTAAGAATTTCGGTGTCATAACCCGATGAAGATTGCTTATTGCCTGTAGATCAGTCAGCTCAGACGACAACTGCCGACTTGAAGGAGCAACTCACCGGTTGGTGCTGAGAACATCAAGAAAGCCACAGGTATTCCCTTCTTCTGTTCATCGACGACCATGGCAATGAAGAGTAACAGCCGCTTGTCACACACCCCGAATGTGCCGTCCAGAATAATCTGCTTTCGATGTCCGTGCTTCCAAGCAGCCGCATCCATCTCCTCGGTCGCCACACAGACTTCGAAGCGCTCGTTCCTTTCAGCTCGGGCCGAATAGTGAAATACGGCTTTTGCCAATGTGGGATTATACGCGAGCGAGTCGGGATTGAGCCAGTCGTCAATTTGGATCTCCGGTATGTCCCGCAAAGCAACGCCGTTTTGGAGATGATGCTTTCGGTGCAGGGACCGCGAGTCATTCGATGTGAAAATCCAACGAAAGCAAGACTCCTTCAAGTTTTTGGGGAAACTGGGGTAAGATTTCTGCGCGAACATCTCCCGGTTTTTGCGTCTGACGTCTGCAATAGTTGCGCCGTCCTTCAGCTGCTTCAACGCGAAGTCAAAGACTTCAGGATGGAGTGGGAAGACGGGTAAGTTCTCTATCCGCGCGTTCTGGCAGTCCTCGCTGTGCTGCAGTTGACCGCGAATGCGTAGGATTCGTTCTTCTGGCGTCTTGTGCGCGCGGATGGTCAGCTCCGCATGGGCGAGACATCCAGTGAACGGCATGGCAACTTTGCGGGCAGCATTCTGCGCGTCCTTCTTCGATCGTCGCGTATGATCATACCCCGAGGTGCATTGGTATAGAACGCGGCGCGTCTTGACAACGGTGCCCGTCTTGTTGCTCCAAGTCTGGGACCATCGATTCCCGAGGTCTGCGCAAGCTGCCTCGTCCAACTTCTCGTTCTCCAGGATGTCCATTGCGAGCGCTTGGTCAACGGGGTCCTTGTCATCGAAAATGTGGTCCACAAGAGATGATTCCCCCGGAGATCGATCATGCAACGCGTAAAGTTCGTTTATCCTCTTTCTCTGGTCGTCATTAAGGTCGAGTTGATTTAGCAGCACCTTAGAATTGAGGCTGAGCGGGTTGAGACCGCCCTTCGCAGTCTTAGGGGCTCCGGATTTGGCGCGCAAGAGCTTTGGCGCGCCAGCAGAGGGCGCATCAGCCAGGGTGTGGATGGAGAACGTCGAGAACGACATTAGGGATTGGTGGAGGATGGTATAAGCAATGGGCGCATATATTGTGTAAACTACGGTCTATTGTTACCCTAAAATGGCAATCATCATCACTCGCATCAACCTCGCATCAAATGCCGGACATGCCGATGACATTTCCCCTTTGGGAGGTTTGTCCAGGCCCCAATTCCCTGGATCTCATCCTGAACTCCATCTCGTCCTACAAAACTTGCGATCTATCCATGCATCTTTGTCTGATTTCCGACCCACTACAGTCCGCCCACCCATCCTGGACGCTTCCACCGAATCGCTCAGCACGTCGGACGAAAATGACCCGGACGACCAATGGCTTCAACAAGATAGCATTCCCGGTCTCAAACAGCTCAGAGACTCTATCAAAGTGGACGTTGACGTCTTGAAAAAGGTATGTGGGCTGTCGATCCTGTTGACTATGTGCAGTTGCCCACTTTCATCCATTAGTAGTTCCTCGAGGATGCGAAATCAGCTCAACAGCCGCCTCTCTCCACGAACGCGCCCTATCTCATCTCCGTATGGAATGAGGTGCTTTGTGCACCTCCGATTCTCGTCTCAGTCCTGCGGTTGTTTTCTCCCAAAGGTCCAGTGAACAAGAAGCAGAAGAAGAAGGTCCCGGTCAAGGTCGATGTGGTCGCGGATAACGGGCGGCGATGGATCAGAGTCAACACGTATGTAGACGCCCGTACTGCCCGCAGGCTCTCAATTCTGACTCGGCTCATAGAATCAAAAACAATCGACTCATGTCCGAGTTCCGCGAGATGGACTCATACTTGACCGACTCGGACGACGACGACGGGCCGTCTCTAGCGCCCGCGGAATTCGACAACTCGGTTCTCAGGATGGGCCGCGATCTGCTGGCGGCGGCGCAAGCCAACCCCATTGACACGCTCGGCGGGGCTCAAGCCCCTCGCGTGACGCTCAGACTGACACGCCTCGACCCGTCAGACGGCGGTGACCCGCGAATATCCCAGACCATCGACAAGCTGCGCGATATGGGGATCGACGTTGCTCTTGGGGACCGGAGCGCAGAGGAATTGGCGGTCAAAAGGACGTTACCGCCCACATCGATTCCCGCTGTGGACCAGCAGCAGCTGGCCCCGAGCGTCAATGTCAATCTTGACTTGTCAGTACTCATCGCACTGGTGTCCGATCTGACGCATACATCCTTGCCGGCCTCGATAGAAGAGGCGCAGCGACGATACGGGCTTTCGTCCTCCATACAGAACGTGGCGTTGACGACGCAAATCATGCAGGAGATGTTGCAAGAGATGGGTCAGGGGGGTATGTTTCAAGAGCTGCACTCGAGGGTATCTCCGCACGTCAAATTCTGGACGACCGTCGAAGCTCGAGAGCGGTTCGTTCGGATAGTAGGAAAGATCGGCGGCCAGGGCGAGAAACGACGCGCGGAGTACTTGTTCAGTGCTGGCACCGACGAAGACATAGCTCAGTACTGGGCTGGCTCGCGATTTCCCGTCGGATACATCCCCTTGCTTCCCATCAACATCTACGACGAGAGCGAGGCTAATAGCATCTGCACCTGTACACCTGCACCATTCTTCCGAGCGATGGAGAAGACATGCTGCGGGATCTTAACATTAGGTGAAGCACCCGGGACCGACGGTGCAGTGGACGAATACAGCAACAACGGGTTCCTGCGCAACCCAGCAAGCCAACGAGCCGCCGTGACCCGGGTGAACGGACGACTGACCGCACACACCGTCAAGAGCATGCTACTCGGCTCGCGCCGGGGGTGGACGACGTTGACGGCCAACAAGAACAGCATCAAGGCGCTGATGAGAGAAGTCAAGGCGGCTCGGCTTGCGGGGAAGTTGACCGATGAAGACGAGGGGGTCCATGACAGCACGGCCGTCATCTGGATTGTAGACCCGCGCAGTCTCGCAGAGGGAGCTCGTGAGCGTGCTGCGACAGTCTAATTCATGTCTTGAAAGCGGCTGTGCTTGGAAGACGCTTGAATGGACCGCCCTGTCCTATTTAGCAGTCTGGTCGGTCACGTCGCGAACGCGACCACGTGATCGATACCAGCACGAAAAATATATTCGATCCTCTGTGTTCGAGGGTAGTGGTTATTGTGATAACAATAGAATACGACAACTATTAAACTTTTAGACGTCTATAGGAAGAGTGAACATGACTTCTGGTCTGACTCAGTGCCACTCCGAGCGCTTGCCGTCGTCTTGACTGGCGTGAGTCTGGTCCTAAGCCGACGTCAGATCTCGTAAATCGATACATGAGTACATCCGAATCACACCTCGATGTCGCCAGTCGACGGGGAGATGTGCGTGATGATCTGGGTCTCGACGAGGACCTGGCCGGGCTTGCGTATTTGCACGAGATCGATGTCTCCGCGCTGGAAGTGGGTTGAGATGGACAGCGGTAAGTAGATTGACCGGGAGACCAGACCTTGACAGATGGGCCGTGTAGGCCCCTCGATCCTGACGAGTTGACTCCACCACTCAGCTCTCGGGCGCGGCGATACTCGTTGATGCAGTTGAGCGTGTAGAGTAGACTGATGATGTACAGCTTGCTCAACGCAAAGTTAATCACGAGATGCCCTCGAGAGGAGTCAGCAACTATACATCATGTTACGCCCGGAGTGGGACTCACACAAGAGCTTAGGACCAAGTATTTGTGTCATGATGAGGTCAATACCTGCAGCGATCTGCGCCGGCCAGTGAGCAATCAATCCAAGCCAGCAATGAGCTGAACGCACCGTGGGAGGGATCGCGCTCTCAAAGACGAGCCGCATCAGTCTGTTGATGAGGTTTGTCGTCGACGCAAGCCCGCCCGAGTTGCGCTTCTGCAGAGCCAGACACGTGCCGACGGTGATCATAAAGTCTGTGCAGAACGTGCACACGAGATGCACCAGAAGCCACATGATCTTGGCCTTGGTGTTGTTCGTCACGATACTGTTGAGCTGAAAGTTCATGAGCGCACGTCGCTGGACAGCGGAGGGAAGGAGCGTACTGAAAGACACACGGCCGCAAAGCTCAACATCATGGACATCAAGATCGGGATGCAGTACAGGAAGTTGCGGAGCAGCATGTAAAACCGCATCGTGAAGAAACTCTGCACGATGATGGCCGTTATGGCAGTCTGCAGGTCGATGAGACACGGACGGGTGCGTAGTCCAGGTGCGCCTACCATCGTTGGTGTGCTGACTTCAAACCAGGCTTTCGCGACCAACGTCTGCGCAACATCGGGGTTCATCCACTCTGTGCGATGTCAGCTCCTACCAGAAACATCGAATAGAAGGCCGGACAACACTCACGGACGACAGTTTGGGCCCAGATGATGCCCAGAGACTGCGCCGTCTTCCATGTACAACTTAGCGCGCGCGTTCATCGAAAAGCCACGAACAGAGCGCACCTTCATCGTGGCCAATACAGTGACAACCAGAACGAGCCGTCCATAATGCCTTTGAAAACACAATCAAGACCCGCAAAGACGGCAAGGGGCCGCAAAAGCGTACCTCTCGATTCCTTTATGGCGGCGATAGGACTGGAAGAAAGTCACCACCTGGCAGGCGACGATGCCGAACAGGATGGCGTCGACGAAACCCGCTATGACCTCCACCGCCGAAATCAGTCCATGCGTGGCATCGCCCAGGCAGAGGAAAAGAGACGCCGCACCCAAGCACCGAGGGCTGTGATTCGGTTCGCCATGAACGCCTTCGACGCGGGGCTGAACTGGATCACGGAGTGTTCAATCGCGTCCGCCATAGCATCAACTACAGAGGGTGGAAAAGCGAAGGGACAAGAGAGAGATGAGGAGAGAGACAGAGAGAACACGCGAGAGCCCTGTGGATAAAGCGCTCTTTACTGGACAGCCGTGAGAAGTGGGCAGGAAGCGGAGTCTCGCTAGCACGTAGTGCGCATGTTACTGTGCCTCTGTCCATGGCTGCAGTCCCACGACTCGCGAGAGAGCCGATGTATAGACGGCGCACAGTTACCGCGCTTACGGCACGCCGGTTGCCAGTGTGCGTGGAACTGTCCCCTGCTCCTTGGATGCATAATTCGGAGATCTTCTTAGATTAGTCTCGGATATTCTAGCAATGACCAGCGAGAGGTCTGGTGGGTGCAAGTGCAATGCAAGTTGAGAGTTAAGATCAAATCAGTCACGACACGTGACAAGGTCTTGGCAGAATCTGTACACTGTTCAAATTAGAAGCGCGATAAAAGTCTCCGTGGAAGTATTAGAAGCATGTATTCTGATGGAAGGTACACCCGGGAGAGCCTGGGACTTGAACAGGATCGGAGTGCAGAAACATTGGGCTTTTGAAGCGGGAGAGGTGTGGCATGAGCAGATCCTCGTCGATTTGGACTCCGAGTCGTTATCCTATAATTCGTACAGTGCTGACAAGACTAAAACCGTCCCAAGAGAGGCGAGGGAATGTGCACAGAGATTACGGAAAAAGTCAGGAGCCGTTCAATGCTCATCAACCGCCTCACGAGTCACGACGACGGCGCTAACAAAACTGCCGAGAATTCTAGAGTCGAAGGACCTGGAAACGCTCGGCCGGTGTCACCTGGCAGAATCGAACGAACCGAGAAGACGCGTCGTAGCACAGCGTAGCACCGGATGTTGACAGCGCGCGGTGCATCTTATGCCTTGGGGAGAGCAAACCGTGGTCAATCCATCATCCAGCGCGAAGGAAAAGAAGATGCGATGCATACACAGAAGACTCGGTGTTGCTCCGTGATGTGGGCTGTTTGAGAATGTCAACTTGCGAAGATGTCAGCCCGTCACCGGCCACAGCAACTGCCGATACTGTACCACCCGCGACAACAAGGGTGCGAACTTGACGGATATGGTGTTCGCGCATTTTCACACCCGCACTCGAGAGAAAATCACGCATGGGACACGCTGTATACCAGGCGGCCGAGCGCGGGAGCCCGACAACGAGACTGGAACCGGCGTCTGGAATGGGCTTCGGGCTCCGTGGAGGCCGATTGGAAAGCGTGGGTACCCAAGTACGCACGGCAATCAATCGACGCCTCTTTCTGCTACAGGACGAAAAGAATCTGGACCTATGAAGATCATAGACGTGCCGATGTCTAATCTAGGTCGCCCTGTGTTGCCGGCAATGGGAACGGGAACGGAAACGGGACGAATCTGAGTAGGAGATGTTTTTTACTTTTCAGCGAGAAGCTGGAGACGCAGGCTCTAGGTATGCGTCGGAGTGACGTCAGTTGGAGGGCGAGATGGAGTTCTGCGATCACTAGTTCATGAGCACATGAACTTTGGAGAAGAATGTTTGAATGCTCAGCCACAGAGCACGCGAAGATCATATTTAAGCGGCAATTGCCGACAACTGATCGTCCCTCAGCGCTTCACCCCAGGGACCTCCAATTATTACGTAAAATGGCTTCGAGGCCCCCTCCGGAGGCCATCAAACCACCCCCTACCCCCCCTGATCGGAGGCCATCCTGGAGGCGCCTTCCTAATTGGGACGCTGCCTGGCCATTTGTCCACCGCTTGCATGGTATGCTAGGGATCAGCCTGAGTGCTGATATATGCTGTAGTAGTCATTATAAAGCCTCAGACAATGTCTGACCTCTCAAAAGCATGTATTTCTTGCTTGCAAATGGCAGACCACTGGGTGCACACAATTTGGGATCTGAGTACGTGAGCACTCCTCAGGTGCATAGAGCAACAGTAGATGTATTAATTCGAGATTGAGCATGAGGTATCTGTGCCCACACGCAAAAATGAGATGTTGCTGAAGGGATGGTTTATGGCCTCCACGACCTCCCAGGTGCAGAAAAAAAGGTGTTGGGTAGCCCACAGGCCCTTGAATTCCGCTTCAATAGATCAATTAGATGCTTATGCTCTGTCAAAACAACAGCCCAGCATATAAATTGGATGCTGGAGCAGTGGCAGAACAAGCCTCCACCGCCTCCAGGGCCGGGGATCAAAAGCGGTTACTGTAGATTCAGCCACACAAACTGTGTTCATGACATTATTTATCTTCATTGAGATGCACAGGATCCTTTAGAGCGATAGCTCAACATGTGAATTGGATGCTAGAGCAGATTACAGAAAAGCTCTCCACAGCCTCCACAGCCGGGGACTGAAAGCAGTTTCTTTGGATTTAGTGGTAGAAACTATGTGTTCAATGTCAGGTGTCTTATTTGAATGCCAAGGGTCCTCTATGGAGACAGCTCAGCATATGAATCAGATGCTGGAGCGAATGGCAGAACTGGCCTCCACCGCCTCCACAGGTTATTACTTGAAGAGTTGGGATGAGATGACAATGTAACAGACAGATATTCTCCTGGCTGACCACATTCTGTCATTTCTACCTCTAAATGCAAGTTGAATTGCTGCAGAATGTTAAAATGAGAGAATGGGGGACCCTGGAGGCGCTGGAGGCACATGCAAGATCCAATCAATATCATCAATATCATCAATGCCATCAATAGCATCAATAGCATCACCAATCATTGGTAGATTGATCAGCCAATCAGATGATGAATAAACATCGAACATCTAGTATATTCATTCCTGAGAGACACAGACTACATGTATGCTCATACTGAAAGTGGATTAGTGGTCCCAGGACATGCCCCAATGACATATTACATCCTTGTCTGAAGAACATATCATTGAAATTCGGAGTTTGCAAATGAACTGAAAGTCAACTGAAGATGAGTGGTTTTCAGCTCATTTGCCGAATCCCATTTTTAATCATATGTTCTTCAGACAAGGATGTAATATGTCATTGGGGCATGTCCTGGGACCACTAATCCACTTTCAGTATGAGCATACATGTAGTCTGTGTCTCTCAGGAATGAATATACTAGATGTTCGATGTTTATTCATCATCTGATTGGCTGATCAATCTACCAATGATTGGTGATGCTATTGATGCTATTGATGGCATTGATGATATTGATGATATTGATTGGATCTTGCATGTGCCTCCAGCGCCTCCAGGGTCCCCCATTCTCTCATTTTAACATTCTGCAGCAATTCAACTTGCATTTAGAGGTAGAAATGACAGAATGTGGTCAGCCAGGAGAATATCTGTCTGTTACATTGTCATCTCATCCCAACTCTTCAAGTAATAACCTGTGGAGGCGGTGGAGGCCAGTTCTGCCATTCGCTCCAGCATCTGATTCATATGCTGAGCTGTCTCCATAGAGGACCCTTGGCATTCAAATAAGACACCTGACATTGAACACATAGTTTCTACCACTAAATCCAAAGAAACTGCTTTCAGTCCCCGGCTGTGGAGGCTGTGGAGAGCTTTTCTGTAATCTGCTCTAGCATCCAATTCACATGTTGAGCTATCGCTCTAAAGGATCCTGTGCATCTCAATGAAGATAAATAATGTCATGAACACAGTTTGTGTGGCTGAATCTACAGTAACCGCTTTTGATCCCCGGCCCTGGAGGCGGTGGAGGCTTGTTCTGCCACTGCTCCAGCATCCAATTTATATGCTGGGCTGTTGTTTTGACAGAGCATAAGCATCTAATTGATCTATTGAAGCGGAATTCAAGGGCCTGTGGGCTACCCAACACCTTTTTTTCTGCACCTGGGAGGTCGTGGAGGCCATAAACCATCCCTTCAGCAACATCTCATTTTTGCGTGTGGGCACAGATACCTCATGCTCAATCTCGAATTAATACATCTACTGTTGCTCTATGCACCTGAGGAGTGCTCACGTACTCAGATCCCAAATTGTGTGCACCCAGTGGTCTGCCATTTGCAAGCAAGAAATACATGCTTTTGAGAGGTCAGACATTGTCTGAGGCTTTATAATGACTACTACAGCATATATCAGCACTCAGGCTGATCCCTAGCATACCATGCAAGCGGTGGACAAATGGCCAGGCAGCGTCCCAATTAGGAAGGCGCCTCCAGGATGGCCTCCGATCAGGGGGGGTAGGGGGTGGTTTGATGGCCTCCGGAGGGGGCCTCGAAGCCATTTTACGTAATAATTGGAGGTCCCTGGGGTGCAGCGCTTCAGCGCCATTCGCGATGAACGAGGCCTTCCACCCATTTCTAAAATAGACTCCTGCGAGTTCATTAAATATGATGGCTCTCGAGGGTTCTCACGAGTCTACAGCTGAAACAGCTCCCCGGGCCGGTGCTCTCGACTGTAACAATCCCTTATGGGAATAGATTTCTCCAGCAGGTAAGCACGAAAACTATGCTTATCACTTGCCTGTCATCGTCAAATGCTATCTCCTGTAAGGCCGTCGTGTAGGCTCGGGCTTAGAGTTGAATTCTCGGTGCCTGGCCGAAGACTTGAAAAGTTCAGTGAACGGACCTACTGAAAAGGTCTTTACTAACCTGAACCATACTAATGAATTCCAGCCACTCAATGGGCCGTTTTGAGCTCGACGCCGAGATGAATAAGCGCTTTGTAAATGGGCGCAGCTATGCCCGAGGTGGTCCTGGAGGCGTATATAACAGCCAGAACCATCTCGGTGTTCAGCACGTACTCTCGAGACATGTCTGCGATCAAGCTCAAGTGCCTTCTCTCCATGGTGTTGGCGGCGAATTTCCAGGTACAGGACAGCGGGGTGTCAAAATGTGAATCGCTCACTTGTCGCAGCTGACCTACGGTCTCGGGGCGTTCTTCTGTGTAAATATCTCCGCTCATTTCTCCCGGAACTTCGACTTTGACGATCGAGACTCTTATGGCTGATCGCAGAACGACATCAACTTCCAAACGAATTGCGCGCACTGGACCAACCTCGTGCCCAACAAATGCTACACCCTCGATGCGCAGCACCAGGACCAGGTGTCGAGTTTCGGGCCTGACCAGGGGACCGTGTGCGACCTGTCGGCGGACTACCACTGCTCGTCGTCCCCGGCGACGCTGGGCTACCCTGGATCGCCGGATCTGCGCAACGTGGTCTATGCGTGCGTTGTGTTTTCTCCATGGCTGTGCTCCCTGCATACTCAAGTTCTGTTTGTTAGCCCGGCACCGGGTGTGGCTGTCCCCGTGTGAGTGATCCATGTTTTCTCTGCTTTATGTTCTCCGTTGTTCACGATTCCAGCAACGACAACATGAACTCGTTCTCGTGTTTCGTCTCGGGATAGGAAGATTAGCTCTACGAATCACGGTGTATGCTTGATGCCAAAGACAAGAATTTATTCATGCCAGTTTTAAGATGATCAGGGATTACTGACCCTGCCCCAGGATCTTCTCGTCATTGGGCTTTCATAGAAACCGCCTGGCGGTCGAACCTGGCCACCCTGATCCGATTCATGACCTGGTATTGTCATTTCCCTCCTCCTTTTCGGAAGTCCTTCCGAGAGTGGCATCGCATGCTGCTGTTCATTTGGTTGCCGGGTTAACCGTAAGACACATTTTCGATGGGTTCGTGATGAAAAGAGACATCTCCCCGGGCAGCGTGGGCTGAGGCTGAGGATAATGACTTGCTCGTGTAGAAGCTGCGGTCTCGTTTTGGGCCTTACTGGTAGAAGAAATTCACACAGAAGATTTGCGCGCGGTGCGAAGTGAAATTTCACAGCCCATGTATACAGTGAAAAAAGGATCTAACTTTCGGCCTACACCGGACTCGTAATCAGGTGTCGGTGACTTGGTGAGCGGCACCATTACACCATCCTCTTGTTGCAACGTGGCCCATGTGTCTGACACGAACCTCGAGAGGGCATCTGAATCCGCCACATCGGATCAAGGCAGCCAACTACGAAAGCCCAATGACGAGAAGATCCTGGGGCAGGGTGTGCGTTAAAAGGCTTCGCGTTTTCGAGAGAGCCAGGCATCATGGTCTCCCCACGCGCAGCTACCGTTTTTCTCTCCCTAGCGCTTTCTGCTTGCGCATCGTTCCGCAACTACGGCATTCCCGAGTCGGACGCGACCGTCGACGTCCGCGTCTTCGACGTCGGAACTTCCACCCTCGTCAACGGCACGGGCATGATTCTACACCCTATACCGACCGGCCGAGAGACGATGTCGTTCCCCTTGTTCGCGTTTTTGATCGAGCACAATGGGAAGCGTGTCATGTTCGATCTGGGCATGAGGAACGACACCCAGAATTTTGCCCCTAGCGTCGCCGGTATGTTCACCGCAAACCTCTCCAAGCTCGAGGAGCCCAACGGAGATATCACGGGGCTCCTCGAGGCCGGTGGAATTCCTCTGAACACGATCAATACCGTCATCTGGAGGTGAGGGGTGTTTTTTTATTAAAGCTTCGATGCATTGCTCAACCTGACTAGCCACTCTCATTTCGACCACATCGTAAGTAGCCTCGCCGAATGTTCTTTTTTTGACTGAACTTGTTCCAGGGAGACATGTCCAAGTTCCCCAACACCACTGAGCTCGTCATTGGGGCCGAGACCAACACCGACACTTATCCTCAAGTTCCCACCGCGAGTTTAAAAGTAGAAGATCTTGCGTGAGTCGTCGATCTCTCTGTTGTCCCATCGGCACTTGGCTCACTTGAACAGCGGACGCATTGTGACCAAGATCGACTTTTCGAAAGCCAACATCACATTCAGTGGCCTCAGGGCTGTCGACTACTTTGGAGACGGGAGTTTGTATCTTCTGGATACCCCCGGTGTGCGTCACAATTCTCGTAAAATAATGTCTTGGCTCATAAATCACAACAGCATCTGGCCGGGCACATCACCGCGTTGGCTCGCACCACCCGCTCCTCGTTCCTCGTCCTTGGTGCCGACTCGTTCCACCATCCCGGCGCGATTCGCCCCCGGCCCGCGTTCCAAGCACAATACCCTTGCCCCGCCCATCTGCTCGAGGATGCCAAAACCATTTCCACCGACTACTTCTGGTCACCGAAGAGTATCTCGGGTGTATTCGACTTGCCCTCGCGCCCAGAGCAGCTCCTCGCCATCTCGGACTTAGCCACATCGTTCTTCGCCAATCCGGTCGACTCGCAGATCTCAGTCGAGAAGCTTGCCAACTTTGATGCGGATCCCGACTTCTTCGTCGTTGTCTCCCATGACATGAGTCTGCGCGGGGTGATCCCTATGTTCCCCGCATATCTGAACCGGTGGAAGCACGATAAACTGAAGGAGAATACGGTGTGGGGATTCCTGAACAAGTCCAGCCCGTCTTTTATATTCACTCCCATCTAACGCCCGAGCGGCGGGCTCATCTTAGAAGTGGCATCCATAAAATCTTGGCTTTGACATCGAGCATACACCGTGATTCGTAGATCTTCCTATCCCGAGACAAAACACGAGAACGAGTTCGTGTTTTCGTTGCTGAGATCGTGAACTTCACTGAGAAAACGAAGCAAGCAACACGGGCATTGGGACATGGTCAACGAGGTCACGTGCCTGAGCCATCAGCAACACGTGTCACGATCCAAACCCCATTAATCCAATTGCCCTCACTACTGCATCGTAAGGCGGCCGGAAAAAAAGAGGCCTGGAGGTGTGTTTGATCGAGTTGAAATGTCTGCTCTTCGTTTATGGATGCGTCTTTTCGAAAGCGAATGACAAGGTTGTGTTACTCAACGCTCAGTTAGATCTCGCTGTCCGCGAGCAAGTGAGCTTACATGCTCAATGAAAAGTTCTCCGCAGCATTCAAGATTTATGCAAACTGCAGTGTCAATCCCTCTCGCGTTTTCTCGCAAGGTAAGAAGATGATGTTGGGTTGGAGAGATGACCGATCGTCATTGTTCCAAAAATAAAATTAGAATAGTCTATCTGTGTCTATAATTTAACCCCCACGCCGTTCAGCCGTCAGACCGTCGTGAAGATGAAGGACGGGCTCGAATTGTTCAGGAATCCCCACACGCTGTTCTCCTTCAGTTGCTGCTGCTTCCACTGGTTCAAGAACGCAGGGAACACGGGGATCGCTCCGCGGAGGCTGATGTCATGCGAGGCGAGCACGAAAAAGTCCGGATCCGCATCAAAGTTCGCGAGCTTCACGATCGAGATCTCCGAGGTGACGGGATCGGCGTAGAACGAGCCTGCAGTGTCTGACACCGCGAAGAGCTGCTCCGGTCGCGAGGTCAGGTCGAATACGCCTGAGCTGCTCTTGGGCGACCAGAAGTAGTCGGTGGAGATCGCCTTGGCATCCTCGAGCAGATGGGCGGGGCAGGGGTACTGCTGCTGGAATGCGGGACGGGGACGAACTTCGCCGGGATGGTGGAAGGTGTCGGCACCGAGGACGATGAACGAAGAGTTGGTGGTGCGAGCCAGCGCCGTGATATGGCCCGCCATATGCTTTTGAAAGAGATCAGAAAAACAGCAATATCAAACTTGAGCACATACACCAGGAGTATCCATGAGATAGAAACTACCGTCCCCGAAATAGTCGATGGCTTTGAGGCCACTGAACGTGAGTTTGGCCTTTGAGAAATCGATCTTGGTCACAGTGCGGCCGCTGGTCGAGCGATCAGGGGGCCGATCCGACAACGGAGAGGCCAACCAGTCACTCACGCGAAATCCTCAGCCTTCAAGCTCGCGGTGGGAACCTGAGGGTAAGTATCCATGTCGGTCTCGGATCCGATGATCAGTTCGGTGCTGTTCGGGAACTTGGACATGTCTCCCTGGAACAAGTTCAGTCGACGGAAATCAGCCGGCAGGGCTGCTCACGATGTGGTCGAAATGGGCGTGGCTGGCAAGTGTCAGTGATGGATCGAACATCTGAATAGAGAGACCGCTCACCTCCAGATCACAGCGTCGACGGTGTCGAGAGCGATCCCGGCCGTCTTCAAGATCCCAGTGATCTCTCCGTTCGGCTCGTCGAGCTTGGCAACGAGTCCGGAGAAGTAGCTGGCGACGGTGGGCGAAAAGTTCTGGGTGTCGTTCCTCATCCCCAGATCGAACAACATCCGCTTCCCGTTGTGCTCGATCAAGAACGAGAGCATCGACGAGGTCATGTTCTCCCGGCCGGTCAGCACAGGATGCACAAACAGCGCCATCGCGTTGGCCATTGTGGTCGTTCCCACATCGAAGACGCGCACGTTGACGGTGGCGTCCGACTGGGGGATGCCAAAGTCCTGGAAGGAGGCCCGGGCGGAGAGCGCCAGAGAGAGGAGGGAGAGACTGACTGTGTGCAAGAAAACCATGGTGAAGATTGGTTTCCCATATCTTACACTTATAAGGGACGTCTGTACTCATATGGGCTTCGTCATTGGTCTCGAGCGCGTTATTTGGATTATTGCATGCAAATGCGAACTTGGCCTGGGCCGATGCGTCTCCCAGCGACAACAGAGAGCGGGAACATGAGGCCGAGAAGCGGACCGTGGTGCGCCTGTCGCACGTGCCATATGGAGGTATAAGCGGCGCAGTCCGAATCCTTCCAAAACGGGGGCATGGAGGTGATAATGAAAACTCGCAAGGCGGCACGGGCACCTTACGCAGCTCCCATTCTGCCGACCGGATGAATTGGCCGCTTCAATCGTATTAGATGGAGCTGTGGAGTACATAAATGCGCTAGCCGTAGCCGGAAATGGCGGACCTGAAATAAAGGAAGTGACTGAGGTCGGTGGTACGGTGAGAGACCGTGGTGGCGAAGCTCCTTTACGCAGAACGGTTTCAGAAGGGTAGGCCAGAGGCAACGCTTTGTGAGGATTTCAAGCCGGTCGTAGCAGCTTGCAACCGACTCAAACAGAATCTGTCGTCTAACACCACTGATTCTACTTGAGTCTCGGTGAGTCGCTCTGAATATCTGGAAGAGACGCGGCTCAAACTACTGCAGAGGATTTAAGCGAGAAAAGTTTCAGATGAAAGTTGGACTGTGTTTGCCTGGCCCCCAGCGCACGTGGGACCCAATTTAGACCAGACTTTCGCCGCTCGGATAAGCAGCTCTTCCGGGTGGAGACTTCCGCAAATGCCATCAAGCTCTGCTGCCCCGCTGACGCAATTGCTTTCTGAAGTCATCCAACTGACTCATTCAGCTTTGAGGTTCACCCGCGGAAGAATTTGACTCGTCATATCTTCGTGGATAGTCGAAGTATATCAAGAGTGTTTGGTGATATTTTGATCTGCCAATCGATCACGTGCAACAAGGCTTCCATTTTCAATGCGACCACCCTCGCCCCTCCTTCCCTCCGCTACAGATACGAATGCACTTATTCAACTCATTGATCCAACAGGAACCCCAAATCGTGTTGAATTGCTCTTTCGGGCAAGAAAGTCCTCGAACGTCTGGAGCTCGCTTCTGGCAAAACTGTCCCTCTGTGCTCAATGGATCAAATGACAGCTGGATGAACAGGCAAGTGGCTTCCGAGCGTTTGGAAACGAGAAAAACTTCCGCTTGTGATGTGCACCGATACAGTGGAATCGATCGTTGTGTCTTGAGCTCCAGAACTTGCGCCGATGTAGATTCTAGAATTTCCACAGCGGGTCCTTACACAAGTCATCGATTCATCGAAACAATGATCGATGCAACATCTAGCGGGAATTCACCAACACAAGTCTCGGAAACCGAGTGTTCTGGAACTGATCCAAGCCCTTCGGGAGCAGGGAAACTCGAGATTGCACCATGTGAAATCTAATCCACCGTCACGTCATATGCTTGCACATGTTCGAGGCGAATCTCTAAAAGTCCACACTGCTCAACGCGCTTCTATCGGGCAGCTACACAAATCGGCTTCGAATATGGGGAAGACGCTTGCAATGGTGACAATCCTGATGACGGAGTCGATCATCCGGACGATTTTGACGCTATCTTCGTCCAAAAATAGCACCTGGACTTGCCTAACCTCGGGACTCTGCGCCTGAAAACAACGACGGTGATATCTCGGAACGCGTTGGGCGAATAATTGGATGCACTCGGGGGTAAGCATTGTCTGGTTTATTGCGAAGAAGGGTCGGACAGTCATTTTACAGCTCAAAACATATCTGCAGGATTTGCCTGCCCACGAGAACGGTGTTCTACATTAGTCAGACGGGAATAGAACTGATTCCAGTCAGTTACGCCTCGGATATGAGCCGTGGTTGATATATTGACAGCTGTTTCGAAAACTCGGGATGATCTTGTCGAAATTTGTTCCGCGGAAAGCGTCGACATCAAAAGGGTCAAGGACTTGAGCTAGTCGCAACCTTTCGGCTTCCAGCGAGCTTTTCTCAGATATTTCAAATCGCACAAATGACGCGCGCAGCTTGTTGATGCTCACCGACAGGCATCGGCGCATGACCCCGCGCCACCAACTTTGAACTGACCAGCAACGTGGCGTGGTTTCTACCAGGCGTCGTCATCGGGACCCTCGTAGGCGATCACGATCGGCCGATTCGGAGGTAGAAACAAGCGGGACCGAGATTGACAGACGAAGCAAGGAAGCTACAGGTCACCCAACAGAAAAGGGGATCCCACCGAAGCTTGATCGCGGGTGTGCACTTATTTCTGTAACTTAATGGCGACCATACCCTGATAAGGACCCTACAAGGCCGTTTACAACATGTGAAGGTGATTGGGCGAGCCAAGCAGCCAGGCCGACTGGCCCTATCGGCAGAATGGGAGCTGCATAAGGTGCCCGTGCCGCCTTGCGATTTTTCATTATCACCTCCATGCCCCCGTTTTGGAAGGATTCGGACTGCGCCGCTTATACCTCCATATGGCACGTGCGACAGGCGCACCACGGTCCGCTTCTCGGCCTCATGTTCCCGCTCTCTGTTGTCGCTGGGAGACGCATCGGCCCAGGCCAAGTTCGCATTTGCATGCAATAATCCAAATAACGCGCTCGAGACCAATGACGAAGCCCATATGAGTACAGACGTCCCTTATAAGTGTAAGATATGGGAAACCAATCTTCACCATGGTTTTCTTGCACACAGTCAGTCTCTCCCTCCTCTCTCTGGCGCTCTCCGCCCGGGCCTCCTTCCAGGACTTTGGCATCCCCCAGTCGGACGCCACCGTCAACGTGCGCGTCTTCGATGTGGGAACGACCACAATGGCCAACGCGATGGCGCTGTTTGTGCATCCTGTGCTGACCGGCCGGGAGAACATGACCTCGTCGATGCTCTCGTTCTTGATCGAGCACAACGGGAAACGGATGTTGTTCGATCTGGGGATGAGGAACGACACCCAGAACTTTTCGCCCACCGTCGCCAGCTACTTCCCCGGACTCGTTGCCAAGCTCGACGAGCCGAACGGAGAGATCACTGGGATCTTGGAGACGGCCGGAATCGCTCTCGACACCGTTGACGCTGTGATCTGGAGGTGAGCGGTCTCTCTATTCAGATGTTCGATCCATCACTGACACTTGCCAGCCACGCCCATTTCGACCACATCGTGAGCAGCCTCGCCGGCTGATTTCCGTCGACTGAACTTGTTCCAGGGAGACATGTCCAAGTTCCCGAACAGCACCGAACTGATCATCGGATCCGAGACCGACATGGATACTTACCCTCAGGTTCCCACCGCGAGCTTGAAGGCTGAGGATTTCGCGTGAGTGACTGGTTGGCCTCTCCGTTGTCGGATCGGCCCCCTGATCGCTCGACCAGCGGCCGCACTGTGACCAAGATCGATTTCTCAAAGGCCAACCTCACGTTCAGTGGCCTCAAAGCCATCGACTACTTTGGAGACGGAAGCTTCTATCTTATGGATACTCCTGGTGTATGTCCTCAAGTTTGATATTGCCGTTTTTCTGATCTCTTTCAAAAGCACATGGCGGGCCATATCACGGCGCTGGCTCGCACCACCAACTCTTCGTTCATCGTCCTCGGTGCCGACACCTTCCACCATCCTGGCGAGGTTCGTCCCCGTCCCGCATTCCAGCAACAGTACCCCTGCCCCGCCCATCTGCTCGAGGACGCCAAGGCGATCTCCACTGACTACTTCTGGTCGCCCAAAAGCAGCTCGGGCGCATTCGACCTCGCCTCGCGACCGGAGCAGCTCTTCGCGGTGTCAGACACTGCAGGCTCGTTCTACGCCGATCCAGTCACCTCGGAGATCTCGATCGTGAAGCTCGCGAACTTTGATGCGGATCCGGACTTTTTCGTGCTCGCCTCGCATGACATCAGTCTGCGCGGAGCGATCCCCGTGTTCCCTGCGTTCTTGAACCAGTGGAAGCAGCAGCAACTGAAGGAGAACAGCGTGTGGGGATTCCTGAACAAGTCGAGCCCGTCCTTCATCTTCACGACGGTCTGACGGCTGAACGGCGTGGGGGTTAAATTATAGACACAGATAGACTATTCTAATTTTATTTCCGGAACAATGACGATCGGTCATCTCTCCGACCTAGACCATCATTTGGAACCCTCTCTTCGCATCTTGAGTTGTCGTTGCTGTCTGGTGAGATCGTGAACACCGCGGAGAATGTTTCAATGAAGATCTCAGCCCAATCGATTGCGGACAGCGACCCCAACGCAGCGCTGAGCAACATAATCTGAACATTCCTTTCGAAAAGATGTTACGCTCAAGATCCAGCGTCATCATGCACAACCCTGCACGGAGAGCAAACACTTCAACTCAATTGAGTACATCAAGCCTGTTTTTTCTCCTACTCGAACTCCCTGCACATCCCCTTGCCCCCAAAATGACCAGCTTTCCCTTGCATCCTCTCCAGGGGCGTATACTACATGATGGTGGCGGTAACTGAGGTGAATGCACCAGGTCTGTTATCTCTCGAAATTAGTTCAATCCAATCAATCCTTCGCCATGCTCATTATACTAAATCCAATTCCAATGTGTAGAGCAGAAGCCCTAATAGATATCAAATATGCCCAACATCAATGTTTGATGTAAAAGCCCAAGACCAGAAACAATTAGTTGTTGCACTGTCAACGGCGTTGCCCGATCGACCCAGATGTTATAGGGACACTTTAGGACGACCTCTGAATATCTCTAACAAGGCTAGCGTCAATTTTTCTGGAATTGACAACTTTTGTCTGGAACATTTTTGCTTCAAACTGTTCAATTTTGTCCGGCACGGCGCTGGCGTCCGTGTTTATTGATTTATTGTAATTTTACTGAATTTCACCATTTCTCTTCCTCCCGACGCCAAAATGCAGAAAGAAATCACGTTAATCGAGAGTTCATTGATTTTGCTTGTTCCGGTGGCTCTTATGTTTCATGCGTTGGTTTGTGCTTGGCCGAATTGCTTGAGCTCACAAAATCCCATCGATTGGTGGCATCAAATGTGATGCGGGACATCAATCCGGAGATTCTTCAAGACGAATGATTAGTCCCCAAAAATGAATTTTGGGACGAATTTGAGGAGAAAATGACTCTCTGACAGAAGTATGCCTTTCCGGGGCTTCATTTTGTCCGGCAACAGGCCATGGCCCTGCAGCCCTGCCATCCCCAGTTTTTTTCGGCTGGGCGCCAGCTTTCCGAGCTCAATCCCCGTGAAAATTAGCCCGGGAGCTAAGTTAGCGTAGTCAGGCAAGATCAGAGGTCCTGCCTCGGGCCAACAGCCAAAACAATTCCTAATATCCCAGACAGTGTAGGAATCTTTCAAAAGCACGGTAGTGCTATCTTTTTGCTCGCTGGATTGTATACAGTGTGATTTACTGGTAGGGAATTTATGGCCAACGATCATTTTTTGAACTCCGAAGTGACTCCAATATTATTCCATCTATTGATCCCGGTAGGTGGTTCTGCATATGCGGAAGAGGTTCCACTAAAACCGTAGTATGCGTGTCAGTGAGCCCAGGCGAGGTGGCACACCCTCACTCGGCGAAATTAGAAGAGTTTATCTATGAATCTATAATTTAACAAGCCAGCCGCTCCGCCGCTAGACCGCAGTGAAGATGAAAGACGGGCTCGATTTGTTCAGGAATCCCCAAACACTGTTCTCCTTGAGATTTTGTTGCTTCCACTGGTTCAAGTATGCAGGGTACACGGGGATCGCTCCGCGCAGACTGATGTCATGCGAAGCGAGCACGAAAAATTCCGGATCCGCATCAAAGTTCGCGAGCTTCACGATCGAGATCTCCGAGGTGACTGGATCGGCGTAGAACGAGCCTGCAGTGTCTGACACCGCGAAGAGCTGCTCCGGTCGCGAGGTCAGGTCGAATACGCCTGAGCTGCTCTTGGGCGACCAGAAGTAGTCCGTAGAGATGGCTTTGGCGTCCTCGAGCAGATGGGCAGGGCAGGGGTACTGTTGGTGGAACGCAGGACGGGGGCGAAGCTCGCCAGGATGGTGGAAGGTGTCGGCACCGAGGACGATGAACGTGGACTTGGTGGTGCGAGCCAGCGCCGTGATATGGCCCGCCATATGCTGTTGAAATCGATGAGAGAAGACAATGGCATGAGATGCCGTGTTCTTACTCCGGGAGTATCCATGAGATAGAAACTGCCGTCCCCGAAATAGTCGACCGCTTTGAGCCCATTGAAAGTCATCTTAGCCTTCGAGAAGTCGATCTTGGTCACAGTACGGCCGCTGGTCGAGCGATCAGAGGGCCGATCCGACAACGGAGAGGCAAACCAGTCACTCACGCGAAATCCTCAGCCTTCAAACTCGCGGTCGGAACTTGAGGGTAAGTATCCGTGTCGGTCTCGGATCCGATAATAAGTTCGGTGCTGTTCGGGAACTTGGACATGTCTCCCTGGAACATGTTCAGTCGACGGAAATCAGCCGGTAAGAGTGCTTACGATGTGGTCGAAATGGGCGTGGCTGACAGGTTTGAGTATTGAATCCAACACCCGGATAAAAAGCGCCCCTCACCTCCAGATGACAGCGTTGATAGTGTTGAGAGGAATTCCGGCCGTCTTCAAGATCCCTGTGATCTCCCCGTTCGGCTCGTCGAGCTTGGCAACGAGTCCGGGGAAGTAGCTAGCGACGGTGGGCGAAAAGTTCTGGGTGTCGTTCCTCATCCCCAGATCGAACAGGATCCGTTTCTTGTTGTGCTCGATCAAGAATGAGAGCATCGAAGAGGTCATGTTCTCCCGGCCGGCCGGCACAGGGTGCAGAAAGAGCGCCGTCCCGCCGGTGAGCGTGGTAGTTCCAACATCGAAGACGCGCACATTGACGGTGGCGTCTGACTCGGGGATGCCAAAGTCTCGGAACGACGCCCGTGCGGACAGTGCCAAAGAGAGGAGGGAAAGACTCAGTGTGCTGAGGAAAACCATGGTGGAGGATCGTTTCGAATGCGTTGCAATTAAAAGGGAGGCTTATACACATATGATCTTCGTCATTGGTCTCGTGCTCGTCATCCAGATTATTGAATCCGAATGTGGACCCGGCCTAGGCCGGTGTGTCCTCCAGCGTGTACAGTGCGCTCACCGATTCCATCAATTGAGAAGCAGAGCGACCGCGCCTGTCGCAGAATGGCACATGACGATATAAGCGGCGCAGTCCATACCTACCGAGGGGGAGTAGAGATGCTGAGATAAGAAAAAATACGAATGCAGGCCATGGAGCTCTCATTCGGCCGATAGGGTCAACCAGGCGACGCGCTTATCGAACGCCACCCATGCCTAAATGCACGTGTTGTGGAATGCGCAGTCAGGTCCCGGAGAGAATGGATTGGTCACAGGAAGCAAAACGCTTGGGCATCAGCAATGCGCTTCAGTCGACAGGCCATCCGAGTTCGAAGCTCGGTTCTTCGCTCCATGGTTTCAGCATAGTCGAGTCATTCTGAGGCTTGCAGTTGTCAGAGCCTCCTCCGAAGCGCCTAGGCATGTTCGCTAATGAGAACGTCCGCCATGACGACAAGTCCTGGGGACACGGGGGTGTTTCAGGTGAGTATAAAATCCATGGCAAGGATGCACGGAGGCCGTGCCCCAGTTGTTACACGATCATGAAGGGAACTGTGTGCGGTGTTGTAACAGCAGAGGGTGTGCACCTTGCACTGAATGGCGGTGCGGACGAAGAGATAAAGATGACTAAGAGTCCCGAGAGGTCCAAAGAGTGGGAAGCCTGTCGGGTTTCATGTCCTCGGCAAGTGACGTCGCCATTTTGCGGGGAACAAAGCCAATCACCTGACGCATCCGGTTCTTGTCGCTGGCCGTTATGACCAGCTTGCCTTCCTCATCCTCATTGCCACCCGCCACGCCGCCTCCAAACCGTCTTCGTCGTCGAGGCTCTCCTTCAACGCCTCTCAACCCCAGTGTCCGTTTCAGTCGATTCTTCACTTCCGTCTTGGGTTCACCGTTCCTGACCACGGCCGAAATATCCTCTCTACCCCCACACCTCGATCTCATAGATGGCGACGACGCTGCTGTGCTCAGGGAAGATACTGTGACCAGGCCGCCGTCTCCTGACACTGGGGAGCTTGCATTGTGGGGTTTCGAGGTGGTGCATCACGAGGACGATGATGGCGTGTGGGCGTTCAGGCGCTCGGCCTCGCCGTTCAGATCACTTCTTCCCCGCATCTGGGACGTTCTATCGCCGTCACCACCTCGCCGGCAGCTCACCCTCTTCTCCAACCATCCGAACCATAGCGACTCTTCGCTCTGGAACATGAAGTCTATTGACTACGCACAACTTGCGCCACTCGACGGCGAAGAAGGGGAGCTCATCGACGACGAAGCATGTTTCTTCTATCCCCCGGTCCGTGCGGTGACTGGAATTGGTGCGCAGTACTTCTCTACTCTAACTAGTCATCACTTACCTATTATCTACCGTCAGACATCCTCACTCTACTCCCGCCAGAGCTCTCACTGCATATCCTCTCATTGCTACTATCTCCTCCCGATATTGATCTGCGTGCTGCTGCTCCGACCGTGCTTGCCGGCATCGCTGACCACAACATTGAAGCTGCCGTCTCGGTTCGCTCTCTGCTCACGTGTCGGTCGGTGTCTCGTGGATGGGCACACCTCGCGTCGGACAATGCGGTGTGGCGAGCAGGGTACTTCAGTCGCTGGGGCGTCCCGTCAACACCGCATCTGGATGTTGCCAGAATGAAGAAACTACCTGCCCTGCCTCCGGACCAACCGGCGCTCAAAGCAGTCCTCGCGCCGCTCGCCACCGACTGGTATGTCCTATATCAGGCAAGACTGGAGCTGTCTCGAAGATGGGCTTCATCCTGTTGGGATCCGCGGGCGACCGCACTAGCTGGGCATACCGACAGGTGCATCATCTTCTCGTTTGGCCTGACTTTGGCTCACTGTCACTGACCAACAGCGTGTACTGCTTGGAATTTTCTGGAAAGCACATAGTCACCGGTTCCAGGGACCGAAGCGTGAAGATTTGGGGAATTCGGTCTGGCAGACTGCTGGGTACCTTGTCGGACGGACATGACGGAAGCGTGCTGTGTCTGAAGTTCGAAATGGCGGAGGAAGACGGTCGCTTGCTTGGCTCTCTCTTCACGGGCAGCTCGGACTGCACGGTTCGTGTGTGGGACTTATGGACCGAGAGTGCCGGTGAAGATGCACCCGTATTTGGGCAAGTTCGTGCAGTCCTTCGAGGACATACCGGCGGAGTGCTCGACTTGCGAGTAGCAGACAAATGGATCGTCAGCTGGTAGGTTCTTGGTCATGTTGCTCATCGTCCCACTTCTGACCAGACATCTGTCGTGCAGCTCGAAGGACACCTCGATTCGAATATGGGCCAGGGACACCTTGGAGCCTCACAAGACACTCTGCGGCCATGACGGACCTGTCAACGCTGTCGGGCTCGAAGGCCGGGATGGCAAGACGCTCGTGAGCGCCAGCGGGGACGGGAAGATGATCTTGTGGAACATTGCGACAGGAGATCGGGTGCGAACATTTGAGGGTCATGAGCGAGGGCTGGCATGTATCGAATACAAGGTGCGTGACACCTGATCCTGCCCGCAAAGCGTGCTCATCCTTCTTCAGGGTGACTTGATCATCTCTGGATCGAATGACTGCAAGATCAAAATCTGGAGCGCTTCGTCGGGAGCTTGTCTGCGCACTCTGACAGGGCACGAGTCCCTGGTCCGCGCGTTGGCTTTCGATCCCTCGACCGGCCGGTTAGTCAGCGGTGGGTACGACCGGAGTGTGCGAGTATGGGATCTGTGTACCGGGCGCTCACTGCGCGTCTTCCGGGATAATCATACCAGCCACATTTTCGATGTCAAGTTTGATGCGCAGCGGATTGTGAGGTACGTCTTTACCTCTTCCGGCGTCGAAGGGCATTGGTGATAATCCGTTCAATAGCACCTCGCACGACCAACGGATCGTTATTCTGGATTTTGCGCAAGGCCTTGATGTCGAGCCGAGCCTTCTCGTTTGAATTGTATAGTATGTGTATGATATTGTATATTCGTTTATGTACACCTGGACGTTTTGCACGAGTCTGTTTTTATTCGATTCATGGACGAGAATCTCTTTTCCGAGGCTTTCACTCATCGTGCTCGGTGTCGAGGCGTTTCGTTCATCGTCGAGGGTTGGCCAAAGCTTGTTCGAGGACTGCTCATCGTGGAACGACAGTGTCCTGTCCTGTTTCGAGCATTGACGTCCATCCCCGTCGCTTTTGTGACTTGATTATTGAGTACTGATTGTGCAGTACTCGTCATCTTTCCATTCATCGACGGTCTGACCCTAATCGTCTGATCGAATCGCCATCTCGCTTTCGAGTTCTCCACTCCATGTCAAGGCGAGACGGGAGGACCGATTATCATTTTGATCAAGTCAACGGGACCACTCTTCGTGACCTTTACAGCCCGAGATTCAGGCGTGATCATATACCAGACGTGAAGTTGAGCAATAGCTCTTATCTTTTCGCGGAACGTGATTGGTTCTAGTTCTGTGAATCAGAACTCAGTTGAACTTCTCGCTTTTATACATGACTCGACTAACGTGCATTCGATAATTAGTCAAGCGTATCTATGAAGGCGTCATTTACAGCTGTAATGTCGAATCCAGCTTCTGCCAGAATCAGCAGTTGAAGAATCTTAGTCTGCGTAAGCAACAACAAGATTAGTCACGTGATACAAGCCAGCTTTTTTCTGTCCAGCTGTGATGTTCACTAAGCCGTATCTCACGTCTCCTTGCCACATCTAATCTCGGGTTAACTGTAAGTGTCAAGGTCGCATCTGAAGCCCGCACTTCCAGGATCCACTTCCCGATCACTGAGACTGGGAAAGATTCTAGGAAAGACTTTCGAATATTGAACATACCACCTCCGACTCAGCGCATGATTGGGAACAGGGGATTCAGAACTACTTGAAATTGGGTTTTTTCTCGCTACAGTTTGATCCCTTCGTGTGCAATCTCCCCTATTGACCACATCTCGACAGGTTGATTCGGAACCGCGACGTGCGTCATATCCACGTCCTTCCGAACGTATACTTGCATGCTTCAGAAGGGAAGTCTGCTTGCCATTGAATATTATGTGTTGATGGTTGCGCTCAGGTTCTTTCGAAGCTTTATGAGTAAGAAAGCTGCAAGTCACGATATCTCTCCGGCTGGTTGGGCATCGCCTTTAGTGCATATGTATTTAAACAGAAAAGCACAGGGGATATGGCCAACCCACTGGACCGCCATGAAGTCAAATTTTCTCTTCCTACTCCAGATCTCGGTTCTTTCCTCTGCTCTTGCCTCCTTCAGCGACTTTGGCATCCCCAAGTCAAACGCGACTGTGGACGTCCGGGCGTTCGATGTGGGAACGGCAACGCTCACCAACGAGACACACACGTTCTTCCGACCTATTCTCCCGGGACACGAATCGCTGGTGATTCCGCTCTTTGCGTTTCTCGTCGAACACAAGCAGTCGGGCAAGCGTGTCATGTTCGATCTCGGGATGCGCAGTGATCCGCAGAATTTCGCCCCGAGCATCAAACAATTTTTCACGGGCGGTGTGATGCGCATTTACGAGTCTAGGGACATCACGGGACTCCTCGAGACAGGGGGGATATCGCCCTCGAGTATCGAGGCTGTTGTTTGGAGGTGAGTTTGTATCAGGTTGAGGCATTCCTCACACATCTGAATGTGTTTCAAGTCATGCACATTTCGATCACATTGTGAGAGAAGAGCTATTCTGTTTCAAGCTAATTTAATGAAACATTTCTACAGGGAGACATGTCGAAATTCCCGCGAGGCACTCGTCTTGTCATTGGCTCGGAGACGATCACAGAAACATATCCAACATTTGCCAATGCGACTCTCTTGCCTTCCGACTTTGCGTAGGTGCACAATGTCGTAGGGGTTCTCTGCTTATGTTTTGGACAGTGGACGCAATGTCACGAAAATAAACTTCAAAGCGGCCAAGCTGATCTTCGCTGGTATGAACGCGGTTGACTATTTTGGAGACGGCAGCTTCTATCTGCTGGACGCACCAGGGGTGAGTAGTTCTCCATAATATGGACCTCTTTCGAGATAAATGTCCACTCTAGTATATGCGGGGACATCTGATTGCTCTCGCACGCGTTACCCCGTCCTCGTTCGTCGTTCTCGGTGGCGACGCTTTCCATCATCCTGGGGAACTCCGGCCGAGACCGGCGTTGTACGACAAGTACCCGTGCCCCGCGCATCTGCTCACGCAGACCAAAACCGCTATCTCCACAGACTATTTCTGGTCACCGGATTCATCGGCGGGCAGCTTCGACCTCGCGTCTCGCGGCCAGCCGTTCCTCACTATATCTGATACGTCCGACTCATTTTACGCCGACCCCACCCTATCCCAGGTCTCCCTGGACAAAATAGCGGACTTTGATGCTGATCCAGACTTCTTCATTGTTATTGCCCATGATCTCAGCATGAGAGACTTTCTACCGCTATTTCCCGCATCTATCAACACTTGGAAGCAGGACAAGCTGAAGGATCGAGCGCTGTGGAGATTTTTAGATTCTTCGAGTCCAGCATTTCTCTTGGGATCTCTCAGATCCTGAGTTCAAGACCTCTTGTCTTTACATCCTTATGTTTTTGTTTTTGCAACCATGATCACGTGAATTCACCCACGCTTGCCTGATCGGGACCAAAGGCGTTGCAGAGTTTTATCATTGTTCTGGCACGGCATGAAATGTGCTCTCAACTCTGCAATTTCTCTAGAATGTTATATACTGCGCAAAGGTGCGACTTTATGAGGATCGAAGTGGTGTTGCTCACGAAATATGGCACGGGACTGCGGCTCGAAGGAGCCTGCACGTTGTCCGCTGATAAACTGGAGCAGCACCTGACTGGATTATTCACACATATTGGTAACTCTCCGGAGCTATAGACACCGACAGTGAGTTTGTGGCGCGGTAGTTGCGCATGGTTTCTTGACAGAAATGACCTGGGCACCCGTGACAAAGCTCCAGAAATAAACAGAAGCTAAATCTGGATGGCGTCTATGGCGACGCACGCTCTCATCATATGTTACCCACACTCCTATGGCAGATCAATCTGTTGCGAAACCCTTCATGATCGTGCTGTCCTCCAAATGGGATCATTCGTCTGGTCACCATCTCCGAGCGGATCCATAGAAGCAAGATGGATGGGCACTGCACAGGACGGGATGCCTGTGCGCTGATGTTCGGCGATTTGTTCAAATGAGGTCGCTATATCCGCACACACGTGGGGACGCGCATCAGATTGATCTGCAGGGCAATCACAGATCGGATCACATCCGCGACCGAGGCAGCATCTTTTGCACCGCCAGAGTTTTCGTGCACGCGCCCGCAGAAGATGCCCGACATCCCAGTGGGCACCCAGATCTTCGATTTAGTCTTCCACCCCAGTCAATCGACGGTGTACACCGCCCTGCTGACGGGCCATGTCAAGGCGTACGAATACGACAGCGCAGGGGGACACCGGCAAACGTTCGCGGTGCGCCCATCGAAGCGCTCCTGCCGGACGCTGACGGTCAACGAAGACGGCTCGCGCGTGTACGCAGGGGGGAAGGCCAAGTCCATCTTGTGAGTCGGCGTGCCTCGCGGGTGATGGGTTCGTGCTCGATGCTCATGTGTGCGGCGCTGAAGCACGATGGATACGACGACGGGGGGAGTGGTAGAGACGCGTGCAGCAGCACATGAGTACGTGTCATTCCATGGGATCTACGTGTTATGTCTCTGGCTCATGGATAGGCACGTAGAGACTCCATCAACCGCGTCAAGCATGTTACGCCGTGGCTAGTGGCGAGCGGAGACGACGCAGGCGTCATCAAGGTACACGTGAACATCGTCTTATATGCACTCAGATGATGTATCTTCTCAAGCTTTGGGACCCGCGGCAACAAAACTGCATCCGTACCCACAAGCAACACTTTGACTACATTTCCGACTTCTTGTGGCTTCCCGACAAGCAGCACCTACTGGCGACCAGGTGCGACCGCTTGCGCTCCTCCGAGGCTTAGTTCTGAATCCACCACCAGTGGTGACGGGACGCTCTCTGTGATGGACGTGCGATCCAAAAAGGCTGAGGCCTTCGCTCAGTCGGAGGACCAAGAAGACGAATTGCTCTGCGCGACGACAATCAAGGGGTACGGCGCGTCTGTCCGACGATAAGTGCTGGAGACTGAGAAGAAATCAACAGTGGTGCGAAAGTGGTCGTGGGCACCCAGCTGGGCATCCTCTCCATCTTCAACCGCTCCAGTGGATACGGGGACTGCGTGGACCGTGTACCAGGGTGTGTCCTCGAGCTCTACTGCCCGAATCCGACAAGTGAGTAGATGAATGACGCGAGTCTAGGCACCCCGCGTCGATCGACACGATCACCGCACTTCCGCCCGACTTTGTTGCGGCGTCCAGCAGCGCAGAAATGGAAAACACGGTGCTCACCGGGTCCTCCGACGGGCTCGTCCGTGCCGTGCAAGTGCTGCCGACGAAACTTGTTGGTGTCGTCGCAGACCATGGCGAGTTGCCTGTCGAACGATTGGCGATCGGATTTGGCGGTGTTGCGCTGAGTGTGGACAGTGATGCCGACGAGGACGACGTAGACGGTGGCGGCAGCAGTAGCGGTCAGAAGGTCGGCAGCAAAGGGAAACAAAAGGCGGAGGAGGAGGAGGATGAGCAAGAAGGGTCATCGACACAACGACCTGGAAGGTGGTGGGTCGGCAGTGTGGGCCACGACGAAGTCCTTCGGCTCACAGATCTCGATGCCTTCTTCCAGCATCCTGCCCAAGGCGAAGATGAGGAGGACAGCGAAGAGGGCGAGGCCTCTGACGCAGGTTCAGATGGCGCTAGCGAAGAGGGTCATGACGCGGAGGAACAGGCCCCAGAGGATGACGCAGATTCCGATGACTCTGACGACGCTCCGACAAGCGACCGAAAGCGCAAGCGCAAACAGAAGGTGCAAGATCCTTTACAAGCTACGCGGCGAAAAAAGGGTCGAAATGAATTGGACGTGGAAGACGGAGGGTTTTTCGATGGCCTTTGAGCAGCAGGTGTACGAGCTGGTGCATGTGACAAGCAACGCGCAGTACCAGGGACGCCGAGGACTTCGCCAGCAAATACATGCAGTGTTGTTTCAGGGATCTATCTGGTCCCAGTCGTATGGTCGCGAGGTCTCGGCTGAGTTGCAGACGATGTCCCCTAATCTAAGCTTACCGAACTTGGCATCTCCCCCCGCTAGATGTGGGACCGGCGCCCCAAGCCCAGCAACGATGACAGTATGTCGGGGAGACTATTCTTATCCTGACATGATGCGCGCTGAATCCTGAGAATCGCCGTGCGAGCGATATCTCGTCTGGTGATCAACGACAGAAATCGGGACGCAATCAAAGTGTGCGAGACTGAGTGTGCGAGACTGAATCGGCGGTGTTGAACCAGCAAGACCCCTCGGCGCTGATACGGGATCTGCGGCTCGCCCAGGCTGATTCGTACATACAGCGTGTGTGAAAGAAGCTTGGGACGAATACAAAAACGCGTTGCGACTTGACGTCCGAGTCGTGGGGCTGTCTCGCACGGACACGCAGATGCATAGAAGCAGGCCAGAGGGTAACCACTGCCCAGGGTTCGATCAGTCCTCCACGACCCCCAAGCAGCGTTGCCAGGCTTCGATTCGAACAAGATCTGGAGGTGAAAGATAGCGCATTCCGTGGGACGCGTACTATAGATATCCCGATCTTTGTGCCCGAAATGAGCATTAGTCGCAGCACATTGCCCCTAACATCCTGGGACGCGTGCAGAGAGCAAAACGAGGTACAGGCAGAGCGGCATTCCCCTCAGAGGTCGTCGTGCGTTTGGTCGTGATGAGGACGCGCCACAGGGCCCGCTGCGCACGGCGCAGTCTGTGCGGCGATCAAGGGATGATTTGCATGTGATTGATCGGAGCTCAGCGGCGTGCCAGCGGACTTTGACAGTGGCCCTGCGCTTCCTACACTGTAACGCGCACGTCGACGACCATCCATATCGATTCAACGCTTGCTTTCTATGATCGTCTCCAGATCGGCTCTCGTGCTAGGCACACGCCGGAGCCGCGTTTCCGCTCGTTTTCTGTCCAGCAGGGCGTCCAACATCCTCGCGGCGCTCGACATCACCACGAGCGGGGAAGTCCACGGTGTGTACGACGGAGAATGGAAGGGCACCGGGGACGTCGTGGAAAGCGTCTGCCCCACGACTGGAGAGGTTCTGGCACGCGTCAAAACTGTGGGTATCTGACGCCCTGAAACACTTGTGTGGAAACTAGACTGATGTGTGACCTGACTCGTCAGGCTTCGCCAATTGAATTGCACACCGCGCTGGAGAAGTCTAGAGAGGCCTTCGAGTATTTTCGCAGTGAGTCTACGACGGTTGTTCTTTGATTCAGGGTGGAGGGCTTTTCATATATCATTCCCGAAGATGTTCCGGCTCCTCGTCGCGGGGAGATTCTGAGGCAAATCAGAGAGGCTCTTGCGTCCAAAGTAAGATTTATATTGCTCATTTTTTTCACCCTGGAATCGCTAGCTCACATCAGAACATCAACAGAGAACGGAGCTGGGTGCATTGATCTCGCTTGAGATGGGGAAAATCAAAACGGAAGGTGTTGGAGAAGTCCAAGAGTTTGTGGATATTGTCAGCTCAGACCCGCTCTTGGTTCTCCATCTTTCACCTGATTTTCATTTCAGTGTGATTATGCCGTAGGCCTTTCTCGTATGATGAATGGCCGTGTGGTCGCATCGGAACGTCCAGGACACTCCATTTTGGAAGGTGAAGTCCGATCGATCGTGCCTGATTTTGGATCTGATGTCCTGATGCCCCGCCAGTCCCCAATCCGCTCGGGGTCGTCGGGGTACTGAGCGCGTTCAACTTCCCGGTCGCCGTCTATGGCTGGTGAGCAACGTTCTTCTCGCTTGAACGCATCAGAGACATCGATCAACCAGGAATCTGTCACTTTCGCTGGCAGCTGGTAACGCGACTATCTGGAAACCCTCGCCGTCCACTCCACTCTGCGCCATTGCTGTCACCAAGATAATCAGTGGCGTCCTTGAGGCCAACAGTGCGCGTTCAACGACGCATTTTTACTAATCGTTTGACTTTCCGACTTCCAGACGTCCCTGGGGCAGTTGCGGGTCTCATCACAGGCGACAAGGATGCCGGCGAAGCGATCACCCAGAGCCGCAGCGTTGATCTTGGTATTTACCCGAATCTGCTTCAAAGTTTTTGGTCTTTAGCTTACGACTGTCAGTCTCATTCACTGGTAGCGAGCACGTGGGCCGCATCGTCGGCAAGACTGTGCAATCGCGTTTTGGTAAGCTGATTCTGGAGCTTGGAGGGAACAACGGCAAGTCCTATATATTCATCTGGATGTCGGGGCTTACTTACAGCCCTGTCTAGCCGCAATCGTAATGCCTGATGCGGATCTAAAAATGGCCATTCCATCAGTATTTTTCGGAGCAATCGGGACTGCTGGCCAACGCTGCACGTCCACTCGTCGGCTGTATCTGCACCGCAAGGTCGCTGACGAGTTTTTGGAGCGTTTGGGAAAAGTGTACTCTTCTGTCACGCCTGGTGATCCTCTGGACGATGCGACGCTCCTCGGTCCCCTGCACACGGCTTCTGCTGTGGGAATGTTTAAAAAGACAATTGATTATCTCCACGACACAGATGCGGACATTATCACGGGCGGAAGGGTATACTCCTCGGACCGCCAACCGATGGGATGCGATGGCAACTTCGTGCAGCCCACCCTAGCCGTGCCGAAGGATGCAGATCACTCTGATATCTTGTGGCAAACGGAGTGTTTCGCGCCGATTTTGAATTGCGCGGTCTTTGATGAACTGGAAGAAGCCATCCAGTGGAACAACGCGGTACCCCAGGTGAGGATTGCATGTTATTTGTGGTCTTTTCGAACATACTCACGTGTTGTTGCTAGGGTTTGTCCTCGAGCTTATGGACGCGTGACATGAGGAATGTGGGAACATGGATTGGGCCCCGCGGGTCTGATGCTGGAATTGTGAATGTGCGTGGAACCTCTGTTTCAAGTTAGCTGCCGCTGGTACTGATCTTTCCAGGTGAACGTCGGTACGAGCGGTGCCGAAATTGGCGCAGCTTTCGGTGGAAACAAGGTATGGACCGGATATATATCGCTGAATTTGCTGACATTTGCTGCCAGAGTACGGGATGGTGCGTGTTTCGTAAGCTCATGTTCTAGGCACCCAACGCCTCTGCAGGGGTCGTGAATCTGGCGGTGACGCCTGGAAGCAATACGTCCGGTGGTCTGCGTGCACAAGTGAGTCCGATGACGGGTCCGATGGATATTCTGACCATTGCCCAGTCAATTTCTCGGATGCTGCTCCCTTAGCGCAGGGCGTGGATTTCAGTGTTTGAAATGGGAATGAATTGGACGACTGTACTGCGACAACAACGCAGTTGATGGGATCACGGAATCAAATTGATCAGCATTAGCCTAGCGATTCCCCTTTCAGCATGATTTTTTGATACTCGCAACGTGCATGTCCTGGGTCCTCTGTGTCTGGTCGATAGCACTGCCTTTTCCCCCTCGAACAAGCCTAAACACGCGACCATAGATGCAGTCCGTGAGAGCAGTGATGTGCTTCCCAGACAACCACGGCATGCACATGTTCTCGTCGACATGTCGCCAATTCTGATCTGATCGATTCGCGTATGCCCGATCGGGAACCTCAGATCATTCGACGTCCCAGCGAAACACCAGATAGGCTTTTAATCCCGGTGGAGCACCAGGCGTCACTGAAGTTCCTGCCCAGTCTTTGTTCCTCAAACACTCCTCGTGCTTTCCCCACTCTGCGCACATCGCCGCAACCCATCATCCCTCCATGGCTGCTCCTGCAGACGACCTGCCCTGGCCCGAACTGGGCAACGTTTCCCGCGGCGCGACGCGCGGCAACCAGGGCCAAAAAGGTGTCCTGGGACCGCCCGATCGCGAGGGCCGCTGTGTGCTCCAGCTGCGCGTCCAGCCCGGGGTGCTCGCGGTGCGCCTGAACCGCCAAGCCAGCGACTGGTACCGCATCCTCGACAACGAAGTCAATCGCGCGCTCAAGCTCACGAAGACGTTCTGGCGCAAGGCCCGGCGGCGCCAGGACTACGATCCGCGCGCGGACCAGGACCACATGGAGCTGCACGAGTGGCTCCAGCAGCTCAAGGACAAGACGATGTCGCATCTCGAGCTGCTGATGCAGAAGGGGGACATCCTTGGCCCCCCGTACACGATGCCCGATGACGTCGAGCTGACGTTCCTGCGCAAGTTCGTCGAGCGCGAAGCAGCGGGGATAGCCCATAATCCGAGGCTGCGGAACGGCGGCGCGCCGCCCGGCGGGGAGCACGGCGCAGGGCCCAGTGGGTACCCATCTATGCGCGGCGAGCCGACCTCCGCCGGCTCTTTGTCCCCGGAACCATCGGAGCGCGTCTACATGGACTCGAAGGGACACACTGGGCTCGGTGCGTGCGGGATTTTCGTGGGCGGATCTTCGTGCTCATCGGCCTCGCCCCCTCCAGATCACCTGTCCGAAGCCCGTAATTCGGGATCGCCATCCCTTCGCAACGCGGAGTCGTTATCTCACGAGGCGGCAGCATCGAGTAAGAATTACATTGATTTCTCTGTGATGGATCCTCGCTTACCGCGGCCCCCGCAGAACAGGCACTCCAGAGCTGTCGCGCCGCGTTCGCCCGGGCGCAGAAAGAGACGCAGGAGGCGTTCATCCGCTACCAGGCCTGCCTGAGCGCCGAAAACCAGGCGGGGAACGCCGTTGCCGCTGCAGAGAAACGCCGGGACAATTGCAGTACGGCCCGCTTCTTGTGCGTTTTGATCCTTCTCTCATGCCCGTGCAGTGGGTGCTCTTCTGTCTCTGAACCAAACTGTCGGTGCGTTCTGATGTGCTCCTGCTTTTTCTGCGCCGGAACTCATATCCCCGAAGACAGCATGTCTAGGCACTCTTCAGTTTCCGGCGACGAACCCAGCCCCAGATACGATGTGAGAAGCACGATCCGCGATGTGCACCATTTTCTGACTGCATGTAGGACTTCCGCGGCCCAGACAACATGTCGATGCGAGCCATACCAAACACGAAGCCCATGGCCTGGTCGGATGTTTACGGAGAGCCTCAGACGCACCTGGATGTCAGTCTCCCGGGCCGTTCCGCAGATCTAGGTCGCTGATCCTCTCCGTCTCATTCTAGGACCCGCACAAGCCCAGAAAACGAACGTGGGAGCACAGCCAGCAGCTGCTGCAGGGTGGGTACCACAGCGATGCCGATTACCCGCCGCCTCGGGCAACCGAGGTGTACGACAGCGGTGCTTATGGATGCCAGGTGCGTCACATGCTGGCTGGACATGTGACATGCTTTGAGATATTTCTCTCCCGCAGGACATGGCTGGCCTGCCTCCGCCCAGAAAACGCGTGCATCACATGATGCCCAACTTTGACGTCTTGGGCAGCGCGGCTATGCAGCCCAATGGCATGACGCTGCCCTCATAGCCTGCGCCCGCCGGCATGTAAAGCTATTTCTGTTCCCCCGCGCATTGTATGTAGTTTATACCCTCCCTGCCTTGCTCTGTCCCTTGTAGCAGCTCCCACGACTTATATCCTTTACACATGAGCTAGTTTGTGCCCCCACCCGCCCCGTAACATAGATGTATTTCCGACAGCTTAGTCGTACCGTAACATTATCATCCGATGTATCCTTCGTACATATGTGTGCCACCCAACCCCAATTTTAGATTCTGGTGCGTGTTCCTGGAAGATATTTGAACACGAGCCAGCATCAATGTTTTACCGTCTGCGCTCCCGTAAGCCCGGAGATAATTTCCTCGACATCTCGACATATAAACCTCGAGCTGTGCTGCGATGCTGTCATATTTCGTGAACTGATCGATGCCTGATCGTCTTCAAACTGTTCGCTATCCTCAACTCTGTTGAGCTCAGAAAGATAGGGATGCACTCAGAGCCTGATCTCGATCCGAGAAACAGTTTCTCAGGATCAGGCTCGCATCTCGACCTTTACTTCCGAATGTCGCGATCTTCAGGCTCAGGGACCTGAACCGAAGGTGTATTGCCACCGATCGTGATCGACGCGCCACATCACGTGATGATGTGAGCGACTGCGTCAGGCACTCGTGACTTGAAACGACACGAGTGCTCTGAGGGCTGAGATTGATGCAATTTTTGAAGAAGCATGCAAAATGCCGCCTCTACGACAAGGGATTAGTAATAAGCAAGGACAGAACCAGGAGGTCCTCGCCGATTTTACATAAAGATGTTGAGGCTACGTAACACGTGTAGATTACTTATATCAGCGTAGTTTGCCGCGGGAGAAGTGATACTGCGCTATCTCCGTGTTGTCCTACTGTTGTTTTTCGGTTGAAGACGCTGGCTCACAACATCATTGAGTGCTCTTTGCCGACTCTCGTCTATACTCAGACTGCAGCCGCCCATCCCCAGCCTAATGACACGCCAGTAGAGTTCGCATCTCCTATGTTCTGTTGCCATCTGCCAGAACAGGCCCACGGACACATAGGGTGAACATCCTCCGCCAGTCTACCTACTTTTACGTTAAATTTTTCGACATTTTGAGCAACTTTTACTCTATTTTCGGAGGGTTAATTCGAATTTTCTCCCTAAGCTTCTAGGGACTGTATTTAAGCTGTAGGAGCTTTCACCTGACCTATACCACCTCTAGGACGCACAGTATCCGTTCCCGCTACGCGTTTACGAGCCGATGGGACGTCCTTGTAGACTTTTCCGACGCCAATCCATTCCGAGAGATCCAACTCTAGGTCTGTACTCTCGTCACTGTCCGTGACTTCGAGGACAGCTGCCGACACTTCTGTCATGCCCATGTACTTCGGGAACCGGCAGGATGGCGCAGCGCTTGGGAGCCGGGAACGATGGGCAAGAAAAAACGATCAGGCAAGCGATCATTCTGATCATATCGGTTGTTAGATTCTCCGTAGACTTACAAATTCAGTACATTTCCAGCTAAAATTAGTCTTGCTGACGACTGAAAAGACTACATGAGCCCAGATGTCTAAATTCAAGTCAGAAATGCCCAGATCAGGCCGGGTTCTACCCGATTTTACGCTGGTGCAGGGCTCAAATCTTTCAAGATCGGCAGGGATCTAGCCAAGTTTTACGCTATCTCCGGAGGCTTGCTGCCATTTTTGAAGCACTTTTACGCTATTTCCCGGAGGGTTAAGTCAAAAATTTCGGCCAGATTTACTTTATTTCGGAGGATGTTCACCCTATGTGTCCGTGGGCCTGCCAGAACCCTGGGACCGATAACGCTGATAAGGTCCACGCGCCCGCTCTATCGACCGATCAAAAGAAGACGCGCGACGTCACGAATATGTCACGCGTCCGACTTCCTGGAACTCCTCATAACGATTCCCAAGCACGACATGTTATTCCCCACGGACACGCTCCAACACCGCCCGCTTCCGGAATACCGCGATGATGTTCGACCGTCGAGTGCTGCTGGCCGTGCTGAATCTGCTCGCTGCGGCCGACGCGGTGACCAACTACCAGGCCCAGGGCAAGCACGGCGCCGTCGTGTCCGAGGTTGCCGAGTGCTCGGACATCGGTCTCAGCATGCTCAAGAAGGGCGGCACTGCCGCTGACGCCGTGAGTCGTCATCGTGTTTCGGCGCGTGCGTGTGAGGGGCTGATTGGGAAATTGCTCCGACCAGATGATCGCGACGTCTCTGTGTGTCGGGACGATCGCCGCGTACCATTCGGGTATCGGCGGCGGTGGCTTCATGATGTGCGTTCTCTCCACTGTCGAATCGACTCGCCCGATGTTCTGAAATGCTGTTGCCCAGAATCCGCTCCCAAAAGAAGGACGGGCCGGGCTACGAAATGGTGTGTCCCCCTCGTGCACGCCTTTGTCAATCAGACATGACCGTGCCCAGATCGACTTCCGCGAAACGATGCCCGCGGCAGGGAACGAGACGATGTACCTCGCGAACGCCACCTCGCAGCTGTACGGCGGGCTGTCCGCCGGCGTGCCCGGAGAGCTGCGCGGCTGGGAGGCGCTGCACAAGGCGCACGGGAAGCTGCCGTGGAAGTCCCTCTTCGAGCCGGCCATCAAGCTCGCGCTCGACGGATACAACGTGAACGCCGATCTCGCCGCAGCGGTCAACCCCAGTGCGTCGACATCTCTTCGGAGCTCGTCGGACCAGACGCTGACTCTCCCTGCCATCAGCGAGCTATCCGTTCCTCGTGTCCGATCCCCTCTGGGCGGAGACGTACGCGCCCCACGGGACGCCGCTCGTCGAGAACCAGCGGGCGAGGCGCAAGCGCTACGCGAAGACGCTCGAGAAGATCGCGAACCACGGCGCGGACGCGTTCTACACGGGCGCCATCGCGGAGCGCACGGCGGCCGCCGCGCAGCAGAGCGGGGGGATCATGACGACGGCTGATCTGGCCAACTACACGGTGATCAACCGCGTGCCGGCGAACATCACCTACCGCGGCAAGTATCGGATCTTCTCGACCGTCGCGCCGTCGTCCGGCTCGATTGTGCTCTCGATCCTCAAGACGTTCGAAGGCTACAACGGCTCCGCGCAGCTGACCGATCCGGCGATCAACGACACGACGCACGAGCTCATCCAGGCGACGCGCTTTGGGTATGCCGTGCGCCAGAACTTTGGCGACCCGGCGTTCACTGCGAACGTGACGACCATCGAGCAGGAGAGTCTCACGGAGCAGGCGGCCGAGCTGTTCCGCTCGAAAATCGACAACATCACCCACCCGATCAACTATTACGGGTTGACCGAGTTCACGTCGCTGGAGGAGCACGGGACCAGCCATCTTGCCGTCGCTGACCAGTACGGCAACGCGATTTCGCTGACGACGACTGTGAACTTCTTCTGGGGCTCTCGAGTCATGACTGAAGATGGTATGTCTGATCTCCGGATCCAATGCGGCAGCGGCAGGTGCTGAGCCACGTTTACAGGTATCATTCTTAACGACGAGATGGACGACTTTTCTAGCCCCGGCTCTGTCAACGGATTCGGATTCCCTGCTTCGCCCATCAACTTTGTGCGGTAAGTCCATGTCCGTGCCTTGCTCCTAGATAATATGTCTGACCTCTGTCCGCTGCAGACCCTTCAAACGACCCCAATCCTCGATCTCCTCGTCGATCGTCGAGGACCTTGACTCGCGCGAGTTTGTGATGGCGACAGGGAGCGCAGGAGGCAGCCGCATTATCACAGCCACTCTGCAGCACCTCTACCACCATCTCGACCAAGGCTACGACGCGCTGCAGTGCACCCATGCCAGCCGGTGGCACGACCAGTTGACCGGGCTGACGTACTTCGAGCTGCCGTACCCGAATCTCGGCCTGCCGGGCTTCAGCAACGCGACGATCGCCAACCTGGTCGCGCGCGGCTACAACGCCACATACGAGGACTCGACCGGCAGCACGGCTCACGTGATCGTCAAGAAAGACGGCGTGTTCCAAGCCGCCAACGACCCGCGCAAGTCAGCAGGTGGACCGGCAGCATACTAGATATCTAGGCGTTCGTCGATGAAAAAGTATGGCCAGCGTAGTTGTCCATCATGATAGCATAATTTATTCAGAGACGATTTGATCATCCGCCCATGAGCTCGACGTGAGCTGGTAAAGCTATGCGCGCTTGAGTAGCGAATTCAGTCTGTGCTCGTTGGGATACATCCGGGTGCAAACAGGCCTGCAATCCCACGCGGCGGAGCGCGGGAAACAGGAGGATCCAGTCCAGAATCGATTGCGGGTCGACATAGTCCTGGTGCCCCGACAGAACCAGAGTATTCACGCGTGTCAGCGATCGAGGCACATCCTCCGAGATATCCCTGAGCCATGTCCCTGATGGGATCTGCAGGACAAGCAGCTGCGAGCCGCGATGCCTCGCGAGCAGGCGCAGAAACGCCTCCATCATGGCGCCGTCTGCCGCGCCGGTGATCCGCACAGAAACGAGCTCAGGAAACACGTCGGCCGGCGCAGCGAACAGGTGGGACGCGCACAGCGCCGTCGTAGTGATGTTCCTGATGTGGCGCAGGGTGGCGTGCGGGAACGGCGGCGCGCCCGGGACGGTGAGCGGGTCCGGGTAGTAATACAGCCGTCGGAGCGCAACGTGTCGGGCGAGGAACCCATCTAGGTCCCGTGCATGGATCCGCGGCTGATCGCACTCGGGATCCATCCGCACGATGGGCAGAGTCGCGAACGAGAGGACAGGCAGGATCGCAGCCCACTCCTCGCCGTCGAGCGGCGACGACAGATCCACCACATTGGGCCAGTTCGACAGGTCTGGATTGGCCACCGCCAACGTCCATTGCGGGAACTGCGCGGACAAGGGTGTCGAGAAGCGCGTTATCTGCACCGACCTGATCGTCATCAGCGGGAACACAGAAAAGCACCGCCCGTTGTGCTGCACGATAGACGTCTTGGACCGGGTCGTGCGCTTCTCCGGCAGGCCCGCCATGGCCTCGAGCAGCCCGGAGAAAGAGCTGAACAATCCGAATCCGTTCGCCACGGGCGCGTCGTCAGAGTTGAAGGCGTATCGGTCAAGCCGCCATGTCCGGATGTCCCCCGCTCTCGCGGTGAACACGTCGAACCCCGCGAAGACCACGGGCTCGTCTGGGGATCGCCCGAAGGAGGACAGCGCATCGCAGAACGCGGCGGTGATGTCCCGCTGGGGGTTGAACGCCTGCGTGCTGGCAAAGTCCACAGAGGATAGTAGGTCGCCCCCGAAATGCAGGTGCACGTCGGTCAGTGCGTGCCGCGCGGCCAGGCGCTTCAGCGCCCCGAGCTCGTGCGGGCACCGGCTGCGCCCTGCCTCCGTGCGCATGTCGAAGGCGCAGGTCAGGCGGTGGATGGGGGGTGGGTCCCAGGCCATGTTGAGCAGGGGCAGCACGGCAGAGGAGATCGACACTGAACCCGGGAGGAGTTTCGCAGGCTCTTTGCCCTCGTTGGACAGCAAGACCGCCAACGCGAGAGAGTTGAAACGGCGGCATGTTTGTAGTAAGGACACCAGCTCTGTGCGCTCGAGAAACGTGAATATCTGTATCCATAGCTCGTTCGGGATGTCGAGTGGGTCGATTGGGAACGCCACCGGGATGACGGAAGGGGGGTAGAGCCAGCGAGAGAGAAAGCCCGACATGGGAGGGGGGAACTTGTGCGGAGGGTGAGCACGACTCCAAGTAGTCTGGACACTTTTGATCGGACTCGGACTGATCCCTCGTTCTCGTCTTATTTACCATGAGCGGCTGGAACTTTGGGCTCAAGCCCGTTCCGCAGGTCGCGCGGCCCTTCGAAACGACAGGGCAAAAATTCGGCCGCAAGTGCAGAGAGAACCCGTACGTTCCGATATGTAAGCTGAGCCCGACGCAAATATCATCCCGCCTCCCTAATCCTCCTCGTTCACCCCCAGGTGGTTTGCTCACTGTCGGCAACCTCGTCATGGCGATAGTCAGCCTCGCGCGGGGTCAATCACTCAGAATGAACTACTGGCTGCGGGGGCGCGTCGCCATGCAGGGCCTCACGATCGTCGCTCTCGTCGTCGGCGCGTCGCGCATGGGCGAGCTCGACTGGGGCCCCGACCGCTACCAGCGCGGCGTGCACTGGGATCTGCGCCAGCTGCTCGCGCAGGAGGAGAAGACGTTTTTGGCGCGCAAGAGCGCCGCGCAGTATGCCGGGGAGGCGGAGGACAGCGTGTACGGCAAGGGCGTCCTCGCGCGGCACAGCGAGGCTCTGATGGGGCAGGGCCGCGACAGCGAGGCCGGGAAGGAAGAAAAGGGAGCTGCGACGTCGAAGAGGAGAGGGTGGTTGGGGCTCTCTGGTTCGTCGCAGGAGTAATAAAGATACATGCGAGCTTTCTCGGCACCGACTCTGTATTTCGATTATATGATACACACTCCCCTCCTTCTAGCCCTACTGCGCAAGTAGGAACCCTCGTTCATTAAAGAGGTGCTAATTCGACCCGATTCTACGCTGAACCTGCTGGCTTCTTGGGCTCCTCTACTGCCAATTTCCAGCCTCCAAAAAGTTGATTCACCGTCGCACTTCGTCTCAGGACAGCGAGGTCTGCGACTGCGTCCGTATACAGCGTCCGGATCTTGTCTGAGTCTGTTTCGGTCTGTGTTTCCAGTTTAGCAAGCGCAAGGGCGAGTGGCATGCGAACGGACTTGTATGGCTCGGAATTTGTCCTGCGTGCGGCGCAGGAAGTACGTCCGGAAGTTATAGGAGCTGAACGAGCGCGATGTGCGCAGAGTCTGGGAATAGAGGCTCAGAATAGATCTGCGAGTGGGTGGTGTAACCATTGTGTGTAGAGACGATGGTTGAGGGACTGGAAGGAGGTCTGAATGACGCGGTCCGATAACACCGATCACGTGACCCGAGGGCCGAGGTACTTGAGTCAGCCGAGACTAGGCTGAAAGTCGGTCCTACAGGTAGATCACTGGATGCTGTTGTGCACGATGCTGATATGATACAGACTTCGATTGTACAATAATTGGACCCTTGTATGGATGCATATCGAAATAAGTTATACGTGGTCGAGATCACAGTCTCAGCGTGAAGTCTTCGTCGATCGATTGGTCGAGCTCAGTCCAGACGGAGCCCACACTCCTCCGAGTCATTTGTTGTCCAGAGAAAGCCGAGGAGGTGGACATCTCGGTTACCAAGGTCTAGAGCAGCAAATCAGGAGCAATGGACGGCAACAGGTTACTTTCGACTGACCTGTAATGAGGACTGCAATGCTTCAAATGTCGCTCGCAAACTTGTCACGTCCGTATTGTCAGGAAGTTGTTTATCAAGCGTCGTCGTCTGAGCGGAACGTCAAGGAGTGAATAAATAGATAGATGCCACCACTGGCACCGCACCCGCAAAACGATCGTCTTGATCTTCGTCAAGAAGTCCTGGATGGGTGAGAAGTCCGGCGTGTGAGCTTCGTTCTAAGATGCTGATTCAGTCCCGGACGAAGTTCTGATACTCACACTCACCAGGCGAACGTGTGCACTGTTCATCCCCGAAGTCAAAGTGCCGAACTGGCTCGTGAGGATTTCCAATGCACCCTGGACCTGGTTGTTGGTGAGCCACTGCTCAAAGTTCGAGGGAGATCTGAATGACACACCTGGCTGGGAGGACTGTCAAACGTGCTGAACAAGTCGCCTGCAGACCCGGTGAGGGAGACCAGGATGTTTTCGACATTGTTGAGCACCGGTGTCAGACTGCTCAACGTCTCCGATAATGTTACGGGGAGCGGGGCAGCGCTTTGTCTTGTTTCTTCGCTGCGAAGATCCCTGGACACAGATTGGAATGTTTCGGGAGGGGACAAAGCGCTTGTTGCTATTAAAGGCGGGGAGAAAAATGCTCCTGCTGCTCGCAATGTGATAGGGCTGGCCAGAACGCCATCGAGAAGGAACACAACAGAGAAGACAACTTTGAACATCACGAAAAAGGAACGCAAAGTGTTCTGAAAGCAGGAGGGTGCGAAGAGGTTGGAGTGTGAAAGTAAGACAGAAGACGGTCACTTATACGGTCTGAAAGTGGACTTGGATACGGGGGTGCTCCGCGGATGACTGAATCAGGAGGATGTGATTCCGCCGCGTGGCATTGCGGCAACAAGGAAGCTTGCGATGTGTTTTGAAATTTCGAGAGAGTTGGAGATTGGGTGGGGTAAATGTTTGATGGAGACAAGGTCATTTGCAACGTCATCTGAGCGGTCGCCGGTGGAAGCATCGACTGCTACATGTTAAGCCCGGGCAATCACTCGGGGTGCGAACTGCTGATTCTGAAGACCTCGGTTTGAACTTGACACAGGATGGATGATCGATGAGAGGGTGAAGTGGAGCTCCAATGAATCTGCACTGAAGGACCATGTGAGAGGTGGCCCAGTGTCATCACGAGACACAGCGCCACGCACGTGCAACGTCGTGCATCGCATCACATCAATCCTCGGACGTGTCCACCCCCAAAGCTCTCCCCCCACTCTTTTGCTTTCGTTTGCTTTCGTTTCAATTTGCTGTCGACCATGTTTATGGAAGAGCTGAAGGCCTTTCGGAGGCTCGGTGTCCGCCACGTCTGTTGAAATGTCCTCGGGGATGCCTTCGACTGATGTTCTTTCGCTACTGCAGCTTCTTCTCCAAGCGCTCAATTTCGCGTCCGTCATTGCGTCTGGCTTGATGATATGGAAAGGTCTTGGTCTCCTCACCAATACTGAGTCCCCCATTGTCGTCGTTCTGAGGTTATTACACGCCACAGTCCCAATTTCGGCCACTGATTTGCTGGCAGTGGTTCGATGGAGCCCGCGTTCTACCGCGGAGACTTGCTTTTCCTCACCAACCCGTCCCATGAACGGTACCAGAACGGCGACATTACGGTGTACAAGATTCCGGGCGCAGACATCCCAATTGTCCATCGGGTGTTAGAGACACATGATGCTGTATTCAAGTGAGTCCACAATTTGCTTCTTACCTCTTTCTCAAGTCTGTTTGTCTTTCCAGAGGGACGTATGCCGTAGATAAGCAGCGATTGTTGACCAAGGGCGACAACAACCAAGTCAACGACATCGAGTTGTATCGAGGATTGGACTATCTGGAGCGCAAGCATATTGTCGGCAAAGTACGAGGGTGTGTATCAGCATGTCCTCTTTCTCTTCCATCGCCTCATAGTTCCACCAGGTTCCTACCGTATATCGGATATGTGACCATCGCAATGGTGCGTCTTTCTCAATTCTCTTGACTGCCTCTCAATATGACGCAGAATGACTTCCCTCAACTCAAATATGCTCTCCTGGGGGGATTGGGGTTATTAGCTCTCATCCAAAGAGAGTAGATGCGTAGAGATGGGATTTATTGTGTATTATATAGCCTTGGTTTTTGGGTTCTTGAGCCAAGCGCCATCCTTCCTCGCACCTGGTGATGAGTCCTTGACTGACACAGACCTTCGGCCTAAGTACTGTCATGACTGTTCGCTCAAAGCCGTTTTGATGAGCTGATGACCTTTTGAACCGGATCCGTTTTGTTGCCCACCGCGATCACCTTCAAGAGAGGAGACATCATCTCTTGTTCCGAATGATGTGACTGCATCCTTGCAAGTATCCACGACTCACACGCAGCATGGTAGCCACGCTATGGATTGGTTTGGGAAACATGGGACGGGTGAGCCGATCTGCAACTCGGACCGTGACAGAACTGACCGCTGGCGTGCAGGGTATGTGCAAGAACATCGTGGAGAAAGCCAACCTAGACGGGCCTCTGATGATCTATAACCGATCGATACAGCGCGCAGAAGCGCTCAGCCAGGCCCTGCCATCCGGCAAGACCGAAATCGTTGAATCGATCTCAGCAGGGGCGGCTAAAGCCGACGCAATCTTCATGTGTCTCGCCAACGACACGGTCGTGGAGGCGACGATCGAAGAGATATTCAAGGCCGGCGGTGTGAGCGGCAAACTCATCGTGGACTGCTCGACTGTGCACCCAGATTTAAGCGACCGTCTCGGCAAGCTGATCGTGGAGAAGGGCGGGGACTTCGTCGCGGCGCCGGTGTTCGGTGCGCCCGCGATGGCGGACTCCGGTATGTTGATCGGCGTGCTCGCTGGGCCCGCAAAGGCGATCGCACGCGCGCGGCCGTATTTCAAAGGCGTGACGTCTCGCGTGGACATCGAAATGGCGGACGAGCCGTATCACAAGTCCTCGCAGCTGAAGCTCATCGGCAACTCGTTCATACTCAACATGGTCGAACAGCTCGCCGAGGGGCATGTGTTGGCGGAGAAGACCGGGCTCGGGACTGCGCCCTTGACGCAGTGGATCGAGGCGATGTTCCCGGGACCTTACACCGCGTACTCCCATCGCATGCTCAGTGGGGACTACCACACACGCGCCGAGCCTTTGTTTGCCGTTGATATCGCGATGAAGGACGCCAACCACATGAGAAGCATGGCGAAAGAGGCCGGGATGACTCTCCCCAACATCGAGACAGCATTGGCCCACCTGGTCCAAGTCAAAGAGCATACAGGACCTTCCGCCGACTTTGCTGCTATATATGGCGCAGTCAGACAAGAGGCCGGCCTGAAATTTGAAAACTAGACCTGTATCCGTAGCTCGAGCTCATGTATATTGAATCAACGAAAGGAAGAACTGGACCCAAGTGCTGCTCAGGACTAGGGATGGTTGCGAATATCATACATCGACAATCCTCCAAATATAACATTCCGTACAGAGTGATAAAGTATATTAATGTTCCACACATCTCTACCAAACAAGCCATTCTCCGTACATATTCGGCCGCTCGCCCCGAACATAGGCTTCGAATGTTCTCTTGAGCACCGCAGCCCAGTCCAAGTCCAGCTTGTCGTCCCCTACAGTCTCGGCATCGTCGACTCGGAACTCTCGTCCCTCCGCCTCGGCAGCCGATTTCCTCAGTGCTGTTTCACCAGCAGAGAATTGTGGCCCCAGGTCTGGCCAGTTGCGAGTCGGATCGAACGGTTTCCACCTACAGGAGAGAGTCAACAAATTGATTGATATGATGGATTGATAACATACCAGAAGTTGTGGAAATGGTACGAGTAGGACCCTTTGAAGAATCCATTGAATCCAAGCGCCTGGGGCGAGGCGCTGTTTTCCATTGGTGTATCGAAAAAGTCACTGAACCTACAGAACACGTCAATGTCAAGCAGGGCGAAGAGAACCGTCGCATACTCAGTGAAGTACGGCTGTGGGGGCCGATCCCGTTGGTATTCCTCAGTGTTCAGCCAGGCCGCGTCGAACAGGGCATCCGGCAGTCGGAGCAGTAGCCCTTCCAGATATGCGTCCTTCGTGTATCGGGATACAGACATCTGTATTGTTTCACAGTCAGCGCCAAGGACATCGCCATTTCCATAACCGATACCCACCGGATGGAAGTCGAGCCCATTCTTAAGCGCCGTCCGGAATAGAAAGGTTCCAAGCGCTGATCCTCGGTTCATTCTCAGCACAGCTGTGTTGTACTTCTCCAGTCGAGACCAGCGATAAGCAAAGGCTGATGCGACGTGAGCCAGATTAACGGAGAGAAAAACACACAGACACGTACCTCCTTTCCAGCCCCACAGTTCCTCCCAATCTCGCAGGAGGATAGTGTCGGCGTCTAGATAAACTCCTCCGAACCGGTGGCAAAGCACGAAACGTGCCATGTCACTCAGAATCACAGAAAGTCTGTCATACTCAGACGACGACTTTGATCCGGTCCGGTGGAGCATGTCAGTCGCCTTCGCTTTGACGGTAGTGTTGGCAACACCCTCTCCGTCCTCATCAACTTCTGTCTCTTCTGCCTTCTCAGGCTCCGGGACGCTGATGATGTGTCCGCCCGAGTTGAAGAGAGTATCCCGAAGCGCGCGCCAGTCATCTGCGATCTCCGGTACCCCGTCCAGCTGCTCCGTGGTGTTCCACAGCTTGAACCGGATCACATCTTTGAAACGGGGATGCAAGAACGGCGCGGCCCACGGACTGGATTTCAGCTGCGCGAACATGTCGTGAAGGGCATTCGGATTTGGAATGGAAGCTGCGGGACCGGGATTGATCCAAAGCCAGAACTGCGGTCGGCACACGCTTGACGGCGGATTCGGCGCGTGCAGACCGGTGTTTTGGGTGAATAAGAAGGAAAGTAGTGCGAGATACGGTTTGTCGGTGAATGGGCCCGTCCAAAACATGTGATACAGCCGGGGGTTGTCGGTGTCGCATGGCTCCGGTAGAGAGGCAGAAGGTCGATGAGTCAGAGTCGGCGATAACTTGAGAGGAGGCTCCCATTTCGCGCCAGACTTGAGTACAAGACCGGCGTCTGGGTCGTCTGACCGTCCGACGACAGGCCTGTAGATTGGAACTTGCAAAGGATCCTGATTCACCACGTGCCGGGTCGTGCTTGTGGTGTTTTCTTCCATATAGATATACTTCCAGTCCTCGAAAGAGCCTCGGCGCGTGCGTTGCCCGTTGTCAAGACCAGCTCCGACTCGTAGAACTTCTAAGCAGTCACGCACATACTACACAGCATCAGCGGGCAAGCTTAGGAATACCACCGGAGACAACGCACCTTGCCCTGAGAGAAGTCGCAGTGCTTCATAATGACATCCAGGTCAGCAACACTGCCTGGTACAGGCCGTGGAGGATAGGCGACATGCGGAGGAACACTTTGCGGACTGAGGTAAGTTCGTTTTGGACCATGGCCGATGGTGTCGGTGTCAGCACTCAAGGAGCCGGTCGTAGGCGGGCGATACCGTGAAGGGCTCACGGTACGTGATTTTGGGGGTAGTGCAGGATTGGGTGGGGATTCGAGCAGCCCGACTTGCTTTGGTACTATAGTGCGTCAGCGGTCAACCAAGGCAACCGGAGGGTAGTAACGCACTGCTTTCGCCACTCGGATAGTGCCCACTCGCAATCTCCCACTTCCACAGCTTCTGTAGGTCTTCACGACGGAAGACCAACGTTGACTCCTCCTGCGAGAAGCTCTGCTCTCCAGGAGATGACAAACCTCGCGAGAATAGAAGGAAAGTGGTGCAAACGAGCCCTAGACATACGACTACGAATAGTAGTGAGCCTCGTTGGCGGCGGAAGCGTAAATTAGGGACGAGGATGCGAAGCCGTCTAGTCTCGACTCCGGGAATGGGAACAAGGATAGGACGCGTCCATGCGAGCTGAGGATTGGCCCGCTGAAGTTGTTCTTTTTCCCGTACAGCGGATGAGTGTAGCGGTAATGGCCCGTTGTGCCCAAGCAGCGGCATAAGTCGGACCCGGGGAAAGAGACGTGGTCGTAGAGGAAAGTTTGATCAACCAAACAGTGACATTTACCCCTAGATCAAAGCTCGCAGAATGTTGGCCTGTGACTGACTTCAATACACGCTTCAGTTCTCAGCAATTTCTAGTGAGGGGCTTGCCAACCCGAGTCAACGCTCGGAGGTAGAAGTTTAAACTCGAACACTCGATAGCAAAAATCCGTGCTGTCCATACCTGACTGATGGCCGATCATTTGCTCATGATGATATCACATTGGCAGGTCAAGACTCTACTTAGAGCTACCTCAAATCGCGAGCCGTGGGGGCCGAGTCGCTGTTACCGTAAAAACCGCATTCTGTAACAAGGCCTTTTGAATACAATCCCCAGTGGCATACCGTTCCATAACAGTTTGACAGATTCGCAGCATCATTGCACAGGCTACTTGACAACAGAAGGGTTGTACAAAGTGATTATGTTCGCCGTGATTGGAATTCCTAATGACCCAGCTGGAGCAAGCAGGTGGCCATCAATTTCTGAACGTCGGTGTACAATGAGCCGAGGACCTGGCTCTGCGTGCTGGTCAGCACCGAAGTATCGAGTTCAGGGACCAACGTCTGTAGAAATAAGAGATGAGGGACAACCTTTTGAGGGAAGTGGAGAAACTTACTTGGAGATTAGACTGGACGCCAGATACCGCAGAATGAAGGCTTCCCAAGTTGGTTCCAGTGGGCAAATTGGTGGCAAGCGATGTGACCTGTAACATACGCATGAGCAACGAAAGCGGTCGCGATGGGAGAAGAGACCGACCTGGGGAACAAGCGTCTTGAGTCGAGTGAGCAAGCCTCGGACCAGGGGGAAAATCTGGTTGGCTTGAGTGCTACCAGGGATGTTGACTGCACTGCCAGGGATACCATTCTAGGCGGCATAAGCAGGGTTCTATGGGATAGAGGGGGAAGTACATACCAGTAGACTGTTGGTATTACCGAGACCGGTTCCGAGAGTCGACAGCTGGCTGACGATACCATTCAGATTACCCTGGGACTGGGTATCGCTAGGTCAGAACAGGATGAGATACAAAACTGCGGAATCACCTGGCTGGAAAGTCCATTGAGGGATCCGACGGTGTTCCCCAAGCTTCCGACGCTGGCAAGCAGAGAGGTAGTCAGAGTTTCGATGTTGTTCAGGACCGGCGTGAGGCTGTTTAGAGTGCTCACGACGCTGTTGAGGGCGTTTGTGATCGCAGCCGTCAGCGCCGGAGACCCGCCCGAGGTCAAGGAAGAGACCGACGCAGCCAATGGGGCAGGGCTGGCAGCCGCGGCAGGGGCTGACGAGCTCGGTCCCGCGACAACCGATGAGGCGCTGGGACCACACTGGAAGACGGTGACGGTGGCAGTCGTCGTGACCGTCACGGCCCCGGATCCACCCAGTCCCAGGAAGTAGGGACTGGCATTGGTAAGTGCAGATGCGTCCAGCACGAGGAGCAGAGCAAGGATATTTTGAAACATGATTGGATGATGGTTGGGTCGTGCGAGTCGTGAAGGTCGTGACAAGTCGTAGAAGGCCGGGAGAAGCTGGTCGAGCTGAGGGTGAGGCCACAAATGCGAGCCTTTTATTCACTTTGGGTGCGGATGAGCAAGACACCGCCGCATCGGGCTGACTGTTTCACGGATGGCTGAGGATCATGAGTGTGTAGATTATCCGCGAGTCAGCTCCGCAGCAGCACCACCCGGTGGTAAGGGTAGATTATTTTAGCACGAGGGAAGTGGTCGAGGGGAAGGATGCTTCGCTTGGGCACTGGCAGATACTGTTGTGCGGGATTTTGCTAGCAAAAGAGACTGCTTCCGAGCTGCACATCATTTGAAGCAGCTGCAAAGCGGAGGACTGAGACTCAACGTATGAGGGTCGAGCGGATGCTTAAACATTACAAATGAAAGGGCCGGATAGTCATGTGTGAAACCAACCGGGAATGGAGCGCTGATCAGAGTTGCCGATTCGAGGTGTTTTCCTTGACATGAGATTTCTGAGTCAGATTTGAGACAAATCGTAACAGTCATATGGGACTTTTGAATCTTCGGGGCTTCAGGGACGTGCAGGAAGACTGAATGCCGACTCCCGAGCGTGAAACTGGATAAAAGATCCATCAAAGATCATCTGACTCCCGAGTAATACGATCACGTGTATCTTCCCACAGACAGTAGTCACAACCTGTCACAACTCGTTCGGGCCGTATTCCCAGCGCTCATCTTTTGCACTTGGCCCGCTCATTCAGCGCAAAATCTGCGAGCGCTTACTGTGGGATCGCAATCTGCGTCTGCCCTCCTTGGGACTGCTTTGATTGGAGTCTGACATCGCCTTTGCGATTCCAATGTGGTCACAGCATTTCAATCCGTTGGGCCTCCGTCTTGATTGTGGGCGGCAAAATGGTCTTGCTGTCTGCTGTGAGCGCGTCTTGACTCATTCAAAAGTCAGGCAGCTGCATAAGATAGGCGCTCCCCATCCTCTTACCTAGACTCATTCTCTCCTCGATTTCACCCACCCTACCGTGCTTACCGGTTACTCCATCTCCATGCGTTCCAATTTGGTTGTCTCGATACTTGCCGTCGTGCTCTTAGCGCAGCAATCCACGTCTGCCTTGGCGCAGAGACACTCTAGGCACCTCGTCCACGACTTGCGTATTGCGTTCAGTGCTGTTTCCAAGAGGAGATACAGCAATGATGCTGTGTCCACACAGCAGGTGCTGTATTGCAAGAACTTACGCCTCGGGTCGGGTTTGCAATCGGCAAGCACTGGGCATATGGTTACCGCTCAGTCATCCAGTTCGACGGCCCTTGCTCTATCCCCTACACCCGCAACGAGTACGAGCAGCAACGGTCTGCCAGCCAGTACAACCATCCCTGCATCCAGTACGAGTGTGGCTGGCGATCCGGCATGGACGCTTGTACAGACATATGTGCGTGCGGAACTTCTTGCGTGTGCACAGCCCTTGCTCACTCTGCACCAGACGGGCTCGACATTCTTCGACGGCTGGCAATTCTGGGACAGCGCCATTGACGGCCCGGACCCCACCGGTGGCGCAGTGGACTATGTCAATCAGGCTGAAGCAGTTCGTCTCGTCAACTGATCCATATTGCGCTGTCATCTGAACATGCTCAGCAGATGGCTGGCTTGATCGAGATCAACGATGCTGGAAATGCTGTCATCCGAGTCGAAACTACACCTTCAGTGGCATCCAACCGGAAGAGCATTCGGATAACCACACAAATGTCGTTCACCGGCGGGTTGGTTATTATGGATTCGCTTCACATGCCCGCAGGCTGTGGAACTTGGCCGGCGTTCTGGTCGACGGGCCCCAACTGGCCTGCAGGTGGAGAGATTGACGTGGTTGAAGGTGTCAACGATGTCCTGGAGAATCAATCCACGATTCATACTTCCCAAGGCTGCACGCTTCCGAGTAGCGACCCGGCGCAACTGAACACGACCGCAGCTGTTGTCACGGCCGATCTCAATTGCGTGGCAAACCTTACTGAAACTGCCGGATGTTGGATGCAGTCGGGATCAAATGTGTCGTTCGGGGCAGGATTCAATTCCATCGGAGGTGGAGTCTATGCGAGTACGCCTCTGATTCCATTCTTGTTACTTATCTTGATGTTGACACACTTTGACAGTGAAATGGGACTCCGAGGGAATTTCTGTCTGGTTCTTTCCGCGCTCGATCATTCCCTGGGACATCTCATCGGACAACCCAGTCCCGGACAGCTGGGGACTGCCTGTTGCACACTGGCCAGCGTCCACATGCAACCCAGAGCAATATTTCTCCGCACATTCCGCCATTTTCGATATCAGTCTCTGCGGACAGTGGGCAGGAACAGTCTGGGGCACCAACTGTGCGACGTTGACAGGCTTCCCAACCTGCGAAGCATTTGTTGCGCAGCAGGGCGTGTCGTTTATCGAAGCTTGTAGGTTCCCTATCTATCGCTTATCTATTCAGAAATTCTGATCGGGGTCGCAGATTGGGAAGTGAAGAGCCTCAAGTTTTTCAACTTGACCTCGGTCTTCTGACGCATGTATCACATACAATGTACATCCGCAGAATCGTGCTCGAATAGGACACTCGCGTATTAGGAAGGAGGGAAAGAAAGAAGATCAATCTCGTGTCATACAGTATCACTGAGGTTGTTACAACACAGGTCCTCACGGTGCGACGTATACACGTCAAGGATCGGGGGGTTTGGAGCTGCGAGGGAGCGCCATTCATGCTGATTGCGCTATCCTTGATTGGTGCGCAGATGCCCCGCATCTCCGCAATTTAGTTCCAAGGATCCCTCCCACAAATCAATGATACTTACTAGATCCAAATATGATCAACTTCGATTGCCACGTGATGGGATGCCATCTTTTTGCTCGTTCCTTCTTTAGACTTTTATCTCCAGTCTCCGGTCCTCGTCGTCGCACACTGACGTCTGCCGAGATGTTTCGGTATCTCCGTCCAAGGCCGAAGGTGAAGCAGCTTTGATCGATTCTTCCTTTACGATCTCGACAAAAATCCCGCGGAAGCTAAGAAGCTCGCTCATCAGAACACCCGACTTCCGAGTCCGAAAGTTCCGAGCCTACTGAATTCACTGACGGATCCTGAAGGCTGACGGATCTCACATGGGAAACCCCATTAGGCTCGCTGCGACCTGATTCAGACAGAGCGCTCTCGGCTTGGTATCAGATTTCTTCGGTTTTTTTTGGGTTTTGATGGCTCATCCGTCGTTGCGGATCGCGGACGAAATAGATAAATCACGAGCGAGCGACGGGCGCTTGGTCGATGGAGAGGGATTTTTAAACCCCCTAATGTATCTTCCGTCCGGTAACTTTCGGAACGTCCCTTGGAATCTGCCGAGGAAACTCCCCACCGAAAGTTCCGCCGGTCCACAACTCACGTCTCGAAGGTTCAAAAGGGGTAAAGACTTCTTTCCCATGTTATTGAGCTAAGCGGGAGCCGCCGACAAAGTAGATCAATCACTGGCGAACAGGAAGAGATGGGAAGTTACGACGTCGCTTCGAGCCGCTATGCCTTCTTAAACCCAGACTTCGTTCCGGACAGTGGTTTCGACCTTGATTTGATTCCCCTGGTACCCTCCCCTCCCCGCTTGCCCTCGCAGTCAAGGATAACGCTGAGGTGAGCGGACCGCCCGATCGGGCTTCTTCGACATGGACTGACTGACGATAATGTCTCCGCGAATTCCTCTCCAGTCACTCTCGCGACCCTTTTCGGCACACTCCATCTAGCCCGCTTTCCATCTCGATACCGGGAACACCAATCACTTTGTACATACACTCCGAACATGTCCAGCATGCCGCATCAAGCACCTCCCTCGCCGTCAAGCTCGTCCGACTCTGATGGCTCTAACAACTCAGGCTCGACTGGGCCGCACACGCCGGTGACCCAATATGTGATGCCGACCTTCATGAACTACACTGGCGAGGATGGAATGCCCAATCTCACCGGTGGAGGCGTGAAGCGCACGGCAAAGACGATCCGGCGGGTCAACACTGCCGAACGCCGCGCGACGCATAACGCGGTCGAGAGACAGAGACGGGAAACCCTGAATGGCCGCTTTATGGTTAGTGCGAGTCGTGCGCTTTAGATTACGTGTGGCTTGATCATCTACAGGACCTAGCCGGCCTTCTATCGAATCTGAGCCAGATGCGGCGTCCTTCCAAGTCGGCGATCGTCAATTCTTCGATCGCGCATCTGAATGCATCGCGCCGGCACCGAACACTAGGTGCAGCGGAACTGCGGGGCATGAAGTCCGAGTCCGATGCGCTGCGAAACGAAGTCAATGAATGGCGCTCGCGGGCCGGCATGCCTCTGCTCGAGGAACCGGCACGCTCCGATGCATTTGGGCTGGTGCTCTCTGGGGAACTCGAGTTTGAGCCCGGCGACATGTTGGACGGGAACGGGGAAGAGGGCGAGCAGGACGACGAGGAGATCGGCGGTGTCTACGACGGCAGCGGGCGCTACCCAGCCTATCACCCTGAGCAGGCGGCGCACTACGCCGCTCTTGGTGAGCAGCATCGAATGGCTGCAGCTATGCATCACGCGCAAGCTCCCTATGTACACACCCCCGCTCTCCCCGTTTCCCGCGCTGCTTACCACGGCCATCCATCCGCTCATTACTACGACATATCTTCTCCGACGATCGTCACTCAAGGTCTGGCCCCGGGCGTTTACGAGAATCCGGCGGCCAGTGTCACTTACGAAGCGCACCGTGAGTGGGAAACTGTGTACGACAAGCAGTCCCACCTGCTCCAGCATCCGGGGCCGCGGCACGCGGGTCAATGGTGAAGCAGGAATGACTGACTTTCTCTCGGACTTTCTCTCTCTTTCTCAGCACACTCCTTTATTTAAGTATTTACGCTACTTAGACTTGTCTTCTGCGACACCTCTGGGTCCAGCGACCTCTTTACAAGCGTTTGTAGCGGACGTTTGTTGTTGTATGTACATCTGCGTCCCGACATCTCGCCGGGGGTGAAAGCCTTCAGTGTGCCACCGATCCCCAGTTCGTGCAGAACGTCGGATGCTTGTCCAACGTGTCAATCTTGTGGCAACTTGCAAAACATGATTCACTCAGCCAAGGAACGACCAGAAGAAGGCGTTCTTTTGATCACAGGGACAGCCCCCAGATTGGCCTGTAACCCAGTCGGGGACCGGCTCAGCGGATGTCGATATTAATAACATCCGGTTGCGACCGTCGGGGGTCGGCTGGGCCGCTCGTCGATCTCGCCCTGCAGCAGCAGTGGGATCACCGAACAGGAAGAACAATACGTGATATGGTATGACCAGCGTCACCTAGCAGCCCTCAAGATCCTGCTCGCAACATGGCTTCCGGTCTCCTAGGCGCCGAGGTCCATCCCGGCTTCCGGCCTCACGCTGTCAAGATTGCCTATGGCTCCGACGGGTTGGAAAGCTTTACTTAGCCATGGCGGATCCGAGGGCTTGGTAGACATGTATCAGGTCGTCTGGGCAGATGAGACGGGTTACGGATGCCAGTCGCAAATTACGGAGCTCAATCCAAACTTTTCTGCGTCAATTTTATCGGGCAAGTTGCAATGCTGACTCTAATGGAGTGGAAATGAAGGAAGAAAAGAAGGATGGTCACAATCGCGGCACCGATTGGATAATCTTATCTATCACAGCCACTGTCGTCATTGGCGCGAACAAGTCGAACGCAGCGTCACAGTGTGTCCAGCTCGCATGGCAGCTACAATCACTCGATTCTCAATCGTTACTCTTTTGCTGTTTGCACTCTCTATTGCAATCGTCATCTTCCCCTTCTATGTCAAAGTTGGGAGCAAGAAGATCCCCATCAACCTCACCACTGCGCCGATCCTCGTTATAGGCATTTTATGGGCGTCACAATGTCTTGGAGCTACGCAAATACGAGATGGAATTGTAGGGACAGGTGAGCCGGTCTATTTACTAGCTCTCTTCTGTTTCGTGACGGTGCTTCGCCAGCCGGAGTCAAGCCCTATAACATCCTCATTCTGTTTTTCTCCCTCGCATACATGGCCATCACTTTGGATATCAGTGGGGTGCTGCAAGCGGCCGCATTCTGGGTCTCCAACAAAGGTGGAACCCGAGGGCGACGTCTCTACTTCTACTTCTATGCTCTGATCACGCTGCTGAGCATCTCTGTCGGCAACGATCCAGTAATCCTGTCGGGCACCGTGTTCCTCATCTACTATACGCGCACTGCGGACGTCCATCCCGTCCCATGGCTGATGGCGGAATTCGCATCTGCGAACACCGCCAGTATGGTGCTGGCTGTCGGCAATCCCACCAACGTTGTCATATGCGAAGGATTCAATATCCCTTTTGCGTCTTTCACGTTATACACGGTACTCGCCTTCCTTGCATGCAGCCTGTCCTGCTATGTTGCTCTGGCCCTACAATTTCGCAAGGACAAGCACGTCCCGCACCATCTACGGCCGGTTGGGACGCTGGATGCGAGACAGGCTATCAGGGACCCGATCTCGGCCTGCGTTGGATCCATCCTGCTGTTTTCGTGCATTGTGGTCATCCTCGTGGTCAGCTTCTTCAAGATCGACGTATGGAAGATCAGTCTGCCGTTCGCGGGGGCCAAGTTCCTCTTCGACTTGGTATGGGACTATCTACGCAACAGGCCACTGCCTGTAGATCCGAACGAGAAGCCCGCGTCCTGGAGAGAAACTCTTTCTTCTCGCTTCGTGACAGTGTCTACCGCGTTTCCCCGGCTCCCGTTCGGGCTGATTCCCTTCGCCTTTTCCCAGTTCATCCTCATCGAGGCGCTGGCACACCAAGGATGGATCGATGTTTTCTCCCGCTGGCTTGTGACGGCGTCCGGCCGGTCCATGCACCCGACGATCTGGCTCGTCGGTGTGCTCACCGTGCTGCTTTGCAATGTGGCTGGCACCAATATCGGGGCAACGATCCTGATGACGAAAGTCGTCAGCCAGGCAGGGCTTCCGGTGCCCAGCAACCGTGCAGCGGGCGTTGCGCTCGCCGTGGCCAGCAACATTGGCGCTGTCAGCTTCACCTTTTCGGCGAGCCTGGCCGGCCTATTATGGAAAGCAATTCTGAAACAGAAAGAAGACGATATCGCTGCAGAGGAGCGGCTCTCGGAAAAGTCCGAATCCGAGCCATCCTTCGCGGACCGCCTGAGCATATCGCAAGTGCTCTTCGCAAAGTGGAATATCCTGCCCTTGGTCGTAATGACCGGCGTCGGCCTCGCTGTTGTCTCGGCAGAGATGGCCGTGCTGTATCGTAAATAGATCTCGGGGATGGCAGCGATAGGGAGTAAAAATGAGGCTGAGATTGTCCTGTTTTTGGACCCGTACTTACTCGGCACTCTTCCGCAACTCCCAGTATCGCGTAGAAAGTGTAGAAATATGATTGGGCTCCAAGATTGAGATAGCGATAGGAGAGCTCTGGGGACAATGCCACTCGGGCTGAGTCTCCACAGCATTGCCATCCCGTGACCGCGTCAGGCTGATCACGCCATCATGGTCCTCGCCGCCACTCCAGCCTCATGCCCTCCTCTCATCGATTTCTGGCACAAGTCTCGACCTTTCACGAGCACAGATTACAGGTAGAGGGGCACGCCATGGCCATTGCTCGGAGCCTTCTCTTTTGTCTCTACTTAAGGTGACAGCTGTTACCGTTCCATCAACTGCGAGGCCAAAGCGACTCGAGTGCTTTCCTTTGTCCTACAAAAGCGGCCGCGACAATCTTTTCCAGGAATTCTCCCCTCCCCTCCCTCAATGTCGCATCTTCGCCAGTGCAATGCTTCAACTGCCATACGGGCTGCGACGGCGCCGACCTCCCCACCCACTCGAGCATCTAAAGCGCCCGGGAGCTCCAAACATGTTTTATACTTTATCGCGAATGGGACAATGCCATGTGTCGGAAAGGGCAAAGAAAGGGCAGCGAAAGGCTTCCCCCTGACCTCGAGCGTGGATTCTCCCGGTCTAGTCTCGCCTCACACCATTCTCAAGGAAGCGCGTAGAGGGAGCATGGCGGTGCCCCGCAGCGTCCCGGGCCCATTCATGTTTCTCAAACGAGTGCAGTCTAGCCTACATGGAACTATGATCGCGGCGAGGGAGCTGGATGACGCGTGGCTCCGCGGTGAATCCGGTCGGATCGTATGTATGAAGGTCTTCCGAAAACGAGCGGCATACAAACGAGATCTGTATTCCGGCATCGTACAAGAGATTCTGGCGTACAGGAATTTGGCGCGCGCTAGTTCGCGAAATCCCGGACGCGCTTTCGTAATGGATCTCGATGCGGCTTTGCAGGATGAGACGAGGCTGTTCTTCGTCATGGTTCGCACTGACCCGCGGGTTGCCATGTGTTTGACGGCTAATTTGGTTCGCAGGAACTAATGGACTGCGATCTGCTAGCTGTTATGAATGGACACCGGTTTCCCCGGCGGAGCAATGCCCCTCGGTGGATTTGGCAAATGGCGTCGGGCATATCTGCTATTCACGATGCCGGTGTTATCCATCGAGACATCAAGCCGGAGAACGTCTTGGTTGACCCTCAAGGGAATGTGCGGATAGCTGATTTTGGAGCTGCCTACGTGGATCTAGTGGCCCATCCGCTGGACCCTTATGACTGTTGCACGAGTGATGTCACCGGGACCTGGTCTTATATGGCGCCTGAAGTGCTCTTCAACCGCAAAAAGCCGCGGTGCGAGCGCAGACCCTACGGGCCTCCGGTGGACTACTGGTCACTCGGATGTGTTGCATACGAATTGCTTTCGGATGAGGCTTCTCCCTTGTTTGCTTCCGAGCAGGACATGTGCGCATTTTTGACTTGGCGGGGCCCCGACTCGTTTCCTCTGCGATGTGGCCTTGACCAGAATGCGCAGTGTCTCGTGTCTGGGGCAAGTCTGCAGCTTTGGCCCAGTAAGAAAACTGACAGTCTGCAGCTCACGAACATCGAGGCTTCGAAACGATTTGGTATCAAGGATCTGCGCGGGCATCCATTCTTCTGTAACAAGGTCCAGTAAGTGTCTGTCGTACACAGCGCTTGTCATATCCTCAATCAGCGTCGATTTCAGGGCCATAGAAATCGATTCCGTCATTCGCCCAATACGAGGTCAGCGCCATCTCACTTTTCCCGCTCGTCAATTCTAACCCGGCCTAGAGCGCAGGCGATTGTCTCATATATTTACTGAAGACCCGCAGCTGGGCGAACAACATCGCGAAATCTTCACTCCTACCATTGAGGGGGAGCATCCCTTCGAGCATTTTGGCTGGGTCAATCCAAAGGGAATTTGGGCAGACTTGGTGACACATAGACCACCATTGACTCGTCCATGACGCGTCGTTCTGACATTTATTGATCCAAGCTGAGATTGTCGTGAATCAAGTTTGTATATATGTATCGTAGCACGTACCATGTTTGTCCCTGACTAGAGCTTATCTAAGCATTGTTCAGTCCTTTGTGTGCTCAAGGTCTGAGCGGCAAGGAAGACGCACGATCACAAAGCTATTGATGAACTTGGTACTATGGACACAAACAGTAATCCAATATCACAGTTTGTCTCGGTCACAAGTGCCTCACAGGGGGTGGCGGTACAAGTTTGTACGTGTTAGCGCTCCTTTCCAATAAACGCGATGAGCACGACGCCCGCGCCACGACGTTCTACGCGTGAGCGGAAGAATGTCCCCGTCGTGACTCCAGGTAAGCTCACGGTCCTGCATACGCGTATCTTTCTCATGCGTCCGACCCAGATGACGCGCTAACGAAGGGCAAACGAAAGCGCGCGACTAGTGTTGACGAAGACGAAGACGACGAAGACGACGACCCGAAGCCTAGGCGGAAGACAAAACAATCTGCTGCTGCTGCTAAGAAGCCACGCAAGACGGCGCGTAAGGTGAAGGAGGCTCAAGACGCGTTTGATCCTGATGAGGCCGCGAAAGACTCCAAGATCAACGCAGACAACCCGCTCTTTAGTACGTGTCGTGTTTTTCTCGTCGATTTTGCAAAGCAGAGACTAACGCACGCGAAAAGACGCGATTCTTAATCCTGCCGCCGCCCTGCAATCGACAGCTGAAGACTTCCTCGAGTCGTTGGACCAATCTCCCGAGCTGGCATTGGCAGAGCTCGTCAACCTTGTCATGCGAGCATGTGGGTGTAATGAAACTTTGAGCGCAGATCAGGTCGCCGACTTCGACGGGATCATCGATACTCTAGACGACGTGACGGAGGAGTTGAAGAAAGTCCGTTGCCACTGCTCTAAGCAATTCCCGTACACTCACTATACACACAGGAGCAATCTCTTACAGCATATCCACTCACGTCGAGGCTGCCAGTCTTCAAGAAGTTCCGAAAATCGTTGCACGAGTTTCTTGACCGTCTGATATCCTCGGCGGCCTCACTGGGCTTCCTCTATAAATCAGAAATGATTCCGACGCTACAGGCTTGGGTCATTGCCATGTCCAGCTCCAACATCCGAAGCTTCCGACACACGGCCACAGTTGTGGCCCTGGAGTTGGAAACCGCGCTTTGTGAAGTGGCTGCTGCTGTTGAGAAGGAGGCAGAGTTAAATGCCCGTCAACGCGAGGGAGAGAAGAAGCGCCGTGCCGGCAAAGCGGCGGCCACTGCTCAAGACAAGAGTGCTCTGGACAGCAAGTCCACGGAAATACGTGCCCGACGCGATAAGCTCAAGGAGTTTATCAAAGACTTTGTGGATGGGGTCTTCATCCATCGTTATCGAGACTTGGATCCCCTCATTCGAGCGGACTGCACACTAGCCCTGGGCGAGTGGTTCACTAAACATCCTGCTCATTTCCTCGATGCTGCCTATCTGCGATACATTGGCTGGGTTCTCTCAGACAATGCAACACCTGTTCGCCTCGCTGCCTTGAAAGCGCTCACTGGGGTATACGCACAGCCTACATATGCTCCTCAAGTGCACCATTTCACGGAGCGCTTCAAGGGGCGTCTGCTCGAGATGGCTGCACGTGATGCGGAGCCTGCCGTGCGGGTGGCTGTTCTTGGTGTGCTGGAGCAACTGGGCGCGACCGCCTTGGAGGACGACGAGCGCGAGCAAGTTGCCTTGTGTGTATTCGACATAGAACCCAAAGTGCGGCGTGCAGTGGGCGGATTCGTGCGGACGTGTTGGGAAGAAGCTCTGGAGGAGCGGCTGATCGGGCATCAGGGGAAAGTCACGGATGACGAAAAGGCCAAAGCGGGTGTCAAGGCATTCGGAAGTGTGCTGGTCCGATGGGGTCGTCGTCTAGATGCAGACGAGAATGGAGAGCTGGACGGATCCCAGGCCGAGAGCGACAGCGGAGAGTCTCGTCCGGGCAGAATCAGCAAGGCCCCTGGGCACCTTTCGGGAACATCCGCCGAAGACCGGATGGGTCGTGCAGGGATCATTGTCGAAGCATTGTGGGATGAAGTGGATGTTGTCAGGGATTGGGAGGCGGTGCTCGACGTTTTGCTACTAGATCACTCCTCGGCAGGCGATGGTTCCGCTCCTCGCAAGGGCAAAGCCAATGGCAAGTCCGCTGCGTCTAAGCGGACTGACGACAGCGTGATTGACGAGGCATGGCGGTTGGACGAGGATGAAGAGACTGTTCTCCTGGAGGTCTTTGTCGCCTGTCTAAAGTATGCCAAAGAATTTGTCAAGAAGGTGAGCCCCCAGACACGTCCGTCCTGGCGCACAACTGACCACTTGCAGGGCAATGAAGATGCGATAGCTAATGACATCACACGCGAACTTATCAAAGGCCTACCCCGACTAATTATGAAATACCAAACTGACCAGAATCGCATTGCGAATGTATTGACGATACCCACTCTACTGAATCTCGATCTCTACCTGGAGATGCGAATGATCACGGTGCGTATTGATCTAATGCAATATGTGCCGCATGCTCATCGGAGCACAGAGCTACGCGGCTCTATGGGACGACATGATCAAACAGTTCTTGTCACATTCTTCTCCGACGGTCCTGAACGTAGCTGTTCAGTCACTGATGTATCTCATGACGGCGACTTCGCTGTCGAACACCAACAACACCAAAATCCTTGAACTCGAGGATGAATTATCATCGGCCCTACATGCTGCTGTCGGCGGACGCGATGAAATCGAGGTCGCCACCTTCGATGAGGACGAGGTGATCGCCCTTGCAGCACTATGCGCGAGATTGTCTGTGCTGAGCGGCTACCGTGATCTGACTGGCTGGATGGAAGAGGAGGAAGACGGCAAGCAAGCCAGTGCGCTGAATATCTTCCACGCGCTTGTTGATCGCGGGAGACTCGGTTATAAGGAGGAGGGATTCGTAAGTATCGATGCGTGCACTCGGGCTCATCTTTGTCTGATTATTTTGTAGATGATCACTCAAGCACTCGAGGTGCTCACAAAACATCTCTTGTGGAAGACAAAAAAGCTTCGACCTGAGGATGACATGAGTGAGGAGGCTGCGGCTTACCGCGAGAAGCTCCAGGAACAGCGAGATATGTTTTTGGAGAAGCTGGTCGAGTACTCGGTAGGAACTCAGTCGAACACGTCCGAGGCGGTCCAAAGAACGGTAAGTGGCTGCCTCCCACATTCACACCATGCACTGACCATGTGTTTCTGTCAATAGGCCTTCATGTGCCTCGTGAACATGTATATCCTATTTGGCGAGCGGATGTCCATCACGCTGGACGACGAGGTTCAGTTCCGTTGTGCAGGATACGTTCAAGCGCAAGTGGAGCGATACGCAGAAACGTTGGATAGTGACGACGCCGAGAAGCCCAGAGACGGTATGCAGGTTGTACCCGAAGAACTTATGTGCATCTAACATGTCGTCAGTGGACCCCAACTCTACATCACAGCTCTTGACAGAGTATTCCTTCATCGAGCTCATTGTCACGTTCCTCCGCGCGATCAAAACCGGTGTGTTGCATGTGCGGCATACTGCCATTCTACTGCCCCATTACGGCCGACTGGGCAATACATTCGACCAGTTCATCAAAGTCATTGTCGATTTGCTCAGGGAAGACGCGTTGGAACAGGACCACAGTGACGTCGTTGTCACAGTCATCAACAAGTCCTTGGAAGAAGTGAGTTGGTCGATTGTTTGAGTATGCGTGTGATGCTGACTTTTACGAATAGGCCTTTGCGATGGTCTTGGACGAAGTCGTCGAGGACGAATCGAACGTGTTGCAGCTGGCTAAACATCTGGCGACCACCTTCACCCTACGGGGCGCACATCTTGCTGTCTTGAAGCGCATGGAGGTTCAGTATATTGTGCAGATTCAGACGACAGCCTTGTCTTGGCTTGCCAAGCGGATTGAGGGCTACGAGGCCAACGAGAACAAGCGTGGTTTGAAGATTGCTACGACGTGCTTCCGAGCGCTGGTTCCGCTGCTATCGAACATACAGAGTCGTGATGCGATGAAGATGTGAGTATGAGTGCAGTTGATGTATTGGATTGATCACTGACAGATTGATTAAGCAAAGCGCATCTGGATCAAGTGCTTGCAGAGGCGAGTGTCGAGCTTTCCTCGACGTCCAAGATCTGGGAACCATTGCGAGCGTATGAGAAAAGGCTACAGGCGATTTTGAATAAGGAGAAAGGTGTGTGATTGCTCGACAATTATGACGCGCGAGGCTTATCAGGTACATGTAGTTCCTGGCACGAAAGGCCGCAAGGTCAAACTGTCGAGGGGTGATGGCCTTACATCCAGTGAGGACGAAACCGAAATGGAGCAGTTGGTTGAGGAAGAGGCAGCCGCGCGGCCGAAGCCTCGGCCCAGAGCACGCAAGCTTTCAAAGAAGAAGAAGAATAGCAAGAATAGTGATGACGACGACGAAGATGGCGATGCTCCCGCGCCGAAATCAAAGCCTCAGCGGAGAGCTCGTCGACTCGCCGACAACAATGTGGCGAGCGGCGCTGACAACGAAGACGACGCCGAGGTCGATGTTGTTCCAACTCCTCCTCGGACTAGGCCTCGTAGGCTGTCGACCAAGAAGACTCCCGTGACTGAGGTAGACACAGACGGAGTTGATGATGATGATGATGAGGAGGAGGACGAGGACGAGAATGGGGAGGACGAGCCGGCGCCGCCCACTCCGAAAGCGCGCCCTCGGCCACGCGCTACATACCAGAGCAAAGCAGCTTCGCCGCTACCTCCTCAAGCATCTTCTCCGGCCCCCAGTGCTCTGTCAGATGTGGCTGCCCCGTCCTCTGCCAACTCGAAGAAGCGCTCGCGGCCAGACGATGCGGATGTCGAAGACGAAGTGCCGGAGACGCTCCGAGGAGAGTCGGAACGCGAGGCCACGCCTATGGGTGATAAGCAGGTCCGCCGAAAACGGGCCAGGCGTTGAGGATGACTGTTGTTGTTGTAACTTATATCACTGCTCGCTTTGCATTTGCTCTGAGTGTATTACTAGATTGTGAGTCATCCGTTCGATTTGAGGACGGTGCTTATGTCTCTCGCAGTTTGTTGTATGTAGGCCCTTTTGTCGGGTTTGCCAATGTGGACATGCAAGTGTTGGGTGTTCTTCGTACTAGAGCTGGTGGTCCTTGCAAACTTGGCCCTTGGCTGCATGTATTTGTCACAGTCCGATTGCAGATAATGTCCCTTCCCCGTTATTTGCCACAGTCCGACTGCAGAGAATGGCACAGTAGCCGCGCGGAGATTACGGAGTTCTGTCGAGGATGGCGGTGCCGTGCGACCGGCAATGGGGCGATCAGATGGAGGCATTTAGGTGGGCACGAGAATGGGCGCAGCCCGGGCCTCGCAATGGCCAAGGGATTTATCAGACTCGTCTTTAGCGGCCTATGTCCGCATTCTGCATAGATGTCGAGAATGCACTGTGTTCTCAGATAGAAATGAGTCCAAGCTGGCATCGGCCGGCCGCCGAAATCTCATCTGTTCGCCGGTTGACCTGCACCCCATTCCTGTCCGGACCCTCGACGTCCCATCTCTCCCATCTTTGTGGTGCAGTCCCACCGGTTGCACAGATAGATCTCCACTTCTTCTTCCCATCGGTGGCCAACAGTGCGACTCGGAGAACTCGATATTGGCTTCGCTTTCACCCCTGCCCGCCCGTCGTCACGGCTGTACTCCATTCGCCACCCGGGGCGCATTCATCGCACACGCGCGGAGATGCTATTGCCAGCACACGGGGTCGAGTCGCCAGCGCTCCCCCGCCAGGCTGAGGGCGCTGCGCTGCGCACATACCCCGACGTCAGGCTGTCGTACGGTCCCCTGCTCATTGGGGTGTTCGTCAATTTGATGTTATATGGTGTCTTCGTCGGCCAGGCGCTCACGTACTTTCAAAGTTTTGTGTTGGTGCCTCGGTCCGGGTCGACTGCGGGCAGTGGGGGGATTGCGGGCGGACGCCATTCGGGATCGCGGCCGGCGATGCACAGGGACACTTGGCCAATCGTGTTCCTCGTCTCGTATCTGTGCGTGATAGAGACCATAAACACCTTTTGCGACATGGGGATAGTATACCAGCCGCTGATATTGGACTACGGACATGACCTGGACCACTGGCCGGCGCTGTTCTGGACAGAGCCCTTGTTGGTGGTGCGTCGTCCTGTGCGCCTGCGCTGCGAGTGTATGCTGATCTCCAGTCTCAGGTCCTGGTCTCTACCCCGATCCAGATATTCTTCGCATACCGCATCTGGGCTCTGACGCACTCGCGATGGCTCCCCTGCATCGTCATCGTCTGTGCGGCTACTTCGCTGGTCGGCGGGCTTGCCACAACGTCTCGCGTCTTGTTACTCGGGACCTTCGCCAGCAAACCAGCCTTGCACCCTCCGGCTCTCGTTTGGCTTCTCGGAAGCGCGGTCTCAGATGTTTGTGTCACGACAGGTCTCGTCTGGGGCCCTCGGGGGTTGGTGCGTACAGTGCTTTCTGGGGATACTCCTAGCTGTCGCTGATCTATTACAGTCACATCGCAAGACTGGCTTTCTTGCTACGGACGGTGTCATTGACCGGATCATACGAAGTGGGTTCATGCTGCTCATGTATGATAAAGGAGCGTGCATTGACGTGGACCAGCGACCATCCAGACTGGCATGATGACGTCGATGTTCAGCATTCTCGACGTTATCTGTTTCATGCTGCTCCCGGTCAGTCAAGACTGGATTGTTGTTGCATAACTGACCGGAATGTTGTTATCCAGCATAATGCAATCAACTTCGTTTTCGACTTTCCTCTGAGCAAGCTGTATTCAAATGCACTGCTCTCGACGCTGAACCATCGCGCGCGACTGGGTGCACAGGCTATGTCCGACTCGCAAGATACACAGTCCGTTCGAGACGGTGTGCGGGGCTGTGGATGCGACCATGACGAGGGTCGTCGAGAACCCGGCACATCGCATGCCCTGGTCTTCGAGGACATGGCCCTCGTTTCCGGCGGCGCGGGGTTGGCCACGACCGGCTTCGGGGAGCTGAAATTGGATGAAGAGGATGCGATCGACGAGGAAGGCGACATAGATGGAGAGAAAGAAGGGCTTGAAGAACTAGACATCGTCGAGACTCCTCGAGATCGGCGAGATATCCATCCTGGCTGCCGTCCGCCATAAAGGACCACTCAACTTGCTTTCGTCGGTTATTTTTTTGGATCCGCATGTAAGTGATTCAGCCCACCACTCCTCTCTGATTCGGTCCTGATGGCTGTTCCAGTGTATTATCTCCTGCATTTATCGCACTGTTTATCGATATACTATCATCAGCTTGCTCGCTATAACGCTCATTATTTCAGTTCAGTCGTGTGTGTAATGTTATCCGAATGCTCCTGTGGTCAAACAACGAATAGCAAAGCGTAAGCGCTTATAAGCCATCAGCTTGCTGAACAACCATGCGAACAGCCTATGGCCAGTTGCTGGCACCCTGTTGGCGTCTGGTATGCTTGAAGCGGTATGTATATCTAAAACGACAGATCTTGCACAAGACACTATTGCCATTTCTAAAACTGGAGATTCAGTCATGTCTGGGCACGTTCCTCGGAAGAGGGGGCCATCACTGGCACGTGGGCGCGTTCCGCCCCATGATGAGGTCACGCAAACATTATATCCCCAACGCTCGTCTCACCACCAAGCTCCACATCTTGTCTGCAATTGTACCAACTCGTGGCGGCTATGAATGGGATCGCATTCCCCGTTCAGGTCGCCCTCTTGTTCCGCAGGCTCGTGAATGTCGTATCGACACTCGCTGTTTCGAAACAGTACTCACTCTGGGACCAACGCGCGGTCGAAGAACATGAGAAGCAAGGGACGACCGACTGGAACTTGACGGAAACCAAGCTTGGATCGTCGTGTGCACAATCGTCGTCAGACTCTCGCTCTAGCACTCTACTTGGTATGTGGTAGATGTCTCTCGTGCTCTCTGCGTGTCGCTCATGGCCTCCGCAGCACCATCCCCCATCGTGTCTCAAACCTCGTGGACCAATCTGTCGTTCGCAGCCGAGCCGCTTGGTGGATACCAATCATCTTTACCATCGACCACGGATCGAACATTACCGCCGTCACGGAGTCCGGTGCCAATTCCGTGGCCTCAGCCCCGCAAGCCTTCACACGAGCCTTCCCCCAATCCGCCTCGTTCTCAGAACACGGATCAGCACTCCCGAGATCCTGCTGAGCTTGACATCATCCACACACTGCTCGCCAATCCTGCGCTTGCCGATCCAATACGAGTGCCGCGGTACCCCATAGTTCTGTGCCATGGACTTTACGGATTTGACTCGCGCGGGCCGAGCTCGTTTCCCAGCATGCAAATACACTACTGGTCGAACGTTCTCAACATCCTCCGCCGTAAGGTTGGAGCTGAGGTCATCGTCACGGCCGTCCCTGGGTGTGTACTTGTCCCCAAAGTCTCGTTAATTCGATCATGCTCATGTTCCACAAGTACCGGCTCGATCGAGTCCCGAGCTGAAGCTCTGGATCAGCAACTACAGAGGAAAGCTCAGGGTCGGGGTGTGAACTTTCTCGCCCATTCCATGGGTGGTTTGGACTGCAGACATCTCATTTCGCACATCAAGCCGACAGAATACATCCCTCTGTCGCTCACCAGTGTCAGCACGCCGCATCGGGGAAGCCCTTTCATGGATTGGTGCTCGGTACGTGCATGTGACCTGTTTGTCCCCCGAGCATGTTCTCATTACCGGTCACAAGGACAATATAGGGCTCGGCAAACTTAAGCGCGAAGAGCTGGTATCTCGGTCCGTAGGGGAAGGCAATGGGTTCTCTCTTGCACAGCTTCCCTCCTCCTTTGTCTCGCTTCTCCTCAACGTCGTTGACTCGCCTGCCTACGCCAATCTCACTACTTCATTCTTGAACGATGTGTTCAACCCCCAGACACCTGACGATCCGCGTGTCAAGTATTTCAGCGTGGCTGCGCGATCGTCCGGCGCCAGTATCTGGCATCCCCTTTGGTTGCCCAAGCTGGTCCTCGATGGATTTGAAGAGAAAGAGCGCGAGCGACTGCGCGCAGCTGGATTAGGCAGAGCACAGCGCAAAGAGTGGGGTAATGACGGACTGGTGACAATCGACAGCGCACGATGGGGCGAATTTCTTGGGACCATGGAGTGTGATCGTGGGTCTCAGATCTGCTTGTATCATGCCTTCTGCTGACTCTCTTCCAGACTGGGAAATCCGTGGCGCGCGAGGATTGGAACTGAATGTCGAGATCCCTGCCTTCGAAGGGCTCGGTTTTATCGATTGGGGCCGGTTTGCGAGTGCTTGGAAGAAGGAGGAGAAAGCCCAAGCGGCTGCTGCGACGCCTGAAGAAGTCAAGGACAGGGCGGATAATGCTCTGATCAGGAAATCGACCGAGACTCTATCAAGCGTGGTGGACTGGCTTGTGGACCAAGTTCCTGTTCCGCTGGCGTCGAAGGGCAAGACCATGGACGAGTCTGAGGACCGAGTTGCTGCCGACGTCGCAAAGCTGCACGGAGAAGTGAAGACTGGGAAAGAGAAGAAGGAGCGCAAGGCGGAACTGGTAACTAAGACTGATCTTGAGAGATTTTACATTGCGTTATCTAGGAAGATGTACGATGAGGGACTGTGAAGAGGTATCTCGTTATTACTGTATTATAGCCAATGTAAAGATAATGTTGTCTTATACTTACGCATTATTATTCTTGAGGTCAAGTCTCATCTACTGACTTGAAAAAGATCAAGTTTTGCACTTAACGGATCTGTCCCGTGATTGCGATCTACTCTTGCTTGTTTCCTCATACGAACATGTCCACCTCCGTCAAAGTTGAATTCAGCGGCGGACTTGAGCTCTTGTTCTCGAACCAGCGCTCGCACAGCCTGATCGTGCCTTCCCATGTTTCCAAGACATACGGCGAAGAATCTGGAGAGACCAAACCCGTCGACATCTCTTTCTTGATCTTCCATCTGCGAGACACCCTCCTTAAAGAACGCGTAGAGCTCTTCGTTGAGAATGACACAGTGTGCGTATGCTCTCGCCCTGACTCCTTGAAAACCCGAAAACGAGATCCGGAACAGACGGCCAGGAATTCTGGTATTGGTGAACGATACAGATTGGGAGTTAGAGGGAGAGGGCGATTATGCGCTCAAAGATGGCGATGAGATCGTTTTCATCTCGACGTTACATGGAGGTTGATGAGGAACTTGGACGACTACTCAAAACATGTCTTTTTTGGAGAGCCCTCAGACTGGCTGTGGGGTCTGCCTACGCTACATTTGGATCTATAGAGCCCTGCTCTTTGTTATCGCCAGCTACGTCTGTCTACCCACTTCAAATATACGTGGATCCAAGGGCGTTGACGTTGCCTCCTCCGTCCAAAAGGCCTCAAGAATCGTCAGCATGTTGTCTACGAGACGGGACGTCAACTACACTCACTTGTTTGGAGTCCGCTTATGGGACGCTGGGTCGATTTTTTTCAGCTTACTTTCACAGGACGGAAACAACACGCACCCCGAATGCGAACCAGTTGTACCGCTCGATCCAAGGTTGGGCATCCAAATATGTCAGGGCGGCCGCCAAGAAGACGGAAACATCTTAAGAAAGAGCTGCTCAGATAGCCGATCGGATTGAACCGAGGACGAATCTACCTGCGGGATTGCCGGAGGTACACGCGAATTCGGTGACCCAGACCGCCTTATTCGGGATCTGTGCATGGACGCTCGCCAGATAATTGATGAAGTTCGTCGCTCCTTCGCCGTACCTGCCGAGACGAGATTAACACGGGGAATTAAAGAATGTAGACGGGCGTACCAGTGGACGACAACGAAGTCTATGCTGCATCCGGAACATGAAGCGACGAAGTTGACGAGCCACGGAAGGCCACTGGGTCCACTCGACACGGCGGGACTTCCAAGACGAACACCCGAGTTTTTCAACGGCTGGATGTATGCTTTCCACATCTGGACTGCTTCTGGCACACCGATGTTGGACTGGCCGTATTCGTTGGGCTCATTGAAGCCCTAACTTTGATGTCAACCGTGAGGCAACTGACCACAAGCATGCACTTACAAGTACCGTCGACGCACCCAACTGCCGGACGGTTTGAACGAAAATGCCGCTGTCTTGGTGACCCCAGAGCATAGGGACGAATTCGAGAGATCGAGGATATCCTGCCGGTGGGCTCGCTGCCCAATTGTAGAACCAGCTGCATTGGCCGCCGCTCCCTTTCGGAAGATCGGCATCGCTGGACTGGACGAGTGCGATTCCGCGCTTCGGGTTACTTGCCTGGATGCAGAGAACAAAGCATGAGAGGGCAAGCACCAACTTTGAAAGACCCATCGCGGCTGGGGAATCCTTATCTGTAGACGCCTTTTATGGGGCTGCTGTAAGGCCCCGGGTTCCGAGCATGGCGGTCATTGAAGCCAACAGCCAAGGTAGCCGCACAAGAGAGCAGCATTCTAGCCTCGTTGCTAGGCGTACGTATGCGCGCGGAGGAGGCAGAATCGGACGAGACTACGTCGCAGATGGAATGTTTGAAAACTTAGTCACATCCGTCTGGGCCGTCTTACAAGCAATCGCATAGTCCCGATAAGACAAGATGAACGTATATCGACCATGGAAGCACAATTTCAAAAAGTCCGTGACAACAGCTAGCATGTTACATACAGAGAGGATTGGACTGGACGTGAGTAAGACTGACGCACCAGAGCAGACTATTCCAGCCCAAGAGCCCACGCACTCCCCTGCCTGTTCTCAAGCTCCCGGATTTCTGCTCTTAGCCTCTGTCTTTCTTGTTGCTCATTTCCCCCAGTCCCGTACCCCTGGGTCCGCTCCAGAGCCGTCTGCGCGCTGCGAAGCTCAGACGCAAGCCAGGCCTGACGCTCGGTAGGACTCGACCCTGGCCCAGGCTCTTGTCGGCCGCTGCCTGACAGCGGCGGGTGCGGGAAGGATGTATGCCACGAATCCGATGGGGCCATCCTGGGATTTGATGCCGATGACAGAGGATATGCGCCAAGCTCTACGGCACCAGGTCCGCCAGGCAGACGCGCTGGCGTTCGCATAGGGTTCGGGTCGGAGAATGCAGCTGGCGCATCGAGAGAAGATTTGCTCGTGGAGGTCCGGCCTGTGCGAGCGGCGGTGCGCCAACCGTGAATGGGAGGATGGGAGTGGGCGCGGGCTGACGTGCGCGGGCGCGGCGAACGAAAAGCCAGCGAATGAGGAAGAGGCCGATGATAGCTCCGATGATAGCAATGGCGACGCCGACGATGAGACCCACGGGTGCCTTGTGTTGCCTGTGACGATCACGAAATGAGATGCATTCATGCTTTAGTCGTCGAGAATAGAGAAGAATACCTTTGACTCTCCAACGTCGGGGTAATCGAAGGGCGGTGGGAGTGGCTCGCCGTTATAACGTTCGAGGCAGAGACACCCTGCGTCTGGGTTGGCGCAATCGTTACTGCGCGAGCGAGTGCCATTTGGGGTCGATCGCGTATATGCCACAAGGTTCGGAAGGTCAAGGAGGGTAAGAGAGCGGATGAAGACCGATTGAAGCCGTCCTTAGACCGTGAAGGGCAGTCGTGAGGGGTGAGAGAGTAGCTTGGGTGTACAATGTGTCAGCCTGCACCCCTCTCCACTTAGTTTCCCCTTGGGGCCAGTCTTGGACCCTTGGCTTCTTCCGACATGATTGACAGGCTGATCGTCATGCGGAATGATCCGTGTTCTTCTCTCAGAATGCTTGAGTGTGAGTTGTTTCATAATATCCGTTTTGAGTTTTGTTTTTTCAGGAAGAACAGCAAGCACTGTCGAAAAAACCAAGTGCGGAGAGAAGATACTGAATTGCTCGTTTCGTGAGTTCGTGCAGATGAATGGCGATCATGTGATCGCGTCACGCCTCCTCCATGACGTCAATCCTCTTTCAGAGATTCTTTGCCAACCACGGTTTCCGCAGGCTTCATTCATTCATGGCCTCTCCAGATATAGCCAGGACCGATTCCAGCTTGTGCAGTTTTCTCATCAAAGCTAAAGCCCAGTATCTCCAAGCACAGTCTAACACTCATGAATGGACGATTGTGATGGGCAATGAAGCTGGAGGTACTTTGCTCGTTTCGATCTAGTCCCCCCAACCCCCTTCCTTCTTGACAGATCTGGACTCTATTGCCAGTGCGATAGCCTTTGCATGGATAGAGTCTGCAAAGAGCTCATGCATCCCTCTCATCCAGATGGCACGCGAAGATCTCATCCTGCGGCCCGAAAACATGCATGCACTCGCGTTAGCGGGGATCCACAATCCCGCGGAGGAGCTTCTTACTCTTTCCGATATCTCTCCCTCCTCATTCCCTCCGTCGATCAAGTTCGCGCTTGTCGACCATAACCGGCTTGGAGCCGCATTCCCCTCTCAGGCCCCGGTGTCGCCGTCATTGACCACCACGACGACGAGGGCCTTTACACGGAGACTGCACATCCGCGGAAGGTAGCACCGGCTGGAGCTGTGCCTCGCATGTGGCACAGATGCTGCTGCTGCCGGCGGCGGGGGATGATTGCTGCCAGTGCGGGATGTTTCGACGCTCTTGCTTTCTGCCATCCTCATCGACACGAATTGCCTCAAACCCGGAGGCAAGCCCTGGACGTCGACCGTGAGGCGGTTCGCAACCTCATCCCACGCTCTGCAATGGACTCGCCATCGCTGCTTACAGACGAGTTACCCGCTGCGGTGAGGCGATTATCGGACGAGCTTGCGTCAAAGAAACTGGACGTCTCCCATCTCAGTACTTGGGACCTGCTTCGACGAGATTACAAGGAGTACACCTTCAGCCTAAACTGGATCCAGCCCGTTCCTTCCTCTATTCACGCCGGGCTGGCGTCTGTGTCCGTAGGGCTGAAGGACCTGGCCGACCTGGAGAAGTGCAGCGGACAAATGGATGGCAACGCGGAATCTCACGGTATTCGGAGTGCTCACGTCGTTCCGGGATGCCGAAAAGCTCGGGAAAACGAGCGGAAACCGAAGCATCGGAGAGAGATGGCGTGGTTTATCGGTCTAGCGATAAAGCTCCGGCCGACGAACTAGCCTCCAGACTGCAGAAAGGCCTGGAGCCAAGCGAGGAGATACGCGCGCGGAGGCATGAGCAGGTGGCGCTGGAGGGTAAGCCCTCGGGAATGCGAGTCATGGCTTACGAACAAGGCAATGCACAAGCCACACGTAAAGCCTCAGCGCCGCTGCTTAGAAGTATCATGGAAAGCAAGCATTGATTTCTTCCGTCGTACAATGATATCGTATATACCAAATCCCATCGTCGCTGATCGATCACGCGTCATGATTCGCACACGATGACATGCTGCGCGAGTCGGGCCGAAGCCAGTCTGGCCAGGACTCGTCCTTTTCGTCGACAAGAGAGGAGATGGAGAGATGGATGCTGCGCGGTTTCGTCCGCAGCGATCCGATGGAGCTCGTGCGTCGCCGGTGCCGCTGGCTGGGTGTTTTCTTGCCTGTGAACGCAGGGAGAGATTGCCAGCTCCACGGGTCCTCCTGGATGGACCCGAACGACGTTTCAGAGCTCCCCGTAGACTCGTCGCTGCCCTTGACGTGAAAGACATGGCTGGGAGGGAGGGAGTGAATGGTGCCCGTGGAGGCGCCGGACGACCGCTACGCACCAACGGAAGTGTTCAGGATCTGCTGCTCCAGACTCCTGCCCTGGTAAAACCGTCTGTAGCCCCCGAACTCACGCGCGGAAAGGGCTCGAAGAGATTGCAGTCGGGGGCGGGGGGCTCCACGACTGCCGCCACCGATGCTCCCGACGCTCCGATGCGTCCAAAGAGAGCCGCCCTTGGTCGTCGTCGCCACTGCCGCCGCCCCCAACTCGCCACTTGAAGCAGAGGAAAGGCATCGGAAGAGACGTGGAGGAGTTAAGAAGCTAACGCATAGTTGATACTTGTAGTCCGGTGTTCCCGAGGCTCGTGAGTTGCAGTAGGTTCAGGTCACAAGATTCGGTTTCGCCGACTTTGGTGGCACGAGACGCGCCTGTGATGATGGAAGGGAAGGGACTGATGATTTTGGGAACAGCGGGCGAACAGGGAAGGCGGGCCGAAGAGCACCCTGGGAGAGGATGACAGCTCCTGCTAAGCTGCGATAGCGTATGAGAGAAGCACTGGTCCACGCGCACGCAGCTGGGCTCGGAGCGATGAATGGAGGTCGTCGGCGCCTGTGGTCGCTGGTGATGTGCTTGCGCAGGGTCACTCCACAGTTGGGAGTACACAAGGTCGATAAAGGCCTGGTGCCTCGTGATGCAGCGATATTGCCGCCATGCGAGGTCGCGACCATGCAAAGTGCTCTAAGTTGCCTGATGCCGGCATGCCAAGGGAGCCCGCCTGAATGGATGTTTTTCGAATCCTGACGACAGAAGACCCTAGGATTAAGCGGTGATCTTGTGATCGTGTATGGGTCTTCTCCGTCAGTTCCCACGACTCCGACCGGACGGGGTTTCGGAAGGTAGGCCATGACATAGGGAGTCTCAGGAGAAGTCAGGAGCTCCCCTCGTCACGTTGCCAACATGCAGTCTATTCCCCTAAGGGTGATCTCAGTGAAGAGTGTAGAGCCGCTGGAGTTATCCTTTACTTCCGCAAACCCCACACACCCCTGTCCGCGGTACCTTACCCAGCCGACTGGTCTGCATCGTCTGACGATCTTCGGCAAGGCGCTCTTTTCTGACGGTCGGCTCTGTGCTAAAATGATGCTTCTCTGCCTTCTTATCATAGGGCCATCAATTGCGTGCCTCCTGGACGCGGGTTTTAGGGTAATAAGACCGAGCTATAAAGTTCACCATATTGGAAATCGGCGGTGGTG